TACACACACACACACGCTCGCGTTTCCCTCTCCTCCCCCCCCCCCCTTCCTCTCCTTCCTTCCTCTTTCACCAATTGCACCCTCTCGCAATTGCCCTGTATTATTATTATTATCAGTTGTAGTAGTACTGCTGGTGTTATTTGTTAGAGCCCCTTCGCTTTCTTCTCCTCCGCGATGTTCAGTCAGCCCGTGTACCTCAGCGCCGGTGACGAGTACGACAAGCGCGAGCCGCACGCCGCCAAGCCTACCGGCCGCCCACCCTTCGTCGTCGCGGCGAAGCGCAACCCGCACATCAGCGACGCCACCTTTGGCCCCGTCGTCTCCCTTTCCACCGGCGACCCGTACCACTCCGTCGGCTTCGGCGGCCCTTTCCGCCAGCCCGTCGACGACGGCTCCAAGAAGGAGACGGTGCTCCCGCCCTTCCGGCCCCCCGGGGCCAGCAAGAAGAGCAGCGGGAAGGGCGACTACTACGGCACCTTCGCGGAGAAGGAGCCAATCCGGCACGAGACGGAGTTCCCCCCGATCAAGTCGGCCGCTGACCTAAAGGCCGAGACGGCCGCGGCGATGAAGAACTTTATTGTCAACCCGGCGAAGAAGGGCACCTACGGCTACCCCGGCCTGACGATTGGGCAGGCAGGCGAGGTGCAGTACGTGGCGGACCCGTACGAAGGGACCGCCCGCAGGGAGGCGCTGCAGAGCAAGTTGGAGGCGACGAAGCGTGTCGGGCCGCCCTTCCGCAGCGCCGTCCGCAAAGGCGGCTGCTTGGACGAATCGGCCTACGGGGTGAGCCGCGTCTACGCTCTGACGAAGCCGCTGCCGCCAAAGCGAAGTCCGTCGGCATCGGAGAAGCAGAGGACCCTCGCGGTGGGCCGCAAGCCGTGGGTGCCTGGCGGTGCCCTGGTGCCCGAGTTGTCGAAGCAGCCCGAGTACCAGGAGGACCCATACGACGTAAAGGAGCAGAAGGTGCGGGAGATGCGGCAGCGGGAGAGCAGCTACAAGCCGTGGGTGCCGGCCGGCAACGACCCTTACCGCTTCATCTACACGACGCCGATCCCCTACGACCCACCGATGGTGGCGTAAAACGAATCTCGCGTACGGCAGATGCACGCGGAAGCTCACCCACTCACCCACCACCACCCCCGCTCACGCGGTGTGTGTCCGCTTCTGCGGCGATGCTGCCCGTGCCACACCCGTAACTCCTATTTTCCTTATGTATTGCTGTGGTTTGGTTTTTGCGTTCTTGTGTTGTAGCGGGGCGTTGTGCGGCGCCCATTCTTATGTACATCTAGACGGAGAGAGAGAGAGAGACGTGTTGGTTTGTTTATTGCTTTGTATTTTTTGATTATTTTTCCACACGCACGCCCCTTTCTGTATGAAAGAAACCCACACCACGAGGAGCCCACGTCGAAGGCGGAGAGCTTGAATTTCGATGAGCAGGGGCAACTCATGTAGTGTACACTTGGTTCTCTCTCTCTTTACCTTTCATTTTATTTTTGTCTTCGTGGTCGGCGTTTTTCCTTGTACAATGTATACTGTGACACAGAGAGTGGCACGCGCAAAATACCCACACCCGAAACCCTTCTTTGCTTCCTCCTCTTCATCGGTTATTATTATCAAACTCCGCGTAGGGCTCTTCTCTTACGTGGAGAAGCGACGGCGAATCAGCGGCACATTCACGGAGGGGAAATTCTCAACTTTATTTGTGCATATGTGTGGGTGTGTGCGTGATGTGTGGACTCTTTTGATTGTTTTCTGTACCCTTTCAACGTCATTATTATGATTACTCCTTTCTTTCCCCTATGCAGCCGAACAGAGAAGCCCTTTCGAGTACGTTCAACCCCACCCCACCCCCACCCCCTCAACGGGCGAGGGCATCACAGGCCATTGGAAGTCCGCAAGCACGCGGTAAAATAAAGCAAAATGTGCTTCGGTGATACGGACGAGTGTTAGCGGGGTGCGTGTGTATGCGTGTGTATGCGTGCGTGATTTCAACGGCACTTCAAAGCGCAGCATTTTTTCTTTTCTTTTTTTTTAATATGGCCGAGTGGAGGCGGCGCTTTGAGGCGACGTATCCAACCTCCTGCCTTTGGATCTCCCCACCTCTTCTTATGTTGACCTCGCTGAACCTCCCCTCCCCCCTCCCTCCCCATTCTTTCCTTCGCTCTTCCCTCCACCACTTCCACCACAGCGAGAAATACGTGCCGAATGCCAAAACTTAGTTTAAGGAAAGAGTAATTAGTAGAATACAGACGACCGTCGCTTCTGTAGTCGAGGCAGCTTAACCCGTTACACTTCACGGTACACTGCACACGCCCCCCTACAATTCCCAGCGGAGCCGTCAACATCCAGCCAGCATGCCGTACAGCAAAGCATGGCGTAGCGCCATGTACCCGGACTTCCGGGACGCCGGCGCCTACGTCGACTACAAGGCCACGAAGGAGATCCTGCACCGCATGAAGGAGAACATCGCCAACCCGTCCACGCCGGACGAGCTATACCACTCGCTGCTGGAGCAGAAGAAGCGGGTGTACCGGTGGTGTGAAGCAAAGCAGGCGGAGCTGCTGAGGGTTTCGCGGCGGCTCTACGAGTCCTCGGAGTACCTAGCCGAAGACGAGGCCGCCTCGAACCGCAGTCTCGGCACGGCAAGCCTCGCACGCGGGGCTGCCAAGTCCCTCCCGCCGCGCGAGGCCCGGCTGATCGCCGACGCGATCATGCAGGAGCTGCTACGCTTTGTGGAGTGCCGCAACCTGAACACGGACACGATGGACCACATCATCGGCCGCATGTACCGCTACGCCGTGCTGGGCCCCACCGGTGACCGCTGGAAGAACATCTACGTCGAGTACAACTACGACACAATTTCAATCGAGGAGGTGTTCTGCCACCTGTCGCGCGTCTACGACCGCGTGACGCAGACGGAGGAGCGCATCTCGGCCAAGGGACGGGAGAGCATCCGCGCCGGCGATGTCGGCTCGCAGGTGTTTGACCGTCGCTCGGTGAAGTACTGGGTGCACCCGCAGGACCTGCCCTTTGTCATTGCCCGCATTATTCAACATCTGCCGCTCAGCACCTTCAAGGACACCTACAAGGACTGCAAGGACAAGGGCGTGCCGTTCCGCCTCTTCTCCCCCGTCAGCTCCGTGTACTACGACAACAGCAAATTTCTCTTCTATCACCGTCGGTTGGAGCGTATCGAGGGCAGCACGCTCATCCGCATGCGGTGGTACTCCGACACGTACGCCGAGGACTGGAACGCCGTGGAGGAGAACGAGAATGTGTTTATGGAGATCAAGGTCCACCACGAGGCCTGGAGCGGCGAGCGCAGCAACAAGCGCCGCTTCGCGATAAAGGAGAAGGAGGTAGACGCCTTCGTGCACGCCCAGCTGAGTCTCCTGCCGGCCGTCGAGAAGCTGAAGCGTAAGAACGCGAGCGAGGCGGAGCAGGAGAAGTTCAAGTCGCTCGCGACGGAGATTCTGTCGAAGATACACGCCTACGACCTGAAGCCGGCGCTGCGGACACAGTGTGGCCGGGCGGCCTTCCAGCGCGGCGCGGATCAGACGGTGCGGGTCAGCATCGACACCGACCTGCGCGTGAGCGCCGAGGACTTTGGGCTCGACCACCACTGGCGCTACACCGGCGGCGATTCGCCCGTCTCGCGCTTCCCCTATGCGGTGGTGGAGATCAAGCTGCAGTGCGCCGAGAACGAGCGCATCGCGCCGTGGATTGAGGAGTTGATGGGCTGCCGCTACATGGAGAGCATCCCGAAGTTCAGCAAATACGCCCACGGCATTGCCTCGCTGTACGGGCACACCTCCTTCATCAACATGGTGCCCTACTGGATGCACCAGCTCGATATCGACATCCGCGCCTCGACGAAGCCGGAGACGCACCACTGGGATCCGACGGTGGGGTTGGCCGCGGGCTGCCTGCAGCGTACGGGGGACCGCGTCATCTTCGGCACAAACCCCGCCCAGACGCAGACGGTCGGTGCCTCGGAGGCGCAGTTCATGCCGCGCACGGATTACGCGAAGGTCTATCAGCAGGTGCTGCAGAGTCTCTTGCACGACGAGGACGGCGGCAACAGCGCGAGTGTCAGCGCCACGCAGCCCGCCCTTGCCCCTGCCGATGCACCCGCAGCGCGGAATGGAGACGCCAACGGTGTCCCGGGGCACCTGATTGCCGCCCCGGTCGTGCAGTACTCCGTTGACCGCCGCCACGCCGCCTACACCACCTTCCATCTTTACCCCTACACGGAGACCGGCACGGAGTCGCTGTGCTACGACCCAAAGGATACCCGCAACGCCGCGGCGACCGTCTTCTACGGCAAAATCCCCTGGCAGACGGGCAAGCGCATCAAGGTGCCGCAGAAGTACGACCCGAAGACGCTGCTGACGTCGGAGCGGTACATGGTGAAGTGGATGACGCTGGCCACGCAGCTCGGTCTGCTCGGCATCGCCAGCATCCGCTTCGGGAAGGGCCTGTTTCTGCCGCAAGACGTGGCGCACCACTCCCCTTTCTGGCAGGGTCAGTTCCACGTCGTGATTGGCGTTTTCATGGAGGTGCTGGCGCTGTTGACGCTGCTGTACGCGTACGTCGGCTTTATGGCGCGCGCCCGCCGCGTATACGCGCGCCGCAAGATCCGCTTCGACGACGTTGTTGGGCCGACGTGGCTAACCTTCTCGATTACGCTGAGCTTTGTGCTGATTGTGATGACGCACATCGCACGTCGCTACGGGCCGATGTTGACCGGCAGCGACTCCTTCTAACTAAATAGTATCACATAGGATGGGAAAGGTAAATGGCAGAAGAAGGAGCGGCAAGGAGAGGGGGGGATTGGTTTTTTTTTCGGGGGATAAGCTGGGAAGAGCACCGCAGTAAGCCTCTGACGCCTCAGCACTTCTTCCGTCGCTGTAAAACTATTCTTTGTCTGTTCGGATTTTTTCCTTTGCATATCTTTACTTAGTAGTTTTGTACCTTGTGTCGCTTGTCACGGCGAACGAGCGCCGCGCCCACGTGCTCTTCCTCTCTGCGTGACGTCCGCCTCGCGTGCCACGATCCATCGACCCATCTCCGCTGAAACGACGTTGCTGGGATAGCGGAGATGGAAAGAAGACGGGGGGAGGAAATAGGGAAGGAAAGACGTGACGTTTTGAATAGCGTCCGCACCGTTATCGTTGGCATAATTCGAGCGGCACTCAACACTAAACCAAAAAAAACCTAGGTCTAAGAAGAGAGGTGGTGCAACTTGAGAAAAGGAGTTGTTCGGTGAGCGTACCTAAGTTAAACCAAGAAGAGGTGTGGAGGGGGGAAAAGGAAGAAAAAAAAAGCAGTCATACGAACATTAATCATAGTAATACCGAAAAGCACCAAAGCATCCTATTAAAGTTTAAATACAGTTAAGATGGCGGTGACGTCACTCGTGTGTGGGTGTGCACTTTTGTGTTGCACGCGCTTTGTTCTTTTCCCCTCTTTATTTTCCTTCTTTCCCGCCACCCGGGCGTGCGTGTGCGTGTGTGTGTGTGTGTGGTTTGGTTAGTGTGCGTCATCTTTGTGCTATTTGTCTTATGGCTTTATTCCTCTTTCTCTTTTCGGCATCACGTAGCATCAACAGACACCGACGAAGACGCAGGCCGTATATTCGTCAGCCCCTCTCCTCCTCTGCACCGTTGAACTCTTCATCAATTCTTTTTTTAATACATTTTTGTTTTTGACCTTCTTCGGCTCAGCAGAGAAAGCACAAGTACAAACGCACACGCAAAACTATTTTTCTTTCTTACCTCCGTTTCCGCATCTCCGTTCTCGTTCTCTCTTGTTTCCTCCTTCCTTTCATACATCATTATTTACATATATAAGCACTCATTTTGCTTGGTATTTTGCACGTTCTTTCTTCATTCTTTTCCTTTTCTTCTTTGGATGGATCGACGTCTACGAGGACTCCTTCGTTGTTTGTCGTGTGTTTTATTTTGTCTGTTTGTTTTTCGTCATCTCTCCCGCAGCACCGCGTCGCTGCAGTTGGCTGACGCCTTTTCTTTCCTGCCCCACCTTCCCATTTTTACTTAACTTTTAATTTAATCTAAACTGGTAAATTTCTCTCCGTTGCGCAAAGATGGGAAGGAAAGAAGACAATGGGGGAGGTGAGAGGAGGCGCTACGTGTGCATGCGTGATCAACGTTATTTTTGTGTGATGTTGAGAGGCTGAAGGAGAGACGCGTTGGCGGGGTGCCATCTCGAGGAAGGCGACTTCATACCTCTCTACTGTTGAAGTTTGAATTGGCGTATTGTTTGCATGTGTGTGTGTGTGTGTGTGTGCGTGTGTGCGTGTGTGCGTGCACGTGCGTGTTGACGGTGTCTGTGCGATGCGTGAATTAGGTCTCTTCCCTCGGCGTTTAATGCCACACACACCGTTTTTCTTATTTTTTGTTTTAGTCCTACTTCGTTTTATGGCAAAGGCCGTCTCACCGCGTCCGCGCAACTGTACGGAGGCCCGATTTGAGGCCCAAAGAGTCTTTTAAAACAATAAACAAGAAGTCAACGAGTGCAGACACGAATGCTCTATGCCGCACAGGTGATGCTTGATGCTGCTTCCTATGGGAAGGGCGTTTTTGATGCTTCGCCTTTGACCGTTTCGGAGGCCCTTGACATGCACGTTGTTGACATAATCTGCCGAAGTGTCGTAATCCTGGAGAAAAAAAAGAAGAAGCCGGGTAACGAAAAGACCGCATCGTCCCCCCTCTTTTCTGGCGGAGTCAGTGCTGCAGAACTCCTCTCCTTTAACAGCCATCACTTATCATCGTTCATCTCCTCTACTTCCTACCCCCCCCCCCCTCAATTGCACCGCTTCCGGACATAGAGGTCCGCGAAAACAAAGGAACCCGATTGCACTGTCCGCGTCATTGCCGTGCGCTTGGGAGTCTGTGTGTGCTTGTGTCTGCGCACTGTATAATTCAATCCACCTCGCTGCCCCTCGCGCGTGCACGGTGAAGACGGTAGCAACGTTGGCTCTCCCTCCTTTAGTGTTATTATCATCATTATTATTATTATTATTTCATACTCCGCCTCGAGCCTCATCCTTTAGTTTTATTTCTCAAAGCCTAACATTTCACTCCCCGGGGCTTTTGATCCGCTATCCTCGCCCCTCTTCCTCTCAATCAACGCATGTTTCGCTTCCACACTCGTCGGCTGCTGTGCGTCGCAGCAGCAGCCACCACCCCCTCGCCGGACGTGTTGCAGGTAACGAAGGGCGTGGCGAACAGACTGGAGGATCTGTCGCCGCGTGCCATTACCGAAATCCTTAACGCGTACATCGTGGGACAGGAAGCAGGGAAGAAGGCTGTGGCCATCGCCCTGCGCAACCGCTGGCGTCGCCGTCAGCTGAAGGACGTCGACCTCCGCAAGGAAGTGCTGCCGAAGAACATGCTGCTGATTGGTCCTACCGGGGTTGGAAAGACGGAGATCTCGCGCCGCATGGCCCGCATCACCGACGCCCCCTTTATAAAAGTGGAGGCGACCAAGTACACGGAGGTCGGCTTCAAGGGGAAGGACGTGGAGAGCATCATTGAAGACCTCTACACAAATGCAAAGCTCAAGGCACGTCGCGCGCTAGAGAAGGAGCGACACAGCGAGGCACTCTCCATGGCGCTCGACACGGTGTACAGCGCGTGGTCGGTGAGCCGGCGGATGCAGGTAATGGATCGCACCATTCGCAGCGCGTCGAAGGCGGAGGAGGCAGCAACGGCAACCGCCGAGAGCGGCGCTAACGCATTGGAGAGCAGCAGCAGTGACGACGTCGCGTCGACTAAGGCTAAAGAAGGCGCCGTGTCAGACGACGAAGCCGTCGCTGCTGCAGCGGCCGCCGCCGCCACCACGGAAGTCCAGCAGCACACCCTCGAGTACTTCCGCGAGCACTACGAGGAGGAGCCGATCAAGAGCGACATGGTGACCATCGACATCACCGCGCCGCAGCCGCCGTCGAAGCCGAAGGAGGGCGGCATCGACCTGCAATCGGTTGGCATGCTGCTGGGGTTGAGCGGAGAGCCGAAGCGGCCGAAGATGTCTGTCACAAAGCGTGTGGTGGACGCCGTCCCGCTGGCGACGCAGGAGGCGCTGGATAAGCTGATTGATGAGGCCTCCGTCAACACGTTAGCGCGTGCGCTGGCGGAGGAGGAAGGAGTTGTATTTGTGGATGAAATCGACAAGGTGGTGGCCGAGCCGTCCAGCGCCAACGCCGACGTCAGCTCGACCGGGGTGCAGCAGGACCTGCTGCCGCTGATTGAAGGGTCCAACGTGACCATGAAGGACGGCAGCGTCATCGCGACGGACAACATTTTATTTATCTGTTCCGGTGCCTTCCACGTTGCCAAGACGTCGGACATGATCGCGGAGTTGCAGGGGCGGCTGCCGGTGCGGGTGGAGCTGCAGGCCCTGACCGAGAACGACTTCCGCCGCATCCTGACGGAGCCGAAGTTCAACCTGCTCCGACAGCAGCAGGAGATGATGAAAACGGAGGGCATCGAAGTCGCCTTCCCCGAGGAGGGCGTCAACGCGCTGGCGAAGGTGACGTGTGCGGTGAACGCGCAGGGGCAGAACATTGGGGCACGTCGGCTGAACACCGTACTGGAGCGGGTGATGGACGAGTACAGCTTCAACTGCGAGGACTACGCGGGCAAGAAGATCGAAGTGACGGCGAAGATTGTGCAGGAGGCGACGGAGAAGCTGCAGAAGAACGTCAACCTAGCCAAGTATCTGCTGTGAGGGCGGAGACGTGGGGAGGAGTGGAGAGGGGAGGGAGTTGTGTTCGGGACAGGCATCGGTGTCCTTTGTCTTTTCTTTCGTTTTTTTTTTTTTGCTTTATCTGTTTCGTCGCGGTGTTTTTATCTGTTGGCTGTGATCGATTACTTGTGGTTCCAGATTTGCCTGAATCGTGCTTCTTTGGAGGGGCGCTGTGCGATACGCGGGTGTTCGTTTGGTATTAAAGATTTGCACGATCTCGCTTGCTGCACCTTCTTCGACTGTGTGTGTGTGTGTGTATCCTTCTCTCCTTCTCAATGATATGGCGTGCTTCGCGGTGCTTTAAGAAAGAGAAACGGAGAGGTGATGCACGGAAGGAATCCGCACGCTCCACCGTCGCCTCTAACGCAGCTCCCGCCGGACAAACCTCAAGCGTTGCGGCCACTTCCCTCTCCCTCTCCCTCCCCCTCTCCGTTGACCTCGTGAACCCACCCACTCTTTGTCACGCGCCTACCTGAATCCCACCTTGTCCGCGCCGCGCACACGCCTGAGCAAGCCGGAGAAGCGGAGTGCGAAACGGGAAGAGAATTTTATACGGACGCTGCACTCTACTACTAGCACTACTATTACTACTACTACTATTGCTACTACTGCTTCCCCTCGGAGCTGCAGCCGGAAAGAAGACGTAAAAGGTCCGCTGACGAGGATAGGAGGTTGGAAACGTATTCGCAAGTACACCAACAAGAACCCAACAAACGAGAAAGGAAACGAAACGGCAGCCACAGCCGCAGCCGCCACCGCAGATACTTTCAAAATAGGAAATTGAAAAATAGTTTGGCAGGAATAAAAGAATCTCCTTTACTTACCGGACAGCGCAACTAATTGGTATTAGTATTGCTACTATTCTTATTACTACTGCTACTGCGCCCTTCTACGGAGCGGTGTTCCTTTGCTGTTGTTGTTTGCTACGCGAAGCCGTGTAGGCGAGGCACAGACGTGGAAGCCAGCGAGGTGCATTCCTTTTGTTATTTTCTTCTTTCTTTCTATTTCACCGGGTCTACCCCCCCCCCCCCTTGACTGCTTCTACCACGGGCAGACCACCGACACATGTCCGTGTCCGCGAAGGAGCCGCCTGCCCACGCCGCCGGTCAGCGCGAGGGCACCCGCTCCTTCACCGTGGAAATGGAGGAGTGCGCCGCGCTTCCACTCGACGCTGACGAAGTCTCCGCCGTCCCGCCGACGCCCCCGCGGGGTGTCGACAAGAAGGCTGGCGGGGCGAGCGGTAGCAGCGTCGGGTCGAGCTTCCCCAGCCACGGGGCGTCGAACACCAACGACCACCACCCACTGTCCCAACAGCAGACGCCGCAGCAGCAGCAACGTCGGATTGGTGGCCGCCCCGGCAACGCGACCACCTCAGCGCTCAGTCATCGCACCACCACCGGCATGGGCTCTGCGGGAGGCGTGAACTCGCTGCACCTCGTGACGTGTCTGACCGGCACGCCTGCGAGCCAGCGTGCGGCGGAGGCGGCGGCGAGCCGGGATCCTGACTTCCACCCCATGATCGTGTGCCCCTTGCAGAACCTCGGGAACACCTGCTACTTCAACTCGGGGGTGCAGATGCTGGCGAACTGCCCGGCGCTCATCTACGGCGTGCGCAACTCCCCGCTTTGCCACGCAGCGCGCTCGAACTCCCCTCTGCAGTCCCACACGTCGCGGGTGAACTCGAGCAGCGCCGCAGCGAAGTTGTGCCTCAGCGGCGGCGACGCCAACCACACTCTTTTCGAAGAGTTCGCCGTGCTGCTGGCCCGCATGGAGAACAACGACCTGTGCAGCGGCGAGGCCTTGTCGCCAGTGCGCGCGCTTGACGCCCTCGCGCGGGTCTATAAGCAGTTCGAGGGCCGCAGCCAGCAAGATGCGGCGGAGATGATGACCGCGGTGCTTGCCAGTCTTGAGGAGGAGGGCGGGCAGTACGCCGAGGTGGTGCAACTGCTGGACTCCTTTGCAGACGACGCGGCGCTCGTCGGTCAGGCCGGTCCCAACGGCGGGGCAGCTGCAATGGCGGCATCCTCGTCGCTGCTGCCGCGACAGCCGTCCGGCGACCCGGCCAGCAGCACCGCCCACCGCAGCGAGGAAGGCTGCACCGACGAGTTCTCCGCCTCCCCGCTGAAGTCTGTCGGGACCGCCAGCGCGCTGCCCGGCGCACGCGGCGCCCACGTCATCGCGATGCTGCGCTTCATGAAGCAGGTGAACGCGGAAAATGAGCAGCTGGAGCGGGAGGTGAAGCAGCGGCACGGGAAGCCGTACCTCGGCACCTTCCACCCTCCCCGTTTGCGCCTCAACCCCGTCATGGACAGCTTTCGCGGTTACTCCGTCTCGCAGGTGGAGTGCCACCACTGCCGTCGGGTGTCGCGTGTGGTGAGCGACTTCAACGCACTGCTCATCGACGTGCCAACAAACCGGCAGCGCAGTCAGTTTGCGGCGAGGCACCCCCACCTGCGTCGACTGGCTCCGGACGGGCAGCAGCTGCAGGCGAAGAAGCACACCGGCTTCACCTGGTGGAACCCGCTCTCTTTCTTCAGCTCCGCCTGGGGCCGCCTCGCGCGTCTTTTTGCGAGCAGCGTACCGTTTCCCTTGACGCTGCAGGAGTGCCTTGACATCCACTTTGAGCCGGTCAAGCTGCACGGCTCGAACCAGTACCGCTGCGAGTCCTGCGGGACGACGAGCGAGGCGACGAAGTCGGAGTCGCTGCTCGGGCTGCCGGAGTACCTTGTCCTGCACATGAAGCGCTTCGAGGCTGGGCGCTGCTTCAACAGCAAGAAGACGGACCCGGTCATCTTCCCCGCCTCGTGGGACTCGCTGACGGCGGCGGAGGCGGCGCAGAAGGAACTGGCAGGGAGGGCGGTGCCGGAGGTCCTCGATCTGCGGCGCTACCTCCACAGCGTGACGGCGCCCTTTGCGGAGCCGATCCCGCCGTGCCTGAGCGGGAGCCTCGGGGCGGCTTTGGAGGACGAAGAGGCGGAGGGGGCGCCGTCGCCATCGCCGCAGCGGCACGCGTCGAGCGCGTTCCCCGCAGCGACCACGGCGACGAACACCACTGCGAGTCATTACCTTAACCCAAACACAGCAGCAACGACGGTCCCTGCAGCACTGTCTTCGCCGTCGCCAAACCCGGACGGCACCACACCGGGGGCCATCCCGACCACCTACACGCTGGACGGCGTAGTGAACCACCACGGCGGCTACGACGGGGGTCACTACACCGTCTACCTGTACAAGACGACATCGGAGCAGCGCTCCTGGGTGTACATCAGCGACGATGAAATCGAACGCGCCAGCGACGGGGAGGCGGCGGACTCGGAGGAGTACGTCTTACTGTACCGGCGCCAGCCCATTGTGCGGCCTGCGGTGGAGTTCGATGAAGGGGGGCGGCTGCGACAGAAGGCGCGCTACTACCTGTCGCGTGAGGCCAGTCTGGAGGCGTCGCCGGTGAGTGCCACGGCGGGGACCCACTCTGCGGAGGCAGGGTCGACCCTTTCGTCACCCGGCACCGGCACAGCGGCGGCGACTCCCTCCGTCTCCCTCTCGTTCTCCTCCTCTCTCCCCTCGTCTGCCGCGTCCCCGCACGTCTACATCTCACGTATGTGGCTCCAGCGGGTCGCCTTCTTGTGTGAGCCCGGACCCATCGTGAACCGACTCTGCTACTGCACCGCCGCGGACCAGCAGAAGGTCGTCACCCACCGCAGTCTCTTTCCACCCGATGTGCAGGTGCCGGGCGCGGTGCCGCACGTACACGGCCCTCCCGTGGAGTGGTTTTACGTCCCCATCACCCGCGCAGACTACGCCATCTTCTACGACGCGTTCGGCGGCAATGCGGCGGTGACGGCGGAGGAGGTGGCGGCCATACATCACGCGCAGGAGAAGTTTGTCGCGTCGGTCACGGAAGCAGAGCGGGTGAAGCCGCGGGGCGGCTTCCTAGCCGGTCAGCGATGAGGTGTGTGTGTGTGTGTCGATGTGGCTGATACGTGTACTTCTCCTGCCTTTTGGGGGGAGGCTGCAGTAGCCCGCTGAGTGCGTGTGGGAGTGTTGTTGTTTTTTGGCAGGCGGCGCTCTCCTCAGGTCTGTTTCTTTCTCCTCCTCTTCCTCTTCTTTCTCAAAAGTGGCTGCTGAAGATCGTTCCTTTCGATGTGGTGGTGGTGGTGGTGGTGGTGGTGGTGGTGGTGGTTGGCGGACGCTGACGTCTGGTGCTGCTTTGCTGCGGCGTGTGTGTTATCTCTTGCGATGGTTTTATCGGTATTCCGTACGTTGTATTGTCTTAATCCGCGTTACAGGCGTTGCTTTCTTTTCTGTGCTACTGCGCACATGCAATCATTTCTAAAGCTCGCTTTAAAGGAGAAAGAAAAAATATCTTCGAAGGATGAGGCGGATGTTTAACGTGTTGATCACAAAAGGGAAGGGGAGAGGGAGGGAGGAGGTATTGTGGACAGCACAGCTGTGTTGCCTCGTCCCAGTAGCACCAGCAATCACTGCCCTCTTTCTTTCTTTTCTCCTGCATCACAGCTCAGTCTTCGCTCTTGCATTGGAAGGACTGTGTAGTGGGGGTACAGGTATATGAGTTTGCATGCGTGTGAAAGGAGTTCAGCGCTAGGCGAGAACTGTGTATCCCCCCTGTGGGGTGCTTCTACTGTTGTGACTCCCTTTCCTAATTTTCGCTCTTCTGGTCCTCGTCGTGCGTCGTAGATGTCAGCTGCACACGGCGCTGCGTTGTTGCACTCCTTGTGACTCGCCCGTCGTTGCACTTCCATAGAAGCAAGGAAGAAAGAAAAATAAGAATACAAAAAGTTACATCAAGAACCACCTCATCTGCTCTCACGGGGTGTCGCATAGAAGTATCGCATAAACGCAAGAGTCGGTTGTCTTTTCCTCTTCACTGACCTCGCTACAACAGGGAGAGGGACCATGGACGGCGGTGACGACGTCGCGAGCCACTTTGTGGACCTCACACCGGTGCGACCGCAGCGCAGACGCGAGGCGTCACCCAGTCAGCCTCCACACACCGCCGATGCCGTTTCCAATGGCAGTCGCCCAAACCTCAGCATGAACGGCGGCGACGCTACCGTGGCTTCGTCCTCCTCCTTTCCTTCCGGGCCCTTTCTGTCAACAGCAACTGCCGCAACCGCAACGGCGCAGCACCAGCAGCAGCAGCGCTCCGAGGAATACTCCTACATCTGGGGAACGGGCATCGCAGTGGAGGTCTTCCGCGATGAGTTCCAGCGCTACCTCGAAAACTTCTCCTTGTCGGAGGTCGTTTCCGACCACGCGGGGCAGCAGCAGCGCAGCATAAGTAGTCCGTTAAGCGGTGCCTCAGCGGGAGGTTCGTCACGCGTGGCGAGTCCCCTGCTAAACAGCAACGGCAGCCTTTCTTCCATGAGCCTCAACACGTCGCTCGCCGCCGCCACCACCTCGCACGCCCTGCATGAGAAGTACTACCTGAAGGAGTTCTTGCGGATGCACATGCAGGGGCGCACGACGCTGGAGCTGGACTTCACGTGGCTGCAGCGCATCGCGCCGACCCTGTACGCGCAGACCCTCCATCACCCGACGGAGTGTCTGCAGATGATGTCCGCCGTCGCGGAGGAGGTGTACGGCGATGTGCTGCGGCACCGTCACGGCATCGAGGTGCCGGAGGACTCCTTGATCACCGTGGCCGCCAAGAAGCTGCCGACGATGTGCACGCTGAAGGAGCTGAGTCCGCAGCACATTGAGCAGCTGCTCGCCATAAAGGGCATGGTGATCCGCGTCTCGAAGGTGATTCCTGAGATACGTGTGGCGTGCTTTCAGTGCTGGAACTGCCAGTACCAGGAGCGTAGTGTCAGCGGAGATAAGGGCCGCATTTTCGAGCCGACGCGGTGCTCCCACTGCGGCAAGACCTACTCCTTCAAGCTGCAGCACAACCTGTCCCTCTACGAGGATAAGCAGCTCGTGAAGGTGCAGGAGTCTCCGGAGCACGTGTCGGACGGAGAGACGCCCATCTCGATCGGCGTGGTCGTGTACGGCAACATGGTAGATGCCGTGGTGCCGGGGGACCGCATCGTGGTGACCGGCATCTATCGCTCTACCCCGATCCGGCTGAACGCGAACACCCGCATCATCAAGAGCATCTTCTCCACGCACATAGACGCGGTGCACATGGAACTGGTGCGGGCAACGCGCCTCTCCGACGGGGCGAGTAAAGGCGGTGGGGGCAGTCAGACGCGACTGCACCTGACCACGCCAACACTGGCGACGACGAAGGAGGCGGAGGCGGACGCAGCGTCGCGCGCCCCGCTGATGGACACGGCGCGGCTCGACATGTTTTACTCCCTCGCCCACCGGCCAGATATCTACGACATCCTGCTTCACTCCTTCGCTCGCACCATCTGGGGCCACGACGACGTGAAGCGTGGCATCTTGGCGCAGCTCTTCGGTGGGACGGCGAAGACCTTCGTGTTCAGCGAGCGCGCTGGCGAGTCGACGTCCCCGACCGGCGCTAACGGTCATGCCAGAGCCGCCACCACCACGACCAGCAGCAACAGCGCGGTGTTTCGCTCCGAGTTGAACGTGCTGCTGTGCGGCGACCCCGGTGTGGCGAAGTCGCAGCTGCTAACGCAGGTGCACGAGATCGCGCCGCGCGGGGTTTACACCTCCGGCAAAGGCAGCAGCAGCGTCGGCCTCACCGCCTTCGTGGTGCAGGACAGCGACACCGGGGAGTTGGTGCTGGAGCCCGGTGCGCTGGTGCTGTCGGACCGCGGTCTGTGCTGCATCGACGAGTTCGACAAGATGAACGACTCCACCCGCTCCGTCCTGCACGAGGTGATGGAGCAGCAGACGCTGTCGATCGCAAAGGCGGGTATCATCGCCCAGCTCAACGCTCGCACGTCCATACTAGCGGCCGCCAACCCGAAGGACTCGCAGTGGAACCCGCAGCTGAATGTCGTGGAGAACGTGCAGGTGGAGCCGACGCTGCTGTCGCGCTTTGACCTTATCTTTCTGCTGCTGGACCGCCACGACGCCGTGGAGGATCGCCGGCTCGCCTCGCACGTGCTGTCGCTCTACATGGACACCGCCGCCGGGGCACGCACCCGGCGCGCAGTGCTGAACGGGCGGCAGCGGCGACGGCGACGGCAGCAGAGGGGCGGTGGCGCCGAGGCGGAAAGCGGGAGCGGAGAGGACGACGACAACGACGCGGAGGAGGCGGCGTCGGTGTCCGCCCAGCCGCGCAGCACCGCCAGCGTGGGTGACCCGACGAGCGTCCCTTCCAACACTAACGGCGGCGATGGCGCGCGGGTGGACGCGGTGACGGGGCTGCCGGTGGCGGTGCAGATGGAGTTGGACGGGGAGGTTTTCTTGCAGGGCCCTGCGGATGCCGCCTACATGCCGTCTGCCATCCTCTCCGAGTACATCGCCCTGGCACGGGAGACCATCTTCCCGAAGCTGACGGAGGCCTCCCATAAGCAGCTGGCCCGCAGCTACGTGGAGCTGCGGCAGGCGCGTGGCAGCAGCCGCACGGTGTCCGCGACGCTGCGGCAGCTCGAGTCGATGATTCGCCTCTCCGAAGCACGGGCGAAGATGCGCTACGCGGGTGAGGTGGGCGTCGAGGACGTCGTGGAAGCCAAGCGCATTATCAGCGCGGCGCTGAAGGAGGCTGCCACGGACCCCACCACCGGTCTCATCAACCTCGACATGTTCCACGCGGCGGACCCAACCAAGAACACGATGGAGGGGAACATGCGTCGCCTGGAGGACCTGCTGGAGCGCCGCTTCCTCGCGCAGGGTCGCCGCACGGTGTCGGTGGCAGAGCTGCGGTCAGCGTTCAACGAGCAGCAGATCGGCGCGGCCCGACCGATGGCGCCAGCGCAGTTCGTGGAGCTGCTCGCGCTCTTGTCGGGCGGAGACGTGGTGCAGTCGTTTACCGCCACGACGGTGACCTTGTCGGGCAGCGGTGCGGCCGCCGCCGCGGGGATGACGCCGGCGATGATGTCCCCCTGAGAAGTTTAAAAGGGCGAAGCTTGAGTGGTGCCTTATATCAATGAATCTGCGTCGAGCCTAGGCAAGCATAGAAGGTGAAACAGAAACTCTGATATTTCCCGCGGTGCCCCCAACGCACACGCACATGCCTCCTCCATTGTAGTAAGAAGCCGCCATCTTTTTATTGCTTGAGAGACCTAAGGACATTGAGAACGTACGTGCTTTTATGGGGAGGGGGTAAACAGGAAGCGGTTCTAATTGAGCCTCTTTGTGGATCACGCACTCAAGCTCTCGAATCCACCTGCCCACCGAAGAAGCCGACGCCTGCATCCGTGGAGTGTTGCTGGCATCGTTGACTTGGGCGCCCAACCTACTATGAAAACTCTCCGTTTTTTCTTTCTCTCTTTCCTCTCCTGGTTGTTGTAGCCGGCAACTCGTCGTTGGGACTGAATACCCAAATCTCACTGGAATACATCGATACAGCTGCACGCACGCACATTCATAGATACACCTGCACCTCTCCTCCTTTCTATCTCTATCTCTATCCTTTTGTATTATTAGTCATTGTTTGCCGTTGCACCACGCAATGCCTCTTATCCGTCCAGGCATGCGGAAGCCACCGCCAGGCTTCGACGTCGTCCAGGCCAAATTAGAGGAGTTCGAAGCGGAGATGAAGTTGGCGACGCAGGAAGAATCGAAAGGGGTGGTGGGCCAGACGACACGGCCACGTCGCGCTGACAGCTCCCATCACAAGCGGCCACGCGAGCACGACACGCAAAATGCGTCCGCCGAGGACGACGTAGCGCGGGACACGGCGACAGACAAAGGAGAGGCCTCCGCTCCTGACGCCTCCGCTTCTCCCTCCCCGACAGCAGCGGCAGAAGGAGAAGACGCGCCTGTTCCACCGCTGTGGCGCATGGCGGCTATCAATCGCGCGCGCACCCGCTACGTGTTCCACGCCTACACGAAGCAGCGCACCATCTCAAAAGAAGTGTACGACTACTGTGTCGAGATGCAGCTGATCGACGGCGGGTTGGCGCGGCGGTGGCGTCTGCCCGGTTACGAGCGCCTGTGCTGCACCGCGTGTGGCGTGCCAGGCGCGGCCAGCCTCGCCGCGAACATTACCTCCAAATACGCGTTGAGGGACAAGCAAGAGCGCCGCCTGCCTTCCTCCTCGGCCGCGTCGCTGCATAAGTCGAACGACGAGAAGGCCACGTGTATCTGTCGTGTGCCTGCGGTGCAGCGGAAGAACAGACACTTTGTGGCGTGTGCGGTGTGTGGGTGCCAAGGGTGCTGCTCCGCGGATGTGGCGTCAGAGAAGTCGGCGAGTGAGGAGAAGGACGCGTCGTCGTGAACGGGTACGGACGGAGGAGTTGGGCTTGTTGACAGTTTTAAAAAACAATGGAGGATGACATCACAGCAGCGGTGCACGCATCTGTGAACGTGTCATACAAAAAGGATTTGGCTTTTACGTCTAAAACAAAAACAGATAAATAAAAACGGGTAATGGAGATCATCTTCGCTGGTTCAATCGTCCGCTTTAGCGGTGTGCGTGCTCGCAGCACACGTCTTTCTGGGGCGGTGTTTTGCAAGTCTTCCGTTTCCACACGCGAGACGATGTCAAGACAAGTGAAGAAGCAATTTCACGTTGCCCACGCCGATTCTCTTTCGTATGTCCTGATGCATTTGTGCGTGTGTGTGTGTGTGTGTGTGTGTGTGTGTTTAGGTGATGTCACAGTGTAAGCCTCAAGAGAGAGGGACTGCGACAGATGCATGTATTCCTCCTGGGTCTTCCTCTTCCTCCGCCTCGTTTTTCTCCTCTACCGGCGTCGCAGCAGCCGGCGTTGTGAACGTGCAAGACGCTAAAGCAACACCATCCATTCCGTTGTTTGGTTGTCCCTTCAGGGAATTATCTTTTTTAGGGGGACACGAACTGTAATAGAAAACGAATAAGATAGAGAATCACGTGTTGCAACCGGTCGTGCGGAGACGCCGTCATCCTCCGCTCTGCCCTTTTTGTTTTGTTTTGTTGTTTTGCGATTCCTAACACTTTTCCTTTTCTCTTGGTGGTGGTGTTGTTGCTGCTGCTCTTCTCTTTTGGGGTTTTTGTATTCACCTTCATCCTCCACTGCCCCACCACACCATTGTGTTGAGGCATAGATATATATATATCCAAGGCTCCGTCGCCTGGGCCTTTCTCGCTTTTCTCATTTTGTTGTTGTTTCTGTCGTTGGGTTCCACTCATCACATCTCCGTTGTCGATCCACATCAAAAAGGAAGATTTTACTGCTGCTTTATATATATATGTATATGTTTCCATATTCCATCAACGCTTCTTTTACCTCTAAACCAGCAGGAACGAAAAAAAGCCACGTGCCGGAGAACGAACTCATGACGTCAAAGCCGTTCAGAGAGAGGGAGGTGGAGGTGGGGAATTACTTCGCCCTCACCTACACGGAGCTCTTCAAGGCCCATGTGCTCGATGTGCACCTACCAAACATGCTGATCGGCATTAGCGCCAGCGTGGAGGTGCCGCTGGTGACCATTCTCGGCCGCCGCATTCACGCGAGCTACGCGGAGATCGCGGACTACATCACCGTCTCGGCGCTCAGTCGCACACTGCTCGACATCCCCATTGGCATCATCGTGGAGTACGTCGGGGTGCGCAACGTGATGTTTTGCTGTCTGCTGCTGAACATTACCGCCTCGATCATCGGCTTGCACGTCGTGAACGGCGCGACGCTGTTCCTCTTCTGTATGCTGAGCGGCCTCAGTCTCGGTGGGTTTTTTCTGGCGCGTCACATCTTTGTTGCCGGGATCTCGTCCAAGAAGTATCGCGGGCTGCTCATGTCGACGCTGTCTGGGCTGCTTCGGTGGTCGCACGTTGTTGGCCCCGTTGCCTCCGGGTTCTTTGCGACCTACTGGGGAGACGCGCGGTACTCGTTCCTCTTGTCCGCGCTGACGAGTGGGATTGGCTTCACCACGCTCGCCATCGCCACCTACTCCGCGTCGTACCAACACCTCTGCGAGCGCTCCTGTGCGACGAGTGTCGAGACGTCCGCGATGCCGACGCCGCTGCCGTCAGATGAGGAGGCGGAGCTGCACCACAGCGGCAGTTACGCCTTCGTTCCGCTTGTGCCGGTCGCATTGGCAGAGAACGACGCATACGTGTCGACCCCGCTGTTGCCTCCCCCGATCCAGCCGATACGAACGGCCGGGGCTGCCGGATACGCCAGCAAGGAAAGCACTGCGGGCTTCAACGGTAGTAGTATTGTTAATAGTAACGCGAATATCGGCGTCGCGACGGTGGGGCCGGGCGATCACCCCGTTATTGTAGGCGCCGAGACAAGCGTGACGATCCCCCCGCTCCCGGTCCACCACTTCAACCGCCCCCCGTATCTCCACCTGCACAACAGCAGCAGCTCCGCGCTCAACACCAGCGCTGCCGGCACGGCGTTCGACTTCAGCAACAGCATCACGAGTGTGGCGACGGTGGCCACGCTGCATCCCGACATGGGCGCCAGCCGTATTCATCACTTCGGCGTGCTGACGCTGTGGAGCACGTTTGTGGATTACTGGTCCGTCATTTGGCGCCTCGGCCTCTACGTAGTCTTTGCCACCGCGATGCGGGCGAACCGCAAGCTGCTCATCTCCTTCGCCGGCATGCGGGCGTCGATGACGGACGCGCAGGTGTCGTACCTGATGGGCTTCAGCTTCGTCTTCGATGCGGTTCTCTTCCCTCTCGGTGGGTTGGTGATGGACCTGCTGGGCCGTCAGTTTGCCATGGTGCCTGTCGCCGTCGGCCTCGGCGTCGTCTTCTTCTTCCTCCCGTTTGCGACCACCGAGGTGCACTTGTACCTCGCCGCCTCCGCCTTCGGCATCGTCGACGCGCTGGGCTGCGGCCTGCTCATGACGCTGACGGCCGACCGGGCCCCACCGCGCTACGGCGCCCCGTTCTTTGGCATCATGCGCACGCTGCAGGACTTAGGCCACGTCGTGGGCGCCCGCGGCGTGTCCACGTTGATGCGGTACGCCGGCTTTAACGCGTGTTGCTGGACGCTCACCGCCACCGGCTTCTTCACCGCGGCGTGGGGAGTGTACGGCGTTCCACGCGACAACGATGTGCCGGCGGGGACGCCGCGGCTGGAGCGGGCGGTGTTGGCGCAGGAGCAGCAGGACCGGCGCAAGCGCTCCTCCCTGTCGCAGAGCAGCGAGGAGACGATGCGGCTGACGGAGCCGGTCACGGCGGGTTCGAGACAAGCGAGTAAACTGACGAGCCCACCAACGAAGGGGGCGGCGGCTTCGTACGGTACGACGGTGCCGTCTCAGCCGCGCGTGTAATACTAATGCTAAAGAAGAGAGAATTAAAACGGGAGATACGCTCCGTAGGATTGTTGTGTCGTGGGAGTGAATTTGAAGAACAACGGTGTGTGTGTGTGTGGTGAAGAGGAAGTTGTGTGGGGAGGAGAACGTGGTGGTGGTGGTGGCTGCTTCACGCCTTCCATTAGTCCTTTTTGCGAGGAAGGAAGAGAAGGAGAAAGGAAAAACACGCGGAGACGTGCGATGGAGCATCCACGGGCGATTCCCCACACTAAAAATGTAAATCTATATATCTATATAATAATAATAATAAGGAAGCACAATCGGCCAGCAGTGTGTTGATGTTTGAATGCACACACATACACACACACTCTTTCTTCGGCTTTCCTATCTTTAACACAATCGTGTTTGTTCCTCGTTTGATGTTCGTCTCTCCCTACTCCGATGCAATCCAACTAAATCGCTCCGTACACATGTTAGAAGTCAACTACTCAGCCAATTGAAGAGGAAGCCTTTTTTCCCTTCTGTCTGTTTTCTTGTTTTAGTCCTGCTGTTCCACAAGAAGTGGTGATAGTGGTCGATGTTAAGTGGGAAGTTGATGGAGGGTGCCGTCAGCGTAGGTTGATGCGTTGCACTTATTGCCCTTCTTTTTCTTTTAATTAGTGTTGTTGTCTCTCCCTTTCCTGGGGTGTACTGGATGTTTTTTTCACTGTTAACACGTCTATGTCGATGTATGTGTTTGTGTCTGTGTGTGTGGTTGAAGCGAGTGAGACGAGGGCACGCGTACACTCTCCCATTAATTCGTCCACGAGCACAACTTTGCCTGGGAGAGTTACGCGACACCGTTGGAGCAACACGTGTGTGTGTGTGGTCCTGTCTCTCCTTTGCCAGCTGCAGGCTTCTCTCTCTTCTCCGTTTCCTCTTTTCCTTTTCTTTCTTGTATGTCGCTCAGGCTTTGTTGAATGAAAAGCGAGAGGCTTTCACACCGGCGTTGTGTGCTGTGGCGGTGGGCTTGCCATCTAGGTGAGCCCCCTCCCCCCCCCCTCCCCGACGCTCGCACCTTCTTCGCGCCGCAGCGAACCCCCGCCATGCGTGAGCCGGCCGACGCCTTCTACCTGCGTGCCCCCCGTCAGCGCAAGGAAGAGAAGTAACAAAAGAAAAGGCAATAATCATGAAAAAAAAACAGTCCAGCTACGTCCATGCAGGCACAAGTCATCTACCCGGGTGCTTTTGTTATTATTACTAGTGCGCTGCATCATGCAGCGATGCTCAAGAGGAGAATAACTCAGCCAGTTCTGTGACAAAGACCAACGAGAGAGTGCATTGGCGCGACCCCGCCTTGAAGTGGTGTTGTAAAATCTTACAATTTCAAGCGCTTCTTCTTGATGTCGTTCGTTCTACGTACTTCGCCTATCACTTCGCATTCAGCGCCTCCTTACCTCCTCCCTCCACGCCTCTGTTCGATGCTTTCTTTTCTATATATATATTTCTGCTCGTCTTTGCTGAAGCAGGCGGAGAAGTATCGAGGGAACAGCAAGGAAGAGGGCGGATAGCACGCCTCACCTTTTCCGGGACGGGTTCTGCAGTACACCTCTCTCTCTCTCTTCAACACGCCGCAGTATTGACGGCGTTCTCTTTTGGTGTTGTTAGTATCCCTATTGTGACTATTATTATTTCCCAACGTTAGCCAGGACAAATACACATATATATATATATATATACTTACCTTCACAATGTTGAGTCTCCTGCTGGAGCTTTTCGTCAGTGTCGTGCTGTGCGGCGCGCTCGTCTTCTTCGCCTTTCTCAACGCCCCTGTGGAAGCCGGCACCGGCAGCGACGACGAAGGCACCGCCAGCGCAGTCGACGGCGCCTACGAGCTCGCCCTTCTGCCGCCGCAGGACCTCCCGCTCTTCACGGTGCTCTCCAGGTACGTGGCGCTGGGCGAGGACACCGTGTGCGGCACCGCCTACCGCTGGCTGCTCATGAGCGCACTGCACTACGCCGCGCGGGAGGTCTACAGCGACGAGCACCTGCGCGAGTGGGGCGGCAGCGGCGACGGCGTCGGGGAGACGGAAGTCGAGCGCGGTGCAAGTAGCGAGGAGAAGAGCAACAGCGGTAGTGGCAGTACGGTAGAGGTGGCAGCTCAGCAGCGTCGCTCGCGGAGGCGGCACCGTCGCGGCGGCCCGCCCACCTCCACCGCAGCCCCCATGCCGCTGCGCTACGAGAGCGCGCACTGGGTCAATGTCTTGCTGCGTTGGGCCGCCTTCCTCTCCCTCGGCGGGGGCACCGTGACGCCGGACGTGTGGACCGACCACCTGCTCTTTTACACGGAGCGGGGACTCGCGGCGGTGAACGACGGCTACGCCAAAAAGATGCGAGTGCGGGCGGCACAGACGCGCGTGGTTGCCAGTCAACTGGCTGATGCACAGCAGCAGCAAAGAGAGAGCTCGCCGCTGGCTTTTCATGCGCCGCAGCAGCGCCTCCCGTCCTCCTCCGCCAACGCCGCTGCTGCCTCACCGTTTACCGCGTCCAAATCGGTGGTGCGGGTGGAGTTGCTCGAGCTGGGCGCCGGGCTACTGGGCGGTCCTGCGCGGGAGGTGCGTCGTCCGCAGCTGAGCACCGGAGATGGGCTCTTCCACGGAGTGGGCAGGGGACCCTCTGGAGGGCCGGACGCGTCTGGTCAGCCCGGAAGCTTTTCTCCGTCTCTCTCAGCCAGTCCTACAGCCACAGGAGGCGGGGTCGGTGCAGGTCCATCAGCCGCCGCCGTGAACGCCAACAACCACGCTAATGTTTGCGCCACGGGCAGCACCAACTCCAACAGCCCACCGCTGTCCAGTACCCACTCGACACCGACGCCGAACGCGCAACCGCCGCCGCTTCACACCTCCGCGGGTGTCCTTCTCTCCAGCTCCATGGCGGGCATCAGCAGCGCGCTTGCGGATGTTGTGTCGTCCGCCACGACGGGAAATGCAGGCAGCACGAACCGCAGCTCCGGGGTTGGTGGCGGCGAGGGTGGCGTTGGTGGGAGCGGCGGCGACTACGCCACTGCATGTGGGAGTGGCACTGGGCTGACGATGGCAGGTGCGGGGGCGCAGCTCGGGGTTGTCCTGCCGCGCGTGGAGGGCGATGTGATATCTGTGGAGCAGCCCTACACCAGCGAGGCCACCGCCACCTTCTCCTCTGCTGCTGCTGCCGGGGCAGAGTCCTCTTCTACCAACGTGAAGGCCAACGCCAGTTCGAACAGCAGTCATCGGTCACTGCCGCCTCCCCCGTTGACGCCGCTTCGCTGCTTCGCTGTTCCGCTGCTTTACGAGGACCAGCGCTTCCATCTGCGCCTGGGCTGCTGCCTCCCGCTGGGCGCGCTGCTCCCGGTGTCGCTATGCGTGCCGCCAGACGTCCTCACGCTCGACTGCGCCGTGGCCGTGCGCCGAGTCATCTTCAACGGGCACCTCTACGCCGCCCTGCACGGGCCCCGCGTGGAGCTGAGCTTCCCGGTCGCGCCGCAGTTCACTGCCGTGGTGGAGGTGATGCCGGACTACGCCGGTGGTCTCCGGGAGGCACACATCGGCAACAGCAGTGGTGGGTCCTACAGTGGTCTCCGTAGTGGCGGTGGTGGGGGAATGCCGCCACTGTCGTCCGTGGTGGGGGCAGCACGCACACTTGGCCACACCTTCACTGCCGTCAACACGACGCGTAACGAGACGACCGCCATGCGAGAAGGCGGCGGCGGCGGTCTCCGCAGAAAGGAGCCGAGTCCGCCAGCCCGGCCACCGCTGCCACCCTTCACGCTGTACCCAACCGGCTGTCACCTGAACAGTGGCGGCTGTGGTCTACACGCGACGACGACGACGACGGCGCCAACGACCGGCACGTCGAGCATCAACGAACGGAACGAGAATGTGCAGGAGGTGGTGCTGCTGGCGGTGCGACGGCTTATTCAGTCCCTCACCTATCCCAATGTGCTGGCAGGTGAGCTCGTGTGTGCACCAGGAGGTTATGGGAATGACGATAATGGTGGTGGTGATGGCAGCCCTGCGGGCAGTGCGCTGTCGATGCGGTGGAAGCGCACCTCGGCGAGTCTGCCGCTACGCATGTGAGGGAAGCGAGAGGAGGGAAAAACCAAGAAAAGAAACGGCAGGAGTGTGCGGCGGGGTGTTCATCGGACCCCCCTTCGTGCTGATGTCTTTTTGTTGCTGCGCGATCGGCCGTTGAGCCTTTCCTTTCTTCGTTTGTTTACTCCTCGTCGAAAGCCCGGACCTGGCTGCTGCTAAACCGTATGGCCTCTGTTTGCGACGCCCGTTGCGTCACACAAGCTCTATTTTTCTGACGTTGATGTTCTCTCTACTTCCCGAAGAAGACTCGGACGCGGCAGGACAAGGGTCGATTCTGTGGACCTTCAAGGGTGCTCAGAATGAACACTCCTATTGTGACCCAACGGTCTTCTTTGGCAGTCTCCAGTGCGGGTCTTCCCCCGCGCGGTGCCGCTACGCATTCGGCTTTGCGCTTACATATTTCTACGTAACTCCACCCTCCATCTTGCTCTTTTCTCCTCCCACGTAGCGCACGACATTAACGCAGCGGAAGCACACCCCGTCAAAGCACTGGGGCGGCGGCAACACCGTTCCTGAAGCAACTAGAGATCAACCAAAACAAAAGGTCCAAACGAAGGCTTCCCTTTCCCGCCTGACCGAAGCCCACCTCTTCCTTCTCCATCACGTTATATAGTGCTGCCAGCACACCTCTGTTCACTCGCATAGATCTGTAGAACCAAACACCATCCAATAAGCCGCACGAACGTTTCGACGCCACCTCCGCATAGACGCACATCGCAACGCTGCGATTGCAAGAGTATCACTATTTAGGCAGCGATCTTTGTTTTCTCCTTCTTCCCTCGCTGCCTTTCTTTGTTTATTAATTCGATGAAGGTGTTTTGCCGCTTTGCGCCATCCAACGGCCCGGTATCGGCCCTCGACGTACGCAGCCGCGACGCGCCGCTGCTGCTGCTGCGTGCGGAGGGACAGCCGCTCACCACGTCCGCCACAACCACTACGGGGACTCGCGTGCATCTAGCCGATCCTGTCACCCTCAGCAAGGCAGCCTTCAGCTGCGACGGCGTCTTTCTTCCTCTTGGGACGGCGAAAGACGTATCAGCGCGGCCTCAGGCGCAGCCACCACAGCAGCAGCAGCAGCAAGAGCTGCTCTACACCTCCACATGTCGGTGTTTGCTGGAGTCCGTCGCACCAACACCGGAGCGGGTGTCGCCGTCACTTGTATCCGCAGCGACCGCACGAGGACACGTTCCACGGCGTATTTACCTTGCCTACGGGCAGACCGCCAGCGGCAAGACCTACAGCCTCTTCGGGGAAGCCCCCGCCCGTCAGGGCAGGCGAGACGGTCTTCCTCCTGCCGCCGGTGTGGTGCCGCGCTACCTTTTCGATGTGTTCCGCTCCAGTGTGTTTGTGGATGTGTCATGCTTTGAGGTGTATAATGAGGTGACCACCGACCTCGTCGCGCTCTCCACCACGCTGGCAGCCGCACGAGCCGGCAGCGGCGTGCACCGTGGACGCTGCGGTTCTGCGCGTCAACCAGCAGCGGCGCTTCAGCAGGAGCAGGCGTCGGTGTGGGCGGCCCACCGCCTTTACCACGACGAGCAGGGGGACGGGGAGGATGACTTCTCCGTGCAAAGCATCAGCATCGGTGGTAGTCCTCGCGTTGCACTCACCAATGTGTCCTCGCAGGCCTCGCAGGAGGAGTTCGGCAGTCCATCCGCGGCGCCGTTTGTCAAGACGGAGTATAAAGCGACGGAGAAGCAGCAGGTGTTGCGGTCGGTGGAGCGGGCTCGATGCACGTCCTTTTCGGAGGCGCAGGCGGTGCTGCACGCCCTCCTCACCCTTCGCCGGGAATGCGCGACAAGTCAGAACCAACGCTCCTCGCGCGGCCACCTTGTGTTTCGGGTGGAGGTGTACACGCCGATGGCAACAGCGGAGGAGGACGGGTGGGTGCTGCAGCACGAGACTGCCTTTGTCGACCTCGCCGGCTCAGAGAGCGGACGACTCACAGAAGGTGATCCATCTTCTTTGAACGAACAGTATGTTGCTGCTGCTGCCGCCGCTGCTGGTCACCACCGTCGTCGCGGCCGTTCCTCCGGGCCAGCGTCGCTCCACAATGACAGTCTCCTCTCCACCTCCCGCGCGAGCAGTCAGCACAGTCGCATCTCTCACGAGAGCTCCGTGCACTCCGCCGGGTCATCGCGGCAGAGCACCAGCAGCAACACCAGCAGGGACGGTGTGGCGGCGTATCACCGGTACTTACTGCACCCGCCGCAAGAGGAAGACGGCAGGGCCCTGCGTGCGCGACGCCTGCGCGAGACGCAGTGCATCAACGCGAGTCTGCTGGCGCTGCGAAAGGTGTTTCGAGCCCTCTACGAAGCGACGAAGCTAACTCGGTCATACAACGCGTTGGTGTCGAGGCACGGCGCCGGGCTGCCCAGGCGTCCGCCGCTGCACCACGCGCCCTTTAAAGACAGCGCGCTCACGGCCATTCTTCAACCCTTTCTCCTCCCACAAGCTGCCTCGCCGACGGGCACGCAGGATCCATCGCAGCAGCAGCAGCAACAGCCGAGCACAATGGTAGGTGTGCAAGTGGTGCTACTCGTGTGCTGCTCCAGCTGCTCCGCCGACTTCTACGAGACGGTCGCATCGCTGCGACTGGGGGCGGAGGCGACGGCGGTGAACCCCGAGGTGGTGCTGCGTGCGCTGCCCGTGCAACGACGGGAGCAGCAGCAAGAAGAGGATCATCGACTGAATGTGTTGAAAGTGCAGGGCGACAACGGTGGTGGTTTTGGTGAGGCACGTCGCTCGCGGAGGACAGCGGCAGGACCGCAGCCCCTCTTTCGCAGCGCATCGGCGCCCAATCGACCACTGCTGTTGCTGTCAGAGTCAGCGGGGGCGCCGTACGCCGTGGATGAACACGCAGGCGGCAACCGCTACGATGACGACGACGGAGACGCAGCATCCGGGCAGCGAAGAGCGGACAGCAGCAGCGATCTTCGTGGTAAAGGGAAAGGGAAAGAGATGTGGGGTCCACAACGCACGTCAGCAGCAGCAGCTACAGTACCGGTGCCACAACCGGCAGGCCACACGCATGGCAGCGGCAAGAGTTGTAGCTGTGGCTATGTAGAAGAAGTGACGCAGCTGCGGGAGGAAGTGCAGCGCTACAAGGGCACCGCACAGCAGCTGTACAAGCAGTGCAAGTCCCTCTGCGAGAGCTACGACGAGTGCGTGGAGGAACTGGGGAAGTGCCGCGCCGCGGTGGCTGCAAAGGATGCGCAGATCGCAGAGCTGAAAAGGCGACTGGCCTCCGCTGTCGACGTGACTGGTCCGTGTCGAGCCGCACGCCTCGACTCTCCTCCGCCCCCTCCCCTCCCCTCTCCCCTCACCAAACACAGCAACGCTACGAGGGAAGTACCCGCCGGGCCGTCTACGCCGACAAGGAACGATGCCCTTGTGCCGCCGCCCCGTGGGACGGAAGGATCGTCATCGCCGGCTGCACGGTCGCCGGGGTGCTCCTCCAACGTCGCACGCTCAAAGCAGCAGCTGCGGCAGGAGGAACCGCTTTACGAAATGGGCCGCATCTCACGGGAGGCCGCGACAGCCGGACGAACCGCCGGCGCGCAGGCAGCAGTGGGGACAGGAACGAGATCGGAAGGGCGAGGGACGACAATAACAGCGGCGTCAGCGAGACCTTCGCGGTCTCGCGGGATGACGAGCTCCACTGCGCGGGAGGAAAGCGCGCGTTGTTTGGTGAGTCTCTCGCCTTTCTCCACTGCATCTGTAACAGCTGTTGCTGCTGCATCTTCCGCGTCTGCTGCCGTGGCCGGGGAGGCAGCGGAGGAGCGCGAAGATGAAGCAGCTGAAGACGAGCCGGAAGAAACGGAAGGCGCAGACGAGGCGAAGAGGTCACGCGAGCGCAGTGCGGAGGATGACCTTGATGTTCCTCCCTCCTCTTTCTCTAGTGTGCACGCAAACCCTTCCGCGTTCGACGGTTCGTCGAAAGGAAAGGAAAACGCTCAGGATGTCGACCGGAGCACGATACACGCAAGACAACAGCAGAAGGCGCGTTCCATCATGAACGCCCTCCTCGCACGGCAGATTTTTCCTCTCGCGGAGCCACACGCCACCGCTTTGCCTTCCGCTCCCGCTCGTGAGAACTCACCCTCGCCGCTGCTACCGACGCTTACGGCCCACGGCACCACCGCCACCACCCCCGCAAACACGGCGAAGGGACCGCTGCAGTCAGTGATGATAAATTCTTCAATAAATCCACCGTGTCCATCCTGCCGCAACGCGCGCTCCTCGACATCCGTGCCGGTGCACGTCGGCAGCAGTGGCGCCACCGCCTCGTCCACGACCGCGTCGGAGGAGGCGCAGCGCAGTTCGAGCGGTGAGGGACGAGTAATAGAAGTTGAAGTTGAAGACGCGACGGCGGCGGTTACCGTGCTGGAGCAGCGTACGCCGTCTGTGAAAGACAGCGAATCGGCTGGTCGTGTTGCTCAAGCAGCAGCAGCAGCAGTAGTTGCAGTCGAAAGGGCGATGCCAACAAACGGTAGCCGTCAACCACAGGAGAGCGCAGCTTGCTCTTCTCTTCAACTGTCAGCTGACGTCCAGCAGGCCGGTTCCCGTGCGTCTCGAAGTCCCACCACGTCTGCCCAAGTCACCATCGTCTCAATGGACCGAGGCGAGGAAACCCGCTGCACCGAAAACGAAGCGTTGCGAGAAATCGTCATCGCCTTTCCTGGGAGTCCGGCGGGCCGCGCCGCGGTAAACTCGCAAGGCAGCACGCGGCGTTCGAGGAGCACCGTTTACGCCGCCCTGCTGCCGCCGTCGCCAAGCCGCAGCCCCGCTGGCAGCCGCTCGCCGTCCTTAGATGCGGCTCCACCAAGCACCTGCGACGTGCTGCAGTTGTGAGTCGTGCCGACATATATTGGAAAGGGAAAGGTGAATGGACGTCAAGTAGATCAGCAGCGGCTCTCCTGTGTGTGTGCGTGTGTGCGTGTGTATAAAGAGAGAAAGAACGATTGCTGCCGTCGCGCCGTAGATAGAGTCAAGAATTCGCAATGAATTGCAATAACGCAACTCCAAAAACATGAGAATCGAAAACAAATGCGCTCGCGGAGGACTCCGTCCTGTTGCTGCCTTTCCAGCTGCGTTCATCCCCCTCGCTTGCTGGATCGCGACGAGATCTCGCCACAACCGATTTCCTCCCTCTCCATCACCGCTGCTCCCTTCGTGCTGTCTTTTCGTTTTGACTTGATTGTGTCCTTCTTTCTGCAGCGCTCATACACAAAGCCTGCGCTTCACTCCGGGCCCGCGTTAACGCTCATCCGCGGCGGTTTTTATGATTCATAGCAAACACGCACACGCAAAAGTCATGACCTTTGTCTTCGAGGCGTGCGAGCTGCCCTTCGATGCTGTCACGGAGGCTTACGCCCGCCACCTCGATGACCTCCTCCCCACCCACGACCTCACGCACCTACCGCTGTGGGACCGCTGCATGCTCGCGGCGGTACTGCCGGTGGTCTTACAACGAGGGCAGGCAGTTGTGGGGGTGGACCCGTCGGGGCGGCAAGACGCATCCAGCAGGAATAATGGTAATAGTAATAATAACAGCAGGGAAGAGGCCGATGCCTGTGCGTCTGCGCACGACGGCGGCGACGTCGCGGATGCCGCGGCGGATCAGCAGATTGCGTCTTCGCAGCGGAATGCGCTGCGCCGACCGGACTCGCCCTCCGGACTCCCCGCGGCAGCGGCGACGCTTTCGGATATTGAAGTTGCGTTGATCATCGTACGTCAGCTAGATGAGCTGGAGGTGGTCCACGACACCATTGTGAGTACACGCAAAGCCCAGCAATCTACCGCAGACGAGCTGACTGCTTCTGATGCTGTCGGTACCCGTCAGCCGCAGAAAACGTCGGAGGATATTATGATTGAGCAGCTCCTGCAGGAGCGCTTTAGTGAAACGGCGCCTTTCCTTCCCGACAGCGACGACGAAAGCGGCGAGCGGGCGAGTGAAGCGGACGCAAGCGTGGTGGACGTCGCGATGTGCTTTACAGCCAATGGGGAGAGTTTGGGGATTGGGTCGTCTGCCGTGTTTGGTGGCCACGGCTACCATCCTTGATGGCGTGTAGGCGATGGGTACTGGTGCGATGTACTCGATGGTGGCTCTTTACATTATTATTGTACTTATATACTTTTTTTTTTGCGTAGTCTGCGAACTGACGACTTCATGAAGCTCTTCTTTGACAAAGAAGGTCAGTGAAGGGAGGACAGAAGGCGTTCAATAGAGCAGAACACTTGAGTGGCTGGGCTTTGATCGCCTCCAACGCGCGTTTACGCATTACGTGTCTTTGCCATGCCGGTGTCCTTTCCGTGTCGCGGCATCGCGTGCTTCTTTACCTTCCTCACTGTCCCCGCCTCGTCAACTCAATCCTTCTCCACACCAACAACAACAACAATGAGAAGAAGCAGCTACTACTTCAGCCTGCATTACCTGTCGTATTGCTGTTACCATCACTACGGTGGTGTCGTCTGATTGGTGCGTCACGCAACGCAGGTTGGTGCCATTGAGGTCTCTCTCTCGCTCTAAGTATATTCTACGAGAGTCTACAAAGAGGGAAAGGGGTGTGCAACGAGCTTGCTTATCTTTCTTCCGCGGGTGCCACTCAGCTGTCGCCCCCTTGCGTGTGCGCTCTTACGCCTGACCGGTGAGCCTTACTAGCACAGCTGCTGTTTCTAAAGGAGACAGAAGGGAAATAACCACTGGGCAGTTCGAGAAGAAGGCGCGAAGGAAACGAACAGTAAGCGAAGACTCAAAGAGCAGCGGCGCGTCATCGCCGACGCCTTTGACGGGTTTGTTTTTCTTGTTGTTGGCGGTGAAGACACACAGAGCAAAAAAAAAAGGTCGGTTCCACGGCAGGCCTTCTCCTTCCCTTCTCTCCCGTGCGAATGTACGGGGCGCCGACGTGTTAGCGACCGTCCGCTCTTTCTGTCGTTGTTGTTTGGCACATGAGGGGCAATGAGAGAGAGAGAGAGCGAGAGAGCAAACAAACAAAACAAACATACTCTCCCCTCTCCTGCCTTTTGTTGATGCAGACGTCCTCTTCGCACTCCTCCTCCCTCGCAGTAGCGAACGGCCGCGCTGACGAGGTGGACGGCGCTGACCGCGTCAAGTCGGTCGTGGTCGTTGATGTAGACGAAGAAAGGGAAGGGATTGCGGCTGTCGGCTGCAGCAGCGCGAAGCTTCGTCACGACGGCAACAGCAATGGTAGCAGCGCTGGCTCGCCCCTGACGCCCAGCACGGTGGAAAGCGGTCCCGAGGATCCCACACCTCAGCAACCTCAGAGCGGGCGACAACAAGTGCAGCGCAGCCGCAACGCAGCAGATGCGCAGCCGTCCTCCAGCGCGCCACCCTCGCAGCAGGGAGTCCTGACGACGTCTTCCATGGTTTCACCCAGCTCCGCTTCTAGCCCAGTGGACACAAGGTCACACGTTCTTCGTGTGGATCTGTCTGCTGCCGGTGGCGGTGCCCTTGCGCCGAGGCGGCTTGCACGCACCTTACACCTGCAACCTGCCTCCGCCCAAGGCCCGTTCACCGCATCGTTCTCGTCGCCATCAATGCCGCCGCACGCTCAAGGAGAGCAGAACCCAACGCAGCCGGCGGAGGACGCTCCCCCGGCAAAGCGGCTGCGCCTGTCGCTCACGACAGCAGCAGCAGCGGCAGCGGCCACCACCACGACCACCGCACCGCCTTCGACGGCATTTGTAGACCCCCACGAGGCGCCCACCGCTGTCAACTCCACTGGACGGAGACGTGTGCTGCGCCTCACACCCGCTGTCACCGCTTCGGCCTCCATGGCGGATGTCCGTCGCCACGCACCGCTGGGGGCCTCCCCGCCGGTGGAGGCGAAGGCGAACGATGAGCAGAGCCGGCAGAATGAGAAGGACACGCAAGCGCTCAGCTGCAGCTCCACCGCCGTCACGGTCGCAGCCAACCCTACAAACACGGACGGTATTGTGGCTGCTTCCGTAGATGTTCCTCCTGCCACTGTTGCTGATGTGACTGTTGCTGCGACGGCCTCAGCGCCTGCCCCTTCTCCACACCCGCCCCCGTCCACTGCTGAGGGGCCGACGCGACCGACGCCTATTCTCATTGACGCGAGTCCCCCGCAAGAAGAAGGTGCCGGCAGTGCTGTGATGGCAGCAGGAACGAATGCGCCGACGGCCGAGGCTTCCCCACATCAACGGCAACAGCAGCAAGTGTTGGTGCTGCCGCAGCCTTCCTTCTCCTCCGTCGCGACGACGACGGCGGGCAGTCCGTCAGGGGCAGCCGGGGGTTCCATCTTCCCCCGTCTGCGCTCCCTCACCCCGCAGCCCTACGCCACCACACAGGGCTCCCCACGACGGCGCCACCGCTTCGTGAACGTGAACCTGCCCTCCGCCCCACCCCCGCCGCAGACGGAGCTCTTCCGCACCTTCCAGCGCACCGTGCGGGATGTCTACGACGTCCACGAGCGGCTCAGCGAGGGCACCTACGGGGAGGTGTTTAAGGGAGTCGACAAGCGCACCGGGGCGCTGGTGGCCCTGAAGCGCTTGAAGACGCTCAGCTCGCACCAGGGCTTTCCGCAGACGTCGCTGCGGGAGGTCATTGCGTTGCGGCACATTCAAAACCAGCGCGAGCGCCTCGAAGCGCGGCAGCGGCAGGGCGGTCCGGCGAAGGCGGCCGTGTCCGACCCGCTCGCTGAAGTCGCCCAGCTCTGCGACGTGCTCGTCTTTGACCGTCAACAGCCGGACATCGTCCTGGTCTTTGCCTACGCCAGCGCCAGCCTCGCCGGTCTGCTGCGGCGGCAGTTCATCTTCTCCCCCGCAGAGCTGGCGTACGTGATGAAGAAACTGCTCACTGCGGTGCGCAAGCTGCATGAGATGTCCATCATCCACCGCGACATCAAGTCGGACAATGTCCTCCTTACGAGCGACGCGGAGGTGCAGCTGACGGACTTCGGCCTCTGCTCCATCGTCGGTGCTGGCGGGGTCGCCGCGTGGCGCACTCCCAGCGTCATCACACTGGCCTACCGACCGCCAGAGATGCTGCTGGGCAGCACCGCCTACGATGAGAAGGTGGATGTGTGGTCCGTGGGGTGTTTGCTGGCCCAGCTCTACCTCTACGAACCGCCGTTTTATCGCCACCGTGCGCTGCAGCGGCCAAATCAGCCAGGACAACCGCAGCAGCAGCGCACGGCGGCAACGGAGTTGGAGCAGCTGTCCCGCATTACGGAAGTGCTAGGCCCGCTGCCGCCTGTCCGGGTATTTCGCCCAGACGCCTGTCAGCACATGCGTGTGTTGGAGCAGCTGGAGCAGCAAGGAAAGCTGGCGGAGGCCGGAAAGGCAGCCCAACCCGCCAACTGGGGAAAGCTGCAGAGCCTCTTCGAGCCTAGCTTTCTGTACCAGCAGTTCCACGGCTTCCGTGGCTGGTTCGAGGCCGAGGTGCAGCGGGCACGGCACCAGCCCCCGCCGCGGCGCCCCAGTCAGGCTGCGTTAGATGTCCTGTGTGCTGCCCTGCAGCTGGACCCGCAGCAGCGGCCGTCGGCGGCGGAGCTGCTGCGCATGCCGTACTTCACCACCCTGGATGACGCCCCGCTGCTGGGGGCCTACCAGCGCCCTTTGGCCGTTACACCCGAGAGGGAAGAGGAGGTGCGGCGGGGCCTCGTGCTGAAGGTGCAGCGCTGCGGGGACAGCCACACGCAGCGGCGGCCGCACTAATAGCAAATAGGTATCTCGTGCCGCGAGAGGGAGACTCGTTTTGTGGTGGTCGGCTCGCCGTGTTCCCCGTCCCTCGGGGTGTGTTTTGGTTGTCTTTCGAGGCGTCTGCATGGGCCACGGCACTCCGTCGGTTCTTTCTCTGATGTTGTTTGTGGTGCCGCTGACGTCTCACATCGGTGACATATACATATATGGAGATGTATGCACGCGGCGGAGATGAGAAGCCCGCATCGAGAGCTTGGTGCGGTGAAAGTAATAGCTGGTGCCGAGCGGGGGAGGTGGAGGGGTGTGTGCTTGCCTGTCGCCTCTCACCCGGCAGCCACTTTCTCTGTCTTGGTGCGCATTCTGTTCTGCCTTAGCTCAAATCTATCAACAACCTTAAAAAGGAAAAACACTGGAAATCACCTCGTATCTGCATGGGAGAGAATCCCACGAACTCGTCCAGCGATGGCACATGATAAAAACGTGTTCTTGTTACTCTATGGCATTTAATGTAGCCTTCAACGTCACTTTGCTGCAGAGGCCTTGAAATTCTCAAGAAAGCGTCGGTGTCAACCCCTCATCGAAGGCGGTGTCTTTCATTACTTGTACCGAAGCTTTCACCGCCTCACTCCTCTCCCGCTGTCCTTCTTTCCCTTCTTTCCGGCTGCTTTTGATGGTCACGCGCACACATCCAGGTGCACTCCACGGCTGATAGCACGCAGAACCCACTCCCCCCTTTCCTCAGTAGAGGTGCATTACAAACACTGCCAGGACAGGGCACATCTGTTGTTTTCCTCACCGTCGTCATCGTCGTCGTCGTGGTAGCCGCGGACCCATTTCTTCTTGTTGTTTTCCTTCTGCATCGGAGTGAGTGTGTGTTAAGCGTGGTTGGGTAGAGCATTTGGGCTTCTAATTGTGCGGTGGCGTGCTTCACGAACGTTTTTTTCTCTTTCTCCCCCTCTACGCCTGTTGCTGCTGCTCTCTGAACTAATTTCATATCAAGATACATTTTTTGCCGTTTTTTTGCTGTTGCTTTTTTCATGAATTATTCCTTCACTTGTCTGAGTAACTTTCGCATGTATTATCTTCTCTCTCTCTCTCTCTCTGTGTGTGTGTGTGTGTATACATCACTCTTCTACACAGCCCGTTGTCGAAGCACACGCGATTCATCCGTCGCCGTTGGCGTTGTTCGCTGCGTGTTGGGGAGGGCCATTTGCTGTGGCGCTGCGCTCCTGCTATTAATTCTTTTATACCTGCTCTGGTGTGTTCTGCCTGGTGACGTCTTCACCGCTTTCTTCTCTCTTACGGTTCCACACAACAGTGTAAATATTAAGAACTTTATATACACGTGTGTTTGGTGGGAGCGGCAGACTTGTTTTGGGGTCTGTGCACCGTTTTCTTATTATTATTATTCTCGTTTCTCATATCTCTTCTCCAATTCCTTTTTTTTCCTATAATGCTGCAGGACGCAAAGCTGACCCCCAGCGGCGTCGCCCGCGCCCGCGCCACATCCACGCAGACGCGCATCTACGTCCTGATTGTGGGCTTTGTGCTCACGCTGCTGCTCATCTTCGCTGCCGTTTTCACTCCGCTGATCGTCCTCAAAAACGAGGACGCCGCCTACGTGAGCAGCGTGTCGAGACTCGAGCAGCAGCTGGCCAGCGCGGCGGTTGTCCCCTTCCGGCAGGCCATCGCGAACGCCTCCGTCATCACGAAGGCGCTGCAAGGGTACGTCCTTAGTCGAGCAACGACGCTGCCACGCCTGAACACTTCCGCGCAGGCCCGCATGGACTCGCAGCGCGGCAGCTTCAACGACTTCGACGCGGTGGTGCCGACGATTGCGAGACAGGTGGCGTTTATCGCGATGGTGGTCCTTCAGCCCGGCGGGGTGTATTCCATGATATGGCCCGCGGGATCGAGCTTGGCGGGTCGGGATGTGATGCTGCCCACGGATTACGCCCATAACTTCAGTCCCACGCCGCAGGACACACTCCGCGGCGGGGAGGTGGCCTACGTTGGTCCTTTTTTCTCCTCCATTGAGGTAATGAACGGTATCTGGATCATGGCGGTGCGACGTCCCGTCTACAGCCGAACCGACACAAAGGCCCCGATTGACCTCGACACGTTCTGGGGCTTTACGCAAACGGTGGTGAACATCAGCGATGTTTTGGCCAAAAACCCTTTCAACTTCAGCAACTACATCAACGGCAAGCCGCAAACCGTGCACTACCTCCTCACCACTAGGGCCAAGAACACAGACAGAAGAGTCGTTGTGGCATCGTCGCTTTCGGATACGAGCCCGGAAGCCGTGGAAGAGTTTGTTGAGCACGGCACGAGCGTCATGGTGATGCCGAATCATTACTTCATGATCACCGTGCTGGGCCGCGACTACGGCAAGTGGTTCTCCGCCAACAACATCACCATTATCGTGGCCACTGCCACCGCAGGCCTGTTCTTCATCTTCGCGGTCTTCGTAGCGCTACTACTGTACTGCACGCAGACCTACGATGGCACCGTGCACGCCCCGAAACTGGCGCCCTTCGCCATACTGACCGTTGGCCCATGCCGCGGCGAGGAGCTGTGGGAGCTGGCGCCGGACGAAATGGCTGACGTGGCGGAGCGGCTGAGCCAGCTGCTGACGTCGCAGATGCAGCGGCACCACGCCTACCAGATCCAGCAGGTGCACCCCCTCACCACGTCCTACGTCACGCGCGGTGTGGCGGCGGCGGTGCAGATGGCCTTCGACGCCATCGAGGAGCTGCACCGCCACCCCATCGACGCCGCGCTGCAGCGCCTGCTGGGCGACGACGGCTGCCTGCTGGTGTCCTACGCGGTGCACTGGTGCAACGACGCGGTGGTGCGGCTGGACCCGATGGAGGGCGGCTACCGCTACGAGGGCCCGGACGTGGTGTACGGCGGCCGCATGTGGGCCTTCGCCCCGCCGAGCGTCGTGACGGCGTCGGAGGCGGTGGCACAGGCGCTCCCCCGCTTCGGCCTGTGTTGCGTCACCGCCGAGCCGTACCGCCGCGTCAACGTCGTGCGCTCGCGCTGTGCCTGCGGCGCCACCGGCGACTGCGACATGAACGGCAGCAGCGGCGACAGCAGCGGCAGCGGCACGGCCACCATCTACGTCCCCCTCTCCGCGCCGACCACCGTGGCGGCGACGGCGGGCATGTGTCGCGGCGGCGGCGGCGGTGGTGCCGCGCTGTACCGCCTCACCGCCATGGCCCGCGACACGGACAACGACAAGGACACCCCTCTGCCCCCGCAGATGCTGCTGACGCTGGTGGACCCGCGCCGCCCGGTGCTGATGGCTGCCAGGGCCGCCGCACAGGCACACGCCTCGCACCGCCACCGCTGGCCCCTCTCCATGTCCCTTCCCAACGTCGCGGACGCGGAGGCGCACTCGCCACATCCCGTGCACGAGGTCGTAGCGGGCTCCGGCGCGGTGGCGAGGCGTGAGGCCGGGAGCCAAAACCCGCTCTGTGGCGTGCGCATCGGCGGCTCCTTCCACTCCAGCGAGGAGGAGATGATGGAGGCCACCTCCAGTGCGGTGCCTGGGTCGTCGTTGCCCAATTTCGGCTCCTCGTCATCCGAGGTGGGGGTCTCTGGAACCACGGCGGTAGAGCGCGTCTCGCTTGTGATCCAGGGCGACGGGGTCACGCGTGCGCTGCTGCGGCCCGTCATCCCGCACGCCCTCGACGTCGCCCTGCACGTCGCCTTCGACTACCAGGCCATCACCCTCGGCATGAGCTACAACTCGATGCGGGTGCTCGTGTACTACTTCTACTCGAGCTACAAGATTCTCTTCCGCCCGCTGGCGGCCCCGGAGCGGCACAACATCTACCGCCGCCTGGTGACTGCGTTTGGGGTGCCGCAGCAGGGCATCCTCGAGCACCTCGCCGCGCGGTGCGCCATCCGCTGCCTGCAGCACAGTTCCAAGCAGCGGCAACTAACAATGTCGAGCCGCTGTGCGAGCTGCAACGTGGGGGCGGTGTTGACGCCTCCAGGGGAGCACGCGTTAAGAGATAGTAAAGAAGGGTTAACAGAGTGAATGCACCGCTGGGTCTTTTACGTCTTAAATGGAGAAATCGTAAAGGGCTTAGGGTGTGAGTATGTGTGTCTGTACGTGTGTATGTATTTAGTCTGCACATGTGAATGTTTTTTCCTTGTTTTAACAAATATAAAACATTTGCTGGTGCACCTCGTTGATATCGGTGGGATGTGTCGCGTTCGCAGACTCATTTTGTTTTGTGTTTGAAGGGGTTTTTCTGGTCTCTGCTTTGTTCTTCCCCGTCGTCTCCGCTGGAGGCGAGCACTCTTTTCCTTCTCTTCTGGTTCTTCTCTTTCGTGCTTCTTCTTCTTCCCCCGTCTTTGCGACGTTCGGTGGGATGTACGTCCTTACCGTCGTCGCAAGATTGCCTTCTTCTATATATATATATATATATATATATTTATATACATTTACATATATGCGCTCCGACGCCGTCGGCGAGATTTCTTCTGCCGTAAAACGCATTCATTACCCTCATTTAGTCCCATGTGTATGGATCTTAACTGGACTCTGCTGTATTGCTTCTGCGATCGTTTCTTTGCCTTCTTTTTCCTTTCTCTTTTGTTTTTACGTTTATTGTTGCCACAACGGCAGTACGTTGGGTGCCTTCTTAATGGTAAATGTATTTATATATATTTATTTATAGTAAGTAGCTTTCTTCGTTGGCGTTGTTGCCGTTTCCCTACAGTGCTTCCTGGGTGACGGTGTTTGTGTCTGTCTGTCTGTCTGTGTGTCTTCTACCATGACCGCTATCATTACTACTACGAACTACTCTCTGCGCCGTCAGCCAAATAGGTGCGACGAGCGGAGGTGAAAGGGAAATACCCCCCCCCCTTCACTCGAAGCGCGTTGAGGCATCTCAAAATACGTCGTGGCGGCTAACCCAAGATTGTTTACGCCTGTGTGGCTGCATTAACTCCTGCGTGTGCGTGCGTGTGCGTGTGGCTTTTGTTTCTCCCCCATATGATTCTCTTTTATTCCTTTGTAGTCACCTGCACTAAAAATGCGTTGATCGTGTGGACGCACGGCTTCTAGAACAAGAAAAGGAAGGAAAGAAAAATAGATGCTTCCCCAGCGCGTACGGCGCGTCACGTCTTGCGGTCGGCCTGGGCACTGCTGCTGCGGACCATCCACACGCACTGTTCAGCACCGAGTCCCTTCGGCAGGCCGCTTTTCGTCCAAAAGCGGCTTCCCACATGGTGGCCACGCGCAGCTGCGTCGTGTTCCACTCGCCTGTGGGTTGGCATCCTATTTTTTGTTATTTGCCCGGCTTTTTACCGCCCGGTAGTCGTGTCCTCCCCCTCCCCCTCTGCCCTACATGCAAACGCGATATGCGCCTCCGTTATTGTTGGCGTGGTGTGGCGGAAGTCGCTACTCGGCTGCGAAGCTGGTTCGCTGTTCCTTTTTGAGTGTTGTTTGACACGGTCTACTCCGATCCCTCCCCCCCCCCCCTTTTCTCTTGTTTCATCGTCTCATATATAAACCGGTGCATCAACACCTTTCATACACTCATCTAACTGTTTCCCCCTCTTAATTCATATTTTCTTTAACACTCTGTAGAGTGTAAAACACCTCTCACGCAGGTTATAGCTCTCTTCTCTTCCTTTATTTGTTGTTGTTGTGGTTGTTGGTTTCACAGCTGAGAACGTTCTCCGCGTGTGTGGCCATCAAAGGCTGTGCAGAGACCACCACCGCCCCTTTCTCTCACACCTCTGTGTATGCTATCGTGAAAAACAAAACATCTTCGTCGTTCCTATTGTTAATAACTGCTCCTTTTAGCCCGTTGGATCCTATCTCTATCTCTCGCACACACACGCTCACACATACGCACAGATCTATACGGGGACATAATTTTTCTTTGGGGGAGGTGTATCACTCACCATACATAACTCTATGCATATTCCCTGCTTTGTCTCCTTTGTTTTCTTCTCTTTCCCCTCTTCGCACAAGCCGCTCCCGCTTACAGCGCGACTTGTCTGCTTCCGCTAACGTATCTTTTACGCTGATGAGTGTCGTCCCCAACGACAACACCAACAAACACAAAACAAAATAAAGCGTTCAGTTGATGACGATGTATGTTTGTTTGAGTTCTTCTATTATCCTATTATTATTATTTATTACTACTAGTATTACTTTCGCGCCGCGTCAACTCCTCTCTCTTTAACACGGCGTTGCGCATCACCTCGCCGAGGGAGAACCCTAGAAGCAGGCCTTTTTTTTTCTCCTCGGCATTTGTATCACGTACTTTCTGCGGTAGGGCTGTGAAGAGAGAACCCGCCCCCCCCCCTCCCTCTCTCTCCCTCTCTCCCGTTGTGCGTCAGAGCTCAACGGCTAACTACCACCGTCTTTTTTTCTTCTTTTCTTGTTTTCAATACGTGTGTTTTTGTGTGTTGTTCCCTTTATTCTATTGTTTTTTTTTTTGTTTGAGTGAAAAGGAGAAGGGCGGAAAGATGATGAGCGACCGCAAATACACGGGCCTGGGTGGCGTGCATCTCCGGCCACACTCCACGCAGGTCCGTATTTATTGCTTCATTGTCGCGTCCAGCGCGTGCCTCCTCGCTGTCGTCGCCGCCATCTGCATTCCGCTGATCCTCTTCCAGAACATGGACAACGACTACATCGCGAACATCGCGACTGTGGAACAGGAAATGGCCTACGAGGCCGCGAAGAGTCTGAGCGACTCCACCATGACCGCCTACTCCGTGACGCAGGCGCTGGAGGGCTACGTGATGAGTCGCATGCGCAGCCTTCCCAACATGTCCCTCCCGCCCATACCGCGGGTGCGAGCGCAGAACTTCTCTGACTTCGCCTATTTCGCCTCTCTGCTGCTCGAGAACACGGAAAACATCGTCACCGCCATGCTGGTCCCGGGTGGGGTGCGCACCGAGATGGCGCCGATCATGCAGGAGACCTACATGCTGGACATGTTTGACGAAAAGGATTCGGCCCAGCTTTTCGTGCCGACCCCGCAGCAGTCGGTGAAGGACGGGAAGGTGGGGTATATCGGCCCCATCCTTTACGCCGGGGACTACAAGCCCCGCTTCTGGGCCCTGGCGGTGCGACGGCCTGTCTTCCGCTACAGCGAAGACAACACGAGGAGCTGGCGAAACTTCTGGGGCTTTACGCAAACCCTGCTGAACATCAGCGCCGTGTTGGAGCAGCGGCCCTTCGAGATGGCGCAGCAGAAGCAGTCCAAGAAGTACCAAGGACTGGACTACGTGGTGACAGCGCTCAACTCACGAACCGGCAAACTGGAGCTCATCGAGTCGTCCATTAGCCACCCCACACAAGACGAACTCGAGAAGTTCGTGGAGCAAGGCAGCAGCATCGCGGTGACGCCCAAGTACCCATTTATGATCACCGTGCGAGGCCGCGACTACGGCAAGTGGTTCTCCGCCAACAACATCACCATTATCGTGGCCACTGCCACCGCAGGCCTGTTCTTCATCTTCGCGGTCTTCGTAGCGCTACTACTGTACTGCACGCAGACCTACGATGGCACCGTGCACGCCCCGAAACTGGCGCCCTTCGCCATACTGACCGTTGGCCCATGCCGCGGCGAGGAGCTGTGGGAGCTGGCGCCGGACGAAATGGCTGACGTGGCGGAGCGGCTGAGCCAGCTGCTGACGTCGCAGATGCAGCGGCACCACGCCTACCAGATCCAGCAGGTGCACCCCCTCACCACGTCCTACGTCACGCGCGGTGTGGCGGCGGCGGTGCAGATGGCCTTCGACGCCATCGAGGAGCTGCACCGCCACCCCATCGACGCCGCGCTGCAGCGCCTGCTGGGCGACGACGGCTGCCTGCTGGTGTCCTACGCGGTGCACTGGTGCAACGACGCGGTGGTGCGGCTGGACCCGATGGAGGGCGGCTACCGCTACGAGGGCCCGGACGTGGTGTACGGCGGCCGCATGTGGGCCTTCGCCCCGCCGAGCGTCGTGACGGCGTCGGAGGCGGTGGCACAGGCGCTCCCCCGCTTCGGCCTGTGTTGCGTCACCGCCGAGCCGTACCGCCGCGTCAACGTCGTGCGCTCGCGCTGTGCCTGCGGCGCCACCGGCGACTGCGACATGAACGGCAGCAGCGGCGACAGCAGCGGCAGCGGCACGGCCACCATCTACGTCCCCCTCTCCGCGCCGACCACCGTGGCGGCGACGGCGGGCATGTGTCGCGGCGGCGGCGGCGGTGGTGCCGCGCTGTACCGCCTCACCGCCATGGCCCGCGACACGGACAACGACAAGGACACCCCTCTGCCCCCGCAGATGCTGCTGACGCTGGTGGACCCGCGCCGCCCGGTGCTGATGGCTGCCAGGGCCGCCGCACAGGCACACGCCTCGCACCGCCACCGCTGGCCCCTCTCCATGTCCCTTCCCAACGTCGCGGACGCGGAGGCGCACTCGCCACATCCCGTGCACGAGGTCGTAGCGGGCTCCGGCGCGGTGGCGAGGCGTGAGGCCGGGAGCCAAAACCCGCTCTGTGGCGTGCGCATCGGCGGCTCCTTCCACTCCAGCGAGGAGGAGATGATGGAGGCCACCTCCAGTGCGGTGCCTGGGTCGTCGTTGCCCAATTTCGGCTCCTCGTCATCCGAGGTGGGGGTCTCTGGAACCACGGCGGTAGAGCGCGTCTCGCTTGTGATCCAGGGCGACGGGGTCACGCGTGCGCTGCTGCGGCCCGTCATCCCGCACGCCCTCGACGTCGCCCTGCACGTCGCCTTCGACTACCAGGCCATCACCCTCGGCATGAGCTACAACTCGATGCGGGTGCTCGTGTACTACTTCTACTCGAGCTACAAGATTCTCTTCCGCCCGCTGGCGGCCCCGGAGCGGCACAACATCTACCGCCGCCTGGTGACTGCGTTTGGGGTGCCGCAGCAGGGCATCCTCGAGCACCTCGCCGCGCGGTGCGCCATCCGCTGCCTGCAGCACAGTTCTAAGCAGCGGCAGCTGGTTACGCAGCGGCGTCAGCCAGAAACGATGATCTCCACCGTTGACATGTGGGAAACGCCGCTTCCGGGTATTGCTGCTCGACCGCTTCCGAGGAAGTTGCAGAAGTTGGAGTAGAGCGATTCTCGCGCCTTTTATCACTCGTGTATGGTACGTATGGGGGTTGTTTAACGGTGTACTCGGTTTAAACATATATATATATATATATATATATATATAAACATATATACATGTGTGTGTGTGTATGTTGGAGTCTGGTGTTGTCGTGCGTGGTAGCGCGCATGCGCTGACGGTGGCCCGGACTCGATGTTTTTCCTTTCTGTTGCTCTTCTCCTTCGCTTTCGCTGTTCTTGGTTGTATCTCATTACGGGCCATTTTTGTTCTCATGTTCTTCTTCGCTGCCTTTTTATCTTCTTCGTTTGTTTAACTTGTTTTCTTTTTCTCACATCAGCGGTGGACGGGGTCGAGGAAAAACAACGTACTTCTCCATGGCCTCAAGAGTGGTGTATTCCGATGTACGGCGATGATGTTTTTATTATTATTATTATTTGTTTCTTTGATTGTTTGAAGGTGACGGTGCCGTCTGTGTGGGGTGCGTTGTTTATGTCATCTAATGTATCGAGGACGCCCCTTCGTACCGCGTTAGAAAGCGACCTGTCTTCCGCTCTTTCTTTTCGACTTCGCTAGCGTGTTTTTTTTCTTATTTGTTGTTGTTTTTGCTTAATGCTTCAAAACGGAACTACTTCAACCATTCCTTTTGTATTTGTTTGTCTACTTGCTTGTTTTCTTCTTGAACTTCTTTCAGCGTTTTCGCACGTCGTAGCCACGATGGTTAGCTACCGCTCTCGCGACGTAACGCTTCTTTTCTTGTTTTCTCTCTCCTTTTTTTGTGTTTCTCCTCTGAATCATGTTGTCGTCGCAGCGACGCATGCAAATCGGCGGCATGTTTTGTATTCGCCTTCTTTCTCTTGTTCTTTGGTTTCTGCTCTTTTTTGGTTTAGCACGTCATTGCTACGGCAGTGCTTATTACTCTGAATACGGTTACGACTGTTATTTGTTTTTGTTTGGTGTCATCCGTCTTCTTCCTTTGATGTGTTGTTCCTCCCGAGAAGCAAAAACAGAGAAAAGAATATGTAGAGGAAGAAAAACGTCGCCGTGAACGATGTTCGTTGATGGTCGCGGCGCGGGATGTGCATCGCCTTGGTTTTTTGGGGGATGCCTTCTGTGGGAGGGAGGTGGATGTTTGAATGACGAACCCTCCCAGAGTTTCGACTCTCTCCCTCCCTTTCTATCGTACAGCGGTTTTTTCATCCTTGCTGTTGTGTTTTTCTTCTTGAACGACGCCCTCAGAGAGTCGCGACATGTGATGTACACGCGACGCATTTTTCTTTCCTCTTCTTCCTGACTGGCGTCTGCTGCATCCCTTCTACTGCTTCTCCTCTCTCGTCCTCTTCTCTCTTCTTCTCTCTCTCTCCCTCTCTGTGTGTTTGCCCTGTGACGTGTTGTGCTCCGTAGATGTAGCAATAATAATAACACTCCTTTATCCCTGTTACATCTACATACATATAAAACTTTTCTTTCTCTTCTGCTTTCCCCTTCTTCCCATTATCTAACTTGGTGAAGGAAAAGAAGGGGAGGTGTACGAGCGTTTCTGTTACTGATTTCTCTTCTCTTCTCTCTCTTTCATTCAAGACTTCTTATTTTAAAAGGGAAAAAAATCCGCACAGCCTGTCGTGTTACTCGGTGTGCAGCGAGCGTACTCTTCGTTTGCTTTTCTGTTCTTCTCTTCTGTTCTTGTCACCTCCAACCAGCAAAAACAGAAAAGGATTTATCTAACTCAATACGGTGTTGTGGTCATTGGTGTTGGGGCAAGATTGTTAAGTTTCGCAGTTACGTGTACTCCCTTCTTTCTCGTTCTGTATGTGTGTGTTGTTCTGCTTTCTACAGACAACGCAGTGTGTTTTATAAGGAAACCATTTTCTTCTTTAGTACTACTATTGCATGTATATTTATATGTCCGTGCTCAGTGCGCACCGCAGCTCCCTCGTGGATTAATTCGTTCTTCTTCTGACGGGGATTCTTCTTGCGGCTCTCATTTTGTTCCCCTGTACGCATCGTTATATAAGTGTATATATATATATATATATATTTTCGCTTCACCTCCTTTCTTTAGAAATGAAGATCCTACAAAACTCCACCGGCTACTTCGCCGAGGATGAGCAGAACAACACGCGCCACGCCCGGCGCTACCGCGTCTACCTCATCATCCTCGCCGTGTGGGTCGCCCTACTCGTTATCCTGGCGGCGGTGCTCACGCCGATGCTGGTGCTGCAGCACCAGGACAACAACGCGGAGAAGGCCTCCCGGGAAGCAGAGAACGAACTCGCGGGCAACTTGACGACAGAGTTCCGCGACGCCGTGCTGAACGCGATCTCCGCCGTCTACGGCATCCAGGGCTTCATCATGGGCGAGATGAAGACGCTGCCCAACATCACCGGCACAAAGAAGGAGCGGGTGACGGGGCAGTTCTTCGCCAACTTCTTCCGCTACGCCAATTTGGTGAACTCCTCCGCGGCGAGCATGGCCGTCTTTCTGACCGCCCCGGGCGGGGTCACCTACCAGTTCTTTCCCTCCGAGTACGGGATACTGTTGCGAAACTGGGACTTGCTGGACGAGGACATGTACGGGCCATCGGGCACGTGGTACGACCCGGCGGCGCAGCGGCCGTCGCCGTGGGACTCGATTCAAACCGGCAGACTCGCCATCTCCGGCCCCTACATGACCAGCCGGCTTCCCTTTGTGGAAAGCAAGGCGCGCCCCAGGAACACGACATCCGGCACGTCGCACCCGACCAAGACGTGGTGGGTGGACTTCCGTCAGCCCGTCTACCAGCCCAACGCCCACGCAACGGTCTCCATTTCGAACTTCTGGGGCTTCGCCATGGCCGCCCTCAACGTGGATAACCTTTTGGAAGACAACGACTTTGAGAAGAAGATGCGCGCGAACAGCATGAACTACACCGTCTTCACGAGCACCAAGTCGCAGGACTGCATCACGATTGTGTCCTCCTGGCCAGATGAGCCGGACTGCAGCGTGCCGTTCATACGCAACTTCATTAACACCGCCTCGGTGCACGACGTGCTGGGCGATCAGCTGGCGTGGAAGGTTGCGGTGAAGAGTGCGGTGCGCGAGAACCGGCTGACGGAGCACGTGCGGGTCGCGATCGTCCTGTCGTCCGTCTTCGGCACGGTGCTCATCTTCACGATCATGGTATACATCATCGTCCTCTGCACCCGCGTCTACGACGGCACCGTGCACGCCCCCAAAGGGGCGCCCTTCGCCATGCTGACCGTTGGCCTCTGCCGCGGCGAGGAGCTGTGGGAGCTGGCGTCCGATCAGATGGTGGAGGTGAAGGAGCGGCTGGTCAAAGTTCTGGCCCGGCAGATGCAGCGGCATCACGCCTACCAGATCCAGCAGGTGCACCCCCTCACCCAATCCTTCGTCACGCACAGCGTCTCTGCGGCGGTGCAGATGGCCTTCGACGTCATCGAGGAGCTGCAAAGCAACCCCATCGACGGCGTGCTGCAGCGCCTGCTGGGCGACGACGGCCACCTTCTGCTCTCCTATGCGGTGCACTGGTGCAACGACGCGGTGGTGCGTCCCGAGCACCTGGAGGGCGGCTACCGCTACGAGGGCCCGGACGTGGTGTACGGCGGCCGCATGTGGGTCTTCGCGGCGCCGAACGTCGTGACGGTGTCGCCGGCCGCCCTGCACGCTGCGACGCACATCCCGCACGTGCAGTGCAAGCTGTTCGACTCCGTCTTCCTGCGTGGCGTGGCGGAGCGGCAGGACCTCTACGTCCTCTCCGACCCAACGAACCACCGACTGAGCGAAGCGGAGGTGTTCGCGGTGGAGCAGGTGCGGCGGGCCCGCCAGGCGCAGCGCGAGATAGCCGAGATGAAGAACAGCGACGCCGACCCGCACAAGCGCCGTCTTACTCGCTCCTCCAACCAAAGTGGCTACGACAGCAGTGACCTCGACGTCGGGTCTTTTGCGGGCCGTCCACGGCTAACGGGCACGGTGGGCGGTGGTGAGGGTAACTGGGCGACGTCGAGCGCGCACAGCAACCCCGCCAGCAACAGCGATCCCTGCTCTCCGTCGTCCCCCCTGCGCTGCCGGGCGGCGGCGGCGGCGGCGGCGAAGACAGGGAAGAGGGAAGGTGCGATCGGCGTCACGGCTGTGAACCCGACGTCCGTCCTTGTTCCGTCGTCATCAGCGGAGGCGGCCACCAACCCGTTTGTGTACGTTTCGGATACGACCGCCGCGGCGGCGGCGGCGGTGGTGGTGCTGGAGAAGCCTCAGGAGCGACGACTGGTGCGCCGGCCCAGCGGCCACGGCGACACTTCGTCCAGCGATGAGGACAAGATGAGCTCGGCCACCGCCTCCACCGTCCACGACGACGACTACAACGAGTTGGGTGTGGCGGACAAAATAACGGTAGGCTTAGTGGGAAACCGCGGTGATAGAACAGGACTGCCGAGACAGAAGCCGGCCACGCAGACCGCCCGTGTGCCGACGGTGCCGTATGCAACACACATTCCCGTACCGCCAGCCCTGCCCCCGATCTCCCCCGCGTACCGACCCGTCGCGTACACGGCAGCCGACGCCGCTGCAGAGGAGGAGGAAACGCCGCAGCAGACGCCGTTGCCGGGCATGCGCTCGAGACGCGCCCTGGACACGTTATACACCGGCGTTGGTGGCGAGGCGAACGCGGGGAAGCCGCTGGTCGTGGTGCCGCCCTCCGCGAAGTTAGCCGGCGAAACGGCAGCCTCCGGTGACCGCGGTGCCACCTCGAGGTCGTCCTCCAGCACACCGTCGTCGGACGGCGTCGTCGGGCACGGGCGCCGCGGCAACGTCGGCCCCGCCTCCTCCTACGACAACCCGCTCGCCCACAACCTCGCTGCGGGGGCCACCGCAACAGCAGCAGCCGCAGCGGTACACGCTGCAGCACAGGACGGTGCACCGCTCGACAGCTGTGCACCAGCAGCCTCGGCGCTGCGTGGTGCCACGGTGCCCATCGCGAGCGACGGCGACCCGCTCGCCGACAGTGAAGTCTCGCTCGACACGTTCAGCAGCGACCTGCTCCTCCGGCCCGCCATCACGGTACAGGCGGACCATCTCCTGCGGACGGTCTTCGACCGGCAGGCGGTCGCCCTCGACGTCAGCTACGATTCGGTGCGGGTGCTCGTGTACTACTTCTACTCGAGCTACAAGATTCTCTTCCGCCCGCTGGCGGCCCCGGAGCGGCACAACATCTACCGCCGCCTGGTGACTGCGTTTGGGGTGCCGCAGCAGGGCATCCTCGAGCACCTCGCCGCGCGGTGCGCCATCCGCTTCCTGCAGCGGCACGACGAGACGCAGACGCTCCTGTGGGATCAGCAGCGTCGTCTGCAGGCACACGCACGCGCCGCCAGCGTTCCCACGGCGACGACCTCCACGAGTGTGTCGGACGACGCGGGTGGCGACAGCTCCAATTAAAGAGCGAAAGATGTGCTGAGCTGCGCAACGACCCCGTCAGAGCGTTGCCAAGCAGCTCATGTGCTGTTTTTATCAGTTGTCTTGTCTTTCCGGTTTGTTTCTACCGGTGGAGCCGTTCTCTTCACGGTTATTGTATGACAGTTCCTCTTCTTCTGATTATTTCTTTTTTCTCTCCTTTTCTGCTTTCTCCCTCTCATGGAATATGATTTCTCTTCGTGCTGTTATGGCTGCGCCTCTGCAGCTCAATCGGACCATTTGTTATTAATATTGTTACTGTCGCTGTTGTTGTTGTCGTTGTTTGCTGTTTTTTTCGTTGACGCTTCTTTTTTTGTTGTTGTGCGCTGCGTGCGAAGGACGAGCGGGTCGCGGTCGAAGTTCTTTCTCTTTTCTGATCTTTTTTTCTTCTTGTTTTCTTCCTTCGTCTCTTCATTTCGGACAAAACGGAATACCAAAGTGGTGCGTTACTTCGCTGCGAGAACGAGCGGGAGGGGGGGGAGGAGAGCGAGAAGTGGTCCGCGTGTTTGGCTGGTAACTCCACCACCTCAAAATGAAAGAAAAAAATCTGTTCGTCGTTTGATATTTAAATAAGGAAAACCGAATAGCTACAACTCATTATGTTGAGTGGGGGGGGGGGTGTTTGCGCTGGGGTGAAGATGCGGCATTTGCAGTAGCTGCAACAAGATATTTCGGCAAGCGTGCATGTCGGTCTCCGCTTCTTTCTTTTGCGCAGCTGTTGCAGCTTCCGATGCTACGAGAGGCGCGCGTTGCCGCTCTCACGAACAGCACTCGATGGCTCATTGAAACCCGAGAACAGGGAAAAAAACCCTCATAAGCAAAACCGTTGCCTGTTCGAGCAGCATTGCTAGCGGCGGAAGGGGTTGTACTATACACGGAAGCTTTTTCTCTCTTCTTTTCGTTTTGAAACGCGCCTCGCTTGCAGCGGCGACAACTCAATCTTCTTGAACACTCTCTTCTTATATTTTTTTTTATATCTACTTGTGCATACGTAGTCGTGCACCACAGTCGTGTAGGTAGTGGGTACCATCACCACGATTCAGAACTCCGTCGCGTCTCAATGGTCCGCGCTGGCGCGAAGCGGGAGCGACCGTGCATGGTCCTTCTCCACGTGGCCCTCCGCTCCGCCGCCACCCAAGCAGCAACAGCAGCAGCAGACGGACAGACGCAACATCAACAGCGAGGTGCAGGCCCTACCTCGTCTTCTGCGGCATCGCCAGAACGCTACGTCTGGAAGTCGCGCCGCACGGCGGAGGCCTACGCCGGCGCCGTCCTCCGCTGCGTACGTGCGCAGTGGGCGATGGTAGGCGGGGTGCGGTACGACCTTCCCGATGCCGCCCACCTCGAAAGTGCGACGTGGGACGGCGACGCCACACTACCAGCAGCTGCCACGGGTGGAGAGGGTGCGGAGTCGGGGAAGGACACGGCTCGCACCTCTCGAAAGGCGGAAGCAGGACGAGGGAAGAAGCAACACCTGTGCACACGGGATCGTCGCATGCGGGTCACGCAACGACGGAGCGGAGTGCTGCGCTGTGCGGTGCAGCTGTCCCGCTCCCTCTACGGCGATGCGGCAGCCCTGCATATCTTTCGTGCCGCCTGCGCGTGTGTGACGGCGGTGGATGTGTCGTTGCCGCTGTCGGCGCTTGTGTCGGACGACAACAACACCGCAGCAGTGGCCGCAGCAGCAGAAGAAGAAGAGGGCCGTCCGGTGCGACGTCGTCGACTAATCGAAGACGGCGATGCGCGGATGGAGCAGGTATGCCACGCCGCCGTACGCGTGGCACGTGTGGAGCACGTCGTGTCATCGCGGAAGCATTAAACGATGTGTTTAAAGGAAAAACAGAGCGCATGGACACCTCCTTTTTTCGATTGGTTGTCGTTGCTGTTGTATTCACTGCCACAGTGTTGTTTTCCTCCGGTGGTGATCACAGTAGTTCGTCACTCCTGGTTTAAAGGCACGCCAACTCGCATAATACGAGAGAGATAAATACGTGCTCAATAATGGTTGCCGTTGTCCTTTGACAGATGGGGTGTAGTCCACCTCACGCCGGCTGCTTTGCTGGCTGTTCAACCACATCACTCCAGTCGTCTTGTCCACTGATTAGCAGATTTCTTTTGCATTTAGCATGTGCGGCAGCGCGGACAAATACGTCTTCATTACTACTCTCCCTATCCATTGTCTTGTACGCCTCCTCCTCATTCTTCGACTGCGTTTGTCTTTTTCTCATCCTCACCACGTCTCGTTCATCAACCGTGATGGGCATGTAGTGCTCTACACCTCTTAGATCTTCCTCAGCGGGCCTTTCTTCTCTTCTCTTCTCAGGTGGCAGCCCCAGTCACACGTACTGCGGAGAGAGGAGAGAAAGCCGAAAAGGGGAGGGTTCATTGACTAGTAGTGTCACGCCTCGACTGAGCCGGCGTCGGTGACATCGCACGAAGCAGCAGGAAGTCACTGCCGCGCAGCAGTCAACCATACAAGTATCTCCGATCTATCTTCTTCGTCCTTTTTTCTGCCTTGTGTTTTTGTTCTGTTCTCTTTGTTGTTTGACGGTGTTTTCTGTGACAGCTCGTGCGTCAACGCGGTTCCGCTGGCATCCGCCTCCGTAAGTGCATTAAAAGACAAGAGAGAGAAAAGTGTCGTCGCGGTGCGTAAAGAGAGAGGCGATTCTCTCGCCACCAGTCTACTCGTCCGTAGCTACTTCGACGATACGCACACACACATATACATATACATATATATTAATCTGCTCGAGCGTTTAGTCGTGCTTTGCGTTCTGTGTTGTTGCTGTTTTAGTGGTTCGCCTTCGATCGCCGGTTTTCCTTTTGGTTCTGCAAGCGCACTCGAGTGTGTTGTTGTGGTGGTTGTTGTACATTTACTGTCAGCATCGCTCCCCTCTTCTACATACATATATATATATATATGTGTGTGTGTGTGTTTGGCCTCTCGCTCGTCGTTAAACCGCCTTTTGCGTATTTCTTTTCCTTGTAGGGTTTTTTTTTTTTTGAGGGGGGTGTTGTTTGCCCCGCATTTCCTTCGATGTCTGCCGCACAACAGCCTCTATTTTCTGTTGGTTTGGTTTCTCGACGACGACCTCGATCGCGGCTCCTGCTTTGAAAGTAAAGGAAAAGGAAGGGAAAGGGAGTTTTCCCGGTCTCGCCAGGTACCTTATTATAATAGACAAGGGTGCTTTTTGTTTTGGCGGTGGTTGCGGTGGTCCTTGCTGTTGGCGACGCGCGTTGACGGTGCTGCGGTAAAGCGTCTTTCCTCACCTGAGTGAAGTATTTTTTTTTTGTCGGCGTCTGCGTGTGTGTTCGAGCAGCGTCGCCATTCCCCCCTTTACAACCCAATTCGAAAACTGAAGCGGCTGAACTTCGATGCTGTGTCGTGGAAACGGCACCTCAAAAAGAAAGCCCCTCGAGTTGTTCTAGCTGCAACTGCGTTACATCTTTCTTCCTTTTTTTATTATCCGTACTTGCTCTTCGTTATATATATATATATGAGTAGCTGTCAGTCGTTGCTTGGTTTCGCCGGACAAAAGATGAATGCGCTAGCGAAGGAGTTTGAGACGACGAGTCAGCTGCCCCCTTCCACGCCGCAGCAGCGCATGACGCCGCCTACCGTTCTCCTGCCCGCTACCTTCGCGATTCTCCCCCCACAGTCTGCCGCGCTGTCCGCTGCCATCGCCACCGTCGCCCCTCCGCGGACGATGCCGCTGCTGGGCTGCAGCGTCACCTCGGCAGCGTGTAGGACCCACATCGGTGCGAACCCGTCGATGGCCCTCGGTGCTGCCTCGATGTACGCCGGGGTGGACATTGGCGGGTACAGCGGCAGCAACAGTAACATCTCCAGCCCGGCAGTCAACGTAGTCAACGCGCTCAACGAGGCGATAATGCCGGTGAGTGAGATGGTGAGTAGCGGCTTTTCGGTGGCGGCGGCTGCGTGTACAGCAGTTGCACGTCCTGTGCTGGGCAACGAGGCGTCACCACGCATGGAGAGCAAGACCGATGGGCTCTCTATTCTGCTGCCGCCGTCCTACGCTTCGACGCGGATCGCTCACCAGGACACCTCTCCGGCCGCGGCCGCCGCCGCCTCCACAGGTGGTGTCCCATCCGCATCGTTGCACCAGCGCGACGTGCATCGCCATCCTCAGCGCCGCCCCGTCCTCGGCAGCCCGGCGGACGCAGGCGGCGGCGGAATCTCAACCACTGAGGAGGACGACCTCATCCCCCTCACATCTGCCTCCTCCACCTACGCGACCCGCCGCTCCGTCAGCGCCTTTGACGACTCCGATCTGGCAACGTTTGGCCGTACGGGTGGGAGCCGGAGTCGCGTGCACCGCTGCAGTAGTCGGAGCAGCAGCAGTGCGTTGCCGCAGCAGCAGCCGGAGTTTCCGCAGCGCCCGAACAGCGTAGCCGCCATCGCCCTTCGCGCACTGTCGCCGGCTGCCTACGCGCATGGGACACAAAGCGACGTGCTGTGGCAACGACACGGTAGTACCCATGCAGCAGCAGCAGCAACTGCAGAATTTCGCGTCACGAGCACACCCCTGCCCGCGCCGAGTGGGAGCAGCACCCCGCCAACTATCAGCAGCCAGGCCTCCACATGCCAGTCTTATCCCTTCTACCCAAACTGGGGCGCCGATAGCGTCTGCGCCTTTTGCCCTATCACGAGCTTCGTGGAGATGACCTCGCACGAAGAGAACAGCGACGGCAGGGCGTCTACGTGCTCGTCAACACAGCAGCAGCGACAACCACGCAGCCGGCAGCAACAGCGCCGGACAGGGCCGTACACCCCCTCTGGCGGCACATCGCCATCCAGCATAGAAAGACACGCCGCCGGTCCATCGACAGCAGCGCTGCCATCGTCGTCGTCATCGCGGCGTCACCGCACCCGCATGCACGTGTGTCTTCACGAAGGACCGGTGATGATGGCGACGCCCGTCTCACCTAGCATGGGTCGCCGAACCCCGTTGTCGCCGCTGTACATCGCACCGGCCTTGTGCTTCCACACCGACCCCGCGCGTCCCTCCGCGTCCAACAGCAGCGCCGCCACGCAGGCGGGGAACTCACCGCGTCCGCCGTCGGTGCTCGACGCGCGTCGCTCGGACAGCGGCAGCGGGAGAGGGGTCGGAGGGGAGCGGTGGTCCTTCATCAACGCCGCCCGCGCCACTTCGAGGCCGCCCACGCCGCCGTCCATGGTTCTTGCTGCTGAGGCTGCTGCAGCGAGCGACGACATCTCGGTATACCGCCGCACGACGGGCACACCTGTCCATGCGGCGGCGGCCACGAGCACGTACGACGTGCACGGGGAGAGCTCAGGTGCGATGGACCCGCTCTCCGACTTTCCTACACGCCCACCGTCGCAGTCGCACTCCCCCCGGCATCCGCGGCCGCACACGCTGCTGACGGACGGCAGCACGCAGCACCTGCCCTGCCAACCCACGCTCGGCCTCGCCGCCACCGCGGACACGGTGACTGCGGTAGCAACCGGTGGCTTCCCTGGCAACCTCACCTTCCTCCCCATTGAAGTTCAGCCCGCCTCCACGATGCCGCCCTTCTTTGGCTCGGTGGGCAACGTGGCGGCGGCAGGTGCATCGCCCGTCGGCGCCATTACCCACCCACGGGCCACGGTGGGCGATCGATGCGGCTTCCAGGCAGACTCCGCCACCGGTCGGGTGCCCTCCATGTCACGCGTGGAGCACCCCGTCGCGATCTTAGAAGAGGCCTCGTCGTCGCACGGTTGTTGCTGTCCACCATTACTACATTCGGCCACCACGCCGGCACACGCTGCCCACGCCGCGTGGCCCCCATACGCAGCGCCGGGTCTGGTGACCGCCATTCTCGCCGCACCGGAAGTCAGCTGGTCCTCATTCAACGCCACGGTCGCTGCAGACAACGCCACCACCGTCCGAACCACCCCTCACACGACGACAGGGGTCGCCGCAACCCCCAGCGGCGGAGAGTACCGCAGCTCACGGGGTATAGCGTCGTCTGCGCCGTGGCTGCAGCAAGTTGGCGGCGGCAGCAACAGCAGCAGCATGCATGACCCAGGGGCCCCCTACCCCAACACCACCGGGTGCGGGGGACACCCCGCAGGCGGCGTGGGCGGGGACGACAGATCACTGAATCGAAGCACAATCGGGCATGCGGTGAGCGCCAACGTCCGCTCCTACTCTGCGGCTCTTCCGTCGTTTAACTCGTCGATTCAGTTTCAGCTCGCCTGCTCCCCAGTTCCACTGGAAGACACAGAAAGCGAGTGCGTGATCTGCTTGGAAGGCCATCCGAGCCATGCAGACAACACGCAAGGACGGTGCGCCTCGGTGATGCCGACGATGACGGACGGCGCCGTGGCAAGTGCGACGCCGGCAGTGACCGCTGACTTCGGCGGTGGTGTCAAACCGGGCTCGCAGCTGTTGATGATGCCCTGCAAGCACTGTTGCCATCAAAACTGTCTGCAGCGGTGGTTGATTCAATCCACCTGCTGTCCGATCTGCCGGCGCGACCTCACGCAGGACGCGACGCTGTCGTCGTGAGGAACAACGTCTGCAATGTATTTGTTTTTGTTTCTCTTTCTTTCCCTTGTCTTTTAACCCGTTCTTCCGCCGTACGTGTTGAGGTGCTCGCGTAGTTACAGAACTCGTTTACCTGCTTATCTGTTGTTGTCTTTGTTGTTGGTGGTGGTGGTGGTGGTGTGTGTGTGTGTTACTATTATTGTTTTGACTCTCTTCTAGTTGCTCTTGTACCTTACCTGTTTATTTGTTTGTTTCTTTCCATTGAAGTGGATGGCGGAGAAGGCTGGAGGAAGCTCCCCGAGCTGTGTCCTGCACATTCTCTTCTTTCTCTGTGAGCGTGTTTGCGCATGTAAAAGTGCCAAAATATCCTACACTTCCTCTCGTATAAGGGGAATATATGCATCAGTTCGAATCGAATAAATCCGAGAAATCAACGCTGTGATATCGCCACGTGCCTCACGATAGATCCGCGCACTTGGTTCACACGCATGCATGCATGCACGCTGGTTGCCCCCTCCGGTGCAGGGCTCTCCCTCCTCACCGCCGTGGAGCACCTGTGTGTATTGCATATGCGGTCTGCCTTTGTATGTGTGTGCGTGTCTGTGTTCAGTTTTTCTCGAAAAGAAAAAGGAAAATTACTCTCCTGAAGGTTCTCCCGCCTTTTCCGTCCCAACCCACTCTGTCCTCTCGTCTTGTCATGACTCGGCATTGTACTCCCCGTCACGGGTAAGCTGCGAAGCACACCCACACAGGACAACCGCTGAGGCTGCTCGGTGACACCGCCTTCGACAGTAGGTAGAGCGCTCTCTTTCTTTCTGAACCTGTTGTCAGAAGTGGTGCATATTGGCCAAAAGCCACGTAATCCAGCATTTCCATACGTTGGCGTAGTGCACATTCATATATTGCTTGTTTCCTGTTCTTGTAGCTGTCGATGTGGTCGGCAGCGGGTACGTCAGCCCGAGTGCGGCGCGCCGTCGTGGTGTGTGCCGCTTCCACCTCGGCATCTTACCCCTCCTTCCGTCTCCTGCGTGGGCGTGCGCGAAGGGTAACGCCGGCGAGCACTCGTGCTTTCTCTTCCTGCGGACTCATTCATCGCACGAGGCGCCGCAGCGCCCCGCAGAAGGGCAACCGCAACGGGGACGACGGCGGTGTGGAAGGTCGCACCGATGATCTCGACCGGGGCTGCAACAGCGGGGAAGCAACCGCGTCGCTGTCTCCTCCTCCTTTTTCGATGCAGCCACCGCCACCGCCGCCGCCGCCGCCGGCCGAGTTGTCAGCAGAAGAGTGGCGCGAGTTCCAGCACTACCTCCGCCAAGTCGAAGTCGCCGACCCGGAGTTTCTGGCGTTCGCGGAGGGCGTCACCCAACCAGTGGAGGCGCACAGCAAGCGTCACCGTCAACCGCACCGCCGCTTTATCGGCGATGACGAAGCCAGCGCGGAGGCGGCGGCCGAGACAGATCACTTACTGCATGGCAGCTCCGTCAGGGGTCCGTACGTGCAACAGCGAGCCACCGATGCGTCAGCACTCCCGTCTGCGCCGCCTCCCATGTCCATGGAAGACGTAACGGAACTGGAGCAGGATCTCGCACAGGAAGACGCGCTGGAGGAGCAGCGGGCCACCGAGCACTTTCCCTTCTCCTCTGACGTGGATGACAAAAGAGCCTCCGACAACGATAACGCTGGCAGCGGTGCAACGATGGAGTTTGGTTATGACGCCGATAGCGACGCCGGTATTCTGGCCGCGCTGAAGGGTCGCGCGACGCGGTTGCAGAACGTGGCGGACACCGTCACGGCGCCGTTGCTGATCCCCGGCAAGGACGGCACGGTCGCGGCACCACTGGCGGATCCCAACTCCGTCTCCCTTTCCCCGTTGACTGTCCCCCGTGTGCACCTCCTCTCGTCGCAGAGCTATCTCGTACAGCAAGACCGCTGCTATTTGGCTCCCCGCACGCCTCCTGCGGTGCAGCTGCTCCCTCGGTCCACTACTACCGCAGCAACAGCAGCGGCGGCGCGGCAGTGTGTCTTGGTGGTGTTCTCCTCGAACGATCTCCGCGTGCACGACAACCACCTCCTCGCCCTCGCCTCTGTCCGCGCGCGGGCGGCAGCAGCAGCGACGGCGGTGGTGGTGGACGGCGGGCACGGCCGCACGCCTCCCCCCGGGCGCCCCGCTCCCCGTCATTGCGGTCTGCGTACTCGACCCTCGCACTTTCGCCCAGCCGAGCGTCGTCGGCGGCTTCTTCCGTCAGAGCCCGCAGCGGGCGCAGTTTATGCTGGACACCGTCGCCGCCCTGCGCGCCAAGCTCGAAGGGGAGCTGCGGGTGCCGTTGCTGGTGCGCTGCGGGCGGCCGGAGGAGCACGTCCCCCGGTTGGCTGCGGAGCTGGGGGCGACGGATGTCTTCATGACGACGCAGTACGCACCGCACGAACGTCGGGTGCAGGCCCTCGCCATGCGGCGACTGCGCCAAGGGGTGTGGGTGTCGCGGGAGGATGTGTGTGGCGGCGCACGCGTCACGTCTGCGGCGGCGGCAGATCCAGTAGGAGACGACGATGCGCTGGTGGCGGTGGTGGAGCATCACACATCTCAGCAGCACCCCTACGGTGGCGCCGCCGCAGTGGTGGCCCCGCCCGTCGTGCACAGTGTATGGCAAACCACCTTGGTCCACCTGGACGACCTGTCCACCCCCCTCGCGGCGATGAAGGAGGGCGAGCGGTGGTATCACGACGACGTCACCGTCAGCACCATCCGCCCCACCGCACCCTACGACAGCGCGACGCAGCGACTGGCTGAGTTGTCCACAACGTGGCAGCACGACGCCCTCCTGCCTTCCCAGGAGGAGCGGGCCGGCCGGTCACCGCCGTCGGTGCTTCGAGGGGCGCTGCCCACGCTGGAGGACCTCGGCTACGCGGCGGACCGGGCTGACCTTGCCTTTGAAGAGGTCATCGCCACCGAGTCCTCCCACCCGGCCGCTGGCGAGGAGGCTGCCCTCGCCCGGGTGCAGGACTGGCTCGCCGAAGACGGCATGTCGTCCCTGCTTCGCTATGGGCGGGAGCACCGGACGAACACGAAGATGTACTCGCAGAAGCTGGCCCGGGTGTCGCCGTACATCGCCGTGGGGGCCCTCTCGCCGCGCAAGTACTACGAGCTGCTCCGCGTGCACACCCACGCCAACATGCGCGACGGCTTCGTGCAGCAGCAGTTCCGTGAGGGTGTACTGCGGCTGTCGCGGCGGGACTACTGGCACTGGATGGGGCTCCGCTTTGGGGACCGCCTCTTCTTCTCGTACGGCCCACACCCGGAGCAGACGGACGAGGTGCCGGACTGGCGGCACGACGCGAAGGTGGTGCAGCGCTGGTGTAACGCGCTGACCGGCATCCCGTTTGCCGATGCAGCGATGCGGGAGCTGGTGGGAACGGGCTTTGTTGCCCACGAAGGGCGGCAGGCGCTGGCGTGGCTGCTGACCCGCGGTTACGGTCAGGACTGGCGGCTAGGCGCCGAGTGGCTGGAGCGCTGCTCGCTCGACTACGACCCCTTCGTCTGCTACGGCAACTTCGCCTACAGCAGCGGGCTCGTGCTCGACGACTTTGGCGAGCCGGTGCGCAACGTCCACTACCTCGCCCACCACCACGACCAGACAGGGATTTACATTAAAAAGTGGCTGCCGCAGCTGTCCAAGGTGCCGCCGGTGTACATCCACCGTCCTCACGTGCTCACCGCACGCATGCAGGCCATTCACAACGTGCACCTCGGACTGAACTACCCTTACCCGTTGAAGCTGTGGCAGGGGGCGCAGCGCACGCTGTCCGCGGCGGAGCTGCCGTCCTACTATGCGCAAGGAATTCAGCGCGGCCCTGGTTACGCGGAGGCGCTGCGGTACGGCAGTGCGGTGATGCCGCCGGAGGAACTGCATGCGGCGGTGTCGCCAGCGTATCTGCGGCACCGCACCTGGGCGTCGATGCTGCCCGCATCTGCCTTCGCGGAGGGGGGAGAAGCAGGCGAGGAGGGGGGAGAGGCAATGGCGGTGGAGATGGGCGCGAAGTCGCGTGTGGCTGCCCTAGCGGGGACACAAGCGGCCGCGATGGCGAAGTCCTCTGCGGGTGTTCATGGGAGCGAGAAAGCGCTTGTGTAGTACGCGGCTGCCAGGAAGTTGGCTCTGTCGTCGCGTTGTTGTGGGTTTTTGCGAGGGAGATGTGAGAAGGAGCACTTCTTCGTGTTTGGTCGGTTTACTATTTGTTCTTTTCTTTCTTTCCACAGACGGGCAGCAGCTACAACTGCCATTCGGTTTCCACATCCCATATATATAGATATATATATATATATATATCTAAAGAGAGAAGGAAGAACATAACAAGGAGCTGAACTTTGGAGGGGAAGACGGATCATAATAAAACGAGAGCAACGTGTGCTGCGAATACTAGTAGAGTCACGAACATGTCAAGTGTCAGCAGTGGTGGAGGAGTGCCTCAATTATGTCAGCGCCGCTGTGCGCGCAGTGGGAGAATTTATGGGAGTTTTCCCCTTTCGTTTGGTTTTCGGTGAGGCGCAACAACTGACCTCTCTTCCCACACCGAGTCACTTTCGTACTGCTTTGGCCACCTTTCTCAACCTCTGGGTTCTTCTTTCGTATTATTATTATTGCCTTCCGCTTTCCTCGCTAAGCTGTACGTGTACACACACATACACATACACACACACACACGCCAGATCAGCGCTGCAGTTTTCTCTCACCATTACGCTTCGACAAACTCGTGCTCTTGACCTTCCTTTGGGTGTATCTCGCAACGCAATCGCGACCAACCTTGCCGTCTCCATGTCCGAGAGCCACGGCGTCGCCACGGCGGCACCTTCGTCGTCGCCGTCGCCGTTCGCGGCTGCTCTGCCTTATCCGAACGCGCTGCAAGCGCGCCACACCACTGCGGCTCACCGTCGCACGGCCGCCGCGGCGGTCCTCGGCTACCGGGACGGCCTGGCCGATGAGCAGGCCCGCCTGCAGAACGACGAGTTGGTGCTGAGCGAGGAGGAGACGGCGCGGCTGCAGCGGCGGGTAGAGTGGCAGCGATCCGCCAACGCTGCAGCTGCGCAGCTGCGCCAACGCGCGTGTGATGTGGTGGCGAACCTCCAAGACAGCGAGGACGTCGGCCACGGCAGCAACGATGACGACGATCCGCAGCATACAAACTCGCCGCACGGCACGGAGAACACGATAGATGTGTTCCACGCCGCGTGCGACGGCGACGTCGCGGCACTGGCGGCGTGGGTCAGCGGCGTGCCGCCCGCGTCGTTGCCCGCACGCGTGAATGTGGTGGGCCAGCCAGATCCGGCGACGTACAACGGCGTGCAGTTCCAGCAGCGGTGGCTCTTCCGCGCCTCGCCGCTGATCTTTGCGGCTGCCTTTGGGCGCGAAGAGGCGGTTCGGTTTCTGCTCGCCCACGGCGCCGATCCGGGGGTGAAGTCCAGCACGGGCCTGCGTGCCGTCGACTACGCGGCGAAGCGCCGGTACACCAACATAGTGGCGATGCTCCGCGGTGGGCAGTGACAAGCATCTTCCGCCTCACTTTATGGGGGGGAAGGGAGGGGGGTTGCTGTTTGTATTGTCGCACTTCGCCTACGTCTCGCTCTGCTCTTCTATAGCAGAATGGGTGTTCCCTCCTACAGCGAAAGGGAAGCACTTATGAAGGAGATAACGAAGGAAGGAGAAGGGGGGAAGCAATCGAGTCCCATGTACGTACGGTGTAGCACGCGGAGCACAACTCCGACACAACGGTGCTTGCCCTGTTATCTGCTTGTCGGTATTGGTGGTGTTTGCTTTTGGAAGAGCTGTACAGAGACGGTTTATACCCGTCACGCATGTAAATTAGATATTTTGTGGAGCGCTCTCGCAATGTTGGATGCCTCCATTATTATTGAAAGGGGGGGAAGAGAAACCTACTACCAAATACATACATATGTATATATATTAAAAGAAGTGCTTTGCGGTAATGCCTTTCGCTCGGCTGCTGGAGACGGCGAATTCACCCTGCAAGGCACCCCTCTTATCTCTGTGACGGTTGACTCCCGCCCTGGTGAGCATGCTCTTTATTGCGTTGGCAGAGGAACTCCGTTGTTTGTTTGTTTGTCTTTGCGAGCTTTGGTAGCTTGCCGTCTTCATCATCCCTCTGGTGCTCTTCGGTGTGAAGCTGTAAAAAGCTCCTCCTCTTGCCCTCTCCTTCTCTTTCTCTCTCTCCCTCTCTATGTTTGATCTGCTTGTTTGCTTTGCGAAACATCCGCGCCGCGTGACGCTGGGACAATGTCACTTACAGCTAAACATAAGTGGATAAACACAGCACAGTGCGAGCACCTACATACTCTTCTCTTCTTCTTCTTTTTTTTTGTTCTTCAGTTGTTGTTCTGTTGCTGCTGTTGTTGTTTTCGCTTACGAAAAACTCGTCTTTATCTCCCCTGCATCAGCACGACGCCGACGACGCACGCGCAACGCCGCTGCGTGTGTGTGTCCGTTGTTCCCTTAATTCATTCATTTATTTATTTATTATTATTTTCTTTTATATTCGTACACATAACTTGATAGAACGCCATTCCTTCCTGCCCTTTTTATCTTATTGCTTTCCTCCTCGACGAGCTCACGCCAGTCTACACCGCAGCGTCCCCCTGCTCACACACGTGACTCTTGCTCTCTTTCCTTCGCTTTTCTCCCGTACCCCATCACGCATCGTGGGAGGTTAGTTTCTCTCTCTCTCTCTTTCCCTTAAGTTTGTTTTCTCCGCTGTTTTTCTCCAGCTACAGTTTTTACTTGAACGCGTAACTCTAGTTTTCAAAACGTTCTATTTGCAATCTTCGGTAGCACTCCGTCTTAAATTGTCGTCATCAAAAAAAGGATACATACATATATATATATATATATAACTTGTTTCTTCGTAACCGGAGCTCTCCGTCAGCGCTCTGTGTTCTTCTTTGCTGTTGTTGTTGCTATTGTTTGTGTATTTCTCGTTTCTCTCTCGTCTCTTCTTCTCCTTTTTGTGTTGTTGTTGTTGTTCCGCATTCCGTGCGAAAGCCTGTGAGTTGTGTCTGCACTTCCACTCTTCTGTCCGCCTGTCTGTCTGTTTTTGCTTAGCCAGCGGCCTTCCGATCAGCGCCTTGCTTAAGTTGATTGTTTGTTGTTGCTGCTTGTTTGATTTGCGTAACTCTTTGAACTCTTTCTTCCTCCTTCTCTTCCTCTTCTGTTGCTGATTATCATCGTCATTTTTTTTGGGGGGGTTGGCAAGCAGAATTTTGAATCTTTATTTTTTGTTGTTGAAGCCTGTTGACTCCTTTTGCGGCGGCTGCCCTCTTCATCCTCTCCCTTTGTGTGTGTGTGTGTGGCTTATCATCATTAGTAGTCCTACTATTGACTGCCTTCTTTATTTCCCTCGTTGTTGATTTTATTTCCTTTTCTTTCTCCTTCCTCTCTCGTTCTCGTCTCTGTTTACTCCTTAACTATTTTTATAATTAGTACGATTATCTCTTTAGTGTTTTCTTTTTCTGCTGTTGTTGTTGTTGTTTGTTTGTTTGTTTTGATTGTTTCGATCTCCTCCTCCCTCTCGATCTCTCTCCTGTCGTGCTCGACCACGGTAACGGAGCACCGCAACGTTGTGTGCATCGCCCAGTGCTTGACGGAACCGTGAAGACGGCACCACCACCACAACTCCACAGACAACACGACACGACAAAAGGAAGGAGCTAAGCGAGACGGCTCTTTTTGGTCTTTCTTCTTTCTTCTTCTTTTTTTCACGACGAACTCTCGATAATAGTTTTAATCAGGAATACATATATATATATATATATATATATATATATATATATATAGATGTATATGTATATCAACTCCACCGTACTTAAGTATTATCGAAACCGGTGCGCACGCACAACCGTCATCGGACGCGGCTGTTTTCAGCTTGTTGAAGGTGTCTTCCTCTTTTGTGATTCTTCTTCTTCCTTCGACTTTCCGTCATCTTCTCGCTTAATTGATTCTCCATTTTCATTGTTTATTATTATTGTTTCGTGAGAGCTGTCCGACTTTCTCTCTCTTCCCTTTCTCTTCTTCACTGCAGCCGTGGTTTTGTGGTGCTCTGTGAGACGTAGTACCTCTTTCATCGCTTCTCCATTTTGGGGCTTTTTGTTTTGTTTTGATCTGCAGTCTGCAAGGAAAAAGGAACGCATAGAGATATACACGCACGTGCAGATAGCCTAGCATTAGTGAGAATACCGAAAGGTACTTCTACGATACTGCTCAGTTCTTCGTTGTTGTTGTTTTTCCTTTTTGCGCTCACGGCTTGGTTTCTTTGAATCCCGGTCGTGCCCTGTCTTGGCCGTTGTTGTTGTTGCTGAGTCAAGGGGCCTTCTCTTCTGTTGTTGTTGTTGGGTATACACTGCTCTGACTTGTGTCATTAGAAGGAGCGGCGTTTGGGGGTGGGGTTTTCCTTCCTTCCCGCGCAAAAAATAGCCTTACCTGTTCGTGGTGGCAGAGATTTATTCCTTTCCCTCGGGGAGGGTTGTCTTCCTCGCTTGTCTTCGTCCTTCTCTCTCTCTCTCTGTCTTGTATTTTCCCTTGTCTCTTTTGTATTAGTAGTATAAAAAAAATATCTTGGTGTTGTTGTTGATCCTATTCCCAGAGAAACAACAACTCCACCTCATCTTGTTATATCGACTTCGTCTTTGCTCCGGGTAGGTGCATGCGTGAGTGGTGGTGGAGGGGAGTGTGTGTGTAGCCTTCGCAGTTGAACGCTCCACGTTTTCGCGTCCCTTGCTTTCTCTCTTCTCTTTTGTTCGTTTCTCGTATGTGTAGCACAGCCCATTTTCAGCTGACTTCCTCATCTCGGGGGGCTTTCTTACCTTCGTCCTTTCCTTTTCTTTCTCTTCGCCTTCTTTGGCAGTTCGTTTCTATTGTTCTTAGTATTTATTCTCACAGATAAAATTTATCTCAAGTTGTTGTTGTTTTTGGTCTGTTGTCGTGGTTTTCGATTGTTTGCGGTGACGAGCACTAGCGTTTACCTGTGGGTTGTTTGGTTGGGTTTCTTCTTCTTCTTCTCTCGCTTTCCATTGCATTTTTTCCTGTTGGGTCGTTTTTTGCTGTCGTAGCCTCCCAACCGAGTTCGCTGCTTCTGCCGAGAAGGATCATCGCCGCCGCCCTCTTCGTCTTCCTCTTCGTCTTCCTCTTTCTTTTTCGAGGTGGGAAAGCGACGCCGCGCAAGTGCATCCAGCCCAAGAAGGTCACTTGCTTTTTATTTTCCTTGTAATAAATTTGTCTTCAAAGATTTTTTTGTGCTGTTGAAACAAACAAAGAGACGCATCTCTTTTTTTCTTCTTCAGTGTGTGTGTGTGTGTGTGTTGTCGCTGCTCGTGAAGCTCGCGCGTGTTGATTCAACTCGCAGAAGAACTCGCGACTCGCGCGCTGTGAACTCTACAAGGGCCAGCAGCCGCCTTTCTTCTTCAAGTACTTCCTTTCCTTTCCTTTCTTTTCAGTTGTTGTTGTTGTTGTTGCTTTTGACTCTTTTCCTTCTCGTTGAACCTCCAATAAATAATATATTTTTTTTTTCTCTCCTGTTGTGTGTTTGCCGATTTGTTTTCCACGCCCCTTCCTTTCTCGTCCTCTCCCAATTCAAACTTAAAAAATGGACGACGAGTCCTACTACAACTACCGCGATGGCAGCACGATGTACAGCGCGACGCCAATCCGCGTCCAGACGGTGGGGTCCTCTGCGCCAGCGCCGGGGGAGATGGACAGCGGCAACAGCGGCAGCAGTGGTGCTCGTCGAGCCTTATTTCAACGTTTCAGCAACGGCCACTCCACCACCAAACCGCCGCAGCAGCAGCAGCAGCCATCCTTTCCGACGCCGACGCCAACGCCGCCAACCATCCGCGGGACACGAAATCCGCGCCTCAACTCCGAAGAGCGCGGCGTGCGTGGGGCCCCCACAGCCCGCCCAGCGCCACAAGAAACCGCCACCGCCGCCGCCCACCCAGCCCCGCCGCCCGAGGCCCCGGCCACGGGGGCCGCCACCGCAGCACTCGGCAGCAGGGCGTCCACGATGCCAAGTCCCGGCGTGACAACGTCCGTCGTCGTTCCCGGTTCAGCTCGCGCGGCGACCAGCGAGACGCCATCCGGCGTAGCGACTCCGTCCAACCCGGTGGAGAGGCCGACCCAGGCGGCCGGCACCAGCACCGTCTCCCCCGCTACGCTGACGCAACTGCGGACCCACTTGGCGCGCAGTCACGGCCTGGCAGGGCAGCCCATCGTAATCGCGGCGGGCAGCGAGGCGAGCCGCACCACGCCGGGCGCGAGCAACGGCAACACCGCTGCCGCCAAAAAGGCGGGGCAGCGCGAGCAGCACCTGGGTGATCGGCCAGGGGGCAGCACCGCCCGTTCGTCTGACGGCCGCGAACACACCAACAACAGCGCCGCGCCGGAGCAGCCAAAGCCACGACTGCCGCAGCTGCGTCCAGTTGTCGCGGCCAACTCGGCCACCGTCGAGCGCCTCAGCACCAGCAGCGCAAATCACAGCGGCGGCATGAGCGGCACGAACAACACCTCGGCGGCTGACGGCGGCGGCAGCTCCGTCGGCGTCGTCTACGCCCACCAGAGTCACCTGACGGCCACCAACGTCACGCGCATGTCGCCCTCGCCCGGCAACGGCGGGGTTGTGTCGGTGCTGGAGCCACTGCGCACGGATGCCGACGACAGCTTCAATCCCAGCCTGCTGGAGTCCACGGTTGGGCTGGAGGACGGGGACCTGGCGCCGGAGGTGGCGGAGGCCTGCCACAGCTTCCTGGAGCATTTACCCGTGGACTGGGCCCGTGCCGTCGTGCGCGCTATCACCCTGCAGACCGCCACGCTGCAGGTGCCACCGCGGCTTCTGCGGGCCCCCGCCATCTTCGACTCCTACGCGGAGTTACGCGGGGAGGTGTCCGCCACGCTGGAGGCGGCCGCCGCGGGCAACAACAGCACCAGCCAGGGCGGTGGCTCCGGCAGCCTTGTCGGAAAGATCGAGGCCCAACTGCCGTTCCTGTACACGATTAATCTGCAGCAGCTCTTGACGGTCGCACCGGCCCTCCTGCGACACCGCCTGCACAACACCCGCGGCGTCAAGCTGGACGAGCTGCGGGCCGGGTTCCGCGGCAATGCGCAGACGGCTGCGCGCACCGAGGCGTCCGTGAACCGGTACGCCTACCTGCCGCACGTTCAGCGCGATGTGCACTTCGGCGCGGTGCTGGCGCAGGGTGCGTTGCGCATGATGACGCCAGGCCCGCGGCTGACAGACGGGACTACACCGACACACGGCAAAGGCTGCAGCAACGGCGGCGACAACGCGGCGGATGGGGCTCGAATCTCGCCGCGGCAGCACACGCACCACGCGTCGTCCGCGCAGTCGCAGCCGGCGTCCGTTGCCACGAATACCACGACCAGCACCGCCGCCGTCGCAACCCCCACACGCACTTACACCGCCGTCTCCTTTGAGAACTTCGCGTCGATCTTTCTGAAGGATCGCTTCGACATCGCGCAGACGGAGCGCAGCGGCAGCGGCGGTGCGAGCAACAGCGGACGTCACGGCGGCCGTCACCGACGCCGCATTGACCCTTTCTTTGAGCGCGAATTCGTGGCCACCATCGCCACGGGGCAGGAGGAGGCGGCCCTCTTCGCCAGCACCCTCGCCCCGGAATTCATGGTGGGTCTGCCGTCCTTCCTGAAGCACCCGGAGCGGGCCGTGCCGCTGAGTGTGGCGGCCGCTCTACACCACCTCTACACCGTACTCAACATCGAACTCTTTCTGCGCTCCTACACGGCGGCGACGCTACGAAATGCGGCGGTGGCGGCGGAGATGAACACGGGCGCAGCAGCAGCCACAGGGCGCAACGCAAACAACGACAAAAGCAGCTCGAACGTGAACAGTGGTCGCATCCATTTTGTGGCAGGCAACCCGGCGACAGTGCTGTCCCTCATCCCCTCGGAAGCCCCACCTGCGTCGTCGTCGTTGATGGCGGCGGCGGCGGCGGGCTCGCCTGTCCTGCGCGGTCCTGCGCTCGAAGTAGGCATGCTGTACGTGCGCAACACCATCGTCTGTAGCGCCAGCACACCCGGCATGGAGGCGTACCTCATCTTCCTACACCAGATCGTCTACCCCAATCCGCAGGGCCTCAGCGGGCGTCGCGACGGAGGAGGCGCAGCAGCAGCAACAGCAACATCATCTCCCAACCCACCACCACCGCCATGTCGGGCCGTGGTGCAGCTTTCTGAAGATGCCAACGGCAGCATGGCCGCCCCGCCAGCCCCGCCTTCACACACGCGTCGAAGTCCGAGCAGCAATGCGAATCCTACGAGTAGAACGAACCCGAGCGGCAACGGCGACGGCACGCCGGGCATCTTTGAATTACCCACCATAAAGCACGCCGCGGCGGAGATGACGCAGTTGGTGACGTGGGTGCAGGACGTCCGCTCGCACGACGCGCGGCACGGCCAGCCCTTCTCGTGCCACCTGACCTTCGTGCCGACGCACATCCCGGCCCTCGCCGCGCCGACGCCGTCGCAGCTGTGCGCGCCGCTGCCGCACATCGAAATGGAGGACGCGAACTCCTTCCCGTGTGTGGCGGTGCTCGCCACGGTGGACCTGTGGAAGACGCTGCCGCCGCCGGCGGTGTCGAACTTGCTGCGCATCTTCTTTATGCTGGACCGCCACGCGCAGCGCGTGATGGAGCTGGAGTCTCCGGACTACGGCACGGAGGAGGAGGAGGCAGCGGCAGCGGCGGCCGTCGCAACGAAGACGCGCAACAGCGCCGATGACAACGCGGCGGCAAAGACGAACCCCGTGGCGCATGCCATTCCCTTTCCCGATCCGCAGCTGCGGCAGCACGTCGCGAGCGGCATCGCGCTGCAGGTGCGCGCCTATCTGGAGCGCATTCCATTCATTCAGCGCGACACCGGCAAGCTGCAGCGCCTCGTGTCCTTCTTCATGGCCCGCCTGCACTTCTACGAAGACCTCAACGAGCGGCACTGCAAGACGGAGGAAGAGTTGCAGCAGGCGGAGCTGCAGCGCATGGCCCGGCAGCGCACCCACGTGGCGGACACCCCGCCGCCAGCTACGCTGCACTCGTCCGCGTCCTTGTCGCTCTCATCGACGCTGCCGCAGGCGGACGACGACGTCTACGGTGTGCGCCGCAAAGACCTCGGTGACGCCCTCGCCGTGGCGCTGGCGGCCGAGGCGGTGGCCGCATCGTCAGACGGCACCGCGGCGGCACGACACGGGGGCGGAGACGGTGGGTCTGCGCGGGTGGGAGTTGCGCACGACTCGTCCTGGCTGCGCGAGCCGGCGCTTCCGCTGCGGCGAGAGGAGAACGTGACGGCGGCGCCGTCGCTGGTGGTGCTCCTCGTTCCCCAGCGTGACGTGCAGCGGCGGTAAAAACGGAAAGGAAAGCAAGCGACGTGGTCCGCTCTCGGCGCAGACGTAATGTTGTTTTTGTTCGTGTGTTCTTTCGCCACTTCTTAAATGGCACTGGTGTGTGGGTGTGTGGCGCCGAAGGTGTGGGCGGTGTGCAGACGGTTTAAAAATGAAGAGGAACGAGAACGTTCACGACGAGTCGAAACTCCTTGTTGTTTGTCGCGTGCCTTCTCCCTCTCCCTCCCTCTCTCCCCACAACTCGTACCAATTAAAAAGGCAGCAATTGACGTTCGGCGCACCGTGATGAAAGCCGCTGCTCGGCGGCGAGGACGTTGCAACGGGCGCTTCATCGGGAGCGCCAGACATGTTTGTCGAGAAGCATTAGCCGTGTGTGTGTGTTTGTGTGTTCCTTGTTGGCTTCGATCGTTTCGCCCTTGCACCACCCAGCAGCGTTTCCCCGTCACCATGAAAGTATCAGGCTTGGGTGTTGCATCGAACGCCACCATTGGGGAAGTGAAGGTCTCCTCCCTTGAGCTGACCGCGCCACGGGGTAGCGGTGCAATGGCATGCGTGCTCACCGCTGCTGTTATTTGCCGTCTGCGCTTCCAACTACTCCTTTTCACCCTCTGCCCGTCTGCCTTCTGCTTTCATCGTGTGGCCGCCACACCTCATCTCCCAAGCAACGCTTTTTATTCCTTTGTTTTCTTTTCTTTCTTTGTCACGTGCACGTTCTTAAGGGGTCAAAGCACATAGACACGTGGTGTTTACCATTGTTTATTATTTCTCTGTATCGTTTAAGGAGGACAGCGGACCCTTCATTGTCGCGGCGCTCAGTCCCAGTGGAGTGCAACAGCACGGTAGGGCATTCGACGGTCCTCTCCAATACACAAATAAGTAAAAGAAAACGAAAAGAAGTCCGTTCTCCCACCACCATGGAGGGCAACTTCTACGTCTCGGACGTGGTGGTCGACCGCGAATTGAAGTCAAAATACGGTAAGGCGTACCTTAAATGCCCACAGGAGGCCAAGCGCTACGGCGAGTGCATTGAGGCAGGACAGATCAACCGTAACTTGCAGCGGAACAGCTGTGTCGAGGAGCGCCACACACTGCACGCGTGTGTGTCGAAGTACCTGCGCGCTGGCGCGGCGGCTAGTCGTTCTGAGTAAGCACGTAGAAGCAGCTCCTCTTTCTCTGGCTCTCTTCCTCGCTCCTCTTCGTTACTCCTAGGGCCAGATTCGTACTGTTCATGTATTCGCCTGCGCGTGTGTGCGCCGGCGAAACGCAGCGAAGACAGCTGTGGCGCTGCTATCGTCTAACGTTTTTTGAGGGGGGTTGGTTTGTTATAGGTGTTGTTGGAGGGCTCTGGCCGACGGTGAGCAACGAAGAAGTCGTGTGCGCCACGGCACTTCCGTGTGAGTGTGTGTGGGGAGGCACCATCCACTGCGAATCCTCCGTGCTGTGGATCACGCATACGTGGGCCATGCACATCAACGAAAGAAAAGGAAAGAAAAATCCAAAAAGCGTACACCACCGGGAAAGCAAGCTCTACGCAATACTGTTCCCAAAGAAAAGGTGTGAAATGAGAAGATGTTATGCACTTGGGCGCGATTCAAACTGGGAGGAAAACGTGCAGAGAGTTGTATTCTTTGGCCTTCCTCGCTCGTGTTTTCTCTTTTTGAATTGGACGCACGCATGTCACGACGATAGTTATATATAGTTATATACAGTTATATATAGCGTGAGTGCGTGGTGGTGTGCGTGGTTTTTGCGGCAGCACCAGAAGCAGAAGGGCGTCCTCCCAAACGAATAGGCTACCGCGTGTGTCCTCTTCCTTTCGCTACTCAACGATGCACTTTGGTGCTGTTCGCGGGTGTGTATGCGCGGGTTGTCATCGGCAACCGTCTGGGAGGCGGAAACACGATGTAACGAAAGAAAGTAGGGCGAAAGGAACAGCAAACAAACATAGTACTTCCCTTCTCTCCCGCTCTCTCTCTCTCTCTCAGTAGCTCTAGCGGTTAGGTGACACACGTCATTCCCCCTCCTCGTCATGTCGGTGCGTCTCTCAGCGCAGTATTTTTCTTGCATTGCGCGCTGCGCAGGCGTCACCGCTGACGCCTGCGCAGCCCGCCGGCACACCGCGCACCACTGCACCGACACGCAGCGGCGTTGTATGACGTACTCCACTTTCGGTGCCATGCGGAAGAAAACTCAGCACCGTAACGAAAACACATCTGCGAGCTCCCCGCCAACTCACCCCGGCGCGTCGTCGTCGTCATCGCGGCCGCTGCAGTCCTCCGTGCAGAGCCGCAAAGAGGCAGAAATGGCCTTCCCAAAGACCCTTAAGAGTGGACGGCCGGCGCAGCAGAATACCGTGTCGCAGCAGCTCTTCTACGCGAACACGGCCAACGCGTTGGAGATGGCGCAGCAGCGGCAACGGGACCGCGAGTACGCGCAGCAGATGCGCGAGCTGCACTCGAAGAGAGGCGCCGCAGACCGCCGCTTCTTCCGACGCAGCTCTGACTACCGCGACATCCAGGACGCGGACCCGTACGCCGCCATATTTGGGGAGTCGGGCGGCACGCAGCGGCTGCGCACCGCGGCGTGGCAGCGACAGTTTGAGAAGGAAAATGAGAAGGTGGAGCTGCCGTATGAGCGGACGAACGTCATGGCGCGTCTGGCGCCGAACTTCTTTGTGCGCTACTTCGTGAACCTCCGCGACAACGGCGGCGCGGACCACTTATACCTGTTGTGGACGTGCGCCTTCACGGCCGTGTCCTCCCTGGCGTTGGTGGGCTACCTCTTCTACACCCCGCCCTCAAGGGCGCGTCCGACGAGTGAGATTCGGTAAGTCGTGTTCTATATATATATACACGTTTCCCTATCTTTCTTTACTCTTCGAAGAAGGCGTGATTCTGGCGAAGGGGAGGGGAAAGGTACGGCGCTGCCGTCGTTCACGAGCTCGCCGCTCCTCCATCACAAAAGAAAATACTCTTTTCACATTGAAAGTGCGCAGGGAGCGCATGCACGGCGGAAATGCGTGTTTCGACATCCAGCGTGGCAAAGCAGTTCTCAAACGAAAAGGGGGAAAAAGAAAAGAGAAGGAAGGTATTGGAGAACTGTAAAAGCAAGCAACAGCGAACACCTAGCTTGATAGTTGTTGAAAGCTGTCGACGTTCATTTGTTCCGTTATGTTCTTTTCCCTTCTCCTTCAGCAGCAGCTGCTGCTGAAGCTGCGTGCAGGCACGTTCCCATGGCTCAGATGCGTCTCGACCGCCGATCTTTTGGTTACTGCTGGCTCACAGCGACATGTCCTGTACGCCGTTCCTTGTGTTCCTTCCCCCCCCCCCTCCTCTCTCTCTCTCTCGATGCACGTCCTCTCGCCTCACACGATCAACACAGTCCTCACGCTACTGCTGCAGCCTTTACCATCCTCACGGTCTTGTTTTTGCTCTTGTCTTATTATTTATTTGACGGTTCATATACACCTCTGTTGTTGTTTGTGCAGGAAACCGAGTGGAAAGGATGCCGGCTGACTTTGCCCTCGCGAAAGAGTGTCAGCTGTTTCGCAAGGATGTAGACGGCGTACTGGCACTGGCCGCACAGCTGGTGCTCTCATCCGCCTCTCCTAGTACGACGACTACGACCACGACGAGCAGCGCCACCACGGAGCATTCGGTCCCCGCGCCGTCCTCGTCACGGTTGCTGGCTGGCCCGTTAATCGGTGCGGTGCTGACAGAGGCGCACACCCGCACGCTGCTGCACAACGCGCTGGTGCGTGTGTTAGTGCCCGCGCAGCGCCACGCCGCCCTGCTGCAAGACAACAAATACGTCCGGCTGGCGAACGAGGCCGAACGAAAGAAGCGGCAAGAGCAGCAGCAGCAGCAGCAAAACCCCTCTGGCAGTGCCAACGGCACAGGCGGGACAGCCACCGCTCCGGTCGCGCCTTTGTCGCTCGATGCGCAGCAACAGCGGTTTCGTGTAGGCCGCGTCGTTGGTGTGGTACCCAAGCCTGGTGCAAAGACCCCCGCCGCCGGCACCCGCAGCTCGGCCGCCACGGGGGACCCGTCACAGCTGTGGCTGCTCGCCGTCTACGTGGGCGAGTGTGTCGAGCCCTTTACCGTGGCGTCGCTCAGCGATGACGTCTTCACCGAGGCGGAGCACCGCATCTTTGTCCAGTCGGCGCTGTCGACGAATCGCGAGGACGGTAGCCGTCGCGCCAACGTTCTGCCCAGCCAGCAGCCGGCCCTTCTCTCGCGTGAGGCGGCGGCCACGGTGCAGCAGAATATTAAAGACATCCGACGTGTTCTCGCCGTGGCCGACGCCGTCGCTCTTCAAGAGAAGGACGGCTCGGTAGAAGACGACGCAGCAGCAGCTACGGTGGACGCGTACACCGCAGAGATGCTGCAGCGTGCGAGCGGGGTGAAGCGTCCGCGCGACGGCGACAGCACGCTCTCCACCAACACCACCACTGCGGCTGGGAACAGCACGGCGGACGACGACCAGGACGGTGCATCTTCCCCGCTCGTCACGTTCCTTGGAAACGGCGCTACCTCGCAGGCCGCGCGACTCGCCCGCCTGACCGACGACATCGCGGCGCGGGGGCAGCAGCTGCAGCAGCTCCGCCAGCTCCTACATCAGAAGGATCAGGAGGTGAAGTCGGCCCTGCAGCAGCAGCAGCAGATGGAGGCGCGGCACCGCGGCGAGGTGGATGCGTGGCGGGCGAAAGCCGAGGAGCAAACGCGCTCGCAGGCGCGCGCGGCGCAGGCGGCGGCCGACTCGCTGGAGCAGCGGGATCGGCTGCTGGAGGAGGCGAATACGAAGCTGCGACGACTGGCGGGGATGACGACCAAGTACAAGCAGGTGGTGGACGCAGTGGCAACGCTGCTGAGGCGCAGCAGCAACACCAGTGGTGACAACGGTGGTACACCGACGAGTCCGGACGAAATCCTTGCCGCGCTGCAGCACAAGTCGCTCGTGTAACTGACTGGTCGAAGTTGATCCCCTACCCCCCCCCCCTCTCCTTCTTTGGATTGTCCGAGGAACACCTTTGTATCCTCCTGAGGCAGGCCGTGATTGTGTGTGCCTGCGAGCGCAAAGCCTCCGCGCCGGCAGGTGACGATGTTGGAGGTGATGAGAAGAGAAAGTCAGAGGTGCTTCTTGTTGTTCTCGATTTGCGAATCGGCTTCATGTGTAAAGCTTGACAGCCGTCAGTTGTCGGTGGTACACAGAGCTACATCTAAATACGGCATAACTAAATGTAACTATTCTTACTATTCTACAGACACACATGAATCAATTGCCGTGCAGGCCGGGTACGCTGTCTGCCACATCTTCGCCACCTGCACAAATGCAAATGATTGAAGCTGTCGTTGCCCATCATCTACTGCTGGTGTCCACCACCACCACCACTACTACCCCAGCCTCGACAAGAGTAAAGTGCTTCACTGATCAACTCCACCTCCGCCATCCCCTCCTCTCCCTCCCTTCTTTCTGATTATTTTTCGTACTCTGCATCTCCACTCAACTGTGGGTTTCATGACTATTAATATTATGATGCTCTTTATTCGTGGCGTACGCGAGGACAAACATCGTCATCCACACATCCCTGCCGACTGCTCCCACGCAGCGCTTCCAGCTCAGCGCTCCTTAGGAATTCTTGTTCTTCTCTTTCCCTTTCCACCCTTCCTCGCTCCTTTGCATCGATCCTCGTCCTTCTCTTCGGATGCCGCTTTGATTCGTGTTTCGTCGTTAGGCGTGCAGACCAGTCCCTTTTTCGTAGGTGAATCCCCAGGCCTAAGCGAGTCCAACAACCGTTGGTGGCAACCTGCACGTGTGTGTGTGTGTGTGTGTGTGTGTGTTTACTCTCGCGTGTTTTCTCGAAGGGCAACACCGCGGCAATTATTGCATGTTATTTCTGATTTTTCTTTTGTTGTTGATTTAGAGCGCGCGTGCAGCGCGGAGTACTTCGCTGCCCGAAGGGGAGTCCCCCGTCCTTACCCACCATTTTCTTCTCGGACCTTCTTTGGCGGCAGTGAAAGCTCCTCTTGAAATCATTAAAGAAAGAACTCACGGAAAGCGTCGCTCTTGCTGTTTCTGTTATTATTATTGTTGTAACTTTTGTGTTTTCTAAAGGGGATCGTGCAGCACCGGATGAACAGCTTTTATTTGTTCACGTAAAGCATATTTAACAGCTACTGGCCACTTGTGTACCCGCATGTGCAGCAAAACTTGGCACGTGTACACGCAAGCACAGACACCTGCGCACAGTCTCGAGGCCTAACAGTAGCACGCGCGTGTAAGCAACGCGCCGAAGGCAGCAGCCGACTTCTCGCGTCCGTCGTCGGGTTTTTTTTTCGTGTAAACAATAAGGAGCACTCTTTGCTTCTTTTATTATTATTTTTCCTGCTCCTTTAACGGTCCTTGACGATGCGCCGCACGTCCCAATCTTTGTCGGCGGCCGCCGCGGCGCAGCACCGCATTCACGGCGCGCCCCACCTCCCTCCCTCCACCTCCGCGGCCTTCACCATTGTGCCGCTCACAGACGCGCTTCTGCCGCTGCTGGAGCCCGTGGAGGCGGCCAGCTACCCCCCAACGTACTGCGAGGGCATCGCCGGCTACGCGAAGCGTCTCCACGCCCGCCCCGCCTGCCCCTCCTTCGTTTGCTTACAACGGACGAGCGCACAGGCGGCGAATGCCGATGTTGCGGCCCTCGTCGCGGCGGGCGCGGTCGATTGCCTGCGTGCCATTGGCTACGCCATTACCTGCCGGCTGCCACGCCGGACCGCGTCGGTGCTGCTGCGGGACGCGCCACAAGACGATACGAAGACATACCGGAGCGGTGACGGCGACGGCGACGGCGACAATGGTGACGACAGAGAGCCAGCTGTGGCGGACAACCACACGCGGACTACGCCACCGATCAAGGCGGACGACGACCGCCTCCCCTTCCCTCTGCCCGCGCACCGCGCGGATACCTTTTACGTTCACGACGTCGCCGTGCACCCTGAATTTCGCGGATTGGGCGTGGCGGGCGCGTTGTGGGCGCAAATCGAGGAAACACGCGTCACGTTGCAGCTGAAGCGCATGTCGCTCGTCGCCGTCTTCGGGGCGAGCAGCTACTGGGCCCGTCACGGATTTCGCGAGGTGGCGCGAAAGGCGCTGCCGGACGACACGGTGCGTGTCCTGGAGGACTACGGCGACCACGCCGTGTTCATGGAGCGAGAAGACTGAGAAAGTGTGTGTGTGTGTGTTGCTTCTCCCCGTTACACCGAAGAGCGCCAACGCACAGTGCTCTTGCAGCGGAGCACGTCGAATCGAAGTTGCGCTACGGTGCTCCTGCTCACACCCACTCTCCCTCTCCCTCTCTCCCTCTTTTCTAGTCGCAACTCGCACATGTGTTTTTCGAGCCTCTTCTAAAGGTAAAGAGCTAGTTTTAGGTGGAGGAGGATACGCTATAGTAGCTGTCTCATTATTATTGTGAGTATTTACTGTTCTTGTTATTTAGAAAAAAAAAGCAGAGATGAAAGCCCACGAAACATCGTTGGGCTTGGCGGCCGACGCAGGTTATTACGATGTCGTCAAGGCCTTGCACACAGGAATCCTAAAAAGAGGGGGGAATCGACAGGCGGCGTCACCGTTGTTCGTTGGATCACGGGAGACGTTAAAGCAAGGAGCATTGTTCTGTGCCTCACGAAACGCTTCTCTTCCGTGCTTTTCGAAAGCTATCTCTCTATTTTCTTCTCTTCTTCTATCTGCGTGTCTAGTGGTCAGTACAATCATAGTCTGCTTTCCTATAACCCAATAACTCTATCGTCTCGTCGTCTACGTCTTCGTTTGACAGTGTGTGTGTGTGTGTGTGTGTGTGTTCCAGCGTGGGCTTCTCTCTTTGTCAGTCATCGTTGCCTCGTGGAACGCTCTCCGGTAAGTGGAAGACCTCAGATTCGACGGAAGCAAGAAAGAAGGAAGAGCTGCAAGACGTAAGCAATGTTCTCAGCGTCAACCACCAACGCAGGGCCGTCGCCCACGGCCTTTTCTTCCTCTACCGCTGCCGCCGCCAATACCAGAAACAACAACGGCAATACCGCGACATCGTCCTCCCCGCCGCCGCCGCCCCGTCCATCGCCGTCTTTCTTTTCGCGAAGGAGAAACTCCTCTTCCGCTACCCCGACACCGACCCCTTTGTGGTGGACGTGGCGACGACCGGCAGCACAGGTGGTGGCGGCAGCGGAAGCGGTGGTGCGTCTGACGCGGCGTCTAATAAAGCCGGCAGCAGCAACAGCGGCAACAACAATAATAATACTGGAAACGGCAGCGGCACAGCGAAGGAGAGCAACGCGAACAGCAACGGTAAAAGCAGCAATACCGCTACTGCTGCAGGGAGGAGCGATGCGACGAGCATGTTCACCTCTACCTACCCGTCGAACTCCTCCTCCCGAGACCGCCACCGTCGCGGCCACAGCGGCGGCGGTAGCGCAGACACAAACAAGAGCAGCGGCAGAGGCGGTGGAGGGATGTTGCTCCCCGACAACCTCGCTGCTACCCCGGCAACCCCCACATCTGCCACAGGCGCTGGGGGCGGCGGAGGGGGCGGCAGTCGACTCCAAAAGAAGTCCCCGCACATGCACGTGACGATGGCGGCGAGCGTGAAGGGCAATCGTGGCGGATCCCCTCATGCAGCGGGCAGTACTACTGCTACCGCCGGCGGTGGTGGGGTGGCGACGACGCTGGAAGCAGCCGCGACGGCGTCCATCAACAGTGCCAGTGGCGTCGCCCCGCAACGCGGTATGCGACGGCCCATGTCCGCCTACAGCCTTGTGAACGATAGCTTAACGGCGAGCTTCGCCGGGCTCTCCTCGTCTGCTCACGGGCAGGGGCACCGCACTGGGTCGCCGTTAGCTGGTCCTAGCGGGGGAGCCGCAAACACCGGCACCGCGCTCGAGAGCCGTCGTGCATCGCATGTCAAAAGCAGCAATAGCGGTGGCGGTGGTGGTGCCGGTGGGCCGCCAACCGGCCCCACGACGCAGGTGCAGAACACGTCCACTGGCAGCACACGGCGACAGACGCCCTCCAACTCGCCGGGCTCCGTCGCCATCCTTGCCACGCGGAGCAGTAAGTCGAGTCATTCCGCCAGCAGCCGCACCGCCCCCCTGCAGCAGCAGCAGCAACAATCGCAGAACACAACAGGGGCGGCCACGTGCGTGGGGATTGCCACCAACGTCCTCATGCATCTTCTGCGCGGTGCGCTGAACGGGTGCACGACGATCAACATGGTCAACTGCACTTTCCTGGTGTTCCCGCTCATACTGGCCTCCTCGTGGTCCGCATCGCTGTCCTTGGCCAACACGACCGGCAACGATGTGAACCACAGCAACAACAACAGCGGCGGTGGCGGTGGCGGCAGCACATATGGGGCATCCGCGCTGGACCAGCAGCGTCAGCCGTCGCGGTCCGCCACGGCGCTGCTGGTCGTCGCGATGAAGCAGCCCGACACCGACGCCGGCGCCATTGCGAATTTTGCGCAGTGCTTTGTGAATATTCTGTGCCGCGAGGAACAGCGCTGCCGCTACGTCTCAGCCGAGCTCGATCGCATGGAGGCGCTGACGAACCACTGGGTGGTTGGTGGTGGCACTGCGGTAGCGAAGGCGGCGGCGGATATGCGTCCGCAACAGCAACAACTCCTCGATCTTCCTCTCCGACAAACGTCGTCGTTCTCGATGAACCGAGCTGCCAGTTGTGACGGAGGGGGACTTCATGGGATGCGAGGGTCGACGTCACCGCAGCTGCAGCATAGCCGAGCTGACAGCAGCAGCGGTGTCCTCCCCTCGCCCCTTGCAGCAGCCGTCGCATCGCCGCTGGAGTTGGAGAAAGAAGAAGGAAGTGATGCAACCCGAACGTACGGCGACTACGACTACCTCTTCGCTCCTGCCCGACTCGCCGTACGAGGAAGCAAGGCGGCCAACGTACGCGGCAACAGCAACAGCAGCGTGATGCATCGGACGAGCTCGCACGGTGGCCACGCCGGCGCCCACGGCGCTGCACCACCGATGCGGACGACCGCCGCCGCTGCCGCTCCTGCTACTGCGTGGGTAGACGCGGAGGATGACGCGGAGGGGGAGGAGGCGGCGGTGCGCAGAGGAGCGGCCGGCAGCGACAGCGGTGGTAATGGTGGTGGTGTGACAGCGTCGCCGACGCGAGCACCTTCGCCGCTCACCGGGCGGGAAGGCGGTGGTGGGCAGCGGCGTCGCGGCGGCGGCCCGCCTGCCCCTTCCATTCTCTCCCCCACCTCCCTCTATCAGCAACTCGCCACCTACGTGGGGCTGGCAGCGGAGGTACAGCAAGTGGCGCAGTGCATTGACCTGTGGAACCGCACGAGTCGCGGGGTGGAGGGCGGCAGGCGGCTAACGCGTTTGTCGGGTCGCGGCTGCGTTGGTCGCCCCACCAGCGCAGCCGCAGCAGCCACAACAGGGGGACAGGCTCGTAATGGCAACGCTGCTGCCCCTCGCGATTCCTTCCACCGCTCCGTCAATGGAGGAGCCAGCTCTCAACAACAACAGCAGCAGCAGCAATCGTTGGTGACAGCAGCTCCCGGCGAAGTCCTCGACGCCCTGCCCGACGCCATCCTCGTCAACCAGCTCTTGCTGCTGCCCATGTCGCACCTCACCGGGCAGGAGCGACTGGAACTGGCGCAGACGACCCGCTCCGCCTACTCCCGCATCCACCCCTGCAGCGTCATCACGGTAGCGGCAGGCCAATTCACGGCGGACCTGCAGCGCAGCTACACGGACATGATGGGCCGCCGCTACGCTAAGCTTATCCCCCTCGCTACCGTGTACACGTTGCTGATGGCCCTGCCGTCGCCGCGCCGCGCCGGCTCGCTTTATCGCAGCATCGAGCTGACGTTGCTAGAGGCGGTGCAGCGTCGTCACGCCCGCTCGGTGGCAGCAGCAGCGGCAGCATCGGCGACAGCGACAGCGCCGACCACCGCGACGCCAACGGTGAATATAGGCTCCACAAACTTCTCCGCCGCGCATACGAGCAGCGCCGGCAGCTTCCCTGCTCACTCCGGTGCCGCCGGTCGGTCCAGCTGGGACGCTGTTGCGGAGGAGGAGCCGCCGCCGTTGTTGTCGTCATCGTCGGCCGTGGCAGCCGCAGCGGCGACCACCGTGGCTGGGCTGGACTTCTTAGCGATGGAGATTATCGACTTCTTGCGGGTGCACGGGGCCATCTCGGTCGCGTCGGAGATGTGGGTTTCCTTCACCCACGGCGAGGTGACCCCGGTGGAGTACGTCGAGGCCGCCGTTGTGCGCCGGCGCCGGCACCGCCTGCGGGCAGAGCGACGACGCCAGCGCGCCACCGCCACTGTCGCGTCCTCCTCCTTCGCACATCATGGGCGACACAAGGACCGGCAACAGCTCTCCGATACACAGGTACCCGGACCAGAGCAGCAACAGGGAAGGAGCGGCGCAGTGAGCGGCGTCTCCGCCGTGCACGAAGACAGCAGCAGTTGGGCAAGCTCGGAAGCCACCACCATGGCCATTGACAGTTCCCACAGCAACAGCAACGGCAACAACACCAGCAAAGCCGCAGCGACGGACACGCGCTCGGGGACCGGGACGGCGTCTTCGGCTGAGGATCCATTTGATGCTGTAAAAGACATGGACACCGTTCCTGCGGCGCTGGTGCTGCACATGCTGGAGCGGGTGGTGGACGCGCAGCACTCACAGCAGCAGCAGCAGCAGATGCAGGGACTGCCGTCCTCGTCGTACGTGCCGATCCCAGCCTCGGTGATGTCGTTGAATGGCAGCAACGGCGTCGGTGGATCGCGGTGCAACGGTGCAGATGCGGAGACGGCGTCGACCACCACCACCACCACCACCACCACCACGGGCATGCCCAAATCTCCCAGCACGGGCAACACCATCCCTGCCGCAGCAGCGGCAACGACGTTGATGGGTGGGGGAACGGCCCGCACCCCGCGGTCGTCAGAGACAGACGTGAGCGTCATGCGTGCGGCGTACAAGGTAAACCGCCCTCTTGACGCCCTCGCTGCTGGGCACGCACGAGCTGCCGCCTCGTCCGTGCAACAACAGCAACTTGTCACAGCGCACCCCGCAAGCGCCACGGCGAGTGCGGCCTCCTCACCCCCTCTGCTCTTCATCGTACCCGCGCAGTCGGGCCGCGGTGCCACCTCTTCCGCAGCTGGAGGGGTGGCACCGAACACGTCCAGCGGCAACAGCGCACCACCTCCCCCACAGCAGATCAGCTCGCCCGCCGCCCAGCTCTCCGTGTACTGTGCCTGGGGCTCTGCGTGCCCTTTGTGCGAGCAGCTCGCCTCTCACCCACAGTGCTGGACCACCGCCGCCAACAGAGACTACACGGTCGGCTACTACGTCATGAGCGCTGCCCATCACCTGCGCAGCGCACCCGTCCTGCACCTCAACTTCCCATCCCTCGATGCGAGTGTGCGCACCTGCGCCTGCCACGCCCGTCGTATGCGCGACCACGTGGATATGTCCTCCCTTATGCAGAACAGCTACAACATCAGCGGGGGCGGCTCACTCGCCGGTCAGCGCGCCGGAAGCAGCAGCAGCGGCAGTGGTGGCGGCGGCGGACTACTGCACTCCCTGCAGCCGTGGTTTATACGGCCGCACATGTTTGTCACGCCGGTCACGGCCGCCTACGGGGTGTCGCCGTTTGAGATTTTTGAGCGGCTGTCGTACCACACTAGTCACGGCGGTAGTCACAACGATGGTGGGCCGCTTCGACAGCAGCAGCAGCGGTGGACGGCGCTCGGCGGCCCCTCCGCGGCGGGGGTCCCGCTGGTAGTCCCGGTGAACAACACGAGCTCCCTCGTGGAGCCGGAGCGGCGCGACATTCTGCTGCTCACCCGCACGCAGGCTCACCAGCAGGAGGCCTCGGAGGCCGCCTCCCGCCGCGGCGCCACCGTCGGAGTGGCCGAGGAGCAGGGCCACACGCTGCTGCAGTGCGCGGATATCCCGGCAGGGGCGGTGGACTTCCTGCGGCGCAACGCCAAGGTCATTCGTCGCCGCCTCGCCTACGCGCGCGCGCAGCAGACGGCGTTGGCCCGTTTTGAGCAGGCGTGTGAGCGGCGTGCGGCCGCCCACGCAAAAGGGTTTGCGGCGCCACCGCCGGAGCAGACGCTCGCCAGGACGGGGCCGTCCTCCTCGCTGCTTTCCGCCTCTGCGGTCGGCGCGGCAGCGGCAGCAGGAAGCAGCGGTCGCCTGGGGCGCCACGTCTCCACCGCCACGTCCCCTAGCGCCGAGGACGCGCGGTCGGAGGCGACGACGACCACAACAGCGACCACCGTCGTTGGCAAATCGGCGGCGGTGTCCGTCACGTCTCCGTCGACGGTAGACGCCACGACGGACGGGGCTGCTGCTCTCCCCTCTGCGCCACGGCCAGTGTTAGCAGCCTCCACGCAGCCCATGCCCCTCCGCAGTGCTGCGGTGGAAGTGGACAACGAGCCACACGCCTCCTCGCCGCTGCTGGGACCGGCCGCCGCCGCCCTGTCGAAGCTCAGCAGCAGCGCCGATGCGCGCCCGCGCTCCCTTCGCTATGGTCGTCGACAGCTGCCGCTGCACACCGCCACCAGCCCCTTAACGAACGTGAATTTGCTCCTTTATAACGCGACGCCGACCGCCGCGGCGGCGGAGCTGGCTGTGGAAGAAGAGCGTCCTCAAAGAGAAGAGAGGCCTCCGTCGCAGCAGCCCCAACAGCAACAACTAAATAGCGGCTCGGCCACTAATGGTTTTCCCTTTGCGGGGGTGGGCGACCTGCTGGATGGCGGGCGCAGCCTGCCGGTGGAGGTGCTGCTACAGTACATCCTTCACCACCTCATCGCCCTCAGCTGGGGACGACGCGGGGTCGAGGTGGATACGCTGGTCCGGCTGCTCGAGCGCAACCTGCGACGACTGCCGCCGCTGCTCGCCAACTTGCAGTACGTGCGTCAGTTGCGCAACGCCGGCTTCACCAGTGAGTCGGCCGCCGTCGCGGTGGCTGCCCTGCACGTCCCTGCTGCCGCCGCTGCGACGACGGCAGCGGCAACCACGAACACAGCCAGCCCGGACGTCACGGCGGCTGCGGCCCCCGCCTCTTCCTCCCCTTCTGCGGTGTTCACCACGGTGCACACCCGACTGGCGGCCGCATCGTTCAGCGTAGGTGGTGGCTCACGGCCGAGTCCTTCCGCGCTGACGGACACGGCAGAGGAAGCCGCTTCCGATACAAGTCCGTACAGCGGCTGCTCGCGTGCGGCGACGGCGATGCCCGTCTCGGAGTCCGAGGTGCAGCTTCTACAGGCGTACGAGGTGCTGGAGAAGCTGAGCCTCATGGAGCTGCTGGCGCCGTACGCGACGTGGCCGGTGCGCACGGTGCCAACGCGGCTGCTGCTGCACACGGTGGTGAATGAGTTCAGTGACGTGCTGTACGTCGACGGCGCTGAGCGAGACGAGGAGGCCGATCACTGGGACCTCCCTGTGGCGGCGCAGTGAACGCGCCCCTCCCTCTCCATCTCTCTTCCACCCCACCCGCCTATTGTGTACGGCTTTTTGTTAATCCTCTGGTTGAGGTTCTTCTTCCCTTTGGGTTACGGTGCATCACTGGTGCTTTAAGTCTCCATAATAGTAAAAGAAACCCCGGTCAACTCCACTTTGGTTTCTTTCATCATGAAGGGTGAAGCTGTGGCAAGTCTGCTCTTCCCCCTGATGGCGCGCATACGTGCACGATACGGCGTCCCATGAGCTTTCGAAACGTGTTGGGGATGGTGCGTTGCGCCGCCCACTTCTTTTGTTTTCTGCTGTACCTCTTCCTTTCCTCTCTTTTCCTCCTTTGGGTTTCCTTCCTTGATGTCGTTTGGTATGCGCTGGGTACCCACCGCCGCAGCTCCGCACATCATCCACAGCGAGCGTTAGAACAGTGTAAATTTTCTGTTAAAAGCGAGTTCTTTCTTCATCATCCTCATTTCAGTAGACCAGCCACTACCGCTTACTTTTTCCCTTTCTTTGTAGCCATCTATATCAGCTGCCCCGGCGCTCCACATTTATTTTTGATATATATATATATATATATATATATATATTTATTCTTCCGGGCAGGGCGTAGGTCACCTTCTTCTTCTTGGCCGGCGGCGCCGTCACCTCCACCACCTGGTTCGGTGCAGGGTTCGGCAGCGCATCTCCGTTACGCGCCTTCTGCTGGACCCTGTCGGTGGTGGCCGCCTCGTCGAAGGTGCGCTTGCTGCCCGACCGGCGTGCGCTGCTCTGGCTCTTCGACATCTGCTTCACATGGTCGAGGGCCTTGTTGGGCAACGCACCAGAGCCGGAGGCGGCTGCGTTGACCTGCGTGAAGGAGTAGGTCTGGAGCCCAGATCGGCTCTGCGTCGCCGCGGCAGAGGAGTCCATTTCGGCAGTTCTGTAGTCGGAACTCGCGGCGATTTTCGTTTTTGATTATTACTCAGTTCTACGCTGACACACACACACACACACAGACACGCGCCAATCACAGTGAGGTGTGAGCGGAAAGAGAAGAGAAAGTGGACGGCGAGCGAAGTGCAGCGGCTGTTGTGAAGCGACGGCGTCACCACAAAGGCTGGGGAGTTAGGGTGTGCGTGTGAATATAGGCAGGATAGAGAGAGACGGGAGGAGGACCCCTTAAACTGGTACAGGTGCTAGAGGAGAGGGGAGATATACAAAGCCAAAGGAGAAAACGAACGAGGCAGCGAGGAGGGAAGAAAAGAAAGGAAAAGGTACGTCCAAGCGTCTAAGGTCACCAAAGGGAGGAAGAACAATATATATATATATATATATATATATATACAAAATAAATAGCACCAGAACATGGAGGAGGGCCACTTCTACGTCGTGCTCGGCGAGGACATCGACGTGTCCACGCAGCGCTTCAAGATCCTGTCGCTGCTGGGCGAGGGCACCTTCGGCAAGGTCGTCGAGTCGTGGGACCGCAAGCGCAAGGAGTACTGCGCCGTTAAGATCGTGCGCAACGTCCCCAAGTACACCCGCGACGCCAAGATCGAGATCCAGTTCATGGAGAAGGTGCGCCAGGCGGACCCGGCGGACCGCTTCCCGCTCATGAAGATCCAGCGCTACTTCCAGAACGACAGCGGCCACATGTGCATCGTCATGCCCAAGTACGGCCCCTGCCTGCTGGACTGGATCATGAAGCACGGCCCCTTCAGCCACCGCCACCTCGCGCAGATCGTGTTCCAGACCGGCGTCGCGCTCGACTACTTCCACAGCGAACTCCACCTCATGCACACGGACCTCAAGCCGGAAAACGTTTTGATGGAAACCACTGACACTGCGGTCGACCCGGTGACGAACCGGCAGGTGCCGCCGGACCCGTGCCGTGTGCGTATCTGCGACCTCGGTGGCTGCTGCGATGAGCGCCACAGCCGCACCGCCATCGTCTCCACGCGCCACTACCGCAGCCCCGAGGTCATCCTCGGCCTCGGCTGGATGTACTCGACGGACATGTGGTCCATGGGCTGCATCATCTACGAGCTCTACACCGGCAAGCTGCTGTACGACACGCACGACAACCTCGAGCACGTGCACCTGATGGAGAAGACGCTGGGCCGCCTGCCGAGTGAGTGGGCCGGCCGCTGCGGCACGGAGGAGGCGCGGCTGCTGTACAACTCGGCGGGCCAGCTGCGGCCCTGCACGGACCCCAAGCACCTCGCCCGCATCGCGCGTGCGCGTCCGGTGCGGGACACGGTGCGCGACGACCTGCTGTGCGACCTGATCTACGGCCTGCTGCACTACGACCGCCAGAAGCGGCTGACCGCGCGCCAGATGGCGACGCACCCCTACGTGCTGAAGTACTACCCCGAGGCGCGCCAGTCGCCCAGCCACCCCGACAACCGCCCCACGCTGCGTCCCCCGCCGATTATGTGAGATGCTGAACGCATAGATTCAATATATATATGACTTTCCTTTTTTCCTGTTCGCTGTCATTGTTGCCGTCACGTAGCACGAAGAGGGCGGAGGGGAAGTACAGTCGTACCACTGCACGAACGTATCCTCACTTACGGATGGCACGCGGTGCTGACGACTCATCGACGCGGACCACCTAAACTTCTGGTCTTTGCATCGAAAGAAAAGTCGTTGGAGACTGCGTGTTTGGTGTTCAGCTGCTCTGGTCTATCGCCACCTGGCAGAGGCGAAACAGGTAACACACCTTGAGCACGTTGCGTACAACAACAGATTTTTAAAAGTGAAAAAGGACTTCTTAGAAGCGACACGGTGACGGTCAGGGAGCACGCACACAACAAGCACGTATACAAACGTATAGGAAGAAAAGCATTGTCCTTTTTAGTTTCTGCCTCTACGCGCATCCTGAGGGGTTTTTTGGGGGTGGCGAGTAATTCCCCGGTTCACGTATGAAGGGGTCTTTTGCGTTTGTGTCTACAGCCCAACCGTACGGCCGTTGAACGCGCTTCAACAGCGTCGATGTTTCTCCTGTTGCTGTTCACTCTGCGTACGTGTCAGTGCCGTTGTCAGTGAACCCCTGCTTGAAGCTGCATGAACAATCGGTACCCACCTTCTTTTCTTTTCTTTATGGAGGGAATACGCGACTGCAAAAGGTATCAAGAAGAAAGGAGAACCACTACTCGGTCAGCTCGCGCCCTTGTTCGCGCAATCCCGACTTCCCTCCAATGATCAGCTCTTCTTCTTTTTTCTTTCTTGTAGAACCATATTTAAGAACGTCTCTGTTCAGTGGCCCTTCGATTCCGTTTTGTGTTTCGATATATATATTTGTGTGGGCGGGTGTGTGGGTGGGCGGGTGTGTATACGATCGTATGCGCGTGTAGGTTTCTTGTTTGATCTAGATGCAATGCTATTCTTCTTCTTTCTCTTCTGTTTTGTATCTCAGCCTTACTAAAAAAAGTGTACAAAAATATATACATATATAAACTAGAGCAAAAATACTGTGTGTGTTTCGCATTGGCAAGGTGAAGAGTTTCTCTGCCTCCTGTTTTCGAGGAGCGCCGTCATACGTGTCTCAAAAAGAGATGGTGTCGCGTTAGACAGACATCGATGCGTTGGTGCTTCTCTCTCCCTCCCTCTCGAGTGCGAGGTTGTTGTTTTTTTCGGAACCTCCACAAGAGACTGCAGACGGGACTTCTTTATGTTTTCTCTGCCTCGGTCTCTCTTTGCTCGTCATCACACCAAGTGTGCGCAGACGCTGGCAGCGGAATGGGCGTGACATGCGAATCGCCTCCCTTGACAATGAACCTCCGATGCAGTCATTCTTCGCCGTGGAAGTGCAAATCAACACAGTTTTTCTCTCGTACATCTCTTCGTGCCTCTCTCTCCCTCCCTCTCTCTCCCTCTTTTACATTCCTCCGCGTTGGGCGACGGGGGGCAACAATAATGCAAAACAAAAACGTGCCTCCGTGGCCCTGCAAAACGACACCAATATCGCACGTTTCTTCACCTTTTTTTTCTTGTTTTTGCTTTTGATCCTCACCTCTTCGTCCTCGTCTCCCCATCGTGTCGAACGTCGGCAATCCGGAACAACACCGCTTTCCACTTCGCTGGTTGAAGAGAGCGAAAAAAAAAGGTAAGAAGGAAAAGCACGGTTTCACGTAGAGCGTCTTTCGTGAGCGTCTGTATCTTCATGTCGAGTTCTCCTTGATTTTGGTCGCACGTTTCTTTCCCTGCACACCTTCTTTGGGTTTGTTTGTTTGTTTTTCGCTTCGTTGATTGATCTCTCCTCTCTCTCTCTTTTCCTCCGCCCCAGAAAGACTGCCGCGCTTGATACTCCAGAGAACAGCACTGCGACTGCGAAACTATACGACGTGTTTTTTTTTTCATTTTGTCACCCCTCCGTTTTTAGATCTCCTTCGGATTCTTTTCTTCTCCCTTCTCACGCCTTTCCTTCTATACCCTCGTACCCCGATATATTTATTTATATACGCCACTTTTCCTTGTATGATTATTATTTGCCCTCACATCCTTTTCTCACGCACCTTTCTAGATCATTTTTTTTTCTTAGTTTGTTGTCCCCGGTGTCCTTCCTTCTGATCACTGCTGCTCTTTGTTTTTGTTGTTGTTAAATCTTTCAGAGCCCCGCAGTACCTTTCTCTCTCCTTGAGTTATCTTCGTAGATATACATATATTTATTGTTGTGGGTGTTAGTTTTTAAGGTCTTTCGACTGCTTTGGTTTCGAGCATCGCCTGTAGCTCGTTCTTTTACCTCCTTAGAGCTGTTTTATTATTATTGTTATCATTTGTTTTTCACTCCGTCGTCTCCGTCACCTCAGCCGCCTCTCCTCCCAAGAGTGGCAACGAGCCCCGACTTCATTCCGCCGTTTTCCTGAGAGTGCAGCGCGATACGTAGTAAAGAGGTTTTTCCCCTTTCTCTTCTTCAAAAAAAAAAAATAATAATAATAAGATAGCCGTTTCAAAGTAGTACCCTTCCTTCCCTATTCGCATTGCTCTTCACAATGGCCTCTCTACACAGCCGTCTCGCCCCTGTCACGAACATCAACAACAGTGCCTACACCATTACCGCAGGGGCGCCGATTCTGCGTAAGCCCGACATGGCCTTATCCAAGTCTTCCTACAACAACACGGCCACCACGGCTACCACGGCCACCAGCGGCACCTCGCAAGCCGTGCTGGCGAGTCGGGAAAGCCGTGGGGAGGAAACAAATGAGCGCCGCTCGGGCAGCAAGCGGGACCACGAGACGTCCGTGACGACAGACCAAAACCCTCAAGAGGCGTCGAAGTCGGCCCCGCCGCGCCGTCGACAGAAAATCACGTACACGCTGCCTCACCAGAACATGGAGGAGGGCCACTTCTACGTCGTGCTCGGCGAGGACATCGACGTGTCCACGCAGCGCTTCAAGATCCTGTCGCTGCTGGGCGAGGGCACCTTCGGCAAGGTCGTCGAGTCGTGGGACCGCAAGCGCAAGGAGTACTGCGCCGTTAAGATCGTGCGCAACGTCCCCAAGTACACCCGCGACGCCAAGATCGAGATCCAGTTCATGGAGAAGGTGCGCCAGGCGGACCCGGCGGACCGCTTCCCGCTCATGAAGATCCAGCGCTACTTCCAGAACGACAGCGGCCACATGTGCATCGTCATGCCCAAGTACGGCCCCTGCCTGCTGGACTGGATCATGAAGCACGGCCCCTTCAGCCACCGCCACCTCGCGCAGATCGTGTTCCAGACCGGCGTCGCGCTCGACTACTTCCACAGCGAACTCCACCTCATGCACACGGACCTCAAGCCGGAAAACGTTTTGATGGAAACCACTGACACTGCGGTCGACCCGGTGACGAACCGGCAGGTGCCGCCGGACCCGTGCCGTGTGCGTATCTGCGACCTCGGTGGCTGCTGCGATGAGCGCCACAGCCGCACCGCCATCGTCTCCACGCGCCACTACCGCAGCCCCGAGGTCATCCTCGGCCTCGGCTGGATGTACTCGACGGACATGTGGTCCATGGGCTGCATCATCTACGAGCTCTACACCGGCAAGCTGCTGTACGACACGCACGACAACCTCGAGCACGTGCACCTGATGGAGAAGACGCTGGGCCGCCTGCCGAGTGAGTGGGCCGGCCGCTGCGGCACGGAGGAGGCGCGGCTGCTGTACAACTCGGCGGGCCAGCTGCGGCCCTGCACGGACCCCAAGCACCTCGCCCGCATCGCGCGTGCGCGTCCGGTGCGGGACACGGTGCGCGACGACCTGCTGTGCGACCTGATCTACGGCCTGCTGCACTACGACCGCCAGAAGCGGCTGACCGCGCGCCAGATGGCGACGCACCCCTACGTGCTGAAGTACTACCCCGAGGCGCGCCAGTCGCCCAGCCACCCCGACAACCGCCCCACGCTGCGTCCCCCGCCGATTATGTGAGATGCTGAACGCATAGATTCAATATATATATGACTTTCCTTTTTTCCTGTTCGCTGTCATTGTTGCCGTCACGTAGCACGAAGAGGGCGGAGGGGAAGTACAGTCGTACCACTGCACGAACGTATCCTCACTTACGGATGGCACGCGGTGCTGACGACTCATCGACGCGGACCACCTAAACTTCTGGTCTTTGCATCGAAAGAAAAGTCGTTGGAGACTGCGTGTTTGGTGTTCAGCTGCTCTGGTCTATCGCCACCTGGCAGAGGCGAAACAGGTAACACACCTTGAGCACGTTGCGTACAACAACAGATTTTTAAAAGTGAAAAAGGACTTCTTAGAAGCGACACGGTGACGGTCAGGGAGCACGCACACAACAAGCACGTATACAAACGTATAGGAAGAAAAGCATTGTCCTTTTTAGTTTCTGCCTCTACGCGCATCCTGAGGGGTTTTTTGGGGGTGGCGAGTAATTCCCCGGTTCACGTATGAAGGGGTCTTTTGCGTTTGTGTCTACAGCCCAACCGTACGGCCGTTGAACGCGCTTCAACAGCGTCGATGTTTCTCCTGTTGCTGTTCACTCTGCGTACGTGTCAGTGCCGTTGTCAGTGAACCCCTGCTTGAAGCTGCATGAACAATCGGTACCCACCTTCTTTTCTTTTCTTTATGGAGGGAATACGCGACTGCAAAAGGTATCAAGAAGAAAGGAGAACCACTACTCGGTCAGCTCGCGCCCTTGTTCGCGCAATCCCGACTTCCCTCCAATGATCAGCTCTTCTTCTTTTTTCTTTCTTGTAGAACCATATTTAAGAACGTCTCTGTTCAGTGGCCCTTCGATTCCGTTTTGTGTTTCGATATATATATTTGTGTGGGCGGGTGTGTGGGTGGGCGGGTGTGTATACGATCGTATGCGCGTGTAGGTTTCTTGTTTGATCTAGATGCAATGCTATTCTTCTTCTTTCTCTTCTGTTTTGTATCTCAGCCTTACTAAAAAAAGTGTACAAAAATATATACATATATAAACTAGAGCAAAAATACTGTGTGTGTTTCGCATTGGCAAGGTGAAGAGTTTCTCTGCCTCCTGTTTTCGAGGAGCGCCGTCATACGTGTCTCAAAAAGAGATGGTGTCGCGTTAGACAGACATCGATGCGTTGGTGCTTCTCTCTCCCTCCCTCTCGAGTGCGAGGTTGTTGTTTTTTTCGGAACCTCCACAAGAGACTGCAGACGGGACTTCTTTATGTTTTCTCTGCCTCGGTCTCTCTTTGCTCGTCATCACACCAAGTGTGCGCAGACGCTGGCAGCGGAATGGGCGTGACATGCGAATCGCCTCCCTTGACAATGAACCTCCGATGCAGTCATTCTTCGCCGTGGAAGTGCAAATCAACACAGTTTTTCTCTCGTACATCTCTTCGTGCCTCTCTCTCCCTCCCTCTCTCTCCCTCTTTTACATTCCTCCGCGTTGGGCGACGGGGGGCAACAATAATGCAAAACAAAAACGTGCCTCCGTGGCCCTGCAAAACGACACCAATATCGCACGTTTCTTCACCTTTTTTTTCTTGTTTTTGCTTTTGATCCTCACCTCTTCGTCCTCGTCTCCCCATCGTGTCGAACGTCGGCAATCCGGAACAACACCGCTTTCCACTTCGCTGGTTGAAGAGAGCGAAAAAAAAAGGTAAGAAGGAAAAGCACGGTTTCACGTAGAGCGTCTTTCGTGAGCGTCTGTATCTTCATGTCGAGTTCTCCTTGATTTTGGTCGCACGTTTCTTTCCCTGCACACCTTCTTTGGGTTTGTTTGTTTGTTTTTCGCTTCGTTGATTGATCTCTCCTCTCTCTCTCTTTTCCTCCGCCCCAGAAAGACTGCCGCGCTTGATACTCCAGAGAACAGCACTGCGACTGCGAAACTATACGACGTGTTTTTTTTTTCATTTTGTCACCCCTCCGTTTTTAGATCTCCTTCGGATTCTTTTCTTCTCCCTTCTCACGCCTTTCCTTCTATACCCTCGTACCCCGATATATTTATTTATATACGCCACTTTTCCTTGTATGATTATTATTTGCCCTCACATCCTTTTCTCACGCACCTTTCTAGATCATTTTTTTTTCTTAGTTTGTTGTCCCCGGTGTCCTTCCTTCTGATCACTGCTGCTCTTTGTTTTTGTTGTTGTTAAATCTTTCAGAGCCCCGCAGTACCTTTCTCTCTCCTTGAGTTATCTTCGTAGATATACATATATTTATTGTTGTGGGTGTTAGTTTTTAAGGTCTTTCGACTGCTTTGGTTTCGAGCATCGCCTGTAGCTCGTTCTTTTACCTCCTTAGAGCTGTTTTATTATTATTGTTATCATTTGTTTTTCACTCCGTCGTCTCCGTCACCTCAGCCGCCTCTCCTCCCAAGAGTGGCAACGAGCCCCGACTTCATTCCGCCGTTTTCCTGAGAGTGCAGCGCGATACGTAGTAAAGAGGTTTTTCCCCTTTCTCTTCTTCAAAAAAAAAAAATAATAATAATAAGATAGCCGTTTCAAAGTAGTACCCTTCCTTCCCTATTCGCATTGCTCTTCACAATGGCCTCTCTACACAGCCGTCTCGCCCCTGTCACGAACATCAACAACAGTGCCTACACCATTACCGCAGGGGCGCCGATTCTGCGTAAGCCCGACATGGCCTTATCCAAGTCTTCCTACAACAACACGGCCACCACGGCTACCACGGCCACCAGCGGCACCTCGCAAGCCGTGCTGGCGAGTCGGGAAAGCCGTGGGGAGGAAACAAATGAGCGCCGCTCGGGCAGCAAGCGGGACCACGAGACGTCCGTGACGACAGACCAAAACCCTCAAGAGGCGTCGAAGTCGGCCCCGCCGCGCCGTCGACAGAAAATCACGTACACGCTGCCTCACCAGAACATGGAGGAGGGCCACTTCTACGTCGTGCTCGGCGAGGACATCGACGTGTCCACGCAGCGCTTCAAGATCCTGTCGCTGCTGGGCGAGGGCACCTTCGGCAAGGTCGTCGAGTCGTGGGACCGCAAGCGCAAGGAGTACTGCGCCGTTAAGATCGTGCGCAACGTCCCCAAGTACACCCGCGACGCCAAGATCGAGATCCAGTTCATGGAGAAGGTGCGCCAGGCGGACCCGGCGGACCGCTTCCCGCTCATGAAGATCCAGCGCTACTTCCAGAACGACAGCGGCCACATGTGCATCGTCATGCCCAAGTACGGCCCCTGCCTGCTGGACTGGATCATGAAGCACGGCCCCTTCAGCCACCGCCACCTCGCGCAGATCGTGTTCCAGACCGGCGTCGCGCTCGACTACTTCCACAGCGAACTCCACCTCATGCACACGGACCTCAAGCCGGAAAACGTTTTGATGGAAACCACTGACACTGCGGTCGACCCGGTGACGAACCGGCAGGTGCCGCCGGACCCGTGCCGTGTGCGTATCTGCGACCTCGGTGGCTGCTGCGATGAGCGCCACAGCCGCACCGCCATCGTCTCCACGCGCCACTACCGCAGCCCCGAGGTCATCCTCGGCCTCGGCTGGATGTACTCGACGGACATGTGGTCCATGGGCTGCATCATCTACGAGCTCTACACCGGCAAGCTGCTGTACGACACGCACGACAACCTCGAGCACGTGCACCTGATGGAGAAGACGCTGGGCCGCCTGCCGAGTGAGTGGGCCGGCCGCTGCGGCACGGAGGAGGCGCGGCTGCTGTACAACTCGGCGGGCCAGCTGCGGCCCTGCACGGACCCCAAGCACCTCGCCCGCATCGCGCGTGCGCGTCCGGTGCGGGACACGGTGCGCGACGACCTGCTGTGCGACCTGATCTACGGCCTGCTGCACTACGACCGCCAGAAGCGGCTGACCGCGCGCCAGATGGCGACGCACCCCTACGTGCTGAAGTACTACCCCGAGGCGCGCCAGTCGCCCAGCCACCCCGACAACCGCCCCACGCTGCGTCCCCCGCCGATTATGTAAATACTTTTTAAAAGTGAAGGAGCAACGGCGTGGAGAGACATCTCGGGTCCTTCCATGACATGGTCTCTGTCTCACGCTTTCCAGGTGGTGTGTGTGCCCCCTTTGCTCGGCGAGACCAAGAAACAGGCTCGATGACATCATGATCTTGCGTCTCTGTGAGGATGCACCTATACGGTTTGTGTGTCTGGGTGTGCTTATCCGTGTTGTGCGTGATTTTGGTCATCATGATGTGACCAGTTGCCCTGCAGTGTTGGCGTTCCGCGTAGCATAGAGAGGTTTCTGTTGTTGATGATGATGTTCCTTCTTTTTTTTTCCGATTGGACTACGCAAGCAGCCGTACAGCAAGTTAGAAAGGAAAGCTTCTTGACGGTTCACGTGTCCTCGTTGGTGCAGTGGTATAGCCGGGAGGTCCGCGAAAGGACGAGCTTCTCTCTGCTTCTTGAAAACTGTGTGAGAAGCAGAGAGATAATACGATCAGCCGCCCGAAAAGGACAGGCGTCGAGTCGGATGGGTGAATTCAAAGGTGAAGGAAACAGCCTATCCTTCTTACTTACAGAAAAGGCAAAAAAAGAGCGAAGATGGCAAAGGAATGACCCAGGAGTTCTTCTGGCAGTTGTGGATGGTCGTACGCAAAGGTTGAGACTGCAAATGCCGATGCACATTTCAATTTGCGCTCTCTCGTCCTTGTTGTGTTCACCTCGTTTCGCTGAGTCTGCGTTGTCTTGGGCGTTTGTTTCCGGGGAGGCTTTTTTCCTTTCCCGCCTTCTCGTCACCTCTGACGCGTGTGATGTTCGTCGTTTCCCCACTCGTGTGTGTACGTCATTACTATGTTCTTTTTTACTAGTATTATTATCTGGGAAGACAGGCAGAGCAGCGAAAATGAGAGCGGATGGGAAACTCTTCGAATTGTGTTCTTCTAGTTTCTGTGGGGCTTCACTGTTCCTCTTGATGGACCCTCACCGTGAAGGCGAAGCGGTTTTTGTTTTGTATGGGCGTGTGTCTGTGAAGTTGTCCTTAGAGTCCTTCGATTATTGTTTCTCAAACTCAAAAAAAATGGTGGTCTCCTTTTTTTATAGGGGCTTTACAACGAAGAAAAGTGGCGGTGGAAACGCTTCTCCCTTTCTCTCTCTCTCTCTCTGTGGGTGTCCTGCAGTAGAAGACCTGTGTGAAAAGGGCAGTCGCGCCCCTGCAATTTGTCGATGCGCCGCATCGACGTCGCGCACTGCGGCGCCGTTTTTCGTTGTCACGGAAAGCACGACTTTTCTGTGGTGGTGGTTCGCTTTTTTCAGGGTTCCTTGGTTGCCTTCCCCTGAATACGTCCCCGTGGAAGACTAAAGAACCTTTCTCTCTTTCCTTTTTACGTGTAGGTCTCTCCCTTTGCTTATTTTACTTCCGCGTCTTTGGGATGCGATGGGCGAACCTCGTCGCGTACCGCATTAATTCGACGGACACCTCCTTTCACACTCCCCGCCCCTCCTCCGTTTCACCTTCTCGTTCTTTCATCATCTCCTCTCCCTCCACCTCTCCGCAGCGTCTCGCACACCACAATAGAAAGTGCACCGCCGGCGGTGCCCCTTCCTCCTCCTCCTCTTTTCTGGACTCACAGGGGATCGTCGGCCACCTTTGGTAGAAACGACAGGCCAGGGATAACGCGCGACTACTCGATACCTTCCTTCCTTTCCACCTCCTCGTCCCACCTCTTCGCTCCGCTGACCGTCGTCTCTCCGCCACTTCTGTTTTCTTTTCACTCTCGTGAATCCCAACGTAAGTAAAGGTACGCATGGAGCACAGCTCCCAGAGAGGCGTGCCCGCCCCTCTGACGCTGCAGCGTCTACTCGACACCAACCAAGCGACGGCTGTCGTGCCCGGAGTACTGTACTTCGCCACCACCGGCGAGTGCCTCTCCTGCTCCTCCTCTACCGCCGCCTCTTGCTCGAAGGAGTCGACGTTGAAGCAGAAGCCAGCGTGTGCTTCCGACGCTGCTGCGCCCACTGCGGTGATCGCCGATGCGCTGCGGAACTTCTTTTTAAAGGAGAACCCGTGGGTGGAAGGGAACTTCAGTGCAAACACAGGTGCGGCGGCGCGGAGCAGCATTGCAATCCCCGCAACGAGTGCCGCCATCAGGACTGATGCCATCTTTGTGGCGCCGCGCAGCATCCCGCCCTACGTGTACCGGCCCTTCTTTGCGGAGTTCGGCCCGTTGGATCTGGGCTGCTGCGTGCACTTCGCGCGGCGTGTGCGTGAGCTGCTGCGCGCTGCCGGCCACGTGGACCTCGCCGCTGCATCGGGTACGTCTACGCAGGGTAAAGGCATTCCTGCTGGTCTATACAGTACGAGGAACACCTCAGCGGGCGATATCCAAGATAACAGCACCCACAGCAGCAACAAAGGTACAGGGCGAATCCCATCGCCTCGACCTCACGGAATCCCATCGTCCTCGCCACCACAAGCGGCTGCAGCCGCAGGCAGCGGCAACACCCCTTCTTCTTCCGTCCCCTCCTTCGCCTCGAGCTGCACCCCACGGACGCTGCCTGTTGTCATTTGTGCCAGCCTCAACGCGCAGGAGCGGGTGAACATGGCCTGCCTTCTCGGGGCCTTCTGCGTGCTCGTCCTCGGCTGGTCGACGGCGGCGACGTGGAGTCGAGTCTTTGCGGATGTCTACCCGGGCTTCCTCACCTACCGCGACGCCAGCACCGGTGTGTCGAACTACCCCCTCACCCTGCAAGACGTGTGGTCGGGCCTGGAGCGGGCGGTGCAGCTCGGCTGGGTTGCCGTGGACAGCTTCGACCTCGCCGCCTACTGGGATGGCAAGGAGAAAGATTTCAGCTGGATCGTGCCGCGGCGCTTCGTGGCGATGAGCTCCCCGCAAGACACGGAGCCGCAGCGCACGGCTGAGGTGTTTGCGCGGCGGCTGCGCGCCATGAACGTACGTCTTGTCGTCCGCCTCAACGACAACCTGTACAATCCAGCGCCGCTGCTCCGGCTTGGGATTCGGCACGTCGACCTGCCCTACGCGGACGGCAGCACGCCGAACGACGCCACTCTTCTGCGGTTTCTGCAGGCGGTGGAGGAGCACTTCGGCGAAACCGTCGTCCCCTCCTCGCTGCGCCAGTGGTGGTCGGTGTCGACGGTGGCTGCCGGGGGAGCAGCGGCGGGCAGCGTGACGCGCACAGCGAAGCACGGCCAGCCCTCGTCGTCGTCACGCGCCGCATCAGCAGGGACGTCTACCTCGCGCAGCAGCGGCAGCTGCTACAAGGGTAAAGGTGCGAAGCCGCCGCCGCCGCGCTACGCCGCGTGCTCCTCGTTGCACTCCGGCAAGTACCGCGGCATGCCGGACACCCGCACCGTTGTGCCGCGGCGCACGACCAGCGCCAGCACCCACACCTCCTCCTTTCTCCCCGCCGCAGGGGAGCCGGGCGCGGTGGCGGTGCACTGCCTCGCCGGTCTCGGCCGCACCGGGACGATGATCGCCGTCTACGTGATGCGGCATTACGGCTTCACCGCGCGCGATGTGCTGGGGTGGATGCGGCTTTGTCGCCCAGGGAGCATCACGGGCGTGCAGCAGCAGTACCTCGACACCCTCGAACGGCGTCTCCGCCCCTCACCTTACGTCTTCGCCGCTCAGAAGCTCAGGGACTTGGTGCAGACGCTGCAGCAGCAGGCGTCGCGGTCAGCCGCAGAGGCGGCCACGGCGGCGCGGTCGCGCGCTTCCTCCACGGCGTCTGCGGTGGCGGCAGCGTTGTCCGACGCGGACTCCCCATACAGTGCGACAGCGGCAGCAGCGGCGGAGCTTTCGCTCGACCTCGCACGACCGCCCCCGGCGATGAGACGAACAGGCAGCGAGCACGCGCTGGCACGCGGGCTGCCGCGCGCCGAGCCGGCCTTGCTGAAGGAACAGCTGTGGACGACCGCTGCGTTTCAAACGCACGGCAACGTGGTCGGGGACGCCCGACCTCTTACCAGGCAGGACAGCGGCCTCACGCAGGACCGCGACGGCGGACAGTGGGGGGAAGGCGCATGGAGAGGCGGGGGACCGCCAGGACTGCTGCTGCGTGTATCATCACCTCAGCAGCAGCAACACCGTCGCAGCAGCACCTCCAGCACCCTCTCCTTCTCCACCAGCCACCAGAGCAACACCGCCCTCGACGCCGTCTCGAGCATGCCGGTGCTCGGCGCCACTGCGGCAAATGAGCGATTTCGCGATATGGACAACACCGGACACCTCCCCGCCGCAGCCTTTACGAGTGGTCTCTTCAACGACAACCTGGCCAGCAGCACGCTGAACGACGCCACGGTGCCCGCCTTGCCGCGGGCAGGGGACTACAAGTACGCCTCCACGTACTTTGTGGCTCTGGAGCGCGCCAACAGACGATCATCACCGCGAGGCGTCACCAACACGACCTCAGCCGCCACCAATAACACGAACAGCCGCGGCAATAGTAGCAGCAACCGCATCGGTGCGTCGGCGGGCACACCGGCGCGTGTGTCGTGCCCAACGCGAGGGCAAACCGCAACGGGTGCGGGTATCCGCAGCGCGGTGGCAGCCGTTACCGGCACCCCCACGATGCGTGCCGCCACCGCCAACACAACGTTTGGGGGTCGCCACAACCGACTCGCCATCCTTCAGCAGCAGCAGCAGCAGCAGCAACACTGCTTGGCATCATCGCAATCTAAGTGCATCAGCACGGGCAATGCCGGCGGCCCCGATCCGCTCGGCTGCGACCACTGCCGTAGTCGAAATCTCTCTCTTTCCACCCAGCAGCCCAGCAGCGTCACCAGCATGACATCGTGCAACAGCTGCGGTGGTGGTGGTGGCGGCGGCGGCCGTTGGAGTGGAAGCGGTGGTGCTACTGCGACGGATGGCAGCGCGACGATGAGCGGGAAGTGGAGCGCCAACGATGTCGAGACACCGCGGAGACAACAACAGCAGCAGCGCCGTTACTGCTGCCCTACCACGGTGGTCAACGCGCTTGTCCTCGGCACGCCGGAGCCGCCGCACGACGGGCACGCGCCACGGCCGCGCAAGTCACCGCATAAGCCAGACCGCGATGGTCCGCGTGGACGGCGACACCCCTTGCTTCGCAGCTCGTCTTCGTCGTCGAAGGTGAGTACGTCATCGAAGGACAAGGAAGACGCCGAGGGCAAGCCGGCTCATGCTCTCGCGCATGTGGAGGCGGAGGGGATGCATACGCAGGGCTCGACGTTGGCACGTCTTTCGCCGGTGGTCCCGCCCGTCGTTCTGCCGTTGCGTGGGATGACGGACGGCTCTGTCAAGTCGTTGTCCCCGCGATCCGCGACGATTCCAGAGACGGTGCTGCCCTTGTGGGGGCGGCCTGTGGGGTGCGTCTAAAAGCGAAGAGCGGGCTGCCTGTGAGGCACCTCGACATGCTGTTTGTGGTCGGTGTTATGTTATTCTCACCCTTCGCGTTCTTTCTACTTCTTCTTTCGCGTGAGTAGGAAGCTGCGGCTGCGGCTGCTACGTGATTCCCTCGTTCAACGTGCGCACATATATATTGAGCCGTTCGTTTGCAGATTTTTTCTTCCTTTTCCGATGTATGATACGAAGTATTTTTGTAGATAAATACGTTCTACGTTATATATATATATTTATATTTATATCCCTCACGTGTGGTGTTGTTTACCTCTGTGTGTGTAGGTGTATGTGGGTATGTATATGTGTGTGGGTATGGGTGTCTAACACTCGTGCCTTCACGTACGCTCTTCTGATATTGATCTATATTCATCTCCTCGCTTGGAAAAGAAAGTAGAGAAACCCCTGTTTCTACAGGAAGGAAACATAGTTTTTCTAGAGCATCAAACAAACAAAAACCCTTTTTATCTGCTCCAGTGAAGCCCCGCATACATCTCTGTGTAAGTCGTTGACGCGTGGAGTTCGCGTACGATGCCCGGTACTTCTCAGGGCCCTGTTACCTCTCTCTCCCCTGTCCGTAGAAACTGCCTCGTGTGCAGGCAGACGAGGGAGAGCGTTAAGTAAGAATAACAATAGAATGCCTCTCGGGGTCCAACAAACGAACTGGATGTTTGTTTGTTGGCCCCCCCCCTTTTTTTTGCCTTCGGGACTCATCGACTCGCTTTCCTTGCCCACGATTCCTTCGGCCCCACCCCCCACCCCACCCCCCTCCCACCTTCGTTAGTTTGTCGTGATCTGGTTTCAACAGCTGAAGCTCGAAAGGAGCGCTATTTAAAGTGCGCCTGTTGCGCAACGCACACACAAGAACACGCACATACACGCCTTTAAAAGAAAAATAAAGTTGTGTACGTGAATACCTTTGCTTTAGACACAGCGCCGCGGCTGGAAGGAAAGAGAAAGATCGTGTACGGTGGACGTTTAATACACAAATATACATTCGAGTCCTGTCGGGGAGGTTGATAGCAGCACACTCCTTCGAGAGAGAGGAAGAGAGAGGCATATCCGCCCCTTTATCCTCACACAAGAAGCAAGGGAAAATAACTCACATTACCTTTCTTTTATTGCTAGTTTTATTTTCTACCTTTTGATTCTAGAAAAATATAAAGAAGTATGTTGAGCGAGGAGGATAGTCGCCTCTTTGAGGCAGCGAAGCGGGCCCAGGTGAACCGAAACACGGCTATCCACATCATCGACAATGCCCGTGCGAGCGACATCCTTGCCGGGTCGTTTGTGCGGGTCCTTCTCGAGATGCCCAGCCGCAGCGAGGGCTACCTCGTCGCGCGCATCCACGGCACCACCAACGGCGAGCCCTACAGCGGCTTCTCCACCAATGCGAACCAAACCACCACCGTCTACTTAGTCCTCGAGCTGCCCCCGACCCTCGCCGCCATCAATGGGGTGCAGTACCAGCTGAACAGCGTCAGCAACAGCACCATGAGCGAGGGCGAGTTCCGCGAGTGGCTCGCGCTGATCCGCAATGAGCCGACGATGCGGACACCGACGGTGTACGAGCTGGGCGAGGTCGCCTCGCACATCCACCCTTTTGAAGTGAGCCGGCACCGCGGCGTGCTGCACAACAATCTCGCCTCTTCTAGCAGCATCAACGGCAACGTTGCCGCGGGCATGGCAGCAGCATCACCAATAGCTCGTCCGGTCAGTCAGCCGAGCCCGCAGCAGCAGCAGCAGCGCGCGCTCTCCGCACGGGCGCAGGCACGGCAGATCTGGCAAAGCCTCGCGGCGAGTACCTCGTCTGGTGTGATGCCGCCGCTGCCGCAGCCCGGCAACCGATCCCCCGCGGCGAGTGTCGAAGGTCCTCTGACGGGGGCCGCGGCGGCGCGAGCCGGCAACAACGGCATGATGAACGGCGACACCAGCAGCAACGGCTCCCCACGTCAGAGCCCGAGCACGGAGGGCGGCAACGGCAACTACGGTGCCAACCGCTACGTTCGCCAGGGCACGATGATGTCACGCGATTTGAACCGCAACCCGCGCGAGGACGGACAGGCGTCGCACGACATGGCCGGTGCGGAAGAGTCAGCGACGGAGCTGTACGGCTACAACACTAACAGCAATAACAACGGTGCAGGGGAGGCGTATCCGAACGACGACGGCAGGCGGTCCGTCTCCCCACGTCCGTCGGGCAACGTGCCGGCGTCTGCCGCGGCGATCCCCTTCATGACCCGCGGCGCGGCCGACCACCGCATGGAGAGCGAGGACGAGGAGATGGAGCGGCGGCTGCGGCAGGACATCATGAATCACCTCGCACAGGAGTGTGTGCTCTTCCCGAAGGACCCCACAGGGTACAAGCTGTCGCGGCTGCGGCTGCTGGAGCGGGACATGATCGAGTATCTGCAGCACATCCGCGACGAAATCCAAGGAAAGCAGGAGAATTGTATTATCTGTATCGACCACGTGCCGACGGTCATTTTGTTGCCGTGCAAGCACAAGGTGATGTGCCGCCTGTGTGCGCCGTCCGTCTCACAGTGTCCGGTCTGCCGTAGCCAAATTGCCGAGATGTTCGAGCCGGAGGAAATCTAAAGGAAAGGTAAAACAACGGAGGATGAAAAAGGAGGGGAAGAATGGGTGAGGAGGCGACATCGAGAATGGCTTCGGCGGGTGTGGCAGCACTGTCAAATGAAGCGAGGTGAGTCTGTGCGTACGAACCATGTGCCGCTGTAAAGTTCTTCGTTTTTGTTTCTTTTTGAGCTCGTCTGGACTGCGTGCGGATTCGATGATCATGGGGAGAGGACGGAAAACGGAAAGGGGAGGGAGAGACGGTAAGTGCAATCGCCAGGGCCTTTTTTTGTTTGTTGCCGCTACATACCCCCCCCCCCCCCGGATACTTCTTCAGTGACGCGAAGTGGGCGTCTCCTGTGACTCCTTCCCTGTTCTTTATGGTTACTCATTAATTTACTTTTGCTTTTTGAGTGCCCTCGCCACTCTTTTGTGTTGGTGCAGTGGGTTTTATTTGTTTGTGTTTAGGTGTCTCCGTGGACCTTCATGCTGTGTCCTCTTGTATCGCTTCTCGTTTATCTCTTTTTTTTCTCCAAACCTGCGCAGACAGCAGTATCTCCGTTACTTTCCTTTGTTTGTCTTTTGATCTCCCCCTTTCGCAGTTGGTTGGGCCTCCTTGACAATCCCCGCAGCAGCAGCATCGCTTCATGTCACTTCTGTCACCGCTCTTTGATATCTCTTTCTCTTTCTGCCCCTCGACTTTCCTTTGTTGGCTTTGACTTGTGAGTTTGTGTTGTTGTTTGACGCCGTTCCTGGGCGTACGGTGTACGGGGAGAGGGTGGGATCGCCTGTTTGGTGTCAACTTTTTGCCTCCCTCTCCACGTACTCTTACCGTTGTCTCCGCTCAGTGGCCAACCTTGCTGCTGTGATGAGCTACTCCGCTGTTGGTGGCAGCCCTCACGGTTCTTCTGATGCTACTTCTTCTCTTTTTTTTTCCCCTCTTCTACTGGTTCTCCGCTTTCTTCGGTGTTTCCCCGCTCTTGCGGCCTTCAGAGTTGGGGTGGCGTTTATCAGCGCTTTCTTTATGTGTGTGTGTGTGTGTGTGTGGAGTCGCTTGGTCGCTCATGTCTTCTCATCTCGGTCTCCGTCTTCCTCGCGTTGTTCTCTGCCTCCCTTGGTTTTTTCTTCCCTTTTAGCTTTGCGCCTTTGTTTCTTCTCTATGTGTAAATGCAGAAGTCACCGTGCGCAGCAGCACCGCCGCGTGTCAAACGAAAAGCGAGAGCAACTCTAAAAAAAGAAGATAATATACATATGGCCGAGGGATGCTTCGAAGGGAAAGCAAAAAGGTGTGAAGATGCGGCGACAAGGATGAGATGGGTGCCGTGGTTGCCGAAAACGGCGATGTGGATTCTTTTGGCAGCGCGTGTTCTTTTGACTCGTATCTCAAGTGATGCGCACGGGCACTGTTTTTGTCGTAGTTGTTGTTGTAAACTTTGAGAAACCGGTGTGAGACGACGTTGTACGCACGCCTATTCGCAAAAGCACGCACACGTACGCTTCTCCTCCTTCATCACAAGGTCAACGGAGCAGGCGTACGTTGCAGTTATGTGTCACGTGTGTTGTCTCGGTGCCTCGCGCCCCTCAACGCTGTGTTCTCCGGGTCTACTATACACAGTTTTCTGTGCTCTCTCTCTCTCTCTTTACACCTTCGCCCTTTCTGCACTGAAACCGCGGTCAGTCGCGCAACGTCTCCATTCGTGTGCAGCGGAACACGCACAGAAAACTGAGCAAGAAGGGAAAGAAGGCTGCTGCGCTTGCTTTGGTTCCACCTGTGCCTCTTTCAAGCTTACGCACACACATACACACAGAGAGAGTGATCCCCAACTACGACAGCCGCAATGTCCGCGACGGTGACGAGTCCCGCCTTCAAGGTAAGGGCGGACACACCCAGCCTGCCGCGTGGCATGGACCCCGCCTATTACGCGCTGAGCCTCCTGCGCCGCCGTCGGTTGGAGGACTGCATAAAAGTGGGCACCCGTCATCTAACGCTGCCCCCAGCAGCAGCACCAGCAGGCAGTCCCACGTCCCCCCTGCGCGGCAGCAAGGCGATGGATGAGAGCATCTGGTTTATTCAAACGAAAGCGATGGTGCAGCAAAGCTGGTACGACGACGCCGGCATCGAAGACGACGGCGTGGACGACGTGCTGATGGAAGGGGAGCAGGCCGTCGTCAGCACCGCCCATCGCCCCAACACGTCGCTGCGTAGTGCACGGCAGGGCACCGGCGCGGCGGGCGTCGGCAGCCGCGCTGGAAGACTTGGCTCGGCGGCGGGGGCGGGTCGACCGGTGAGCAGCCGCTACGGCTACGCACGGCCCGGCACGTTGCAAAGCCGGCCGGGTTCGGCGCGGGCGGGGCCCGGCGGGACCGCCGTCCGCCCCGTCACGGGCCGTTTTATCCGCCTCGGCACGGCGTCGTTACAGTCTGTGCCGGGGGGTCCACACATCAACGTGCAGGCCCTCCCGCTGGAGCGCTACGCACGCGAGAAGCCGATGGTGGCGAAGCTTCTGTGCGACTACCTGCTCTACGTGGAGCACAAACCCAAGTTGGCGCTGGAGCTGTGCACCGCCGCGCTGAAGGCCGCCAAGCCAGTTCCTGTGCAGGTGCCTAGCTCGCCGTTGAAAGGGACAGGCGGCGCCGCCGCTCCCGGTCTGCCGCCGAAGCTGCCGATGGGTCCTGGGGGGATGGGACTTCCGCCGGTGTTGCCCATGGGTCCCGGTCCGGTCCCCATGCCACCGCGCTCCCCTGTCGGTGCGGCGGCTGTGGCTGCGGGGACACCGCCGCCGGCGGCCCCCAATGCCCCCTCCACGGTGCAGGAGCAAGTCGGCATCACCAACGCCAATGACTGGTGGTGGAAGGCGCGTCTGGCGAAGGCGAACTACCAGCTCGGGCTTCTGCGGGAGGCGGAGAAGTACTTGAAGGCGGCACTTTTTGACCCGCCCAGTGATGCCGCGGGATGGAGTTTCATGAACCAGGGCGGTGGTCGCAACAGCAGCAGCCAAACCGGCGCGACATCGACGGCCTTCCAGCGTGGCCGAACCTTCGCCAACTACAACACGAGTGTCGTGATGGAGCTCGGTAAGGTGTACCTGAAGATGGACCAGCCGCTGACCGCGTTGGAGCTGTACGAGGCCGCGCTGCAGTCAAACCCAGTCGATCACCACGTCGTGCTGTGCTGCGCACGCCTGCGGGATGAACTGCACGAGCCCGGCACCGCCTACGACTTGTACAACCACGTCCTGCACCTCAACAGCAGCAACATCGAGGCCATCGCCTGCATCGGCGCCCACCTCTTCTACGAGAAGAACCAACCAGAACTCGCCTTACGATACTACCGGCGCCTGCTGCAGATGGGTGTGCACACGGCGGAGGTCTGGACGAACATGGGGCTCTGCGCCTTCTACACATTCCAGGCGGAGGTGAGTCTGAGCTGTCTCTCGCGGGCCCTGACGCTGTGCAAGGACGACACGCAGCGCGCCGATGTGTGGTACAACATCGGTCACGTGGGGATCGGCATGGGGAACATGAACTTTGCAGAGCGGGCGTTTCGCCTCGCCGTCGGGGCGGACGCCACCCACGCGGAGGCGCTGAACAACCTGGCTGTTTTAGCGTTCCAGAAAAAGAAGGAGAAGACGGGACGGCGGCTGCTGGACACGGCGGTGATGGCGGCGCCACAGCTGACCGAAGCGCTGTACAACACAGCGGTGCTGTCTTTTGAGGCGGGGCAGCTGGAGGTGGCGCAGCAGATGGTGATGCGGGTGCTGGAGGTCGACCCAGACCACCCGGAGGCGGTCGTCCTGCGCCGCAAGCTGCGCGAGACCTTCTTGGCCCTGTAGGGGAAAACACGCACGTAACGCTGCCTCTTCCATTTATTCTCACTTTTTCCTTTCTTTCTTTCAGTGCATTGATGTGTAAAAAAAATGGCGGCGTCAACGGCGTGTTGACGGCCGAGTTTCTTTTGCTGTTTGACTCTTCCTTTACCAGATGTGTGTGACTCGGTGAATTGCGGAAGTCATATATGAAAAGATGGCCGTGTGCTTTTCCTTCCGCATCGAGCGACATCGCAACGTGTCATCTGTGTGTACCGTTGGTGTATTACGCTTCAAAAAGGAAGGAAGAAAAGCCTTCGATTGATGGAAGAGGGTGTGATGAGCGGGCGAATTCGGTGTTTCGCTCACCTTGTTTGTGATTGTTGCGATTGTCGCTGCACTGCTGCGCAAGAATGCGGGGTAGAACACAGTGGGGGGGGGGGAAGGAAGGAGGCGAGAACTAGAAATTGCAGCTGCTGCGTTTGCGCGTTTACTTGACGTTTTCTTCTTCTTTTTAAAGCCTTCTCTGCTGTTGGGACGACAGGATCGGTGCAGCAGCCCCCACGACATCTCCCGCTATCACTTCTTACTCCACTGTCTATCGATCTCGTTACCTTTGTTCCTGCCCGATCTTCGGCGCAGCCATCACAAGCAGTCCACACAGGGTTACGCAGGAAGGAAGCAGGCAAGCCGATTCGGCCCTTCAAACGTCACTGCTGCTGCTGTTGGTATTGTGTGTGTGTGTTGTTTTTCTATTACACGGTTCTCGCTTCACCCACCACACTTACCGCGGAATCGTTGTATCATCACTACATCTCTTTTTGTTTTCTTCTTTCTCTCCCTCCGACCATATAGAGATCACCATTCCCCTGTGCTAATCTTTTGGTTGTTATTGTCAATTAGAATAGTAGATATGCGCAGTTGTCGCCGTTAGAGTGTCTTTTTAAAACCGAAGTAAGCACAGTCCAGCAGCGCAGTAGATCAGCGCACATTACCTATCTTGTGTGATTTCGTTGATTTTGTAAAAGGTGAAAAGAGAGAGCCGAAAGAAAGAAGGTATGAGCACTTCTTCGCGAGATGAGCATCGGCCTCCCTTGGCCTCCTCAACTGCCGGCGGCATCACCAGCACACCCCACACCCCCACCATCCGCAACGCGCACAAGCAATCGCCGTCGTCCTCTACGCACGCCCTCCTTCATCGCACCCCGCCATCACCATCGGCTGCACTGCCCTCCGCCGCCAACGTTCGCGCAGCGCTCTGGACTTTTCGAAACGCTTCGGCAGCCTCCTCGGCGGTGGGCAGCGAAGGAGTGCTTTCTACGCCCATTCCACGCGTGGAGGGCACCACGCCGGAGGCGGCGCCAACTCCTGTGTCGTCCCCTTCTCACGCCAGTGCTGCTGCCGCGGCCGCAGCGAGCAGCGATGATATTTTGCGCGGCATCTACAATGAGAAACTACACGCCAGCGTCCGTAGCATCATCACGACGCTCAGCAACGAGCTGCCGGAGGACCACATTTTCTTGCAGCTCCTCGCCGACCCCAGTACCCAGCAGTACTGCAAGGTGCGCCTCGCGGAAGTGGTGGAGGGCTTCCTGTACTCGACGCAGGCGGAGCAGTACCACGAGCTGGCGACGGAACTCGCACGCCGGGAGCAGGACTGCGAGACGCAGCGACGGCGCATCGAAGAGCTGGAGGCGGCCCTCGCACTTGCCGTCCATGAAGCTGAACAGCTGCAGCAACAGCAGCAACGACGTTTGAGTGAGGTACACGAGAGCAGCTCTCACGCTTCTCGTTCACCGCCGACTCCTCCGTCGCATATCCCTTTACCAGATGCCGCGGCAGAGTCGTCGTCTGCACCTCCCGTTATGCGGCAGTCTAACCCCATGGAGGACGAAGAAGCCCGACGAGAGCTTCTTCGCGTGTTGGAGCAAGCCACACACGACCAAGAACTCAGTCGCTGTCGACTGGCGCTGCAGGCGGTGGCGAAGGTCGTCGCGGTCGGTTCGGCGGAGCCAAAATACGAGGATAAGTACTTCTACGAAGGCGAGCTGATGGGCGAGCTGTACACGTGTGTCCAATCGCTTCTGCAGTACGTGGACGGGGCCTTGGACAGCCAAGAGCGGCTGCGGTGGGAGGTGCAGGAGCAGCACCCGTGGATGTTGCGCCACCGTGGCGCCGAGGAAGGCTCCTCCGCGCTCTCATCAACAGCAGTAGGTAGAGCAGCTGTGGGTGTTGGTGGAGGTGGCGGCAACGGAAGTTTTGCGGCGTCCGACTACTCCACTCCCCATCGTCCACGCATGTCGATCGGTGGCACTGGCCAGGACACCAACGGCAGCGTGTTCAACAGCGCCGTGAGCTCGCACCTGCCGTCGTCGTCGTCCGCCGCTGCCGCCCATGCGCAGGGACCTTCTCACGGTGTCGCAGCAATTCAGAAGCGGCGCGAGGAGCTGCAGCGACTTAGCCGACAGCTTCGCCAGGATCAGCTCACGTCACGGAACGTGCTGGAGCAGCTCGCACACGGCGAGGCGCAGCACCGGCGCGAGGCGGCGCAGTTTCAGCGGGCGTTGGAGGCGGCACGTCACGACGCCACCGCCGCGGCCACCACGGCGGCGGAGGCGCAGCACGCAAAAGCAGACGAAGAGCGGCGGCGCGCGGAGAGCGTTGCCGCTGCCGCCGCGGAGCGCACGGAGTTGCGGGACAAGCTGGCCGATGTGCAGGCGCAGCTGGCGGCGACGGCCTTCGATGTGCAGGCGGCCCGCCGTGAAGGACAGACGTTGGCGGCACGCGTAAAAGAGACAGAGAAGAGGGAGGCGGACGTGCTGGACGAACTCGCCACTGTCAAGACGTCACTGCGTGAGAAGGGAGCGTTACTGCGGGAGCAACAAGCTGAGTGCACCGCCTGCCACGCAGAACTGACGGGGTTGAAGGCTCTTCATCAAGCCGACGTCGACGCCTTGCAGGACGCCGCACGGGAGCTGTTGTGCCTGAGAGTGGAGAAGACCATGACGGGCCTGAGCGCGCTTTACCACGAAGCGAAGGCAACGAAGGCGGAACTGCTGGAGCGAGAGGGGTACCGCCAGCTGTGTGGGAGCTACAGCACCGCGGCGGCAGCGCAGCACGAAGCCGCCCGGCACGCGCAGGTACAGCTGCAGGTGGCGGAGACCGCGCATCTGGAGAAGGCCATGACGCATCAAAGCGTAGCGGACGCCCTCGGGGTGCTGCTGCGGTCTATGTGGGCCGATGACGCGACGGAGGCGGCCTTGGGCGACGCCTCCGCCGACTACGACGGCGTCTCCAGCGACGACCATCGAGACCCACCGTCGGCCACACCCGAAAGCTCGCACAAGGAAGGCGCGACGGCTGGCGCCGCTGTCAGCCGCGCCCAGCGCTACCGCCTCCCCTCCACCCTTCCCGGCCTCTGCTCTGCGCTGGACCACGCCTACGCGAACGTGCGGGCACGCCACCACGCGCGGCAAAAGACCATCGAGTCGCTGCGCACCACGCTGATCGGTAAGGATATTGAACTTCGCAGCGCCCAGGCGAACGAGACCCAGCTGCGCGACCTGCTGAAGGCGGAGCGGGCGAAAGAGGAGCAGTGGAGAAGCGAGATGGCTCAACTCAACGACAACAATCCGATGCGTGATCTCCTCGCTCGTCAAGACGCACTGTTGAACGCCGTCAGCGAGGAGCGTAACGCGCTGCGGCGGCAGTGGAATAGTCTCAGTGGGGAGTACATTGCGTTGGAGCAGCGCAACGGCGTGTTGCACGCGCGGTGTGCGGAGAAGGAGCACGAGAACGCGCGACTGAGCGGCATGCTGCTGCGGGGTGAGACCTCAAACAACGCCACGCCACAACCGGCCGCACCAGCAGCCGCAGCACAAACGCGCACTCAGCCCACGCAAGACAAGCACAACACCACTCCAGGGAGCCACCCCTCCTTCTCCGCTGCTTCGTCCTCGACCGGTGGGTCGGATGCCTTGAGGAAAGGCGGCAAAGACAGCTGAAAGAGACGGCGTGGCCGCGGAGCAGTCTGTTCCTTTTTGCTCTCTCGCTCTTCGCTGGAAAGGAGTGTGCTTCGGCATTCCTCTCGCCTTGTCTCTTGCGGGGGCTTTTTTATTATTGCTTTTCGTCTTTTTTTTTTTTTGGGGGGGGGTTGCAAGCTCCCTCTTCGCGTGCAGCAGTTGGCGGTGCTGTTAGCGACGTACAAATGCCTCCTACGGGGACTCATCAGAGCTGCGCACGACGGTCGCTATATCGAGAGGAAAGCCTGCCATCTCTCTCTCTCCCTCTGCCCCTCTTTCTAGTAGCCTTTGCAGCTGCGACCGACGGCAGGTCCCACTACACCAGCATTTTCTTCGTCCAAAAAAAGGGGGGTCACTTCCTTTATACGGCGCACGCGTTCGTCTTCTCACCTACGCTCCATCTCCCTCCCCCCCCCCCTCCTCTTTCTCTATTTCTTACCCCTTGTCGTAAATGCGTGGTGCGTCCATAGTCCAGCCATTCGCGTCTCTCATTGCTTGCTCCCTCTTAACCTCCTTCTGGGTACCTGCAAATACGCGTGTTATCGTTTGCAACGCAGTCCATTGTTTTCTCTTCTTTTTTTTCTCCTGGGTGTCGTTGCGGTGCTCGCTGCGTTGTCGCCTCGTATGGTGCTTCTGGCTTGCTCTCTCTCTTCGTATTTTATGCTTCTTTTTTTTAGCTAGATCTGCTTGTCAGCCTTGATCATGTCCTCCTACTGGTGGCCGCTGGGTCGTACCGTCACGCCGCCAGCGGCACCGCCACCGACAGCGGGACCCGCCACCCACGACCCTACCCTCACCGCCACCCCCGCTGCGTCGTCGTCGTCGACCCATGCGGCCACGTCCGTTGCGGACATGCGCCACCTCGCCCAGACCGCCTTCCACACAAGTCTGGAAAACCTGCTTGTCGAGGCCACCAAGCACCGCAGTCTCGTCCTCCTGCGCGATGCGGTGCAGGACACGCGGCAGCACCACTACGACCCTTTGAGTCTCTTCAACACCTTGTGCATCGCCTGCTCGTTGCTGGCGGAGCGGTGTGGGCCGGGAGGGGCGACGCGCAGCCTCAGCAACGCGGGCAGCGCCGCCCACGCAGCCGTCGGCGGCGCCATCGAGGAGGCCCGCAAAGTCCTCCACAGCAGCGGAGAAAACGCGCGGCTCGCCGCCTCAGCGCCTGGCCTGCCACTGGCGGGGTCGTTTGGATCAACCGGCGACGCCCCGCAGCATCCCCCGCTGCCCAGCTCCTCGCAAGCCCTCCACTACCGACACCACGGGGCAGCGCGAAACTTACTGCAGCAGTCTATCGGTGATGTGGGCAAGCTCATCGCACTGGGGCTGTTGCCCGTGACGCTCCCAGTTGGGCAGCGGGTGGCGGACCTCGTGCGCGAACTGGCGTTTCTGCCCTCCGCAGTCACCGCAACGACGCACACACCCTCCCCTCGCAGCACGGCGAGCCCGGGCGCCACATCGAATAGACCTCCCACGACACAGTCTCTCACACGCACGCCACCACCACCACCACCACTACCACACGAGCGAGACCGGTCAGGTGCGTCAGAGACAGCGATGAACACCGTACCGGTGACTTCGGTCCACCTCGTCCACGACGATCCGATCCTCGTGCGTCTCCTGCAGCTGACCGCCTCTGCCGCCTCCGCCTGCCAACTCGGTAGCCCAGCTCTGCCGGAGCTCTACGGCGTTCTCCTCCTCTTCTACAGCGGGGTGGCGCCGCTGTCGATGCTGGAGGCGACGTGTGAGGCGACACTGACGCATCACATCCACACTGTGCTGGCTGAGCTGCGCGACAACCGTGGGTCGGGTAGCGAGGTGGCGACGAGCATGAACCATAGCAACAGCACCGGCGGGCCAACCGCCGCTTCGGGGGCGGCTGTAATCGCAAAGGCGTTACGCGGTGGAGACGCCAACGCCGCTTCCTCCGCTGCCTCGCCCTCAGCGGCGGGGACGACCGCTGCCTCGCCCTTCACGGCGCAACTGCACGGCGTTGCCTTCGTGAAGGACATCTGTCGGCTTATGGTCGGTGCCCGAACGCGCTGGCTGCATCTCTCGCTGCAGCGCAGCAGTGCACAAAGGAGCGGGGAAGGCGCCGCCGCCTCTTTCCGGCACGCACCGGCGGTGCGTAAAGCGAACTCTGCATCGTCGTCCATGGCGGCTGTCACGGCGAGCGTCGTCGCCGCGGCGGCCGATTTGGAGCGTCAGCAGCAGCAATACTGCTCTTTGCACGGGACGCCGCTGACGACGGCCATCGCGTCCGGCAACGGCGAGGCTTTCACTGAGTCGTTGAGCGACCTAAACATCGCATTGGGCGGTCGCAGCGGCGGCGGTGGTGGGGCGTTGGACTCCCCGGCCTCGTTGGCTCTCTCTGCCTCGGTGGCGGCCGCGACTGCCGAGACGGCGCGCCAGGCATCCGTGATGGAGTACGTGCCGGAGCGTCTGCGTGTTTTTCTCATGCAGGCCGTCGCGCTCTTTTTTAAGGAGCAATCCAGAGCGACTTCTTCGACGCAGCCGCCCGCCCTCTCCTCCACCGGTGCAGCCGCGCAGGCCGTTGAGGGTGGCCAGCACGCACCCCTCAGCGACAGCCCGCTGTACGTACAGTGCTTAAACGACTGCCTCTTCTCGGTGGCGCTGTGGGGTATGTACGAGATGGACATCACCGTGCCCATGCAGCCGCCGCCGCCGCTTTTTGTCGAGGTGATGCAGCAGCAGTACACCGCCTCGCGCCCCAGCGTTGTCTGCTCGCTGGAGCTCTTCACCTGCACCCAGCAGCTCGCCCTCGTTACGGTGAGCGCCAACCTGGCCAGCATGACAAACTCCGCGCAGATTCTCATGGAAGCGCACGAGCGCCTGCTGCAGCGGCTTTATCGCAAGCGGAAGCTGCGCGGGTCGTCGCCGTCTCCGGTGCTCGGCGGTGGTGCCATCCGCAACGACAACGTCAAAGATGGAAGTTGTGTCGAGGCGCGTGACGCGTACGCGGAGCGGCTGTCGCAAGCCGCCATTGCAGTACTGACGCTGTGGCGCAAGACGCTCACGGGCTCGTCGCTGCTGTGGGCGCTGCAGCAGCTGCGCTCGGCTCGCCTTGGTGCTGATGCGGCCGTCGTGGCAGCATCATCAGATGCCCAAGACAGGTCGTCGCCGAACATGAGGATGGGCATGCCTTCTTTTTCCTCTACAAGTGTTAGTGGTTGTGGCGGAGCCGCGGCTTCTTTTTTTAACGAGCGCCACCGACAGTCGTCGTCGGTCGACTCCAGCACGGGTGACTACGCCAGCGACGGCGACGTGGACAGTGTGGGGCGCGGGAAGAGGAGGGCCGCCGAGGGACATCGGCCGCCGCGTGGAGGGTCTGCAGAGGAGGACGTGGAAGAGGAGGAGGAGGAGATGCTGTCTAGTGCGGACGGGGAAGGCGAGCAGGAGGACAGCGACCACGACAGCGCCGACCCATCCAATCCACCCCGGCATTCCGTCTCGACTTCACCCGCGGCGCGAGGGGTCCGCTTTCTGCACCGCCCACAGCCCCTCACACTCCAACGCACGGCGGCCGTGGACGCGTACAGCGATGCGGAGAACAGCCAGGACGACGCAGGCGGGGTTGGGTCGCCGCGGCTGGAGATGGCACCGCTGGCGCGGCTGGTGATATCGGTGGCGAAGTTGATCATGGCCTACATGCAGGCAGCACCACGGGCATCGTCTCCGTCGCTGGGCAGAGTGCCGAATAGCACCGGCAGCGACGAAGCAGTAGCGGTAGAAACAGCAGGTAGCACGGCGACTCTGTCTTCCGTGACTCCTCCCGCGCACGCCGCTCACGGTCTGCCAGGTGACGACATAGCACCTGATGTGCGGGTCAGCGACGATACGGGAGCGGGGGCGAAGGAAAGCAACGCCGCGGTGCCCAAGAAGAGACGCGCTCCCCGCATTCCTGTTCTTCCGTTCTGTCTCGGTGCATCTCCACCCACAGTCTATCAGTGTCTCACGGAGGCCATCAGCTTCTTGACCGTCTTTGGTCAGTACTTCTGTCAGTTGGCGGAGAGGCAATCCGATGTGGTCGGGGAGGAGGCGCTGAAGCGGGAGCAGGTGGCGCGGCGCTGCTCCTCGTGGCTGCTTGACGTGCACCCCTACCTTCTGCGTTGTGGTGCCCTCTGCCTTCGGTGCCTGCGCTACGAGGAAGATGTGCTGCCAGTGGCGCTGAAGGGCATCGGGTACTGGGTACAGGTGAGCTGTGCCCTACAGCTGACGGAGCAGCGGGACGCCTACCTGGCGTTGCTCGTGCAGGCTCTACAACTGCCGGACCCCGTAGTGGGTCACCTCATCGCCCTCTCTCCACCGTCCTCCCTCACGTCTAACTCGAGTGCTGGTGTTGCTGCTGGGACGACGACGACAGCGACGGCGTTATCGCCCAACGTTGCCACGGTGGTGCTGGAGGCCCTCCTCGCCTTACACGACCGCTGCGCCGCGCGGGAGCGCATCGTACCCGGCTCCGTCGCCGCAGCCGCCCTGAGCATCGGCGGCTTCCGCGATCCCAGCCCAGCCGGTCACGGCCACCGTCGAGGCGGCGCCGCCGCCGCTGCGAGTATGGCCAGCTGGGGTGTTGGCTGGCTGCGGCGTCGCCGGCATGCCTCGGGAGGTAGTGGCAGGACCACTGGCGTAGCGCACTCACGGACGGTGTCGCCATCGCAGTCGAAGGTGCAAAGCGGGTCTCACACGTCAGCTGCAGCGGCGGCAGGAGGTACTCGCAGTGAGGGGCAGGAACATCGTCCAACCTCTTCAGCCCAGCCCCCGCCCCTCAGCTGGCGCTCCCCCGCGGTGCAGCACGTGGTGGTGCTGGGCGTGTGTCGGCTGCAGCACAAAATCCTCGTCATGAAGACTCTCCACGTCATCGCGAATGCGCTCGGGGCGGAGCTGGACGGCGGTTTGGCCCTGCTGTCCCGCGGCACGGCGCTGACGGAACCGCTGTTGCACATGCTGAAGCGGCTTCTCACCTGGATTGAGGAGACCTCGGTGGAGCGGGAGCAGCAGGAACAGCTGCTGAGCGACGCCTTGCACCTGCGCGACGCCCTGCGCTCCCTCTGTGTGAACAACACCTGCCGTCTCTCGTACGCGCAGCTAAATGTGTTCTTTGCGGGCTTGGTGAACGGCACGGTCGCGCTCAGCCCGTCAGCGCCCGAGGCGAAGAAGGCGGTGGGCATCGCGCCGAGTCGCCACAGCTCGTCTGCTGAGGTGGACAACGAGGAAGCAGATGTGGGCAGCGACGTGGGTTTTCCGCAGGACGAGCTGCGCAACACGTCCGAGTCGGCGTCTCCTTGCACAATCGCCTACGCAGGCCTCCCGCGCCACGACCCGCAAGGCTGCGCGGATCAGTGGGTTCTGACGTCTGAGTGTTTGTGTCTGTCCTTGCTGGCGATGCTGCCCTTCACTGAACAGCGCAGCGGGGAGATGAACACGGCAGCAGCGGTGCCTGCTAGGCCGAACGAGATGAACACGAGCAGCCGCAGCAACAATAACAGCGGCGTGTCGCCGGAGGGCGCACTTGGTGCGCAGGCCGTGCAGCAACAGCAGCGGCAGCGTTCCGGTGCCCTCATGCGGGCCCTGCGTCTGTGGCAGCTGGAGACGGACATGTGCCGCTACGTGATGGACCCCCAGCGTGTAACGCACTGGGGCATCACCCTCGTAACCAGCGCTGCGGCGCACCGACGTGTGCTGCTGCTCACCTGCACCGGACAAACCCGCCCAACGCAACAAGTACTGGACAGCCTCGCCGGTACCGTGCCGTTCCCCGCGCTGTCGGAGGACGAGACACGGGTAATGGAGGTCACACTGACGACCGTCGTGGACCACGTGGCGGCCGTGGCGGCTCAGCTGTGTCGCTCTGCAGCGCGCCGTCGCAGCGCGGTGGAGCGTGACGAAGCCGCGGCCGCCGTCATGAGTGGCAACAGCGCAACGTCCTTTGCGCGTGAGGGTCCGATGGGTGGTCGATATCCCGGCGGTGCAGTAGGACCTGGAAGCAGCGGCGGCGTGAACATCAACAGCGCTGTAGCTTTGTCGTATCAGGCGGTGCAGAGTTCAGCGCTGGTGCTGACGGCGGGCCCCTTCGCTGGTGCACCGCTCATTCAAGTCACCAACACACTATTTGCCACGCCCGCTGGAGCACCGTCGTCCACCGCCGCTGCTGCTGGGAAGGATGCCCAGTCGTTGCGGAACAACACCAGCAGCGGCAGTGGAAGTCGTACGCCGCTGCCCTCTTCGTTGTTGCCCTTCGTCCAAGCGGACGCCTCGCTGAGCACGGCGGCCATCGTGTACAGCCTGCAGCGCGCGGTGCAGACCTTTGCGATGCGGAACACGTACGCCGCAGCGCATCACCACCGCGACGTCGGCTCTCCCCTAACAGGGATGGTGAATACCACCGTCAGCAGCCGTGTGAGCCAGAGTGGTGGTGGTGTGGTGGTTTCCTTGGATCCACTGGAGCAGCTGCTGGCCAGTCCATTTGCGCTGTTGGACGACGTGTACCAGCAGTGGTCGCAGCCACAGCGCGTCTTCACGGCACTGAAAGAAGGGAGTGGTAATCAAACTGTTCGACTGAGAGAAGACAGCACAGCGCAAGGAGCCGCCTCCACCACCAAAGGAGCATCAGCAGAAGCAACAGCAGCGGGAGCGTTCTCTTTGCTGCAGCAGCCCGGTGACGCGCAGCGCAGCATCGACAACAGCCCCCCGACCTCTCCGGTGAAGGAAGCCGTCCGCACCGTGCCGGAGACGGCTGCCGCAGCCGCAGTCGTGGCCGAGGCGGTGCCGCCGCTGCTGACGAGCGCGGCGACGGCCGTGCTGACGGCTGCAGTGAAGGTGGTGCAGACGTACGGCGAGGACATCGACGGGGCCGCGTGGGAGCCAATTCTGTCCCTCCTACAGCGCACGGCCGCTGCCTTTCCCACGCTCACTGGACAGGGCACAACCGAGGCGCGTACGAGCAGTGGTGGAAGTGGCGTGAGAGGAGGCGCAAAGCCCGAAGGCACGAGCAGCGCGCAGGCCGTCGAGTCGCTCAACACGGCCTTCCGCGCCCTCGAGAGCATCCAGCACAATCACATCCCTCGGCTGAAGGTGGAGGGGCTGCATCGGCTTGTTGTGTGCATTGGCGCCTTCACGGTGCACCGCGTCGACGGCGGAGTGCCGGGCGAGCGCAAGCTGCACATCAACCTGAGCGCCGTGCAGCTGCTGTGGTCTACGGCGGACTACCTTGCCGCCTTCAGTGGAGAGAATGGAAGCGGTGGTGGTCATATGGAAAGGCAGAACGACGCGTCCGCTATCATTGGCGCTGGTTTTGGTTACGGTGGTGAGGGTGCCGCCGACAACTTCGAACTAATGCATGATAGCGGTGATGGAGGTGGTACTTTCAGCACTGGACACGTTGCAGCGGGTGCCGCCCACACACCAACTTCTCAGCAAGACCGTCTCTGGTGTTCGCTGCTGTGGCAGCTGCGCAACGGCTGCCTCGATGACCGGCAGGAGATCCGGCAGTCCGCCATGCAAACCCTCTTCGCCCTCGTTCAGAACTACGGCTGGCGCTTTTCATGGACGTGCTGGCGGTGTGTGCTGCACGACGTGCTGCTGCCGTTGATTGAGGTAGTGGCCGCCGCTACGGTGCTCTGCGCGACGCCGGCGTCTGCAGACGGGCCTGCGGTAATCAACATGGCGAGCGGACCCACCTCGACACCGGTCACCTCCACCGCAGCAGCAGCATCCACGACGACCGCCATTACGCAAGACGCCGTTGTCCAACTTCTGCTGAAGGCCTTCACGGAGCAGCCGGCGCAGCTGGAGGAGGTCCGTGTGACGCTCTACGACGCGGGCAGTCGCCTCTTCGTCACCCATTACGCCAACATGCAAGCCGCGCTGCGGAGCTCTCTCCCTTCCTCTGCTGGAGTCGGGAATGACGAAGCAGACCACCTTGCATATGCCACCGCCCCTGCAGGCGTGTCCACCACTTTTCAAGCCGGCAACACCGGCGACACCGGCGAAGCCACGCGGGTGCTGGAGGCGTTTCTGCGGCTGTGCGGGGATGTGTGTGTGGTGGTGCGCGGCACCTCCGGCGAGCCGTCCGCGATGGCCGCCGTCCACGCCCTGCACGGACTTCTTGTGGAGCTGCCCGGCGACGGACTCTACCCGCTCGGAGTGCACTTGGCGTGGTGTGCGCTGGAGCGGCTGCTGTACCGCGGCGATGAGCCGGGCGACCGCGTCGGAAGGCCGCCGCCCCAGCACCATCACACGCCAGCCGAGGCCCCGTCGTCCTCCTCCTCTTCTTTCCCGTCTCCTTCGCCGTTCGCACACACGGAGACGAAGCAGTGCACCTTGGCGGTGGTGGCGGCGATTGTAGCGGCGCTGTGTGACAGCTTCCGGATGCAGCGCATGATGGCCGCACCGGTAGCCACCGCATCCGCTGCAGCTGCTGATATGAGAGAGGAAAGCGATCCTAAGTATAGTGGCAACCCGCAAGCTTTGGCCGCGACAGACCGCAGCCCCGGTGGCTACAGTGGCGGTGGTCTGGCGGATAGGGTCAGCTCCTACATCAGTGGAATGGGCAGTAAGTTCAGCAAGTCCGGCACGAACACGAGTCGAAGTGCTCGGACAAGCCCCGATGCCCAACGCAGCAGTTCCCAGGCACAGTACTTTACTCGTCTGCTCTTCGTTCTGCAAGCCGTCACCCGCTGCAACGCCGTGGTGAGCTCGTACTACTTTCCCAGCAAACCGCAGACGACGCTGCTGGAGGGCGTCATAGCTGTGTGGCCGACCTTGACGAGCCGTGAAGCACGCATGTTGTGGGGGGAGGTGTTGCTGCCGGCGTTCCCTGCCGCAGAAGATCTACAGCGCTTCGTCCTGCAAGACGTGACGACCGCGACCAAAGAGACGGCCGGCAACAACCACAACACCACGTCGCCTGATGCCCCGAGCACGTCCGTGACCACGACTATAGCAGCAGCAGCATCACGCCCTCCCCCGCTACGTGTGACCCTCAAAACGATGATGCCGCCTGGCTCACACCCGAGTTACCTCAGTGCTGTCATGGACACAATGCGCCAGTTGCTGCTGCTGCACATGGGCATCGTGCCCACCTCACCGAACGCGGCACCGGCTATCGAAGAAGCAGCAGCAGCAGCAGCGGCCACCACCACGAGCACCGCCGGTGCAGTAGAAGATCGCACGCGGCTGCTCTTTATGGCACCGAGCACGGTAGACGTGGCGGGGACGCTGTTGCTACTGCACCTCGCCTCACCGGCGGTGTTGGCCGGTCCACCGCGGGCGGGTAGTGGAGGGGTGCTCTTCACGCTACCACCGATGTTTCTGCAGGAGTGCACGGACTTGCTGCAGTTCACGCTGTGGGGCCCGGTGCTCTCGCGGGCGCCAGTCACGGAGAGGGAGCATGACGGCGTGCCCAGCAGCAGCAGCAGTAGCGGTGGTGGTGCGGGCGGGCTTGGACTGGGGCTTGGATTGGATACGCGTCGAACCGCCTCGCCGGAGGTCGACGGATCGCTACCGGCGGCTGCCCGGTGTCGGCGCGAAGGTGTTGAAGCTCTGTGTCGTGTCTTTGAGCGTTTCCTCGCCGCGACCTCGACGGTGGTCCGCTTTCTGGATGCGTCGTCGTCGCGTGTGAGCCCTCGCGTGTCGGCGGCAGCCACCCCTCTTCCCCAGTCACCACCACCACCACAGCAGCCGTCATCTTCCGTGTCTTCCTCCTCCACGGCGACGCCTGCGCCGGCTTCGAACGCGACCGTCACCATTACCACAACGACGGTTCCGCAGCACGTCACCGCCTCCCTGCAGTCGCTGGACAGTTTGGTGGACACGTTAGGCGAGGTCGTGCGCGTTGTGATGGAGCAGCACGAGGACGTGGAGGCCGCCACGGAGGCGATCACCGCCCTTTCGCTCGCGTCCACCGCAGAGGGCCTCGCGCTGGCCCGCGTGGCGAAGCGCAGTTTGGCGCTGCTGCAGCGATGGGCGGATGCCGTCGTCGGCGCAGCGTCCCCTGCCAGCGCACGGCACCGCAGCGACAGCGTCGACAGCGCTTCGTTTCCGGCGAGTCATCGCGCAGCGGACGGTGCTGCGTTGCCGGTCGGGCACCCTCTCGAGGGCCTGGCATCGCGCAGTCAGCTGCAAGACGTGGCGCGCGCATCGATGGAGACACGAAACAGAGCCATCATGAAGCAGTACGGTGAGAACCCCGACGACGCTAGCGTGAGTGCGCTGCTCATCGACACGTTACGCGACATGCTGCGTGTGGCACAGAAGGATGTGGGAACGGCGGAGGATGACCGCCACGAAGCGTACTCGCTGGAGCAGTGGGACGGTGTGATGCCGGAGCTGCTGCAGCTGGTGGCGTGCTGCAGCAAAGAGCCGACGAGGAGTGCAGGTGCCATGACGAGGGAGAAGGAGGTGCGGGAGACGCTTTCCAGCATTCTTGCCGTACTGCACGAGCGACGCCGGCAGCGCGGTCGCTCCCCATGCACAACAGCTAGACGCAGCAGCAACAACATCAACAGTAGTAGTAGTCAGGTCACCTCGCATGCGTCGATGGTGCCACAGCAGCAGCTGAAGCGCACAACCGCCACCAAATCGGAAGAAGCAATGTCGATCATCTAACTTTTGTAGCTGCGTGGGATCGCCCGTCCTGTAAAGTACCTCAGTGTGCGTGGGTTTGTTCTGTTCTCCTTCTCCGAGCAGCTCTTGAGTCGGTGCTGGAGCTGAAAGGTAGTCATACGCGAAAGAGGTGCAGTGACTGCTGTTCTGTACGTGTGTGTGCGAGTATGGGTGCGTCTCGAGCCGGATGATGCGGGCGAGGGTTTCTGCACCTCCCCCCACAACACACCTCTTCACTCCCTCACATTACATCTTCTCTTTTACACACATGGACTGTGGGCTGTGTCATTGCATCAGGTGTCTTTCCAGACTGTCATCTTTCCTCTTCATTTACCAAAAAAAAAATTAAATGATCTAACAATCGAACCGTAGCACCCACAACGATCATCAGAGCGGCGTACACGACGCGGGTACTTCGTCGTATGTTTCTCCGCTCTTATCGCCAACGGTCTCAGGGCAAACAAGGAAAAGAAACGCCTGCTTTTTGACTCATATCCCCATCCAGAGTCGCCATCGGCCGGGTCTGCTCCGCGTTTTCCTCTTCGCCTCATCCGGCAACGTCACCCATCCTTCCGCACCCCTCCACCGCTTTTCTTTTTCTCTCCTTTGCGCACTTCAACTTCTTTTCACCATTACGAACGACTCCAAACGGATCTGTGCAGTGCATCATCGAGGTCTCCTGGTCCGAAGGAGAAACGAGCAGCTTTGCGTTGATTATTATTATTTTAGAAGCGCTCTATATAGCTTTTATATTCCACTCTCACACATACATACATACATACACACACTCGCACGTACGCCCCCTCCATACCACCGCACTCCGGCGGAGTATCAGATAAACGATTTGGGAGACTCTGCAGCGCTGGTTTGGGGTGCGTACGAGCTGTGGGATACCTTCGTTTACATACGCCTGTTTATACATCCATATTACCCAAACGACCCTGGAAGGCGAGGGATTTTGGTTTGCTGGTCCAGTTTGTTTTTCCCTACCCGCTGTGTCGCACAGCGCCGTTCCGCGCGGATACTCAAAGAGAGGGAAAAGCCAGAAATTTTTCTTGTGTCGTCGTTTACTTGCTGTTATTTTCCATCGGCGAGTCGCATCAACGCCGTCTTGGATTTACCATAATTGTTTACGTCTTCTATATAGTCTTCATACCGCTTGCGTGTGTGTGTGTGCGTGTGCTTCCTTCCTTCCCTCCGACGTATCCGTCGTCCGCCGCTTCCCTTCCTTTGCATTTTCACCTCTATAAACGCGATTTTCGCTCTCTTTTCTTTTCTTTTTTAACTCGGGAGTTTCTTTGCTGTTCGCCCTTTGAAACTGCTTTTGATTGTTCTTGTTGTTGTTTTAGTAAATTCGACAACACAACCTCGCAGCCCGTGAGGGAGAGAGAGAGAGGAAGAAACGGGGAGAGGTGGGCGGAAGATTCCATACGAGTTATCCGCAGCAGACGAGCGTGAAGTCCAAGATATATATATAGAAAGAGAGGGGGAGAAAGAGACCAGGTGAATCTCCTCCTCTTCTATTGTATTGGCTCGGTGGCGTTGTCTTTTGGTTGTTTGATTGTTTTGCATAATGCCCAGCGATTTAGCGTCCCTCTCGAGGGAGGAGCTCGTGAATCGAGTGCTCGACCTGCAGGCGGAGAACAGCGCCCTCAGCCGGCAGCTGCGCAGCACCGCCTCCTCCAAGCGAGGCAGCGGGCCGTCGCCTACGGCCACCTGCATGAACGCTCACTACCACAACAGCAATAACATCAGCGGCGATGTTAGTGGCAGTGGGGGCGATGGTGCGACGAGTCCGATCGCCGGCAGCGGCTCCCACTCAGACCCCGTCAATCCTTTCCTTACAAGTCCCCACGCAAGCCGGCTCGGCGGCAGCATGTCCATCAGCTCTGACGTCCCGGCCTCACCCGCCGCGGCACGGCTCAGCGGGCGGCCCAGCATGATCGTGCCGCCGGCCCCGTCGTATGAAATATCGATGTCCGTCATGGTGATTGAGAACGGCGCCGCCCTCTCCGTCCCGCTCGCCGCGGTGCTGAACAAAACGTACGGCCGCGAGGACGTGCGGGAGGCCGACACGCCGGTTGTGTCGTCGAAGTTTCTGCGCGACATGGACTCTCTCCGCACACAGCGCTTCTCTGTTGGGGACGGTCACGGCGACGAGGTCTCGCCGAGCATGAACTTAGATGAGGAGTTTACCGAGAACTTCAGCGCGTCGCGGCCGAGCGCGGACGACGCAGGGGACCGCAGTCGGGCCAGCATACTGATTCGTGCAAGCGGTGGTGGGGGCGGTGGCGGTGGGGCCACTGGGAACGCGATGATAGCGGGGGGTGGTGGTGGCGGTGACGACGACGACGGCGAGCCGGCGCCGACAGACCCCCGCGCGGACTCCGTCAGGAATGCCGCGGCGGCCTCCTCGCTCGCCCAGCGCGCCGGCGTGACCAATCTACACCTCCGCCAGGACCTCCTCTTCGCGCGCGACATGTCGCTCGACGTCGACGCCATCATCACCCACCAAACCCTGCGCCTCTTTAATCAGCAGTTTGGGCGGGACGGGAATATGCTGTCGCCCATGTCGTCCTACGGCAACGCCATCTATCACTACATCGTGAAGACGTTCGCGGTGCGTAACGGGTGCGAACACTCGCCCGACGATGTGGAGGGCTTCGGACGCACGCTGATTAACCTGTGCAGGGAGGTGAAGCACATCCTGCAGGATGAGCCGCGACACGGCTCGTCCGTCTCGCCGTGCTACGTGTTTGGCGACCTGCACGGCAACTTTCGCGACCTCTTCTACTTCATGGACAACCTCATCAGCTTCCAGGACCTGCGGTACACCCCGCACCGCTTTGTCTTCCTGGGCGACTACGTCGACCGCGGCGAGTTTAGCGTGGAGGTGGTCGCCTATCTGTTCTCGATGAAGGTGCTTGCCCCGCAGAAGGTGCTGCTGCTGCGCGGCAACCACGAGGACACCCTCGTCAGCGGCGACGTCTCGGGTTACGGCAACACGAGCTTCCGCGCCCAGTGCCACAGCACCTTCGGCACGGGACTCGGGGAGGAGTTGTGGCACCGCGCGAGTGAGACGTTTTCGTACCTGCCTCTGTCGGCGAACATCGACGGCAAGATTTACTGCACCCACGGCGGTGTCCCGCGGTACGGCGGCGGGGTCGATGACCGTTTGGACGTGCTAAAGAGCCCCGACTTCCCGATAATGGAGTCCTTCTTCCAAGTCCCCGAGGAGGAGACGCCGCAGCACAAGATGTACCGTCAGATCGGCATGGACAGCTGCTGGGCCGACCCGGCGGAGAATGAGAGCAAGCTGGACAAGTACGGCTTCGGCGCCAACCCGCGCGGCACCGGCGTCATCCTCTTCGGCACGAAGGCCGTCGACGACTTCTTGGACCACTTCCACTTCGAGTACATCTTCCGCGCGCATCAGGAGAAATCGGACGGACTGAAGCTGAGCAAGAGCGCTCGCGTCTTCACGATTTTCAGCACCAGCGCCTATGTTGGCCATCAGAACGGTGCGGGGGTGGTCCTCGTCGCGGAGGGAAAGATTCGGCTCATCGTGAAGAACGCGGACACCTACGAGGAGGACGATTACATGGCGGAGGAGGACGATGGGTACCGCCGATGAGGGTGTCGCGCGCAACGAACCACGCACGCGTACCTCCGCTTTCTTCTTAGGTGAATAGGTGTGTGTGTGGTGGGTGCAGCTGTAGGTTCTGTACTTCCCTCTGTCGCTGCGTCTGGGAGTACGTATGGTGAGGGGTTACAGCGAGGAGAGGGGAGGGGAGGACGTTGTGCAGCTACCCGTCGTTTCGTATTTGAAGCTGTCGTCGCTGTTGTGGCAGCTGCCCGAACTCAGAGCCGCCGGGGTGGCTCACCAATGTAGAGAACACGCATGTCTGTAGTATGTTTCCTGTCTGTTGTGCTGATCGACTTGGCTGCTTCTAAAATACTGTGTTTCTTAATGATGGCGAGTACGTGTGTCTGTGTGTCTGAGTGAGAAACACACTCGTAGAGAGGGGGAGAGGAGGATGAGTGGCGGGGGGAGTGATGTAACTCAAGTCGTTGTGGTGGCGGTGGCGGTGGTGGTGGTGGTTGACTCCTGCGCTCTGGTCTTGTTCTTCCCCGTCGTGCTTTATCTCTATATTTATTTATATTGTGCTTGCATTGCAGTTTCTACGCGTTCCTCTTTGTGAGATAATAATAAAATATTTTGTTGTTGTTGATGTTGTTTTCTCTTGCTCTTTGCTTTCGCTATGTCAACGCAATAACGTGGAGGGAACAGATAACCAACAACTTGAAAAGAGAGAGTCTCTGTGTGTGTGTGTGTGTGTGTGTGTGTGAAGTCGCCTCCTTTCTCTTTTTCTCTCTTTTTTTTGAAGGAGCACTCACGAGCAGTCATCAACGCCACTCTCACAGCATTTCGCGTTGGATGCAACGCCTCTATTGTTTTTTAACATGTGGAGAGAAGCACATCTTCTTTTTTTTCTAATTGTCGAAAAGCAGGCGTCGACTACCGACAGCCTTTTACGTGCGATGACGCCAAAGAGCATCGCGTCTTGTGGCCGAGCAAAAAACCCACTTCGTTGCTGCACCTTTACTTTACGATTACTACTATTGTTCTTCCGTCTTTCTTCGCCTTCGTCTCTTACACAACGCACACAACACACGCGCACGCACATCCACACACGTGTGTCAGTCCACGGTGGCGCAGTCAACTCTTTTCGGATCCCTTTACACAGCAGAGGAATTTCGCGGGTTGTAGCCAAGCATCGACACAGCTTGTTTCCTCCGCGTGCGTGTGGGTTTCTTCTCTTCTCTTCCTTCTCCTCGCCGCATCTGTCTTGCGGAAGTACAATTCGCATTTGAACGGAGTACTTTTGACTGCTTACAGCGCAGGTCCTTTTCATTTCCCATTTTTCTTACCCTCTCCAGCTAAGCGGCCTCATCTCCATCCCGCCAACGCAAACGCTTACACAGATATATATTCCACAAAGCGATCTCTAAGCCTCTCCTCTCTTTGCCTTGTTGTTTCCTTCCTCTCTTACCTCACACCCCCACACACCCACGCTACGTATTGCGGCTTCGCCAAAGATGTTGCGTGGAGTATCGCTAGCGCCGCAGCAGCGCGTGGCGAAGGACACGCAGGAGTTGCCCACCGAGCTCGTGAACTCGATCATCGGCGTCTCCGCGCACGCGCCGCCCGACTACGGTGCCACCGGTAGCACCGGCGGTGCCTCGCTGCTCTCCACCGCGGCCCCGCAGACCGGCGCGTCCTCTGGCGGTGCCCCGTCGCTGCTGACGCGTCTTTTCCGCTCTGCTCGACGTCGCTGCGAGACGAACATGCCCAGTCAGGTGCCCGTCTTCGACGCAAACGGCAATCTCACGACGAGCCAGACCGGTGTGAACACCTTCCGCTTTCGCAGCCTCTCCCTATTTTACTTCTTCCGCGCGCAGCCGTGGACGGCCCTCATCACCTACTCCGTTCTCCTCTACCTCGCCATTGTCCTGCTCATCTCGGCTGCCTATTACGTGTGGGGAGTGTACTGCGGAGCCGGCCTGAACGTGGTGGTGTCCATTTACTTTACCGTGGTGAGTCTCGCCGCGAACGGCGGGTACCTGGGCGAGGACGAGGGCACCATGACGGACTCCACGCACATGTGCTACCGCGGTCGCACCATGATCGTGATGGTCTGCTCCTACGTGAATATCGTCTTTGTCGGCCTCGTCGCGGCGCTGGTGGTTGGCAAGGCCGAGTACACCGGTAAGCTGGGCCACCGCGTCGTCTTCAGCGACTTCTGCACCCTCTCTAGCATCCCTGGCCGGGTAGGACAGTACCGTCTTACCTTTCGCATGGCGAACGTGGACAACAACATCCCTCTCGCGCACGGGAAGCTGCGCGTGTTCTGTGTGACGTCGGAGCCGCTGCAGGAGTACCGCCGTCGGCAGAAGCAGCTGTACCTGTTAAAGAACTCCGCCCCGACCAAGGCGATGTCCACGACACCGAGCAGCTTACGCGGATCGCCGCAGCCGCAGGCGTTGACGGAGGCCGTGCTGGAAGATCGTTCCGCTGCACTCCAGAGGCACCAACATAAGCGTCATCACCACAGCAGCAACACGCCAGCGCCAGCAGCAGCAGCAGCAGCAGCTGCACGGCCGTTGAGCACGCGACGCAACATACAGGCGGCGCTCGCCCCACTGCGCTCTTCGAGCGCGTTAGCGACGGACCAGCAGGAGACCCGCCCGCCGCCGCCGCGTAGGCGCTGTGGTCGTGGCCGCTCAGTACCTCCTGCCGATGCCGCGAGCGGCCCTGAAGCCGTCGACGACGAGAAGAAGAAAGAGGTGAAAGAGGCGGGAGACGACGTGCAGCGCAGTGCGGGAACCAGCTCCGGTGGGTCGTCGGCGTCCTCCTCGCGCACGTCTTCCCGGAGCCGGTCGTCCTCCGCGTCTGCCTCGCGCTCGTCCTCGACGTCTTCTCACGCCTCCGCGGTGCAGGAGCCGACGACCGCGAAGTTGGATAGCCGAGCAGCTGCTCGTGGGGCGGCGGCGGCGGTCGCATCCGACGTCACGAACTCCTCCGTGACGAGTAAGCAGAACAGTGCCCTCTACGCGGCCTCGCCCCTCACCGCCGCGGCGGGCTCCTTCTCCGGGCCGGGCTTTCACAAGCAGGCGGTCGCCGCAGCGGCGGCAGTGTTGCAGGTGCCGGACGAGGACAGCGGCAACGGTGACCGTGGAATGGAACGGGTGCACCTGCGTGTGCAGGAGATGCGCTGGACCTGTGCAGAGGAGAGCTACGTCGACCACGGAGACAGCGGGCAGCTCTCGCTGTGGTACCCCGTCAACATCACCCACACCATCGACGAGCGCAGTCCCCTCTACTCCTTTATGCAGCTGCCCTTCGTCGCCGCCTCGCTGAAGGAGGGTCCGTCGATGGTATTCGGTAGCGCCCGCAGCGACGACAGCAGCGTCCACCCACCGAGTCTGGGCGCCGCTGCCGCCAACAACGACAAAAGCCGTCTCGATGCCGCGCACCACCGCTTCCAGCTGGTTGCCGTGTTCGACGCGACCGAGATGGAGTCCGGCTCGACGATTACGGCGAAGCACACCTACACGACGGTGGACATCGTCGCGCACTACCGGTTCTCTGAGCGGTTGGTGCACATGCAACCCAGCAGCGGCGAGGTGATGCTCGACTTCCACTACTTCAACGCGCTGCTGCCGGCCGACCTCATCGAGCTCTCCACGACTGACTCGGACTTGTGAGGAAAGCGAAGCGTAGGTGAACAAAACGGAGGAGAGTGCGTGTGTGGGAGAGAGAGAAGCTTGCTGAGGTGAAGCTGCAAGGGAGGAAAGAAAGGAAAGCGCCGGGTGAGCAAGAAGGGTTTTGTTTGTGTGTGTGTGTGTGTGTGTGTGTGTGTGTGCCGCTGGTAGTGAAATGCACGGTGTAAGGTGCTGCTGTTGCTTTTTATTGTTATTATTCTTACAATGCTGTATCCACCGCTGTTTGTATTGCGGGTTTCCCTACCTATTCGTTTCGCATATCTCGCACACGTTACTGCAGGCCGTTTCTTTTTTGAGGGGGAGGGGTTTTCTTACATATATATAGCTGCCTCCTTCTTCGTCGGAGCTCACGAACGCTTCCGCTGCGCTCCTGCGCGTGGGTTCAAACCCTCTTAGTGAAATCGTCAATTTAGGAAGAAATCAATGTACACTGACCTTATTATCATTTAGTTGATACTTTTTTTTTTCATTCCTGCCGCTCTTGCGGTTACAACTGCTCTGTCCAACGCTTACGGTTATGCGTGACTTACCAAAACGTATAGTGGCAGTGACGGTGATGATTCGCTCGCGTTTTTTCGAGCTTTGGAAACCGGTGTTATGTTTATCCGGACAACTGTTCGTCGAGTTCGCCAAGTGCAACTCTTCTCTCGCCACGTCTCTCTCTCTCTCTCCCCTCCCCCCCCCCCCCCTCCGCCTGCCTCCGTGGGCACTCAACTTTCTTCCTCATCTCTCCCTGGAGGATCACCGCAGCACACGCCCTCCACCCAACGCAGCAAAAATAGCACAAGTCATTAATAGAAAAGGAATGGAGAAGTTTCGCCACTTTGGCGACGCCGCCACCGGCATCCACCCCTTCACCGTCGTCGTCGCCCCCACCACGCTGGGCCGCATCGGGGCCACCTGTATGTTCCCCATGCGCCTGCTCTTCAGCACCGTCTTTGTACTTCTGCTGCTCCTCACCGACACGTTACTGTGGGTGCTCTACCGCGTTTACTTGGGCATACTAGGTCAGCTTCTCCTTGCCCCGCTGCAGCGGGCGTCGATCCGGGGGCTGCTCTTCTTTATTGGGCACATCCTCCCCGATCAGCCCACCGTTATTACCCAGCTGAGCAGCAGCAACGCCAAGAAGGGTGTCGTCACGTCCCGTCAGGTGCGCGCCGGTGACGTGGTGGTGTGCAACTTGCAATCTGTGTGGGATGGTCCGGTGCTGGAGGTGATGCTGGCCCAGCCCTACCACGCCCTTTGCTTCCCCGATGCCACCGCCACGGCGGGTCCGGCGCCGGGGCTGCGTGTGTTCTGGCCAAGTCCGCTGCAGCGTTGGAAAGTGTGGGGCTTCGTTCGTCGCACCGGCACTTTGGACTTCCTAACCGCCCAGCAGACCCTCGCGAAGAAGGACGAGGCGCTGCCGCTGTACCGCGTGCAGGACGCCGCGGCAACGGCGGGGGTGCCGGTTTGGTGGTGCGGCGAGGGGACCTGCAGTAACGGCAAAGGGCTGTTACCCATGCCTGCTGCGATCTGCCGCTCATGTGCACCCACACCGACGACGGCGCAGTGCTCTGTCTACGTGGCCACGATTCAATACGACTCGCCAGCCCTGCAGAATGTTCTTGGGAGCGACGTGGAGGACGTCTTCAGCTTCCTCTTTCGCACCAGTGTGCTGCTGTACGGCAGCACCGCGCCTGCGTGGTCGAGCCCCTTCTTCCCTTCCGCAGAGGTCACCTTCGGCGCTGCCGGCCTCACACGCGCTACGGCCTACGAGGCGGAGGGCGCTCATGCAAACGCGAAGAGCTCGAGTGCCGCCACGTACTGGACGCTGAACCCATCCGCGGTGTTGGAGCTGCGACACGCGATGTGTCAGCGGGGACAGGCGCTTGTCGTGAGCGGCGGCGGCAGCGGCGGCGCAGCCGTGCGTCGTCAGCCGCTCTCTGTCGGTGTGAAGGAGAAGAAAGGCTTCGTGGAAGCCTACGTGGCCATGCTGTTGCCGAAGGACGTGAAGTGAGCGGAAGCGACTGCCTCCTTGGCTCCGCATCCGACGACGTCCCCACTTTTGTGGATGCAGCAGTGTTTGGAGTAGCAAGGTCAGAGATGCGCAGGCGACGTTTGCTGCCTGCTCTACCGCCAGTGCTAAAGTAAAAAAGAGAGAACGAAGATAGTAGGTATCCGTAAGTCCCACCTGATGCTGCTCTTGTGTCGTGAAGGGGAGGGGCAGAGCCAACGAGACGGGGAAGCTTCCTCTTGTTCTCTTCTGTCTTTCTTTTCTTTATTTCTTTTGCAACAGCACACGTTGGAGATGCAGCGCGCACACACACGTGTGTCTTTCCCGTCTGCCTTTGCGTTGTCGGCGTGTGAACTCTGCAGCAGCTCTTCCTTCCTCTCTCTCTCTCTCTTGCCATTCGCCGCCTTTCCTTTCCTCCATTTGCGCCCCATTCACAGCAGCAGCAGCAAACCGAAGCGGAAAATACAAAAGGAAGTGGAAGGAGTTTAACGAATCATTTTCTGGCTAAAACGTATATGGTGCGGCAATCACACAGTAAAGCGCCGGCTCACCATCCAAAGCACATAAGATCGCATTCGTCGGAAAAACCCCATTACTTACTTATTTATGTATTTGTGTATTTTTTCCTTCTCACGTGTATAGCGCAGTTCAATGAGCAACTCAGCATCCTCTACGCAGCTTCTTTTCGGCGAGACGGACCGCACGGCCGCGCCGCTTGAAGTGGGGAGAGATGTACGTGAGGCCCACGACACCCTCTCTCCGGCGTACCCGCATTCCTCACCGGCGGCGCCGGAGTTGCCGCTTCGCACGCCCCCGCCGCCGCCGCTCGACCGCCTGGCCCTCGCGGCCTCCGACAGCAGCGTCGCGTCATGGCCGCGGTTATGCCGCCGCGATGGTCAACCCACCACGAAGCCGTATCGCGGTGTCGCCGTGGCCGTCTTGCGTCGCGTGCTGCATGACCAGTCTCCTGCGGGGGAGAGCGCAGCAGCGTCCCTCACCGCCACCGCCACCACAACATCTGCGCCGATGGCCGACGCGTCCCTGGCGAGTGCCCACAGCCCTTTTGCCATGCCCGGCACGTCGCTGATCAGCGCCTCGCCAGCGGCGGCCGTGGACAACAGCAAGAACGAGGATGACGACGACCACGGCGACGACACCGCAGACAGGCCGGCGTGTGAAGGCGCGGACGACGTGCTGCCGTGGTGGAGGCGTATTCTCATCGATGTCGCGTACCGACAACGGCTGATGCAGCTGAGCACAGAGGCGTATCGGCAAGAGCTGAAGCTGCTGCAGAACGCCCCGGATGTGATCTCCGGCACGGCAGGCATGGAGAAGAGGAAGGTGTGGCGTGAGCGGCAGTGGTGGACAGATGAGCTGGCGGAGGTCGTCACACCTTTGCGCTACAAGCTGGATGAGCATGACAAGAACAATGGGGCAGGGCGGCACGGGGCGGAAGCAGCGGTCTCTACGGCCGCCGTGAGGGCACCTCAAGGTGAAGATGCGGACGACCGTGCTTCGCATCCTCTTCAAGACGAAGTCGACCACACGATTGTCATGGCGCAGCACGTTGTGGTCACCATTCCGCGGCACAGCAGCGTATCGGCGATCTTTGCGCTGCAGCACCCGCACGCGATCATTCACGCGTCGGCGCTGGGGACGATACGCGTTGTGGCCCTTGGTCGCATGCCGCCGGCGCAGCATGCACACGAAGAGGCGTGGCAGGAGGCCGCCATCGACGCTCACCTCCGCATGCAGCGCCGTCTCTCGCACGAGATGTCGCTCGCGGCGAAGCGGAAGCTGGCGAAAGATATCTTGGCCGATAGGCAGGAGGTGCCGATGCAGACCGCCATCACAGACGCACTGCTGGAGACCGCGGCGGCGAAGCACTCCCAGCACAAGACGGAGAGTCAGCGAACGAAGAAGAGTGGGGCGACGCATGAGCCGCTTATCCCTCGGCCCCCCGCCCCGCGGTCCAGCACACCACCGCACTGGCGCGATCACCTGCCGCCTCGTATTGAGGCCATCGGCAGAGCTCAGCACGACGTCGATGTGGCGGTGATCAACGTGCAGACCTGCACCCTCTCACCGTTTCCAATGCCGGCAACAACGAAGACAGCAGCGACAACAACGGCGGCTCCAGTCTGTGAGGAAAGCAGCGTCAGCCGCAGCCACAGTAGCGGCGACACGGACAACTTCACTTCACGCAACGCAAAGGCCAAGATGGAGATGCATACGCCGCAGCAGCAGCTGCGCTGCCACGAGGCGGCGATGGCCTGCACAGACGGCACGGAAAACCTGTACGGCTTGCAGTACGTCTGGCGCCTGCCGCTGCCCCCAAGCGGTTTCATTCGAGTGTCGCCAGACCCGCGGTATGCAATGTGGCCGGATGACGCACGGCTCGGTACGGGCGTGAGCGCGCATCTCGTTGGTGGGTCTATCACCACCAACGACCACGGCAGTGGTGGTGGTGATGGTAGAGGTGCAGGTCACCCACCACACGACCGCAACGCTAGTCGCAGCACGATTCTCTGCAGCCGCCGCCGCCAGCGCCAGATGCGGCGTCTTGCCCGCCGCGTCAACGAGCGCGCACACAAGCTGCGCTGGCTGCACGAGATCGGCCGACGTCGTGTGTGCTACAACGATCTGGCGCTGGAGACCGAGTCGGACGCCTCGTCGCCATCGTCGTCGTCGGTGTCGTTTCGCTCCGACAGCACGGATAGCACGCTGATGTCGCAGCAAGGGGACCCAACCTCGCCGTCGCGGTTTTCGCTGAACGTGGCTCGGCAGGTGGAACGACGAAAGAGGGGCGTCGCGGCGGACGGAAGGGCAGCGGCGGTGGCGGCGGCGCGTCGAAGGAGGCTCGCTGCTCGCGCTGCCGCCCGCGGGGAGGTGGCCCGGCCGATCTACGACGGGGCGCTGAACATCAACGTCTACGCCGATGTCCTCGACACGAGAAAACTGCCGGCCAACGACAGCAGCAACAGCAAGGGGACCATGGCGAGTGCACAGCAGAATGCGACGTCGTCCTCCTCCTCCTCCTCCTCGACCGTGATGCCGCCGCACTACACCACCGCAGACGCACCGACACGACGTGTGTTTCTCGGGTGCTACCGACAGAGCCGCATGCTGATTCACTACAAGGTGTACTGCCGGGCGCTGCACGAGGAAGCACGGGTGCGGTGCGGACCGCCGCTCACCCACGTGATCGGACGCGCCCAAATTCACAGTAGTAGTGCCGCCGATGCACGCCATGGACAGCTCCCCGACGAGCCGTCCGTTACGTACGATGCCGGCACGGCTGCTCTCCTGCGCGGTGTCCCCGCCATTCCGTACCCGGTGCTTCGTCTGCAAACGGAGCCGCCCACGCTGCGGCAGCCGCACGCGCGTCAGACCCCCGACCTGTCGACTGTTCGCGAGGCGTGCTGCTGGGTGGGGCTCTTCCCCTCGGCCCGGGTCGACCTCGCCTCGGAGGCCCACCACGCCTGGCGCACGCTGCGCGAGTCGGCGCTCGTTCAGCAGGCCCTGCGCGACATCTTTGAGGATCTCCCGCACGACAAGGAGGGGCTGCTGGACAAGCGCACCTTTGTCCTCTTTGTGCTGCAGCTGCTGGAGCTGTTCTTTCCGTCTTACCTGAGCCCGACCACGCATGTGGCGATTGCGGAGGAGGAGTGGGCGTACCGCGGCACCACCGAGCACGTCGGGCCGCACACCTTCCACGAGAAGTTTTTCGGCTTCCCGTTTATCTTCATGCGCGACATCGCGACCGTGACGGAGACGGAGTTGGTGGAATTCTGGTCCATCTTGCGGTTGTGCCTGCGGGCGCAGCAGGAGCAGACACGGCTTCGCCTTCCCGGGGAAGCCGCCACGCCGCCGGAGGCGCTGCTCTCCGCGCTGCACCTCCTCGTTCCGCTGACTAGCCTGAACCCGACGCAGCTGCTGACGTTGATCGCCCGTCCGCCACCGGCCTTCGACCCCGTCGTGTACGACCGCTTCTGCCTGCTGACTGAGGCGTTCCGCAGCGACCCCGACGTGCACCGCGCACCGCGCGCCAGTCAGTACACGGTGGCGCGCGCGCGTGTGGAGCATCAACTCCGTCTTCGTGAGGCACAGCGGCGGCTGAGCGGAGCGGCCAAGGCGGCGGTGCGGGGAACGACGTTGACGCCAGCGGCGCTGCTCGCCTCCGCCTCAAGGGCAGAAAACAATCCCACGAGTGAGACCGCGCCGCTGGACATAGCGAACAAGCTGGCGGTGTCGGTGTCCGACCTGCTGAGCGGGTCGGCCGGCACGACCAGCCGCATCGGTATCGAAAACGCGGTGCAGCGCGAGCGCGAGGAGCAGCAGCGCCGTGCGGAGGCTCTGGAGAAGCGTGTTCTTCTGGAGCAGTCCGCCTTTTATGAACAGCGGCAGCAGCACCTGCATGTGCGGACCGCCGCGGTGGTGTCGGCGATCGAGGGCACCAGCAGCTCCTGGGAGCTGCACCGCGCGGATGTCTACGAGCCCCCTTCGCAGAGCTGCGGCGGAAATCTGAAGGACTCCGTGACCGCAGACCGCAACACCGAAGAAGGAGAAGGGAACGAAGACGTCGAAGACGCGCTGCTGGAGTACCTGGACGGTGTGCCGTGCGACGTCTTCGGCGGGCGTGTCTCGCTGCGGGAGCGGTATTTGCTGCACATCCGGTACCAGCGAAGTCGGCGGGGGCACGATTTTCCGTGGCTGCAGAACCGCGCCGTCAACGACACGGCGGATCCGGCGTCGACGTCGGCTGCTGCGTCGCCCGCTGCGGTCTCCTCGCCCAACACGATTCGCTTAGCAGATCGCGATCGTGAAGTCAAGACGCGGCGCTTCCTCAGTGTGATGAAGGGCGAGGGCAGCACCGTGCAGGAGCGGCAGCTCGTCGTTGCGGCGGAGTGCGAGCGCCTCCTTGGGTCTCCGCGCGCCCCCGTGACGACGACGGTCGCCGCGTGTGACGAGAAGGACAAAGACCACCAATCCAAGACGACCACGTCGTACGCTGCCGGCATCTACCCGCTCCGCCCGGTGCCGCGCAGAACCAGCAGCATCCTCCTCGTAACGGACCAGCGGGCACGGATGCGCATTCTCGAGCAGGCAGACTACACCATGTCCGACGCGAGCAGGACCGGGTCGTTTGTGCGGAAGGCGTCGGACCGGTCGGTGCACAACGGCAGTGCGGAACGGCTGCCGCGTCGAGTACCGTCCCGGGTGCGCATGGAAATACCGTCATCCTCCTTCTACGGCTCGCAGGGGCGCCGCCACCTTGCCCAGCCCCCACCAACCGCCGCCGCTGGCAAGACGACGAGGAGGGTGAGAACAGCATCTGCCACTGCGTCAGCGACGGCCCAGCACCAGCGGCGGCAGCCGCAACTGCACCGTGGTGTAGGGAGTCGGGGAGACTTGAAGCGAAAGGCGAGCAACACGATGCAGCGCACGCACTCCTTCGGTCGTCACCCATCAGCCCCGTCGCTGTCGAAGGTGTCGGCGTACGCAGCAGCCGCACCAGCCGTCGAGCCGGCCCCTCCCTCCCTTCCCCTTTCACGAGCGCCGTCCCTGACGGATGTGGGGGAGAGGGTGACGTCGTCGTATGGGGTTGAGGGAGCCGGGCCGGCAGGCATGCCCAACCTTGCGAGGCCCATCACGAACGTCTCGTTCATCGAGGCAGACCTGGCCCGCAACAACAACGACGACGTTGACGGGGACGATGACTGGAACAGTACGACCGTGTTGTCCATGCCGCTGGGGGGGTCATACCGGTCTTTCTTCACCGCGTGCGGCGACCGCCGCGGGTCGAATGCGTCCTTGGCGGCGAGTGCAGCGCAGCAGCGTCTCAGCACGGCGGCGCGCACTGCCTCACCGGCGACACTCTACGCTGGTCGGCTGCGTGCCCAGCAGCGTCGGCAGCAGCAGTACCAGGAGCGGTTCAACGCGAATCGTGGACCTGCCGCGACGCTGAAGCGGTAGGAGGGAGAAGAAGATGGCGGAGGTCGCTTCTCCCTTTCGCAGCCCTCAAGGGGCGGTTGAACTGGGTGGCGGTACTTTGCTGTTCGGGAATGTTTTGGGGGTTTTGTGCTTTTTCTTCCTCCCCACCTGTTTGGAATGGACGTCTGTCCGCATCCGTTTGCGACGTCGAAAACTTTTTTTTCCCATGTAGAGTTATTTCACGAAGCCACTGGCGTGTGTATTGTTTGTTCTTATTTAATTGTTTATTTATTATTACTGTTGCTTTGGAACACGCAGTCTCCTCGAGATTCGCACCGTTATTTACTTACTTGTGTAGTCAAAGGAAGAGGAAGAAGAAATGGTAGACGGTTTGTCGAGCGTAGAGCTGATCCTTGCTCGATTGGCGGCAACAGAAGCGCGTGAAAAGAAAAAAAACTCATTTGGTCTCAACTCCGACGCAAGTGTTTTTCATTGCTGTTGCGTGTGTGAGGGAGTGTGTGTGTGTGTGTCTGTGTGTGTATTCCTCACTCATGTATCACGAAGTAGCCGGGCTTCCTTTGCAGGAGAGCCTTGTTGCTCGAGAACTGCAGGTTGTGGCGTTCCTTCCCACTCTTTCTTTCTTCACTCTTTCTTTCTCTGTCGACGCTTCTTTTCTTTCTATGCGCATCTCTGCTGCTCGGGTTGGAGGGGCGCATGGGCCGTTACTGCGGCGCTAGTGTGTGACACAGTGTATTCGTTTTTGTTTTGAGGGCATTGGTCACACACCTACACACCTACACACGCTCTCAGGCACACATACATGCCTCGTTGCATGGAGTGTGATTCTCCTTCGCATTACAGCGCACAGCTCCCTTTTTTCTTTCCTCCTCATTCACCTCCTGCGTAGACCTTTGCCCTCTCCCGATGTCCTCTGCTATCACGCTCGTGGGCAATCAGCAGGTGATCGCGCTGACAACACGGCTCATCATCGGCATACGACTGCAGGGCACCATCGGCTACATCGACCCACGAAGCCCTTGCATCATCAAGCCACGGCCGTACCTCGCCTACTTCGCCGAGACGCTGCGTCGGCTGCATTGTGATGTGACGCTCTTTGTTCCGACGAACGAGGAGCACGACCGTGCGATGATGAACTGCTTTCACGAACGCGACTTCCCCACCCCGTTTCATTACATCCACGACCACTCCAAGTTTGTCGGTGTCGGCGCTGGGCGGGGCAACCGCAAGAAGGGCATCGCCCCTAACAACTACACAGAGTACTTACGTATTAAAGCGAACGCCGTCAACGCTACCGGGCAGGCAACGGATCGTATTCTCTTTATCGACTCCGAGGTGAACTATCGCTTTACCCCGGTCCAGACGCTCGTCTTGGACAGCTACGAGCCCCTCACACGGCGACAACAGCGGGAGTTGATGAAGGCGCAGCACGGCAACCCCTTCGGCGACGTCTCTTCGCAGCGAGCACGGCGCATCGCCGCAGCGGCGGCAAAGGCAACGGGCAACACCGTGCGTCACCGTGCCGTGGTGCACGCCCAACACCTGCAGGAAGCACTAGACAAGAACCAATCGAGCACGGAGATGCTGCGGTTGGAGCAGGCGGGGGTGCCGTTGGTGGACCCCCAAGACGATACGGACACGCTGGCCGCGCGTGGAAAGCGGCCGCGCACACCACTGCGGCCTGGTGGGACGCAGACAGCGGACAGAAGCGGCCGTGACCCACGTGGCCGTATCGCCGGCGCCGACGTACAGGACAGTAGCTCAAGCACCACCGCAACAGACAGCGAAGCATCTGCGGAGACGAGCATGTCGCGCGCCTTGGCAATCAATCTGGAGGACTACAGCCTCGTAGCGCTGTCGGAGATGATTGCGGAGATGGCGGCCAGTGACGTGAGCGTGGCGGAGTACCTCAGGATGGAGCCGCTCATCGAGAAGGTCGAGGTGCCGTTTCACGGCAAGGCGAATTACCTTCCGCCGGAGAACTGCGACAACATCGACTTGCTCAACTGGGATGAGATTAAGGTGATGGAGAAGAAGGCGCGGGACACGGGCGAGCCGGAGACGGTGGAGGAGACCGCCGCGCACAAGGACTTCTTCCAGTAATTGCACAAAAGTGAAGAAACAGTGGTCGTCGGGCGGTGCAGGTACGTGTGGACATCGACGGCGCTGCTTCGGTGTCTTCTTTATTCGTGTGTGTGCTGGCAATTCGAGGCGGCAGAACTGTCTGGAGTATCTTCTTTCTCTCTTTCTCCTCCTTTTTAGGGGTGATAATGGTTTTGTCACCACCAACTAGTACCGTCTTTTCACGGTATGGTATCGCTTATGCAGTCTCAAAGAAAGAAGAAGAAAAAAACAGAAACAGAAGAAGGGCTTCGCTGACGTCCGCAGAAAGGCCCCCGTCACCCACTGCGCTGCAACAACTCGCTTCGGTACAGCACCTCGCGGAAGTGCAGCGCGCGCGCCGTTCACCCCCTCCCCCCTCCCCTTTCCTCCCCACTCTTCTCCTCCATCTTCTCCTGTCTTTTCCTCCACCGAATGCGTTGCGGCTTCTTATTCACCTTACTCCTCCTTCCCCGTTTCCGTTGCCCTTCCAACAAGAATTCCCCATCGATTTTCTTTTCTTTTTTTACAGCAGCAGTTTCTCTTGTTTTTTCCTTTGTTGGAGGTTCTGACGCGCTTCCACCAAACTTTCTATAGTCCTGTCATTCCAATCCTTCTTGACCTCGACAGTCCGGCCTCCCTTCAAAGCACACTGTACGCCTTCTTTTTCCTTTTCTTCTGTTTCACTTACACGTCGTTGTGTGTGTGTGTGTGTGCGAGCGCTGATCTTTCCTGGTGTCGTCTTGTTCACAGGAATCGACGGCGTTCCTCTCTCGCAACGGTCAAAACGAAGACACATATTCTATAGCCTCTGTTGGACGTCAAGTCGCCTCCCCTCTTCTTTGTTCTTTTCTATCTCATTGTGACTATCGTGCTTTCGTTCTCCCCTCCGTCTCTCTCTCCCACACAGTAGATCGTCGAAGGTAACGCACGCAGCAGGTGTGTGTACTCTCTACTCTTGTTGTTATTTAGGTGTTTTTCTTTTTTGAGGCAAGCAGCCGTAAGCAGAAAATGAGCGCATCTGTCCAGACGTTGGCCACCGTCATGGCGACCGACATGAACTACTACGCCGGTGACCCGAGCATCCTCTCCGCGAACGTGATGACGGGCCGCGTCGAGCAGCTCCTGCAGTCCTCCCGCTCCGACCAGCTCACCACACGCGTCGCCATCCACGCCCAGCTGCGGGAGGCCTTCAAGGATGCGGAGGTGCAGAAGAAATTGGCGCCCTTCCTGGAGCCTGGCGAGGACATCAAGCAGAACGTGCAGGACGCCAAGTCGCGTGCGCAGTTCTTCTCACAGAAGCAGCAGCTCCTGCAGGCCGCCATTCTCCAGAGCGACGAGCAGAAGCAGCTGAAGGAGGCGCACGGCGAGCTGGCTGCGTGGGAGCGCGACAACGCGGTGCTGCTGCGCCATCAGATGTTCATGACCTACCTGCCCTCGCAGGCCCTGCTGCTCGAGAGTGCGGCCACCGTCGCCCTCTACCGGCAGTACGCCTCCCTCGAGGAGGGTCAGTACACGAGCGACAGCAGCGATGGCGAGGTGCCGACGATGCTGAAGAAGATGGGCGGCAAGACCTACTTTACGCAGTCGGAGCAGCCCTTCGAGGTCGACACGCACAACAAGATGTTCAGCCAGCAGGTGCTGCAGAATAAACGTGTTGAGTACGAGCAGATGCGCGAGAACGTCGCCCGCCTGCGGCAGGCCCTCGAGGACTGCGAGACGGTGAAGCGGCTGGAGAGCTTCATCGAGGTGCGCAACGACATCTACGCCCAGTTCGGCATCGACCGCCTCGTCTCGCTGTGCGGCCGGAAGGATAAGGAGATGGGCACGCCGAACGAGGGCGGCGTCGACGCGAGCCTGAACAGCCTGCCCGCCGACAACGAATACGTGGCGTCGGCGCGCTGCGCCCAGTACTCGCTGCCCAAGATCGTCGACGCGGCGTACAAGAACTACCTGAACATTATCTCGATGGATGACTGGGATGCCATGATGAAGCACACAAACAGCGACGCCAGGGCGGTGATGGAGAAGATCAAGCCGATGAAGGACAAGGAGACGTTCCGCTACTGGTTCCTCTCATGCCTCACGGCTGACACGCCGCAGACCGGACCGAACAAGATCGTAGGCCAGAAGGCGACGCCCCTCGAGGACTACAAGAAGTTCTGGACGCCGCAGAAGTCCAACTACGTCCCCTCCCTCTCAGCGAACCGCGGCGCCTTTGTCAGCAAAGTCGCCGACCGCCGCGGCCTGCCGCACATCGTCGTTCTCTCCCCCGCCACCTACCGCTACCGCGAGAACAACGACGCCAACGCCATTAAAACGGGTACGATCGACCTCATGGTGTACGACGCGACAAATGAGAAGGTGCTGCTGATGGTGACGAACTCCGCCGATGAGCGCCGCCCGCGTGGGGCATTCCTCAACGCGCAGGAGGAGCGCTACCGCTTCGCGGCCGTCGTGCGCTCCGCCATCACCTACGAGAACCAGTACCACGGCTTCGAATGCGATGGCGTCGTCGCCGAGTACTTCTTCGATGCCCAGGACGGCCCGGAGGAGAACTACTACTGCATCATGGCCCCGCAGCGCCTGTACGCGAAGATGAACAGCAAGGTCGAGGTGCCGCTGAAGGCCTTCCGTCCTTTCACCTCCTGCCCCCCGCGGTATTTTGTGCTCGGCTCGAACTGGGGCGTCAGCGCTGGCAACCCGCGCAACCCCTACCCCGCCAGCTTCGCCCACATGGAGCTGAACGAGGACGCCATCGCCCTCAGCAGCGCCATCCCGGACAACTTCATTGCTGAGAAGGTACTGCCGAACCTGCTGAGCCGCGCCGAAGGACTGCAGCAGCTCGAGGAGAAGAAACGCCAGCAGCAGCAGCAGCAGCAGCAGGCGGAGAAGCAGCAGCCGTCGCCGCGGGGGTCGAACCGCACACCCCGCAGCGGCGCGACGCCGCGCTCCACCGCGCCAGGCGCGGCCGGCAGCAGCAGCAACAACGGCAACTCCGCGGCAGACATCCTCGCTGAGGAGAACCTGCGCGGCCCTGGCGAGGAGGAGGACCCGCTGAGCCCCGTAGTACCGGACGAGGTGATGCACCCGGTGCGCGACCAGCTGATGAAGCAGCGTCGCGCGTGGCAGCCCGCCGCCTACGTGCAGTTCCGTGCCCGCAACGCGGACCTGAAGCAGCTGCCGGCCGTCAAGGACGGTCACCTCCGCACCCCGCTCAACGTGTTCAACGACATGATGAAGGAGAAGCACGGCGAGGATGCGCCGCCGCCGTCGACGCCGAGCAGCGCGCGCCGCAGCAACGGCCCCAACTCGAACCGCGCGGCGAATGTGGCCTGGTTCTAAGTCGGAGCTACAGCAACGGAAGGAAAGAGGCGACGGTGGTCGGCTACGTTGGCGGAGGAGGAGGAGGGGGAGGGGAGGGGGGGTCCACGCTCATCTCCCACCGGCACCTCTGCCCCCGTCGCTCACTCTCTATCTTTGTATTCCCCTTCCCAACGTCAAACGAGCAAAGGAAGCTGTTCAGTCACGGCGGCTCTCGCGGCCCTGGCAACAGTAATTATATCATTGAATCTTTTATCGTCGATGAATCATCGAGTTCGTCTGATGTTTTTCCTGTGTTCCTTGGTGTGTGTGTGTGTGTGTGTGCTCGCCGTTGTTCGCTACATCGTTTCTTTTCACCTTCGCTTTTCGTTGATGTTGCTTTCTAAAATATTCATATTTTTTTGGTTTTTTCTGTTAAGTTCAGCGCGGACACGGCAAAGGGAGCAACTGAACGTGCGCGTACGCTGTGGTGGAAGAGATGATGGGAAAGCTTGGCCCTCGGAAAAAATAAAAGATATGAACTCCGAAACTTTCCAAAATGGAAGGCACATCACTCCGACTGTCGAATGAGAAGAAGAAAGCATCGCTAGAAGAGGTTGACGATGAACGCCCTCTGCTGTTGTGGAGTCAATCCCGTGCTTTGGTGCCTCTGCTGCTGTTCTGGCTTTTTTCTTTTTCTTTTTCGTTCTTACTCCTTTCCTCTGTTGGTTTCGCTACAGGTTTTCTTTTTATTATTATTTCGCGCGTGGAGGAAATGTCTTGTGTTTAGTAGAGACCAAAATTAGTTGCTGAAAAAGGTCTTTACGTGGTGTTCATGTGTGTGTCTGTGTGTGTGCGCGCTACACACCTCTCGAGATTCTTACGAGTCGCTGTTGATCATTTTTTCTTCTTCCTTTTACGTTTACTTTCTTTTTATCTATTTTCTTTCCCTGTTCTTTTCCCTTTTCAAAGTCGTAGATTCATTCACGTCTGCCCTCGCAGCGTGCTGCGTTCCTTCTTCGCGTCTCCCATGCTAAATGTGCTCCCTCTCTCTCTCTTTCTATCTATCTGTTGCTCTCTCCTCAGCCTAAACCGCGGCAACAACGTCGCCGGACAAACGGAACGCAGGAGAGGAAGCGCACCTCACGCAACGAGAAGTGAGGTGGAATGGAAGGCGTCTCCTCTTCCGTGTGTGGATGTGCAACGAGAGAAAGCACGAGGGAGAAGGAGAAAAAAAACGATATAAAGGTTGTCCTTTGTTTTATATGTGTTTCTTTGTCTTTCATTGTTTTTATTCTTGACTGCGCGGGTTATTCAGAACAATAACGTTTCTTCTTTCCCTTACTTCCTTTTCTTTACTTCCTCTTCTTTTACTTTACTCTTCATAGTTGTCGCCTCTTTACAAAGATGAAAATGAACTTAAAAACGAAAAACTCTGCTGTTGTTGCTGTTGTTGCTGTTGTCCGTCAAGTCTCTCGCTGTCGTCGCCGTGAAGTCTTCGTTCGATGTGAGACACTCGAACGGCGTGAGCCTTCTTCCTTTTCCTCCGAAGTGTGGTACATCGAGTGTTGGTAGGTGAAGCGACTCGATGTGCTGGCGTGTGCGTGTGCGTGTGCGTAGGGGTTTGGGACTTGTCGAGAATGTGCGCTTTTCTCTTTATATAGAGAGAGAGAGCAAGCATAAAATGCGTGGTGTGCGGGGGGTCACCGGCCGTGCTTTTTGGCACTGCTCCATCGGCCCCCTCCCGACTGTGCCATTCGTTTGCGCTGTTGTCTTGTTTTTTCATGCCCTCTCTGCAATCTCGCTCATTGTTGAGGTCGTTGCGACCCAACTCTCTGTGTGTGTGCAGCGTCACACACGCACGCGTCACCGCACCGACGAGGTTTCTGCCTGGCTGACGCATCTTCCTTCGTGTCGTTACTACCACCATTTTATTATTATTATTTTCCTTCGACATCGTGCATCCATTTTTATTGTTGTTGTTGACAAAGAGAAATAGAAAAGAAAGAAAAAGAGAGGACTTCTTTTGTTTCCCCGCTTGACAAGCGATGTATTCCTCCTCCCTCGCTCTCCCTTTCACAAAAGAGAGGGAGAGAGAGAGAGGGGAGCACTGTGTGTCATCACTGCGGTCGAAGATGCGCCAACTCACCTTGAGGCAAAGATGAAACCATCGTTCTTCTACTGTTATTATTACCACGTGCGTTGCTTTTTAACAAGATAGAAGCACAAGCTTTTAAAAAAATGAAGCGGCAGCGTCAGCTTTTGAGTTGCTTCTTAACAGAGAGTACACGTTCACCTTCGGCGAACTATGCCGTCAACGCTGTCTTCTTTGTTTGTTTGTTTCCTTCTTTCTCTCAATGTGCGGTGCATCGTTTTTCGTAGCCTCTACTTTTTCTATTTCCTTTTTCTCTCTCGGTGTTGTTTCTTCATGTGCCTTTGGTTGGCCTTCGCTATATATATACACTGTCTTCTTCAAGTATCTAGCGTTTTTGAGTAGATGTGTCGGTGTGTGTGTGTGTGTGTGACCATGTCCGATGGGGGCGTCGGCCTCTTCTTTGATTATTATTATTACTGTTGTTGTTGTTACTATCTTCCATACGTGCCGGGGATGAAGATCTCGCGTTTTTTGGCGGAATACCGCGAAGAAACAAAGAATAATAATAGTAATAAAACACGAGGACGCACGTACGCGCCAAGCGCTGGCCACGAGTTGCGGACACAATGAAAGAGGAAAGAAGAAAGACATACCTGTTTTGAGATGCTAATACGAACAAGTCATTTCTACCCCTCACTTGTCAGCCAGCGTGCTTTAGTGGAGCGGAGTTGGGACTGTTATGCATTTCACTCCGTTTTTTTTTTGTTTTGGCAGTTCTACATCCTCAGCAGGGACTCAACGCAAGGCGCTCCTCCTTAGATCGCGGAACACGTGACATGCACTAGGCGGATAAATATGTTGCCGGTGCTTTCTGTTGCAACGGTGCACTTCTTCACGATGGGGTGCGCGCCAACATTGCTTTCTCCGACTTGACTGTCGTCTTCTCTTGATTTCCATTTCACCTCTCTCTCTCTCTCTCTCCTTTCTCCGCTCTCTCTTACGGTGTCTTTCTTTCATTCCGCGTAGACGTTCATCAACATATGTATGTGTGTATCTTTCTTGAGCTCTTTGGGAGTTGCTCATGATTCGCTAAGATGTCTGTTCAGCTTGAAAAGGTAAGGGAGTCCCATCAGGACAGCGCACCCGCCACACGTGATCCGACGCTCGCATCGCTCGCCGCTTTGCTTCCCCGCAGTACCACCACATCCACATCCACACCAACCCCATCAACCAGTCAGTCCAACGGTGCGCCAGCACCCCCGCCACGGTCATACACGCTCGTGAACGTGAACAGCAGCAGCAGCAGTGGCGTCGCGGTCCCTTTGGATCGCTATCGAGCGAAACTGGAGGAGTGTGCGACACTGCACCACGACGTGGACACGTTGACACGCAGCAACGAAGCCTACCAGCGGCGTCTCGCAGCCCAGGAGGCGGAAAACGCGGAGCTGCGGGCCACCATCGCGAAGCTGCAGTGCGTACGTCAAGCACCAAGTGCCAACGGTGACCCGGCTTCAGACACGCCGACGTCTGCTGGGCTGGATTCCCCTCCCCCGCCGCCCGCAGCGAGCGCCGTCGCAGCTCTTCCGGAAGCAGCTTTGGAAGGCGCGACGGTGGAGTCATGCGCAGGGCAGCTCACCACGTCGGTACCCGCGCCCAACGACGGGTGCACACCTCCAGGTTTGTGCGCTTCCGACACGGCAGCGTCCGCGCTCGCCGGGGGAACGGCAGCTGATGTTGCAGGGCAGCGAGACGATCGACACGCTCAACCCCCCGCGTCGGCGACTCACACGTCTCGCTCCTCGTCGCTGTCGAGCTCACGATCGAGCACGCCGAACACAGCGGCGGATCCTTTTGCAATGCCTTCGCGGTCGTCACCGCGACAGCCGCAGCACTCCACGTACGTGTCGGCTGCTGAGGTGACGGCGTATGGTCGTGCCTTGTCCGAGATCTTGGAAGCCCCGCTTGGTCCGTGGGAAGAGTAAAAAGCAAACAACGCGGGGGTGAAGGTTTAGACCTCCCTTCTTCCTCTATCTTATTTATCAAAAAAAGAAAATGTTATCTAGTGAAATCTATTTTACTATGTTATTTGTTGTTCGTCTGTTTGTTTACTTCCTCTTTTTCCTCTCTATTATCCCCTTCCGTGTTTTACTTCTCCGAATTTAGTCCCCGCACGTGTGCGGGTTGACCTCGCACGCACGCCCGCACAGATGAACTCCTTCACAATGTGCAGCATCACGTCACCACTCATGCGCTCCTTGGGGATGTCCTTTTTGTACGCATACGTATATTGCATGGAGTCGTAAAGTAGCACCATCTTTTCTGTTGCTGTTCGCAATGCATCGAGCACCGCTTACCTTCGCGTGTGAGAAGACTGCAGTTCGTCATGAGAGGGCCTTTTCTTGCGTTATGCGTGAGGAAGGGAGGGCGGGGAGAGAGGGAGGGAGAGAGAGAGAGAAAGAAGGGCTACCTCAGCCCAATGCAGTCTGAACGACGACCGTTTTCTCGCGCCGGCCGAGCTTACTAGCCGCGCACGCATTTTGCGAGTCCCTCTTTTGCTTCTTACCTCTGCTGACGGCCTCCTTCGCCACGATTCACCCTCACCTTTTGGCCCTTCACTCTTTCACTCTACTTTCATTTTTTTTTGTCTTTTATCGTCGACAACCACAATCATCACCACCATATCAACAGTCGTTTGCCGTGCAGTCAACTAGCGGACTTCCCCAAGAAGAAGAGGCACTCGCTTGTACGTGAACACGCCTCTCCTCCTTCCTTTGACTGATCTCGTTGCGGAGCGACCTTCCTTGTTGGCCTCTGTGCTTCTTGGATTTTCCTCCCTCAGCACGCGTATTCGCTCTGAAAAGGCGTGTCCTGCGCCTACGCTGTTCCCTTCACCTTGTTTGAATGAATCGTTCTCAGGTGCGCTTCGCCTCCGTATCCTGATTCACACGCCTGTAAATCGCCAGCGAAGTCTTTTTTGGTATTTTTACTCCCGTGAAATTCCCATGTGTGTGCGCCTGCTAAACAGTACCGCACACACGCACACACACGCACAGACACAGACAGAGACACACACAAGCCGCGAAGGTGATACTCGACGCAGCAGTACGCGTAAAACCGATGTCGTACCCCGTCGAAGCGGCGCGGCCACGAGCAGCCGAGGGCGACTTCGCCAGGAGAGCCTCGCTCGACGAGGCCGCTGACACCGTCGCCGACAACGGCTCACAACACAGCAGCCGTCGGCAGCAACGGCAGAGTACGCCGAAGCTGCGGGAGCACAGCGCTTCGCTGACACGGCGACAGAAGCTTCTGGAGGAGCAGCAGCAGCAGCAGATGCACTCCACCACCAACTCCCGTCACTCCTCCTCAGATCCCTCCCGGTCACCCGGAGAGGGGCGCCAGCGTTTCCAATCTGTCGACAGTCCTGACGCGGTGGGCGCCGTGCGCTCTGCCCTCCCTCTCATCCCGGCGGAGGAAGGGGACTCCGACGAGGTGGTGGCAACGGTGCCGCGCAGCTCCCCGCGGCAGCGTCTGTCTCGACGGTCGTCGCCGGCGACCGACTCGCTGCTCGCGGAGCAGCGGGCAGCATCCGCGGACGTGAGTCCGAAGACGGCGATGGCGAAGGCGCGCCTCGCCGCGGCAGGGGTGGACGCCTTGCCGAGCCCCCTCCGCGCGCACCACCACCGCCGCACCCCCCAGGGGACTCCCGGAAAGCCACCGCTGGTGCGTACGCCCCCGACGACAGCGAAGCCTACGGCAGACGCTCACCTCTTGTCCTTCCCCTCCACTGTCTCAGAAGGCGAGGACGGGGATGAAGAGGAGGAAGAGCCGGCTGCTACCAACGAGTACCCGGTGGAGTCGCCGCCGATGAACGTGCGGGGGCCGACAGCGGCGCACAAGAGCGATAATGAGGAAGACGACGGTGACACAGAGGCGTGGCAGGAGGTGTCCACGGAGTTGTTCAAGCCTCTCATCGCACACGAGCACCGCAGCATCGACGGCGGCGTCCCCGCTCTGCATGAAGAGGAGAGCGAAAAGCCGATCGCGGTCGACATGCGCCACCGCGCAAGCCGTCACCTGGCGAACGACGCCGACACTGAGAAGGGCAACTTTCATACGAAGCCGGAGATCGCACACCGGGCGTCCGTGAAGCCAACCTTCGATGCACCTGACGTCGCACCTGTGGCGGCGACGGCGGCGTCGGCCGAGCACGACAGCGCACCCCGCAACGTCCACGAGGGGGCGGACGAGACACCGGTGAGAGTGGCCGTGCGTCACCGCCGCAGCTTACACCTCGTCAACACCCACGCAAACTCCAGCAGCAGCAGAAACAACAACGCACATGGTTTGTCGCTGCACCCACGGCGTGAAGTCGCCACCCAAGCCTCCCTCAGCCCCGCCGCCATCGAGGTACGCGCGGCAGGCGAACGGGAGATGTCCGCAGAGCGCAACCAGCGGCGCAGCATCCACGGCGGCGGTAGTGGGGGCGAATTGTACGAAGAAGAGGAGCAGCCGCACGTCGCTGATGTTCGTCGGCGCAGCACGCGGGTGCTGGAGGAGGACAGCGATGCCGCGGCGCGGCGTCGTCGGTCACGTCTGGGCAGTCTTCACGCCCAACTGGAGCAGCCCGCCGTCGACCCCTGCCCCGTGTCGGCCGCGCAGCTTCTGCCCCACGCCATGCCGCTGCGCACCGAAGAGTCGAGCCGTCGCCTCAGCCGGCACGCTACCAGTCAACAGGCGCCGCTGTTCACCGCGAAAGAAGCGCAGCTGGCCACGATGGACTCTGTAAATCCGCGTGTACTCGAAGCGGAGGACGGCCACACGGCGCACACACGCTCCTCTCCGCCGGCCGCTCACACGCAGCAGCAACAGCAGCAGCGTCGCAGCGTGAACGCGGTACACGAAGAGCTGCAGCGGCCAATGCCAGCGGCGAAGCGCACCGTGGCCTCCGCCCCTCAGCGCACGCAGGTGGACGCCCACCACCGCCGCGCTAGCCGGCACGCCGCAGCGGACGGGCAACCGTGGTTCGCGGCGGGCGAGGAGAAGCCGGCGGAGTTGAGGACGGCGGGCCCGCAGACGATGGCCGCAGCCCCGGCTCGGTTCGGTTCGGCCGACGCCGCTCACCGAAGCCACAGCGTGCACACGACGGTGGTAGAGCACGTCCAGCAGCACGACGCCGTCCTGCAGGCGCAGCCCATGCATGTGATGGCGACCAGCGAGGCGCAGCGTCGTGCCAGTCAGCACGCAACGGCGTCTGCGGTGCCGTTGTTTACCGACGCCGACGCGGCCCCAGCCACTTTGAAGACGATCATACCGCAGAAGTTGGCCACGAAGCCCGCCAGCGCACCACCGCGGTGCAGCTTTCATGGGCGGCCCTTTTGTGGGGACGAGCTCGAGGCCCATCCCACGCAGGTCGAAAAGTGTCCTGCGCGGACAATGTCCGCCGCGGCCCGGGAAGGTCTGAGTAGCACGGAAGAGGTGGCCCCCACAGCGGACAAGCGCAGTCGAAGTTGTAGTCGGCACGGAGCGCTGGAAGAAGGAGAGAGCCCGCCGGTGGCGCCGCTAAAGGCCACCGCGCTCAGCCAGCCACTGCGGGTGACAGACTTTGATGCCAACGACGACGAGCTGGGCAGCGACGCGGAAGGTGCGGGCGGCCGGCGACCCCCGCCGCGCCGTGCGAGCCTGCATGCGTCGGAGCGCTCCTCTGTTTACTCCCCTGTCGCGCCGCTGGTCCACCGCCTGCCCTCTGCCGCGCTCCCCTCCCCACGTGAATCGATGGACGAGGATGGCGAGAACCGCGACACGCCGCAGCTGCGTGTCTGCATCTCCGATCAGTCCTCCCTCTCTGATGACTCCTCGGCCGCTGCGACGGTGCCAGGGATATCAGAGAGAACCGCCACGTCGCCCTTGGGATGCAAGTATGAGCTGCAGGAGCGGTACAAGCGTGCCCTCGGCGACGACCTTCCCACGGAGCTGCCACGGTGCGGCGCTGTCGACGACGACGTTTCGCCGGTGGCGGCACCCAACGGTGCCGGCAGCAATGCGGCACGTCAGCGCAGTCTGCTGTCGCACGGCAGCGTCGAGGTGGCCCGGCGCATTCGCGGCTTTTACGCGGGTGAAACCGACGACGAAGATCAAGACGACGCAGCGGACGTGGAAGACCACCACCGCCGTGAGTCGCGGCATGGGGCCTCAGAGGCGGAGGACGAAAACGCGGAGACGTCTGCAGAGGTATGCGGCAGCCAGCAGCATCGAAGCTCTATTTCAGGTGACGCGTCGAGCCGCACCGGCCGTCTTCGTCGCGCCACGCGGGTCACCGCCGTGGACGTGCTGCCGATACGCGCCTCTGAGTTTTCGCCGAAGGAGGCCGACGCGTCTGCGGATGAGAACGATGCACGTGGAGGCGATGTACAGGGCAAAGAGGCAGACGATGGGGATGAGGTGTACGAGATGATCAGCTGCTACGATGTCTCCTGTCAAACCTCGGCGTACCTCCTCCACGACTACCTGGACTCCCTCACACGGGCGGACGCGGTGGCCAAAAGCAACGTCGCAGCGGCAACGCCGGACAATCCGCATTACATGAGCACCGACCGGTGGATGTGCGCGCTGGGGCTGTGTCCGCGGTGCCACCCCAGCCGGCTGGCTCACCAAGCAAACACGCACCGCAGTGGAAGCGGTGAGCGGAGGGGGGAGACAAGTGATGCTGCGGCCGCTGCTGGAGGCCGCACCGGGAGCGACGGAAGCGGCAACGCAGGCCGGATTGTCTGGCCGCTTGTGACACGCCCCAGCCTCGGTTACTCGGCGCCTCCGCGCCTTACTCGATCGGTGCCGCCGTGCCAGCGCCTGCCGCCGCCGCTTGTCATGACAACACCGCCGCGAGTCCCCGCTTCCTTTGCCGCTACGACACCAACACCCCCACCGGCAGCAACGCGGCCGCACCCGCACGCCCCTCTGCCGTACCTGAAGCCCGCTACGACGACGCGATCCTCTGGCACGATTGGAAAGGCCGGCAGCAGGTCTCAGCCACAGCGCCCCTCAACCTCTTCCGCCCGCTTTCCCACAACCAGGTCCGCCGCAGTCACCGCGGCGCTTCTCGACTGCAGCGGCAGCAGCAGCGGCCGCCGCAGTCACGGTAGCACGGGCCGACGCGGTCGCGATCAGCCCGGCACGTACACCCCCCGCGTCACCGCCTACCGCGGCGGGTACTGCTTCACGCAGGAGTGGGAGAGTCGGCAGCGGCAGCGTCAGCGCGACTTGCGCTGCCTGCAGGCGGAGCAAAGCGCCCGCCAAGGCGGTGGCAGCGCCGCCTACAGCCCCCGCCTGCTCACCTGTCACGACGTGCAGTCGGGGCAGCCCATGTCAGAGTTTGCGTACCGCTACTGCGACCTGGAGTCGGAGAGGATGATGGTGCACAGCAGCGCACCGAGTTGCGGCGCGGCGAGACGGGATGTCCCGCTGGAGAACTACAACGACACGCTGCAGGGCGCCCCGCTCATCAGCCGGCGCGCCGGGTCGCCGGTGGGCGGGAGCGAGGCGTCGGTGGAGCGAACGCCCGCCGCGCTTGCAGAAGCCGACGCGGCTGAAGCAGCGCAGGCGAAGCGCATTCGTGCGTCGGCGAAAGAGAGGAGGCGTGCCGCGGACAGCGCGGTGGTGGCGGCGCATCGATGTGGCGAAGGCGACAGCTCTCGCTACGCACAGCACCAAGCAGCTCAACATTACTAAACCGCAAAGTGAAACGAGCAAAGGTATTTATATATATGCGTGTGTGGCAACTCCTTTCTTTGTTACTTTTCTTTACCTTTTATATATATGTAGAATTTTGAACGAGAGGTGAAACGAGCAATGTGCGTCCCCGATGCGAAGTTCGTGTGCTGCCACGACTATGATCCTTTCCTTGTTTCTTTTTGTTATGTACATCTTGTATTGATCGTTGTTTTCTTTTTTCTTTTTCTCTTGACCGCCAGCAGAGACAAACACCAAAATGATATTTTTCCGTACTCTTCCTCCGTAACTTGCGTGTTCTCTCTGTGTAGATCCTTGTCCATCTCATGTACAGCTCAGCATGTGTGCAACGCAACACTGCGTGCATCTCCTCTCTCCCTCTCTCTCTCACTTCCGTGTTTCTCATTTTATCTTTTACTTCTTCGTCTATCTTTTGTTTCCTTCCTCCACCTCAGACAGGTATGCTCGTGCAAATCCACCTAGCGAATCTGTGTGCATGTATGTGTGTGTGTTTCTTCCTCTGCAGCCTTTCTCCTGTATTGTGGGTTCGTGAAAGACTTATCAAGCAGCGGCACGGAGCGACCAGGACGGGACAGAGTCGCTGGCAGACCACAAAGTGCCCATGGCATTGAGGGGGTCGTTTCGTAGGCTTCTTCGACCGTTCGTTGTGGAGTGTCCCCTTCCTCTATAGCTCTTTCTCAAAAAAAAAAGACCTTCTATTATTAAATGATGTACGTTTCTATTAGTACTGGTGTGTGAGTGTTTCTGTTTTCCTTCCCCTTCGAGTGTTCTTTATTTCAGTGAGATGCCGCTCATACGTGGTCGAGTGTCCACGTATCTTTAGTCCGTATGGACCTGCAAAGCTGTGCATAGCTAGATAAAAAGAAAAGAGAGAGCACCAGAATTGGTGGTGATAGTGTAAGTGGAAATATGTTTTTTTTTTTAGAATGAAGAATCACTTTTGGAGTTTCTTTGTTGTTGTGGACAACGAATCGGGTCGCCTGGTAGAGGACGACTTCGTTGTCATAGAACATAGCCCACTCGTCGTAACGTGAAAGAGAACGCCGGTCTTTCCATCGAACCGCAAAACGCGTACGTGCTGCGAACAAGGCAACCTCTATTTATTCATTTATGGAAAACAAGACTCTTTTGCTCCTCAGCCTTCCTTCTCACGTTCGATGCAGTACTTTATCGAGCTACGCAGCGCGTCATACATATATATATACATACATTCACCTCCTCGGCAAGTCGGCCTGCATCATCGCGAAGAGCAGCAAACGGCAGAAGCGAAACATGTCACACGAGCAATAAATGCAGAAGACGCATCTCCCCGCCTCCGCACCGAACCGCACGCGATCACGCAACTCTAACAAAAACGAAAAAAAAAATAGGACCGATAGTTAATTAAAGTCACACGTCTCAGAATTTACGCGCTGAGTTGAACTTCGTGCGTTACTACGGCGGCTCTCCGAAAGTGACTTTTTCAATGGACTCCCACACGTTCCATGGCCCCGGCGACGTCAACGCAGAGGACGACCTCGTAGCGTCTCTCAGAGCGTTTCTACACACGTGGACCGAAAGGCAGCAGCACGCGGTCTCGACCGTCACCGAGTCGGTGTCGCCGTCGGACGGCCGTGGCGACTCCCTCTCCTCAAACTTTCCACCCCCTCTTCGGGCGTCACTGCCGCGCAGCTTTCGCCCTTGCGAGATGGTGCCGGCCGTGTACTTGGGCTCCTGGCAGGACGTGGGCGGAGACGTGGCCGCCTTAATTCAGCGGCTCCAACAGGCCACGTCTTGCAGCGAAGAAGTGAAGAGGGAGTCGCCGGCACGCCTCGCTGCTCCACAGCAGATGGCACTCCTGGTGCGTGCGTGTCCCTTATCCGGTGTGTCGGGGCCGCAGCTGGAGCTGCACGTCGCACGACCTCGCAAGTGTGGGTCGCGGCGAACGCCCAATGGCCTCTCTGCGGCTGGGCGGCGTCTGACGACGATGACGAAAGCTGCGCCGTCGATATCCCGCCCGGCGGCCACCACTGGGGAGGCGTCTGTGTCTGTGCACGATGTCGAGGTGACACACCTAGGCCTGACCGACCTCTACAAACGCGTGTGCGCTGCTCTTGGCAGCGACTCCTGTTCTCCCTCCTCCGCCACCTCCTCTCCACAAAACACCCTCATGCAGTGGCTCTGCCCTGATGGGCCACCTTCCATGTGCAGAGGAGCGATTCCGCCAGAATTCTCTCCGGGAGAGTGGGACGTGTGCGTTGGCGCGGTGCGGGAGGTTCTGCTGGGGGACTACGCCGCCTGCATGGAAAGCGTGCCGGCAACGTGGCGCGATGTGTACTGTTATTGGCGCCTGGTGCTGCCCATCTTCGACGCCCCGTCAGAGCCGATTCAACAGTACTTCGCCATGACAACGCTGCTGCTGCACGCTGCCCTGTCCCTGTCGGCCCATTCCAACTACTCGAAGTGGCTGGGGGCAGAGAGGAGCGAGGAGAGCAATGTCGGCACCACGCCAGTCAATGGAGAAGATGTACAAGGAGGTCGTGTAGCCGCTGCTGCTGCTGCTGCTGTGACGGCGCTGCCGTGTGTGGTCGTGCACTGCCACGCCGGCAAGTCGCGCTCCGTCAGCTTCGTCGCCGCCTTCCTCCTACAGGAATGGATGATGTGCTACCGCGTCGCGCACGCACCATCAACGGTGGGGACCAGATCCACTCCTGCAGGCGCTGACGGAGAACACGCCAACAACACGCATTCGACCACGGTAGGTGGGGCAGCGTCTTCCATTCTTCAAGTCAGCAAGACGCCTCACAGCATTACCGCGCGACGACTCGTCGATACGGTCATGGCCCATCTGCGCAGCAGACGTCTCTGCGTTGACGTGAACATCGGGTTTGATGCGCAGCTACATGCGATGGTGCATGCGTTTATTGATGGCCTTTGAGAGGTCGTCAGGCTATGCATGTGCACTGCCGCTGCGCTTACATACATAATTTGTTGTTGCTGCCGCTGTTGATGTTCACCCGCTGTGTCGTCAGCGAGACACAGTGCAGAACGCACCACCACCCAAAAAAACGGAGAAGAAGATGTACAAACGGGAGGAAAAACAGGCATCCCACGCCACAACAAGAAGGTAAAGAAATACAAGAGGGGAGGGGGGCGACGAGATCCAGAAGAAGGTATTCGAACAAGTAAAGCTCTCTCTATCTATCTCTCCGTCCTATGTTGTAACGCACCGCAGAGAATTATCTTCTCTCGCCCTTCGACCCTTTGGTTTTTCTGATCTTCTTCTTCCCTGATATGCAACCTTTCTTTTTCCTTTTCCCCTGAAAGGTGTCGTCACACTCGCTTTCATACTTACTAGCGTTTTTCCTCTCCTATTAATTGATTCGCCATCATAGTTGTTGTTGTACCTATTGATTTAATACTCCTGTCTATTACCTCTCTCTCTCTCTCTCACTCCTACGCTCTCTTGTCATGCCGCCCGCACACATCTTCCTTGTGCGCCACGGGGAGCGGGTGGACCACGTCGATCCAAACTTCGGCAAGACCTACCCGCGCCCGCACGACTCACCGCTCACGCCGAACGGCGTCGCCATGGCCGAGGCGCTCGGGGCCTACCTCGTCCAGCACTACCACCTCGCCGTTGCCGAGACCGTCGTGTTCGTCTCCCCACTGACGCGCTGCGTGCAGACGGCAGATGGCATCGTCAACGGCGCTCAGCGGGCGGTGGGGGACGGTGCGCCGGAGATCCCGGTGTACCTTGAGCCTGCGATTATGGAGGGTGCCTACTGGATCTTCCGTGATATGAGTCAGAACCGTGACGTCGTGGACCCGAGCGGCGCGACCTTCCACTGCCCGGATCCCGTGTATTACGACGCCGCCTTCCACCGCGCGAACACCTCCTCGCACGTGCAACTGACAGACCCTTTCCCCCTCTACCCTCCGCCGAACTTTGTCATTGAGGACAACAAGCTTGCCGATCACAGCTTCCCGGATCGCTGCGTCGAGGGCGCGAAGAAGCTCCTCACCGTCCCTGCGCTGGATGGCAAGACGGTTATCTTAGTGGCGCACGGTGAGACGGTGCTGCGGGCGATGCAAGCCATGCTTGGCACTGCTTTTCCCGCAAAGCCGGTCAATCCCTTGTACACCGCCTTTGTGCACCTCTCCTGTGGTGGTCGCGGGGACGAGGCGCGTGTGGTGGCGGAGTCGGAGACCTTTCGCACCCCGCATCTCCCGGAGGAACCGCATGAGTACTAAGGATTTAATACAAAAAGCTGGTTTTAAAATTAAAAACCGTTGTGGAGCGTGGCCTCTTCACTCACCAAGACGGTAGAGAAGGTGATGTCTGCCCACCTCTACCGCTGTCTGTGTGTGAGTTTTTTGGGGGAGGCCCAGAAGCTGCCCTTCTCATTTTTTTCTTTGTTGCATGATGCGGGAAAAAAAGGCCGACAAACTTCCGCGCACAAGGTGAAGCCACTGTCTGCGAATTCTTTTGTACTTCCCGCTTATCTTCCCTCCGTCGATTCGCTATCTCCTCGTTGTGGCGCCGGTTTGATGTGCCTCCAACGTCGTAGCGAGAGGGAGAAGCGGGCAAGGAACACGTCGAATGGATTTACCGCGGTGTCGTGCAGCACAGCGAGCCCGCGCTGCGCGTACCTCTCCCAACCCCGGGTGCCCAACGCGTACTCAGCACGGTGGATGGGTGGGGTGGACACACATCGGAGTGATTCTCTGCAGCGCAGATCTGGTAAAATACGTAAAGAAGAAGAAAAACGGGACAGCATCGAGCACGAAGACGTTGTTCATTTCCACCTTCTTCCTTTCCTTGTCCTTCATCTTTTGGTTTTTTTGCGGTTATCGCCCCTGTTCTGGTGGTTTGTACGTGCGACTTCCAAAGCTCGGCGGCCATGCTCCCTCGCCGCACCGCCCCCTTGTTGTTGTTGTGGTGGTGGTGGTGGTTTCCTTTCACATGCGTCGTGTGCGTTGGTCGCGAGGTGTGCGTTTTCATTTTTTCCCTCCTCTCTCTTCTCGCTTCTCTCTCTTTGACATTCCTTTTGGTGGCGTACACACCGTCGCTACCAAACTCGATTAAAAACCGGTGATCACGAACACGTCATCGCGGTGTGGTAGCGGGTGTGGATCCCGCACCGCAGCATACAAAACAAACAGCAGAAAATAAAAAGAGAAATAGAAGAGAAGCGCGCGTGAACACACACCCGGCACTCGAAAGGAAGTCTGCACACCTGCTCTACGCGGACAGACAAATACGAGAATGACGACGTGTGCGGCACCGTCAGCATCGCCGACGACGCCCTCCGCCCCCACCATCGAGGCGTTTCTTTGTGACAACTGCCGCTGCCCCATCGGCACCGTGTGGGACGTGCTGCCCGCCGAGGCGCACGCACCGGTGTGGAAGGACCAGGTCTACAGCTATGAATTAGACCTCTTCGCGAATGGATCGCCACCGATCCAAGCATACAGCGCCACCAATCCGAGTAAGCGGCGCTTTGATCTGCTCCGGCTAGCGCCTTATGTGACGGTGCACGGCACCCCTGAGGCGGCGGACAAGGAACCGGAGGAAGGTCCTCCCGTTGACGCGTCTGCCTCCCCCGCCGCTGCCATCACCACGGACAACACAGCACCAACAACAACCACAACGCGGGCGCCACCCTTCGCGGTGTGCGACACAGCCTTCTACTCCTCCGAGCACTCTTTCTTCACCGGCTACGCGTGGTGCTTCTGCCACTGCGGCAACTGCGGCGAGTTCCTCGGCTGGGGCTTTGCGTCGCAGGATCGTCTGAACGCAGCAGCAGCAGCAGCAGCGGTCGCACGTGCACGTGAACGTGAGGCCGGCAACCGCCCTGGAGATGACGGCGACGCATCTGTCAAGGGTTGTTCGCGTAGTCGACTGGTGGAGGAGGTGGGGGATCCCGAAGACGATGGCTCCCGTAACGCAGCACCTCCGGACTCCGCCGCTGCGCCGCCGCCCTCCCCTTCGTTGCCGTCAACGTCCCCTGAGGTGCACTCGGGCGACGAGGTGGGTGAGGGCGCCAGCGGCGACGATAGTTGGGAGGACACCGCAGTGGACGAAGACGACGAAGAAAATGGCGGCGAATGTGAAGAGGACCATGACGGCGACAAGAGTACCTCCACGGTTGGCGTCGCGCCGGACTTCATTGGTATCATCATCACAAATTGCACCGGAGAGCCCCGCTACCCCGTGGCCTCCCTCCTGAAGGAGGTGGGGTGGCGGGCGTGGCGTCTGCAGCGACGCAGACGTGTACACGCCGTCACACGTGATCTGCGACGGCTGCTGCTGGAGGACGCCGACGGCTTCCATGCCCACCGCATCTACTACATCTTCATGTCCCTCGTGGAGCGGATATTTCAGTCTCCCCCGGCCACGGCACACCCTGTTGTGGGAGAGGACGATGTGCCGTCGCTGGTGGCGATCGTCGCAGCGGCCCGTGCCTCGGTGGAAAGTCAGCGCGAAAGCCAAATGGCTCAGGAGCACGCCGAGGGAGACGGTGGGGAGGCGAGCGATGACGACAACAGCGGCGATGATGGCGAGGCAGCCGCTGAGGCACCAACGGGCGAGAGCGAAAGCGCCTAAAAGGCAAAGATACATATATTCAAGACACACAAAGCCAAGTGGTGTAGGTGCGTTTATTGCTGCTATTATTCTCTCCGCTGCACCGTCTTTTCTCTTCTTGAATTTCTAAAGCGACACGGCACCTAAAGGAAACCACAATGAAGCTGTGTGAAATTGAAGGTGTTCACGAAATGAAACAGCTCTGCCTCACCGCACTCTTGTTGTTGTTTCTTACCTTGACTTTTCTTTTCTCCCTTTTCTACGTTTTACTATCGAAGCGACAGGACCCAAGGCTTATTTCCACCGTTATCCATCGCATTTCCATCGTGCCGTCTTCGTGTTCGTCCGTTTTTTATTTTTTTACTTGAGCTCCACTCTGCTGTGTCGAGGTGCGTACAGGTGCGCGGTGCCTTCCGTTGACCGCGACGACATCAAATTGGTTCACCTGTTATCATCACATGCGCTCATGCTCCTATCGCGACTGCACACACACACACACGCAGCACCGCTTCCTTCTACGACTTTCTGCCGGAAGAGGAACATGTTGTGTGCCACCGAAAGATACTCTGTTCGCGGCGCAGCTCTCTTAGGATGTCTTTCTCCCTTTCCCTGGTCTTTTCTTCTCTCTTTCCATCGCCACCGCTCCCGCACCTCAACGTTTACTGTCGTTTCTCACCTAAAACCGAAAATCGACTTCTCTGGCAATTCTACCTTCACTTTCTCCACCTCCATCCAGTGACCTGCCAGACCTACAACACAAGCTTTTCTTTTTCAATACTCTACAATACAAACCAAAAGAGAGCCCGTCATTTTGTCGTTATCTGCCATTAAAACGCCACTTTGAGCTGATCGACGCAACCACAGGACGTCGCGGTAACGATTACTCTCCGCATGCCTCGCATACTCCTCGCTGCGCTCATCGCTGCGGTGGCGCTGCTGTTCATCGCAGCAGCGCAGCCAGCCTTCGCGGAGGTCACCCCTGCGCAGCAGTCCTCTACCCGCGCGTTTCTGCGTGAGTTCGCCCGCGAGATCCCGTACCTGCAGAATCGCTGGGTCGGCACCGACTACTGCGGCTGGGAGGGCATCACCTGCGACGCCAGCGGCAATGTGGCCATCGACCTGGCCGGCAAGGACCTCGTCGGCGACATGCCGGAGCTGGACAGCGACGTCGACGGGTGGCAGGTGATGGTGATGTCCATCGACATGTCCAACAACCCGCGCTGGAGCGACGAGTTCGAGGAGGACTGGGCCGGCCTGCACAACCTGCGGTTCCTCAACCTCAGCTACACCGCGCTGCACGACGCCATCCCGGACTCGTGGAACGGCATGCGGGCGCTGGAGGAGGTGCACATCAGCCACACGAGCGCGTGCAAGAGCCTGCCGGAGTGGACCCTCACCACGCTGCACACCATCGACCTCTCTCACAACAACCTCCAGGGCGCCCTCTCCGCCGCCTGGTCGCAGATGACGGGTCTGACGTCCGTGGACATCACCGGCAACGGCTTCTGCGGCTGCGTGCCGAGCACGTGGACGTCGGCGCTGCTTTCGGACGCTGCGGCTGCTGCGGGCGGCGCGGTGCGGTCAGCGACGTGCGCCACCGACAACGCCTGCACCTACGCCAAGCTGTGGTGCGTCAACGCGCCGATCACCACCGCCACGCCGACGCGTCCGCCGGGCCCCACGACGACGACGACGACGCCCAACCCGAGCTTCACCAGCGCCGCCACGCTCGCGTTTCTGCGTGAGTTCGCCCGCGAGATCCCGTACCTGCAGAATCGCTGGGTCGGCACCGACTACTGCGGCTGGGAGGGCATCACCTGCGACGCCAGCGGCTACGTCAGCGTTGACCTGGCCGGCAAGGACCTCACCGGCGACATGCCGGAGCTGCGCAGCGACGTCGACGGCTCGCAGGTGATGGTGGTGTCCATCGACATGTCCAACAACCCGCGCTGGAGCGACGAGTTCGAGGAGGACTGGGCTGGGCTAAAGGTCTTGCAGCACCTCGACCTCAGCCGCACAGGTCTGTATGGCGCGATCCCGGACGCGTGGAACGGTATGGTTTCGCTGCAGACGGTGAAGATCAGCAACACCTACGCGTGCCTTGGTCTGCCCAACTGGAACATCGCCTCGCTGCGCACCATCGATCTCTCCAATAACAAACTGACTGGGAATCTTGTCTCCTCGTGGGGCCGCATGACGGGTCTAACCTCCGTGGACATCTCCGGCAACAACTTCTGCGGCTGTCTACCGCACGAGTGGACCTCGGCGCTGCTGGTGAACGCCGCTACGGCAGCCAACCGCGAACTCACCTCCGCGACCTGCTACAGCACCCGCTTCTGCACGCCGGACGATTACGTGTGCGACACCACCACACCAACAACGGTCCCCGATGTTGTCTGCAGCGTGCAGCACTGCCTCTCGTGCTACCCGGGCTTCCCCAACTTGTGCCAGGAGTGCAGCAGCGGCTACAACGTCAGGGCCGACGGGAGCTGCATGCCCTCCGGCGAGTGTGCGGTGGAGCACTGCGTGCAGTGCGCCCTCGCCAGCTCCACCCGCTGCATCCAGTGTGACGAGGGCTACGTGACAACGCGCACTGGCACGTGCCAGCGTGCCCGCAACGGCGCCGCTGCCCCGGCTTCCGTGCTGGTCGCTGTCGCTGCGGTGGTGGTCGCCCTGGCGGCTGCCGCGTACGGCGCGTGAGTGAGTGAGCATCAGCTCAGAGACGGAGGGGAGGGGAGAGCTGATGATGCGCACGGAGGGGACGGGGCGTTGCTGTGATGCACGCGGTAGCGCAGCCGTTTTCCTTCTCTAGGTCCTTCCTTCTCCTTCTCCTCTCCCTTTCTGGGAGGGGAGTGGTACGGCGCTCTCAGCCTTCTCGGTCATTACGTGAAGTATCAAATATATATCTATATATTAAAAAGGAATAGGTGCGGGGTCACTCTGCCGCACGCAGTGACACGCAGTGACACGCAGGAGTTTTTTCCCACAGCACATACGCTTTTTTTTTGTTGTTGTTCTTCGTTGTTTGCCTGTGTGTGTGGCACGCTCAGGATTCTTCCACGAAGTTGCAGCCTCTCTTGAGCGCGCAGAGCGTTGTGGGTGCGGGTTTGCAATGGTGTGACCCCCTGCAGCAGTGTGCGCACGGCCTAGTCCTTTACCACCGCTATTGTTATCATTGCTGTTTTTCCCATAGTCATATAAATCTCTTTAGGGGGGTGGGGGGCACATTCGAGTGTATTCATTGATGCTTTCTTTTTTCTTCGCTGTTGTCTCCTTTGTTTTTATTATCTTCTCTCATGTCCTTCCTGGCAAACGAACGTTCCACGCGTGCGTCAGCGCGCCGGAGAAAAAAATGGAAGGCCGAAAGCGTATGTTCTGTGAGGGGGTTTTTCTCTTCGTCGTTAACATTATTGCTTTCTGTTTATCTTTCTTTTGCACGTGTCTGCATCTTATAGTCTATCAGTCTTCCCCTTCAATTAGTTTCATACCGTGTTGGTCGATGCGTCTGCGCTATGTTTCCATTTCCTACTGTGTTTCTTCGCTTTCAGCCTTTCCATTGTGGCTCGCTGAGGTGGGAAGCCTACGCTGCGGTTCCGCGAAGTGTGTGTGTCGTACGTACATCAGCCGTTCGACGAGGAACGCAAGCAGACGAGAAATAAAACGTTTTTCCGTGTTCCACATTCTTTTTGAAAACAAAACGATGACAAATTATCTTTGTTTGTGCCGCCCCGTAAAAGAAACGAGACATTTATAATGATAATAAAACTCCGCAGACAACACCTCCCATCTCATCCCCTGCTAAGGTGATGGAAGGACTGTCTCTCACTCCTCGTCAAATCGACAAGACAGAGGAAGGTCGTTGCGTTCGCCTCGGATTTTCCTTTTTTTACTTTTTTCATCTAAGTCCTCCTCTGAAGCTCCCCGAGGCGTATGCACCTTCGCGAAAGGCTGCACATCTCTTCTCTCCTCCTCCTCCTCTCCCTCACCCTCCTCATCCTCATCCGACCTCCTTTCTTTTCTGCCTCCTCCTTCACGAAAGACGCGCACGTGTTTTTGTTGTTGTCGTGACTCCTCGCATTAATCTAACATCTCATACGTATTGCCTCCTCTCTCTTACTGTGTGTGTTCCCCGCCCCCGCCCCCCTCGCAAGCCGTTGCCATTCGGGACTGCAGAAGCCAAAGACAGAATTAAAAGCACACAGCAGTGTATCTCCCACCCTTCTCCACCCACTTCGAAACTGTCCACAGAGAGAGAGAGAGACAACTGACCAGCACACTACACGCAATTTTTTCTCCTCTTGTTTTTTCTTCTTTAACTACCCCGAAAAAAGTTTATCCCCATTTTATCTCTTTCTCCTTGATTTTATTTTTTTTTCTTCATTGATATTACTGTCATTCATCGGTCGTCTATTCCTTCCTTCTTACTATTCAGTAGAGTTTGACCTGCAAAAGGAAAAATCAAAAAGGCTTACACCAATCCACACCGAGGCGAAGGGTGAAGAAGAAAACAATGCTGCCCAGTCTCCGTCGTTTGACTCTCGCGGCTGCGCTGACGTTGGTGGGGCTGCTGTGCACCTCCGCCCCTGTCAGCGTCGCAGCCGCGCTCACGCCGGCGCAGCAAACAAACACGCTCGCCTTCCTGCAGCTCATGGCGTCTTCCATTCCTGGTCTTTCGTCGTCGTGGACGGGCTCGGACTGGTGCTCGTGGACCTACGTGAGCTGCGCAGCGGAGTCCAACATTACCCTCCTCATCGACGGCGCGAACTTCTCCGGTTCCCTGCCGGCGCTGACGCCGAACGTCACCGGCGCCAACGTCGCCCTTCACACCATCGCGCTCATGAACATGAACATCACGAGCGGCTTCCCGGCGAGCTGGGCGGCCCTCTCGGCACTGAAGGTGCTCAATCTGCGCAACATGAACGTCTTTGGCTCCCTCCCGCGGGAGTGGAACGCGATAGCGGGTCTCACCTCGCTCTCCCTCGTCAACACCAGCGCCTGCGGCGGCCTGCCAGACTGGACCTTCCCCGCCATGGAGAATCTGGACCTCAGTTCCAACTACCTGCGCGGCACTCTGCCCAAGATATGGGGCGCCATGCGTCGTCTGCAATTTCTCAACATCAGCTACAACTATCTGTGCGGGTGTATACCAGAGACGTGGGAGCCAGACGTGCTGCAGTATGCTGCGATTCGCTCGCTCGGCTACTACGCCACCGACCCGAAGTGTCGCAACACGCCAGCGTGTCTCGCCGTGCAGGGGTGCTCGCGAGTGGTGCCGAACTACGGCGATGTCGTCGCCACCCCCACCTGCATTGTTGTAGCGGCCCTGACGCTGGCCGCGGTGGTGGCGGCGGCGCTCTTTGCGCCGTAGCTCCGTCAACTACGCGCATTGGCGTACATCACATTCATCTCCTCCCCCCCCCCCAATACTTTTTTTTAGAAGATAAATAATACTCGAAAATTACCTGTCTGTTTGTTTTGTTGATGTCCTTTGGTTTGATTCAGCGACGTTTCTCTCGGTGTTTGTGTACTGCTCTTCACTGTGATGTATTCAGCATCCATCTTTTCCTGCTCGTTGCAGGAACGTTTGTCGTCTCTTCAACGACGCTCATACAACGCGAGAGGTTGCCCCGACGCACATAACGCAGGTACTTAAATTTGTCTTCATCGTTTTCGTGCTCTGTTTCTGCTGCCTTTCTAGTGTATTGCGTTTCGCAAAGGAAGAGTTGCTTTCATCTGTGTTTGTGTGTTTTCGCTGACATCGCTGTTGCAGGCCGTGATTGCTATGCGATACGCATGCGCTCACTTAGATGCCTGTGTGCGCGCATGATCTGCGTAGAGGCATCATCTCTCTTTTTCTCTTTTTCCCTTCCTGTTTTTCCGCGTTATGCAATTTTTTCTACGCCCAGGTCGGCAAACGTCTTCCACCCTACGCTGTGCCACCGTGTTCGAATGTGTCGAGGCTACGGAGTAGACCTACGTATCGGCGGCGGTTCCTCTTCGTGTTTCTCTCCCGCCCGCAGTTAAATCTGTAGGAACGCTAGAGACGGCAGTGAACCAAAAGTGGACTTTTTATGTTTACTCTTTTATTTGTACTCGTCTCCACACTCGTTGACTCTTGATCGAAGTCGCCAATACGGTTGTCTTCTGCGAATCCAGCCAAACGTGCCGCTGTTTTGTTGTTGGGGTTGTTGTTGGGGTTGTTGGATTCTTTCTTGTGGTGGTGCGGGGCGTCCAGGCATCGAGATGGGTGTACCGTGGTGTTTTGTTATCCATCCTTCTTCTTTTCTTTTTTCTTTTTAGGTATTCAAAGAGAATTGGGTGAGCAATGTTGGTTTTCTCTGTGCGTGCTTCTCCCATTGTATGTTCATTTCTATTTTCTATTTCACTGTACTCCTCTTATCATTGATCGATCTCCTCCTCAGTTGGGTTCCCACTTCCAACGATTCGAGAGTATGTGTGCTACTATTGTTATTATCACCATCGTTTCCTCTACGCCGCACTTCGGCCTCTTTTTTTTGCCAGCTTCATTCTTTTCCGCTCTCCATCTTCTGTGTGTGTGGGGGGGGGGTGTTTGGTTCGCAACGATGTCCGCATTAATTGCTGGCTCGTGGTTGTCGGTTCTTTTTTGGTTCTTTCTGAAACGACCCTTTCTTGTCAAGTCCGTTGGCGGGAGGGGCACTTCTTCATTGAGACGTTCTTTCAGCGTATTTTTGCTTGTTTGTCTGTCTTCTCCTTTTTTCTCTTCAGTGGACGCGCACAAGACGCCACCCACAACACCAAGAAGGAAGGTTTCTTCGTATAGATATATCTGTGGAGGCAGTGAAACTGTTCTTGCATCCAAGCTATATCGAAGCAATACCTTTCCTTGGTGTTTTCATTCGGTAGATGGCGGCAAGATGGCAAGCACGAAATAGCTCATTGTGTATGACCGTCACTTTCTGCTGTAAATGCAGCGTTTCGTATTATATTTGAGTACAACAAAAAAAGTAGTGTTAATCGATTCTTTTTCTCCTCCTCGTAGCATGCCCTTTTTGTGATAGTACCTGTGAGAAGAGACGGTTGATCTCTAGCTTGTTCTTCGGAATTCCTTTCACACTCTTCTCGTTGGGTAAAAAAAAAGAAAGGAATGAGGGATACACACACACACACAACACTTCTGTTGAGGTGTTTCATGGTTCATGAGAGAGAGGGCCTTTTAATGCGCTGCAAAAGTTGCGCTTCCGCGTTTCCACACTAGCATCCACTATCCTTCCTTTCGATGAAACCGTGAACTTCCGCCGAAACTCGGCTAGCGTGAAAGGGAGAGAAAAAAAAACTTATGTGTGTCATCGCAATGAATTCTAGCCTATCTGCTCTCCCTCTCTCTCTCCCGCTTTCGTGAACGGTGGTTCTGGGGTTTGTGTTCCTCCTCAAGACGGCACTTTCTTTTATTAGTATTACAGATACCCTCCCCATTGTTTGCGTTTACTGCTTTCGCTGACACTCGTTTACTCATTGTTGTTTTCTTTCTTTCCTTCAACCTCCCGTCACTCACCTGTCTCTTTTTCGATTCGTACTCGGCGCTTTCTCCCGCCACTGCTTATCTTTTTCATTCACTTTAATTGACATTTCGGGTCAATTTAATCGTGATTGGGCGAAAGAAGCGGCGGTTCTTTATATATATACGGACGCTCCTTTCTGACTTGCGACGCTACCGCATCATTCTTAATATTGCTCTCCCTCTCTCTTTCTTTTGGAGGCACACATATATATTCGTCTTTACCCGATACGATTGCCCTGTGCTGTTCTCAAAGCGCAAACGCGAAGAGAGAAACAGAAACAGAAGAACGCGGAAGACGTTTACGAAAGCAACCACCCCCCTCTCCCTCTCCCTCTCCTCCTTCAAGAAAAGAAAAAAAATGACGCGTATTTTCCGTTGCGTACTCCTCGCGCCGGTCGTGGTGCTGGTGCTGGCACTCCTCACCTCCTCCGTCACCGCGGACTTCACTGAGGCGCGGTTCAGGGCCACTTACTTGTTCCTCAGTGCCTTTCCGTACGCCCTCCCATCTCTCCAGTCCACCTGGCGCGCGATGGAGTTCTGCAGCTGGCCCGGCGTCGCGTGCGACAACTCGAGCGCGATCACCTACGTCAGCGTGAACCTCGCCGGCCAAAACCTGCAGGGGAGGATGCCGTCCGTTGCGAACGAAGTCACGGGCTACAACCTGCCAGTGGTGTCGGTCGACCTCTCCAACAACCCCGGCATCACCGGCCCTTTCAATGACGACTGGGCGGCGCTCATGTATGTCACGCACATCGACCTCAGCTACACCCACCTCCAAGGCTCACTCCCTGACTCATGGAACAGAATGGTGAATCTAGCTACGTTGAAGATTACCTACACCTTCGCGTGCAAGGGACTGCCCAACTGGAACATCGCCTCACTGCGCACCGTCGACCTCTCGCACAACCGCCTGCGAGGCGTCCTGGCCAGCTCATGGAGCAATATGACGGGCCTGACGTCTGTGGACATCAGCGGCAACGACTTCTGCGGCTGCGTGCCGAGCACGTGGAGTTCTTCAGCCGTGCTGACGAACGCCGCGGCCGCCGTCGGGAACAAAGTTGTCGCGTCGAACTGCGAGTCTGCGAACAAGTGCACCAGCTCTCATTACATGTGCACAAGCGCTGCAGCAGCACCCGCCTCCGTGGCGCTGTTGGCTGGCCTACTCCTGTCGTTCCTTGTAGCTATTGCTGCTCTGTAGCAGTGGACTTCTTGGAGTCACGCTCGTGTGGGGAGGCTCTCTACCTCTCCAGTGTATCTTCGTATTCCTGCCTCCAGGGCTTTCTCTTCTCCTTTTTTTATAAGCATTGTGATTACTTGTGTGTGTTTTGTCTGGTTCTCTTTTTTTGTTTTTACGAATTCAGTTATCTCAAACACGATGTGTGAAGCGGCAGGAGCACGGCAACTTGCGTGTGTATACGTATATTCTTCTTCTCCTCTTCGCCTGTCTGGGTTGTCAACACGACGCAACTGTTTCTCTGGCGGCGGATGCCGTCCGGTACCCACGCAGGTGAGGAGTGGAGGTGGGAAAAAACTCGCCAAATGCAATGAAGAAAAGAGAAAGCTCTGGCACGCCCGCGGTGAAGGAAATTACGTGTGATTTCGCGGAGATGACGGCGACAAGCATCTTCCTTTCGGCTTTTCTTCCGGTGTGTGTGTTTTTTTTCTTCGACCTCATACTTCTCTTTTTCTCTTTCCTCACTACACAGCGCCAGCAAAGGTCCGAGTTCAACTTTGAACCATGGTAGTCATTCATTATTATTATTCTTTACCGGCATTCGCAAACCGTACGACTTCTCTGAAATCCGTCTTCTTTTCTTCTTTTTGTGAGATGCATCTCCGCTGTGTGTGTGCGTGTGTGTGCGTTTTTTGTTTTCCACTGATTCCGGTGTTTTTTAATCATTATTTTTTTCTATTTTTTCTTCCCGCTTCGTTATGCCTTCTCCTTTTTTTTCTCCCATATTCATTGATCACCTCAACGCATTGATTGCGTCTCTCTCTCTCCCTCTTCTACTAGAGACAAGGAATGTGTGGACGTGTGTATGCACGTCTGTCGCTGAAGTTGGAAGGTCTTTTTTCATTTCTTTTCGAAAGGATTGTTCGCCAAAACACGTACCCGCGTACATAACCTATATATTTACGCAGAGTGAACCGGTTTGGGCGAACACGTTTTTTGTTTTGTTTGTGTTGTGTTGTGTTGGGCAGCATGCGCGTGTGTTTGCCAACACCATGTTCATTGTTATTGCCTCAGCAAGAACATATATATATATATATATATATATATATATATGTATATATGTATGCCATCCTACGTACTCTGCGTGTGCTGCGTCGTTAAGGTGGAACACGGCGGCTAATTACCAGCGGCCTTCATTCGCGTCTTTCTGGAGGGGGTCCCATATGGGTCTCTCAGCCGTATTGCTTCTTCTTTATTTATTTATCTGCCGCTGCACTTACTGTTGTTGTCTCTGACGTGTGCTGCTTATAAAGAAAAACAATACATTTTTTTTTCCAGAATGTCGCAATGTCCTCCACTTCTTTTTTACGCTTCGATGTTTCAGGAAGGCAAAAGATCTTGCCGTTGTTGTTGTCGTTTGATGGTGATAATGTTGACTCGATCGGGGTGCACACGTGAATTGTGAACGGGTGTACGATATGGGGATGGTCTCACATATACGGGCGCCGTACCACCGAACTTCCTCCTCGTATTATTCGTTCTCCAACAGAGCGTTTGTCTCCCTTCTGTCACGTAGACCGTGTTTTTTTTGTTTTGTTTGTGCTGCCTCCTCCTCCTCCAACTTAAACGTACGTTTATTGCGGAGGGGTTTTTTCTTGCTGGTGGTGGTGGTGGTGGTGGTGCGTAGTTGCTATTGTCTTCCTCCTCTCTTTCTCTCTCACTGTATCTGTATTATGCAAACGTCTCGACTCACCTCTTTCTTCTTTCACCCCCTGTTGTTGTTGCTTGCTGTTCCACAGAAAAAACAGAATGCGAGCGCCTTGTCGTCGCTGAGCCGCCGCCGTTGTTGTCGTTTTCTCTCTCGTCTGTTTACAGACTCAAAGAAGCGGTGAAGAGACGCGTGAGAAAGAGCCGCGGAAGACGAACGGCTGCCCCAACGTAATCTTTATCATTTTTTTAGTGTTTTAACTTCTGTGCTTTTCTTATTATTTTTTTTTATTTATTGATGATGTGCGTGGACTTGGCGTTGTTGACTTTTTTTATCCTCCTCTCTTCATCCACTTCTTTCACACCGCGTTACACAGTTTTGCGTTCCCCCCTCTCCATCGCACACACACTCACACAGTTTCTTACAGAGAAAGAGTGCGTCGAAGATGCCGGTGTGGCACAGGAAGCAAAGAAGAGACCCTCCGAGAGGGGAAGTCCCATCAACAACCACCATCCCAAAACAAGGAAGGACGGTAGCTCGAGTTTTTCTTTCTTTGCTTCTTATCGATTTTCTGCTGTACAAAGCCTTTCGAGGCTCATGCGTGCGGCACCAGTGAAGCCAGTGAAAGAACGCGAAACACGACAAAACCCAAACCCAAATAGGCGAGGCACGCAAGTTCTCGCTGCACTGAAGGTGGAGTAAAGAGAAGGGCCTTTAAATAAAACAAAAAGAATGCGCTGGTGACAACGCTCAGAAAGTGTGTCTTTTTTTCCTCTCCTTCTTTGTAGCACCTGTAGGAGTCAAAGGAGGCGAAACTCGCGTCTTTAAATTCAGAGTTCCAGTTTGTGTGTGTGTGTGTGTGTATGTCTGCGGTCTGCAATACAAGCACACGAGTTTGCTTTACCTGTGAAGGGACGTAGGGAAGCAGCAGCACACGGGAACTGCGCTCGCCTAATGTCTCTGTGATCCGTCATGACCACCTTCACATTTCTGTTTTTCATTCGTATCTAAGGTGCATTAGCTTTATCCTCGAAATATCTCTTCTCTCTCTCTCTCTTTGATTCATGGTATGCAATCCTCTCGCACACAGCACCGCGACTCCAGTCTATTGACCGTGAGGCACGCGCGCGCACACACAACTGCATCTGCTAACAGCGGGTTGTGAACAGCGGAAGCGCTTCGTTGTTAGTATCACTTGTCATCCTTTCAGCTGTCTTTTATTGCTATGCAGAAGGTACTTGAAGGAGACAAGAACGATTAATAATAAAAGAAGAAAAGTGGCTTCAGCGCACCAGCTTCTCTTGATTCAGCGACCATCTACCGTTTCGCCCTCCCGTATCAGAACATAATCATACATAGAAAAAGGAAAAGACACGATAAGGTTTCCGTTCATAGATTGATCAGCATAGAAACGAATCGGACCTTCGTACGTCGTCCGCCACGAACAGCGGACGTCATTATATGTAAATAAGCTCTCACAAATTCAGCTACCTTCTGCTGGTGACTTGTTCCGCTACCTCACAACCCTCTGCTGAAAGCTTGTCCCTCTTATCCCGTCACCCATCATATACACATTGCCGCTCTTTCCTTTTCTGCCAATAGTTTTCGCCCCCTCTCTCCCTCACTCCTTCTCGGATTCGAACTGCATCACGCACACCGTGGAGCTGGGGAGGAAAAGCACGTAACGTCGCTGCTGCTGTTTTTGTCTTCTCGTTAGACAATGCAAGAAGTCCGCGATGCGTCGGTAGCCATCAGCGAAGGTGTCGGCAGCGGCGCGCAGCCCACCTCGCAGCAGGACGCAACGACAACGACGGCGCTCGCCGCCGTCTCCCGTCCCACCGGTCGTGCGCCGCGGACTTGCTTCACCTACGCGTCGCACCCGTCACTCCAAAGTCATCGCGGAAGCCCTTTCGGTGCCATATCCTCCTCCACCTCAGCGGCAGCCGTGAAAACCCCTGCTGAAGCCTCTTCCTTGTCTGTCAGCTCCCCTGCCGCGGTCGCCGTCTCCTTGACACCTGACACGACAGCCGTGGCAGCTCCCACTGACATGCATGTGACATCGTCGCAGCAGCAACAGCAACAGCAGCAGTCCGCAGCATCGTCGTCGTCGTTGTCTTGCCCTCTCACCGCCACCGCAGCACCGCCGTGGCCGTCGTTCGGCAAAATGGACGCCTCGCAGATTGGCGCCGCCACCTACCCGACTGACGGTCCTCTCCTTCTACAGGCCGGCGCTGGCAGCGGCAAGACGCAGACGATGGCCGCCCGCATCGCTTTCCTGCTCGAAAGCGGGGTGCCGGCGCGGCGTATTTTGGGCATCTGCTTCACCCGGCAGGCGGCCGAGACGCTGCGTGAACGGGTGCGGTCCACCCTGCCCCCCTCCCTCGCCCGCCAGGCACACCTGCTGAAGCTCAAGACCTTCCACGCCTTTGGACTGGAGTGCCTCCGCCGCTTTGGGGATCTGCCGGCCGACGTGCGCGTGCTGGACGCGCGCCAGCAGCACCAACTCGCCCGCAGCGTTGTCGAGGCCTACGCCCAGCGTGAGAAGAGCAGCGAGGCGGCGGCGGACTTGGTGGACTACGTGAACCGCGTCAAGACGATGAAGGTGCCGCCGATACCGCAGTCGGACCCCGGCATGCAGGACGCCTATCTTTTTCCGTTTTATCAGCGCGTGCTGCACGAGGAGCACAACGCGGTCGACTTCGGCGACCTGCAGCAGATGCTTTACGACCTGCTGCGTCCCGCTCCGGCAGGGGAGTCTCCAAGTGGTGGTGGTGGTGGTGGTGGTGAAGGGCAGCACGGAGGAGATGCGCGCAGCACGGGTGAAGAGGCGTCCACACGGCTCGACGAGACGAGCGAGGGGTCCTCCCGACAGCAACCGCATCCACAACCACAACAGCAGGCGCGTCATCTTGTCCCGTCCCCCGTCTGCGCGGCGCTGCGGGCAGAGTACACCCACTTTGTCGTTGATGAGTTCCAAGACTTCAACGAAATTCAGGTTGAGCTGCTCGCCCTCTTGGCGGGTGATGCGTGTCGCGTGACGTGCGTGGGCGACCCAAACCAGTGCATCTACACCTGGCGGGGCGCCATGCCAAACGTCTTTGGTGTGTGGAAGAGGCGATTTCCGCAGGCGGCGCTGCTGACCCTCGCGCTGAACTACCGCAGCGACGGCCCCATCGTGGACGCGGCAAACCGAGTTGTGAAGGCGACCCAGCAGGCCCATCACCACCGCGAAGAGCGCGCTGTCACGTTGGTGCAGTGCTCCACCGAGGACGATGAACTGCAGGCGGTGCCGTTGGTCGTAGAGCATGTCTTGCGGCGCCGGGACCCGCATCTCAGCTACGGCGACATCGCTATTCTGTGTCGCTCCCGCCGGCGGGTGCAGCTGTACTGTGACGTGTTGCGGGCGCAGCGAATTCCGGTCCGGCAGCTCAAGGCGATCTCCGTCGACCGGCTGTCCACGATGCGCTCGTTTCTGGCGTTTCTGCGGTTGTGCCTCGCGCCGCACAGCCCGGAAGGGGACGCAGATGTGCGCACGGTGCTGAACACCGCCCCGCTGCATCGTCTGCCGGTGGCGTCGGCAAAGAAGTTTCTCCTCGCGCTGGACGCGGTGTGTCAAGCCCGGCGCAGCGCAGAGGCGGCGCAGATTCGTGCGTGGCGGCACACGGTGGACGATGGCAGCCTCGAGGACGCGACGGCAGCACATCACAACGGCTGTAACTTCTCGGACCGCATCCACGATGTGCAGCTGGGTGATCGTCAAGCCTCACGACAGCAGCGATCGCACGAGCCCCTCGCCCCCGCCCTCGGCGTTCACCCCGAGACGTACTCCTTCTTCGCCGTGCTGCAGGAGCTCGTCTACCACAACTTCTCCCGCGAGGTGTTTCCAAAGCTGGAGGTGTCTAAGAAAAGCCAGAAAACGATCCGTCACGTGGTGCAGCTCATTTTGCACGCGCGGGAGATGTTGGCGCAGCCCTCCTGCGACGTTGAGCAGGTGCTGCGCTACGTGCTGCGGGAAGGCGGCTACGAAAGTGAGAGCATGTGTGCCGTGGCCACCCGTGCAGCGGTGGCGGAAGGAGGCGGCAGTGGCAGTGGCAGTGGCAGTGGCAGTGGCAGTGGTGGAGGGGGAGGTGTCCCGGTCGGCAAGCGACCGCGGTGTGATGATGCTGTCGAAGGCGCGAAAGAGAACGACGGCGCGCGCTCCGCCTGCCCGAAACGTGTCGCGACACTCTTAATGGAGCAGTGCGCCGCAAACCACAACCATCACCAGCAGCAACAGGAACAACAGCGTGGGCACTCGCCTCATGACTGGCGACGACGGCGCTTCGGTGCGGCCTCGTCCTTCACCGCGATTCGTGCTGGTAGGTGCGGCGGCAGCGGTGTTGCGGGCCACGATGACGTGCTGCCCCCCGACGAGGAGGCCGTGGTGTGGCAGGAGCAGCGCATGAACCTTGCGGAGCTCGTCCTCCACACCTATCGTGGCGTGCATGACGCCCTCCAACAGGAAGTGGCGCAACAAGTCGAGACGAACGCAGACGTGGAAGGCGAGAGCAACAGTGAAGACGGGGGTGCGGTGGAGGCCGATGTGGCGGTATCCTCCTCCGCCTCGCTCAGCCACAGCAATAGTCACTCCCTTAGCAAGGGGCAGCACAACTTCTGCTCTCGCCAGCAGCGCCGCCCTCACAGCGTCGCGGACGACTCGGTGAGCGTCTTCAGCACCGGCAGCGGCGGAGCCGTCGCGACGCTGATGCAGTCCCTGTGTCCCCCCGCCACGGTGCTGCGGCGTGTTCTGGACGAGTTTGTGACGCTCGTCTCCTCGGACGACTACGGCCCCATGCGGGAGTCCGAAAAGACCTCCTCCTCCGGCGATGATGCGGGGGCCGCACCGCACTGGATCGGACAGGTCACGGTGGGGACGGTGCACCGGGCGAAGGGGATGGAGTGGCCGGCGGTGCTGCTGCCGGGGTGCTGGGTGGGCGAGTACCCCGTCCTCCCCCGCGAGGAGGAGAAGCGCGTCTTCTACGTGGGCATGAGTCGCGCCATGAAGCACCTCGTGTTTTTTACCGCCGCGTGGAAAGAGGCGGTGGGTGGAGACGTCAACGCCAGTGGGGAGGGCGGAAGGGTGGATGTGGCCGGTAGTGGGGCGGGGGCGGGGACTGCGGCATTGTACGGCACGGCGCTGGAGGAGACGCCGTATCTCGCTGCTGTGGCCGACAAGCTGGAGCGGGTCGCCTTCGCTGATCTCAAGGCGGCGTACTTGAAGGAGCGCGGCTACATGTAACGGTGCGTGGACGCAGCATACAGAGGCAAGGGAGGGGGAGAGTCGTGTGTTTCGTTGTTGTTTCTCTGCCCATACACAACGATCATGCTTCTTCCTTCTTCTGTTTTTCTTCGTTTCATGGGACAATAAATCGTTGCCTCGCGTGCGGTCCTCCCTCTTCCTTCTCGCTATTCTCTCCTCTTGTAATTTATTTTTTTTTCTCTGGAGCGCGGCGGCGTCGATTGGACGTGGAATGCTTCTTACTTCGTTTGTTGCTGTTTGACTGCGTGTTGCCGACCCATTATTATTGGTGTGTTCTTCTTCTCGATTGTATCAACGATTTCCGTTTTCTTAGATTGAGTACGCCAAGATGTGTTGAACGCAGCTTTGTGCTGCACAGGCGACACAAATCACGCCAGCATCGCACACATGCACAAGACAAAACAAAGGTCAGTAACGTTGCTGTCGTGGTAATTCCAAAACAAAAACCCGCAGCTCTTTTTATTTTTATTTTTATTAGTAGTAGTAGTATTGCGATGGCTCCGCCACTACGAAAAACGTGCGTGCTCTGCTCGTCTTCTTTGGAAGAGTGCTCTTTTTCCTCTCCCCCTATCACGTACTCTATTCCGTTTTTCCTTTTTGTTGCTCACCGCCCGGCACTTCTCTGTCACCAACACAAGAAGAAGAATACAGCAGTCATACAGGCTTCTTAAACACAGTTGTTTCATTTGACCATCACACCAGTCACTGTCAGCCAACTCAGATCACTCCAACAAAGAGGAGAAGAAATCACGTGACACTGCAAAAGATCGAGCTCGATTGACCTCGATCCCCTCTCCCCCTTCTTTATCGATCTTCCTCACTCTCCTCTCTGCACCGTCGGCATCGTCATGAACTCGATTCGGGCGTGTGTGTGCGGCAGTGGCTACGGCGCCTTCAGCGAGGCCGCCGTCATCGATCGCCTCCTCGCCCTCGTCGGCACCCCGCGGACCGGCCGGGTCTGCGTCGCCTACGTCGGCACCGCCACTTACGACCTCCCCGACGGGCAGGCGGTGCAGACCTCCTTGCTTTCCGACCGCGGCTGCGATGTCCGCCCAATCCGTGTAGCCGACCCCGCCGCCAAAGTCGTTAGCGACGCCGATGCGGCCTTCTTGCAGAACGAGGCGGACGTGGTGGTCGTCTCGGGGGGCAACACCCTCTACGCCGTGCGTAGGTGGGAGGAGACGGGTCTGGACAAGCTGCTAAGGGCGGCGGCGGCGCGGCAGGTGGTGTTGGCAGGTGGCAGCGCGGGTGCGATTTGCTGGTTCACCTCTGGGCATAGCGACTCAGCCGATCCCGCAACCTACCTCCAGCCCTCGCTCACACGCGCCGCCCTCGACGCCGGGTTGATCCCAGCCGGGGAGGTGGAGAAGGAGGAGGCGAACTTGGCGAACCTCAGCACGTCGTGGTCGTACATCCGCGTCCACGGCCTCGACATCTTGCCGGGTCTGGTGTGCCCGCACTTCGACGTGACGCAGGGCAACGGAGTCCGGAGGGAGGAGGACTTCACGAAGATGCTGCGGCGACACCCGTCTGAGAGGGGCATCGGGATGGACCACTGGTCGGTGCTGGTGTTGAAAGGGGATGGCGCCTACGAGGTGATGGCCGTGCCGGGCAAAACCCGCACCGCGAGTCCGGCAAACGCGTCCGACACGGCCACGATGCCGGGTGTCTTTACACTGGACGTCGTGGACGGCGAGGTGCGGCGGGTGCGTGCGCCGACGGAGGGGAAGGTGTCGGAGCTGCTCCGTGCGCCGACGGGCCCTCTCGTTGCCGACCCCTTCGAGCGTTTCTACGCCATGGAGAACCCAACACCGTCCTCCGGGTCGCTGCTGCGCCGCTAAACAAAAAAGGAAACGAAAAATGGAGAGAAGAGTGCAACGAACTATGAAGGGGTCGCGACATCGGAAATAAAGCCTTTCCTGTGTGTGTGTGTGGAGAGGGAGAGGGACGGGTGTGGTGAAGTTGTGTAGGTCACTTGTCGTTTTCTCTTTTCGTTTCTTCTATCCTACTGCTGTTGTGCTACGTTGGCGTTGTGTAGACAGCAACGAGTTAAATACTTCATATAGTACTGTGTGACTGGTGTGTGTGTGTGTGATTGAAAAAGAGTGGGTCGCCGCGGATTTCCGCGACATGAGTCGCTCGTAAAGCATGAACGGGTGAGAGTCGTTTATTCCACCCCACACCCTCCTCCTCCCCCTCCCCCGCTACATCACCTTCGACGCTGACGCTGTCTCCTCACCCACCTTTCCCACTCTTGTTCTTTCATTGGTTGCCTGCTTGGGTGAACAGGAACGACAAAGGTATCTATACATATATATTTGAGTTGTGTGTGTACAGCATTGGTTTGCCGATTCTCAACCACGAGCGCACGTTATGCTAAAGTAGGTGCGATTTAACGTTATCCTTTCCTTCTTGCATGTGCATCTCTACTTCCAACGCACACGGTCGAAATCGTCTTTAGATCTCTCGGAGCGGTAATCGCAATCTTCATCATTATTATTATTATTTCTTCATTCGTCTGATACTGTCTGGTAGAACGTATGCCTCTCAAGACAACAAGCAGCGAGAAGGACGTGGAAGATGGGAAGTCCGCGACGTCCCTCCCGGCCACAACGGCGCCCACCCTTCGCCACCGCCACGAAAAGAAGCGCGAGGAGTCGAGTCGCAGCGCAGCAAGCGCGTCATCGACGTCCACCGCTGTCGCCGCCAAGCATCCCCCTCCGAGTCCTGCGATCTCCCTGAAAAATGCCGTGCTGGTTTTTGCCGCCGTCGTCGTGTCCTTTGCATTTCTCGTCGCTGCCTTCGTGGGGCTGCAGGTGATGGTGGTGGACGAGATGGACCTCCGTAAGACCACGGCGCGGATGGAGTTAGCCGGGCGGGGGGAGGTGTGGCTGCCGGTGTGGCTCGGAAACTTTGTTGTGAACAGCTTGACGGCTGTCCACGCTGACGTGGTGCGTGAGAGCGACGGTGGTGGCGGACCACCGGCACTTCGACGTGGCGGCACGACCACCGGCCTCGCCGCACCCCCGCCCCGCGTCTGCTCGTCCAACACCATACAAGAAAAGGAAAGAGGGAACTCGGCGGTCGACTCTGCTGTCGCCTCTGCGTCGTCGGCGGCGCCGCCTGTGCGGCTGCGGTGCTACACGCTGGAAGCCTACAGCGAGATGTTCCTCCTGCCCCCCCGTAGAGCAACGACCGAGCACCTGTTTAGCTGTGGCACCCGCGTGCGGGACCTGCGCTCCGAGGACCGCCCAGACGTGCTGGCAGCCTGTGAGGCGCACACCATCTATCCGAAGAGTACCACCGGCGACGACGCGGCAGCGAGTAGCCGCTTCGCTACACTCCGTGTGCTGCTCACGCCATCGGAGGAGAAGCGACATCACGCTATTCAAGCCGTCAACACGGTCACCCAGCGCATCCCACTCGCACGTGTTAACGATGACTACTGTGACTGCCTAGATGGTACCGACGAGCTGCTGACGAACGCGTGCTCCATGTCCGGGCCGTTGGCCCCCGCCGCGGGGTCGCGATGGAAGTCGTATCTGGTGTCGAATCAGGCCATTCAGTTATACGACGACCCAGACTTGCTGGAGCAAGAAGACCAAGAGTCGCGTGGCTTTCCCTACGTACCGCGCAAGCGTGGCGACGTCCGCGATCGCCTGTACGTCTCGCAAGGTCCGATACTTCCTTTTGTCTGCACGTGCGGCGGCACCGTGCGTCAGCTGCTCGCCCCTTCGCTGGTCGGCGACGGCGTGGTGGACTGCTGCGGGGCGGAGGACGAAGCTGCGTCGCAGTCTGTCATGTCCAACAACCCACCCTCGGTTCAGGCGGCGCTGGATCGCCTCGTCGCGGCGGAGCAGGCGGAGATGCGGCGAACGTGGAAGCATCGTCAGACGGAGGCAGCAACGCAGCTCAATGCGGACGTGCGCTACGTTGATTCGCTCTTCCCCTATCACACCTCCGCTCGTGCGCTGCTCGTCGACAAGGGCTACTACTCGTTGTTTACCCCAGACGTCGTGCAGCAGGAGCGGGTGGCAGCTGCCGCAATGCTGAGCGACCTCTACTCCCGCGGCCACCGCGTGCAGCACCGGCGGGTGCAAAAAGGTTGGGAGCGGCTGGGTCAGAGCCTCACAGACAATCGCACCGCACTGCAGATGGAGCTCGAGAACGTGACGCGGGAGCTGAAGGGGTTGGAGCGCTTCGTAGAGAATCGCATGGAGGACCGTCGCACGAATAACCCCATCGAGGCCGGCGTGTCCATGGAAACGCTGCAGCGCCACAGCCAACTCGCCCACGCGCATCAACGGCTTGGGATGGACATTCAACACCTCGTTATCACCACCCTGCACCACGCCTACGGCGACCACTACGAGTACTACCCACTTCTGCGCCGTGCTTTGGCGATCGCCCGCGACAAGGTGACAGATGCCAACACCCCGCCAGACCTGTACAGCAGCATTGCACAGGAGCGGGAGAAGCGGGTCGTGTCTCCGATGGGGCTGGAGCAGCAGGCGATGGCGGCGCAGCAGCGTGGGGAGACGATGCTGCCCCCGCACATAGACAACATCAGCGCCAGCTTTTACGGCATCGAGGCGGTGCGGCACACGATGGTGGCGCAGAGGTTTGACCCCTCCGAGGCCCCTTACGTCGCCCAGCAGCTCGGCCTCATCCCACGCGGGGGGCTCGCCACAGCCGCCTTCGACCCACACGTCTTTGACGGCATCACCAATCCGTTTCTGCGCTCGCCGGTCTTGCCGCTCGGGTCGTGGCAGCCCTACCAATCGCAGCGAGACGGCCGCTCGATGCAGCTCGCGGACCCGGCCGGGGACCTCCACCTCGCGCGGCGCGCCTGCGTGGCCCCGACCTCCCGACTGTATCGCGGCGGGGGGCGTTTGCAGTTCCCGACGCGGAACCCCGAGCCCCCACGCACCATTACCGCGCCGGATGAAAAGGGCGAGCAGCAGTCGTTGAAGGACAAGCTGAAGGCCGCGGCGACGGAGGACAAGCAGGCGGCCGCCGCGAAGGTGTACATCCCGTATCACTTCCACATGCCGTCTACGTTTGTGGTGGAGAAGTACGTGGGACCCGTGCGGTGCGATGTGGCGCCTCTGCCGGCGACGCACCGGCGCAACCCGGCCGACGACGACGGCATGACTTCGCACAATGAAACTTCCGCGCCCACTGTGCTGATGTACACTACGTACCTCTGCGACACCAAGGACCGGGTGCTTTACTGGGGCCTCAATGGAAGATGCACGCAGGAGGTCATCATCGGCACACCGAGCGCGTGTACGGCCTGGGCGCTGAAGGCGGCCAGGAACGCATTGAAGGAGGTGGCGCCGCGTACGCCGAGCGAAAAGAGCAACGAGGAGCCCGTCAGCTAAGCCAGAAGCGTTAAACTGAAACGTGCACGTGCAGCTGTCGGCGATGTCCGTGTTGTGGTGGCGTTGGCTGTTGTGGTGTTGTGAGGGAAGCGGTCATCCTGCACGTGTGCATCACCCACTCCCACCCATACTTCTCCCCCATTCTGCGTTACATTATATCATGTGAAAGAATCGATGTACCCGCGTGACTTTTTCTTTTTCTTTCTCTGGATGCTGAAAAGACTTCTTCTGTATTTTTCAGGGCAGATAAGCGCATCGTCCACCACAACAGCGGAAAGAAATATTCTTGAACGAAATCGAGTGAAACACGAAGGGCCCGCATCAACTCTTCCGAGGCATGCGATCTTCCACGCCCATAACTTTCACTAGCGCCACATTTCGTGTTTTCTGAAGTACGTACCACACTGCGTTGCACGATCGCCCAAGGGAGAAAACCACCCCCCTCTTTCTTGTATTTTCCTTCCCGCAATATGCACCTCCTCAGCTTCTGTTGTCTTTCTCTATCCCTACCCCTTTCCCCTCTCGCGTCTGTACATTCTCTGTGTTCCCGCCAACGTGGAAACGTGTGTGTGTTCTCGTCGTGCGTAGAGCTGTGCTTCTATATATCTGTTTGTGTGTATGTGAGAGAGCGGCGGGAGCGGAGGACGTATCTGAGAAGCGCTGTTGTTCGTGTGCCTGAACTCGCATGCGACGCCGTGCGTGCCCGCCTCGTTATTCACTCGAGTCTTGTGTGTGGGGGGGGGGTCACCAAAAAAAATTTTAGGAGTATTTATTTCCGCAGTGGCGAAAAACGCAAAGCGGTCCCACTGTGTCTCCTTTAACGACTCCCATCCCCCGTTTCTAGTTTCTTCTCTATTACTATTATTTGAAATAGCAGCACGCTTCTTGTAGCGTGGGCAGTGCCGCCGTCATGCGACATCAGCCGCCACGCACCTCCATCGGCGGCGACGGCTCCCCGTCCCCCGCCATCGTGCCAACACGCTCCTCCGGCTCCCGCCTTCGCCGGCGTCGGGCAGATTCCCTCGCCCTACACCACCACCTCACCGACGCCAGCGCCGCCGCGGCCCTTTCCCCGCTGCTGAAGTCGAAGTACAAGAGCAACACGGGCGGCGGTGGACGGGTGAGCTACGGCCCCGGTGCGGGGGTCATCGGCACCCACCTGGCGCTCCTCGGCCACGACGAGAAGAAGAAGGAGGAGACCGATCGCGATGAGAAGCTGGCGCAGCTGCAGCAGTCCGACCCAGGCCTGGAGGCAGCGGATCACACCCAAACCGCACTGCGGATGAAGGCCCAGTACGCGAGCTGCGGGCCCCGGCGCGTCCCAAATGCCCTGCGCACCGGCATGGACGGCGTGGCCGTCGCCGCCGCCGTCGACTCTTTCTATACCGCCCCTTTCCTGCAGCTGGCCTGCCGAGAAGCAGCAGAGCGCGAAGTGGCGGCACGGCTGCGGGGCTACGTGAAGAAGATGACCTCAAAGCTGCACACGGTGCGCGTGGAGGGCCTGAAGGAGGCGATGTCGCAGTTGCTGCAGTGGACTACGCAGGCTTCCGTGGAGTCGACGGAGCGGCGTCGCGAGCAGCAGCAGCAGGAGGAGCAGGAGCAGCGTCACGTCGATGCCCCTTACGAGCAGTACCCTGGTGCGTTGACGTTGCCTCCGTATGATGCGGTGCGTGTGGAGGTGCTCGGGGCCTCGTCCTCCCCCGCCGCTGGAGCCCACCACCATCACCGTGCCGCTGCGCTTCCCTCTCCTCGTGGGGGAGGGGGAGGGGGGAGAGCAGAGGAGGTGCGGCTGGCGCGGGCGGCGAACGCGGCGCGAAGCCCGTCGTGGGACGTCGTCCAACAAGCCCTCGAAGGCGTCGACTACACGAGCGCCATCTTCAACGCGATCCTCATCCCACGCTTGGAGGTGCGCAACGCCATGAGCACCGGTGTGCCCATCAGCATCCAGCTGTCGAGTGAGATGGCCTTGCAGTGGACGACGCTGCCCACTACACGCCACCCGGCGCCGATGCCGCCGGCGGTGACCGCTGCAGCAGCAGCAGCGAAGGACGAGGCCTCACCCGGCAAGGACGGCCCGTCTACCCCGCCGCGCCCCAACGAGCTGCTACAGGCGGCAACGGCGATCACCTACGAGGAGCAGGAGCTGGCTCTGCGTTACATACAAGGGGCCTGTCTCACCCTCTACTATCAGCGCCGCTGTTGCTCGGAAGGGTGCCTGGTGTACTACGCCACGGAGGTGTTTCAGTGCATGCGCAGTCACGCCGAGGCCCTCTTCACGTGGCAGCGACGCGAGTTGGAGGATCGCGAGCAACAGCAGCAACAGCAGAACGGTGGTAACAAAAAGAAAGGCAACCTCGGTGTGACCGTCGTCCCCCAGCCAACTTCCACCGCCGTCAACACAGTGGCGGTCGACCCGGGCCTCATACGCGTTGTTGTCGCCCTCGTCGAGGCGGTGGAGGCGGCGTGCCACTACAATCCTTCCTGTCTCCGGCGCCTGGTCCAAACCGGCGGGGTGACCGCGATGCTGAACCTGGCCTACTGCCCCTTCATGCCCACCTCCGTCCGCTCCGCCGTGCTGAGCGCCATTAGTGTACTCCTGCAGGAGGTAAACCCACTACGGCGCTACGTAGCGGCGTCGAGTACGCCGGGCGAGGGCGGCTCGCTCGACCGCAGCGCAGACCCGCTGCTGCAACGCATGGTGGAGAACGCGATGCACGACAACCCCATCGGGCACCACGGCAGGCAAATCCCCTACTCGACCGATCGCGGCAGCGCCTCAAAGTTCGACTCCGCCGTCCGCGACTGGTTCTTCGCAAACGGTCTCGGCAACGTCATCCCTGCCGTGGCGCAGCTGCAGGACCTCCGCTCCACCTTTCAGTCCACCTCGTTTATGGTCCCGCAGGGCATGACGGGGGCAAGCATGGGTGGTGTTGGTGGTGGTGCCAGCAGCGGTCAAGGCGGCGGTGGAGGCGGCCCTGGTGGTGGTACTGGTGGTTCTGCGGCTGGTGGTGGCGGCGGTGGTGGTGCGGTGGCTCCCCTGGCCGTTGCGAACGCGTCCGCCAACATGTCCTTTGCCTCCATCATCGCCTCCGCGCGCCCGTCGCTGCACAGCCCGCTGACGGGGCGCACCTTCGGCGGTGGAGGAGGGAGCGGCGGTGTTGGTGTTGTGGGGGGCGGCCCCGGCAACGCGGTGGTGGGTGGCGGTGCGGGCGGTGCGGTCGCTGGTGGAACGGCCGCGGCGGCGGCGGTGGCGGCGGCAACGCACGCCAACATGCAGCGCGAGGGCGAGTTGTATCGTAAGCGGGTAGGGCGTCTTCTGGAATGCATGGACGGACGGGAACTGCGTTGAAGCATTTTGGGGAACGGTAGGAGGCAACAATTCCTTCTTCTTCTCTGCGAGGTTTACTTGTATGTTTCGTGCTTTCGAATGTCCAATCACACCCGACGTGCAACAATAATGATTATTATTATCAAGCACCGCTTTCCACGGATTCACCGTGATGAACTTATAGGCCCTCTGCTGACATTGAAAACAAAAGTTTTAAAGAGTGTGTTTCAAATGGGCTTTTTAGGTTACATGATGTTCTGCTGTCCCTTCTTTCGCATAGCTCTTTCCTTTCTTCTCTATCCATCTCTCTCCCTAACTGTCGTTGTTCCCGCTACGTACCCAGCTCCATCCAACGTTCAGCATCCACAGCTTCCTGGAGTTGTTGTTTCATACTTGTTTTGTATTTGTAGCCTTCAGATTTGCACAGATAAACGCGCAGCGGCCCACTCGGTGCAGGTCTTAATTTTTAAGAGCCAATTTGAATCGTTCTCTGTGCTCTGCGGCGCCCCTTACAGCACTCGCAGACGTGTATATATACATACATCATTCGCTAACGACCGCAATCAAACCGGACCACTCGTCTACCAAGAGGAAGGTTTTTCGTATCCAGCATATATACTTCTTTTTCTTCTGTCTCCGCTTGTGTGGATTTCTCGGCGAGCTAAGCCTGCTCGTCTCATTACCGAGAGAAGGAGCAAGGTAAAGGCTGAAAGCTAGAAGCTGCCGTTACTGTCGTCGTTGTGGTGCGCTCCATCAAAGGCAGTTTTGCTTATTCATTTCTTCTCTTTTGTTTGCGTATGTGGTTGTGTGTGTGTGTGCTGCTGTACTTTGCACTTCCCCTGTTGTCGTCTCCTGCGCGGCCGCTTGAGGCATGTTCATGAGTTTTTGCGTTGCACGGTAGAATCCTTTTTGTTTAGGCATACGCTTCTCTTTCTCCTCCTTGTACAGGCCTGTGCCTCTTCTTTTTTCCTTTGCCTTTGTGCATCTCCGCCAGGTCACTCGACCTCCGTCGAAGACCGGCTCCTCACGCATCGCCATACAAACCCCCCCCAAAAAAAAAATCCGACACAGAAGGGAAAGATGAGCGGCCCCAGCACGTCCGTCATCGACTCCGCCGTGGTGTGTCTGCGTGTGATGCGCCGCCTCCTGCAGGATGAAGAGGTGACGCTGGCGCAGCTCAACTACCTGATTGAAAACATCCACGACCCCATCGCCCAGGCGTGTCTTCCGCCGAGTCAGCGCCCCGTCGTCCCTTCGCTTTCGCTGTCGAGTCTACCGTCGAGCTGCCGCGCCGACTCCTCCATGGCACGCCCGCACTGCATCAACGCCTTAGCGCGGACGCTTTCTCAGGTAAACGGCAAAGACAAGAAGCACAACCAGCGTCAGTCTCCGCAGCCCGCCGTGGTGGTCGCCGCACCGGGAGGCCCACAGGCGTCCCACACGACGTCCCCTGCCACCTCGAAGCACAGCACCAACCCGATCGCCCGCCACGCCGCTGCAAAGTCATCGGCAGCGCAGATCCCGTTGACCTTCAGTCAGTACTGGGACTTGTTTGCCAACCTCCCCACCCTCTACGCCGTACAGACGACGCTGGTGCAGAAGCTGGAAGGGATCATTCAGCGCCTACTGCTAATGGTCGATGAACTGCAGCCGCTGCGTGAGGGGGGTGATGTCGCCGCACCCCTTCCGGACGAAGCGGCGCCTAGTCACCACGGCACCTCTGCCGGCACGGCCTCATCGCCAGATGCCCACGCAGCAGCCCTTGCCTCTGCACACAGCAGCGGGAGCTCCCGCAAGCATGTGTCGGCGCTGCGCTTCTCTGTCACGGGCCCCATCCCCGGCAACCGTGGCGTCTATGGCGAGATCGGCGTCATGGTGAACGAGTTCTTTGGGTCAGAGCTCGTGCAGCATTACACGGCGGAGCACATGATGTACACGGTGAAGTACACCCAGCGCGCCGCGCCGCAGCTACTGCGACTGGCGCGTATCTGGCGGTGGACGGGCGGGGCAACGGGCGGAGGCTCGTCAGGCGTGTCTGCTGCAGCCCTCGCCAACCTGTCCGACGCGGATCGCGCGATGCTACTCCAGTATTCGCTCTTCCTCGACTTCCTGTGGCGTTCGTTTGGCCGTGATGGCATTCCGAAAGACAGTCGCGTGTCCATGACGTCATCGCTGGAGTCGACGATGGTGAATGGGCAGGCCATCTCACCGACGGACTCGGCAAACGCTGACTCGGTCGCCACTGCAGGTGCAGCAAACACCAACGTCGGCAGCAACAACGGCCAGCGACGAACACGCACTACCACGTCCAGCACGACAACGGCAGCTGGGACCGCTGCGGGTCCTGCGTCTCTCGGCGCGAACAGGTCAGCCCTGCCACCGCTCCCCGCCACGTGGGAGGGCTTCCGCACCATTCTCATGCTCCTCGCTACCCCGCTCGGTGGCCTTCGCCGCTACTCCCACGTCGCCCGCTGCCTCGTCGAGAGCGGTGCCCTCCAGCCAAAAGACCGCGACCGTCTGCAGGAGTCTTTTATCGACGTCGTCGCCCTCCGCATGAGCGAGGAGACGCATCTGCTGATGGAGGAACTGTGGTCTCACGATGTGGCGGGCATCATGGCACTGATGGACATGCCCGGCAGTCGAGCCTCGGGCGACAAGGCGGGTCAGCCGGCGAACATGCGACGCTTCGGCGCCGGAGCGGCAGGCGTGGGCGGTGTTGGGCTGCACAACGGACACACGATTGCCCAAGACAGCGTCGCTGGCGCGGGAAGGGGGACCGCGGCAGCAGCAACGGCGACCTCGGCTGCCAGCTCACCCGTTTCCGCTGCCATCGGTGCAAGCAGCGGCAACAGTAACGGTAACGCGCCGCCCACCGACTACGGCAACCGGGCGTTGATTCATTACGGGCGACTGAATAAGCGCTCCGGTCGTGGCCGACACGAGCGGCTTATCTTCCTCTTCAGCGACTGGATGTGCTACGTGGAGGAGTGCAGCAACGGCCGCTTCCGAGTGCGCGGCACCATTCCGTTACCCGGGCTGCGGGTGGTGGAGGTGCGTGGCGAAGAACCCGGCGACGCCATGCACGGCTTCGAGCTCATCTCGCCGAACCTGCCGAAGCGGCTCATCTTCTTCACCACCTCGCCCGAGCAGCGCGGGCAGTGGGTGGACGCGATTCGCTACACGGTGCGGCGCTTCAACGACCAGCAGCAGCCGCACCCCCGGCGCGAAAAGGTGTCACTCGCAGGCCCGAGCGCTGCCGTCAATTCTAGCCTCATCGCCCCTGTCGTGGCGATGGGGGAGAGCGGGCTGCCAAACGTCATGCGGGCGACCGCGCCGATGCTGTCGGCGCAGTCCCGGCTGAGTCGGCAGCGTCGCTACGACGGGCTGTGGCAGGACTACGTGGATCTGCAGCGTCGCACGGCGGAGGCCGTCGCCCAGACCTCTCCGATGCTGCTGGGGCTGCCGTCCGTCTCGCAGGGTGGCGGTGGTTTCGGCTCCCTCTCCTCCACCGGGCACTCTCCCCCGCCGACGGTCAACCTGTCGAACGACGGGTCACGGGACAGCAGTTTCGCCGGCCAGCGCTCCAGCAGCACGCATCGCCAGCTGGAGTACGATGTCACGCCGTGGTCGCAGAACGTCTCGGTGCACCGTCGCATTCGCAGCCAGGAGTTGCTCGCCGCCCATCAGCAGCAGCAGCAGCAGGGCACGGCGGCGTCCTCGCACACGGCCAGCCCGACCCACTCCGCCGGTTCACGGCTGAACGCGAGTCTCAGCTCAGGGCCGGAGGAGATCGAGAAGACGACTGCCTTGCCCGCCGGTGGTGGTAGTGTCAGCGTGGGGGACGCCTCCGCCTTTGAAGGCGTCGTCTCGCTGCCGGGTCCCGACGAAGAAGGCCACCCAGTGGACCAGCTCCTCACCCCTCTCCTCCTATCGCCCAGCGGAAGGTCGCCCGGGAAGGCGTTGGAGCAGAGTCGCAGTGGCTCCCTCCGCCCGGCCTTCCTCGAGCCGTCGGGCAGCGCGTCGACGCGCGTTGGCGGCGGCGGGAGCTTGAACGCCTCGCTGCGTCGCCCCGTCTCTGAGCGCTTCGGCGCGGTGAAGAGCATGGGCGGCGGTGGTAGCAGCAGCAGCCTGATGAATTCGCCGGCACAGCAGCAACAGCAGCAGCGTGGCAGGAGCGCCTCGTCGTTTAACGTGCCGAGCTCGTCGCCGAATCCGGCGATCAGCGCGGTGTCAGCGGCCGCCTCAGACGCCGTCCCCACTGCCCGCGAGTCAACGACGCTTCCGCCCGCCCCCGGCGCGACGCCACTCAACAGCAGTAGAGCGGCGAAATCGAATGCGGAAGTCAAGACGGCGGCAGCAGCGGAGAAAGACACCGTGGAACAGAACGACCAGGAGGCCGTCTCTCCTCCGCCGCAGGAGCCGGTGGCTGAAGATCTGGCCGCCTCGGAGGACTCGACGACGGAGCTGAGTGAGCCGGTGGAGGGAGAAGCGGAGGAAGAAGGGGGGGAGCCGTCGGCGTCGGAGACCGCCTCGGATGTCCATGGCATCGAAAAGGGCGGAGCCGAAACGCTGCGCCTCTCCGCTCGCACCGCGGGCCGACGGGAACTCTACAGTGATGTCTGGAACAACAACCTCGCGAGGCGGCCTGGAGCGGCGGCGGAGGACGAGAACGAGGACGAGAACGAGGACGAAGAGGAGGACGAGTCGAGTCGCATTGACGCCCACAATGATGACGGCAGCCGTGGCCCGAGCGAAGAAGGTGCCGATGCTCGTGATGGCGCTGTTGCCCTGTCGGAGCCGTACGATGAGGACCTGCACGACGAGGACGAGGTCAGCATTCCCGAGCACAAGCTTCACTCGCACGGAGATGTCGCCGCAGGTCCGGCGTTGATGTCTCCTTCGCTGGAAGATGCAGAAGCACAGACGGGCCAGACGGCCAGCAACACGGCTGATACGCTGCAAGCGGCTGTCTCACCCAATAAGCTGACAGAGGACGACGACGCAGTCACGGCGGTGGTGACGGCCTTCCGCCGCAACAGCTCGCCTGTGCGCAGTGTGATGTGGCTCAACTCCCCCTCTCAGTCTGGAAGTCAACGAGACCAGGCATCCCCTTCGTCAATGCCGTTGCCGACGGCCTCGTCCGAGCAGGACGACACGCCTCAGAGGAGTCGGCATGTGGACCCCATGGCAGATGCGAGCGTGGCGAAAGAGAAGAAGTAAGAAGAGAAGGAGAGGGAGAACGCAGGAGCACGTGAATTGTACAACGCCGCTCCCTCCCTCTTCTCATTGTTTTCCGTTGTTTCTATTTTTGCACGTGCTTTTTTTTTTGCTGTCACCGCTTTCATTTACGGCGTTTGCGTTTCTCTTTCGTTCTTTCTTCGCTACCGTCTTCTTTGTGCGTTCCTCTTCTCCCTTCATTGGGCTGCAGAACTCTCGGCCTCCAACACTCGCCAACTGGTACCAATGACAGAACTTGAATCCTTCTTTCTTTAAGGAGAGGGGGGAGGGAGGAAGGGCGATGCAATTACTCTCAACAAACGCAGAGGGCACCCTCCCCGAAAATACTTTTGAAAAACGAAGAAGCAGCTCGCGAGAGCACATTTCCTTGCAAAACCCGGTTGTCGGCCTTAAAAGGTGGGACGCCGTGCCAAGTAGAAGCAAGGCAGAGGGTGAACGGGGGGGTCAACGTTTGCACAAGCACCCCACCATTTACGTAGCAAAGGGCAGCTTTTACCACTCTCTGCTAATTCCTTCTTTTTCGTCTCTTCCCTCCACTCCTGTTACCTCAACTGGCGGCAACGCACGTGTGTTTCTCCTCGCCCTGTGTGCCGCTGACAGTCGCTGTTTGATTGAACAAGACGGACAAGGCTGGGAGAAGCGGAAAGTTGGGCGACAGCGCGGCACCTCCTTCTCCTTCTCCATTCCGTTAAATATATATACATACGTCCTGCTGCCGGCGCGTTACGCATGTGTACTTCTTCTTCTTCTTTTTAAGTTGTTGCTGATGTTTCTGCCGTGGCATCCCCTTCCCCTGTGTTTTCCAATAAAACAGTCATCACGTTTTCGTGTAGCCATTGAATAGTGCGAACGCCGCGAAGCCCTTTTTTCCTTTGTTGTTCCGGTTGTTCCCCTCCTCCTCGCCATCATGCTCGTGTTCATTTTTCTGTCCCTCATCAGCATGATCACGCTGGTGGGCTGCTTCATGTACATCATCATAATGGGACCGTCTCGCTACCATCGCGACGGTGTTATTGGCAAGTTGTACCGCCTCGTCACCAACGGGCCCGTCTACGTCTGCGGGTTCTGCGTGAGTTGCTGCTTCGGGTGCGATCAGCGCAAAGGCCGCGCCTGCTGCAGCCGCTTCGGTAAGCACGCCACGCAGGAGCGGAACTGGTTCATGGTCATCTTCTATATTGTGCTCGTGTGGACGGTGGAGTTTTTCTACCTGCTTGTCGCCCTCCCCCGTTTGGAGGCGTCCCTGTTGTCGAAGAGTGTGTCGTGGGGTCTGGTGCTCCTTTCGGAGTACCTGTGGGTGCGTGCGGTGGTGTGTGACCCTGGCACCGTGACAACCAAGGAGCAGCGAGAACTGCAGCGTCAGCAGCACGCCGACAAGTCAGCCAAGAGGCTGAAACGAATGCCGCGTCCTGCTCGGCACAGAGGGGGAGGCGGAGGCGGGGGAGGGTCGGCGCAGGACGCATCGGCGAAGCCGCAGCGCGAGCCCCACTTCCCCTTCTCGCCCGCCGCCGAGTACATCTTGAACCACCGCTACATTGTGGACGGGATGGTTTTCGCCCAGGCCGCTGACGAGGTCACCGCACACCTCACCCAAGCCCAGAAAGACTACCGCAGTCCCACCAACGGCTCCCCAGTTGGTCTAGGTCAGGAGTGCTCCACCTGCCACGTCCCACGCCCCAGTCGCGGCAAGCACTGCCGGCTGTGCCACCGCTGCGTCCGCCGCTTCGACCATCACTGCCCGTGGATCAACAACGACGTGGCGGAGGGCACGATGCGCTACTTCCTGGGCTTCCTCTTCTGGCACGCCATCTCGTGCACGTGGGCCTGCCTCGACCTTTTCCGCAACATCCGCCAGTTCCTCATCGCGCACCACGCGTGGGGGTGGGTGCTGCGTCACCCGGGCGGCCGCAGCATCCCGCTCGACCTTTCCACCTACCTCGTTATTGTGATCAACTACCACATGCTCGAGGCGTGCCTGCTATTCTTCGCCTTCTTCATCGGGCTCGTGCTGTACGGCTTCTGGGCCTACCAGATGACCTTCGCCATGGCGAACCTCACCGTCAACGACATGAACAAAATGGACGACACGGCGGACTTTGTGGCGACGCTGCCGACATTAGATTTGGTTTACCGCGAGGCCGCGAAGGTGCGGGCGGAGTTGGACGCCGTTGCGGAGCGGAAGCCCACGGCGCTGCGGAAGCTGCAGGAGCCTCCCTTGCCGAAGACCGCTCCAGGGTTTGAGGAGGGTGGGAAGAAGAACGCGAAGTACCGCGCGCAAGTGAAGAAGATGCTGATCCACGACCTGCGTGGTTTGTACGACCGTGGGGCGTGGAACAACCTGATGGAGGTTATGTTCCCGTACAGCGACGCGTACAAGCCCGAGATCCTGGAGAAGGCTGCGGCGTGTGTCAAGTAGAATCTGTGCCCTCAAATGGAAAGGAACAGGAAAGAAGTGGGGCGGCATAGGCAACTATGGAAAGCAGCGTCAAAGGTGTTGCACCCTCCTCGGTCAGGTACTTCTCAACCCTTATCAAGTTGGAGCGGGGTCCATTCCTGTGCGTATTCATTTACTTTTCTCGTGGAAGCACCTACGCGTGTCTGCGCCTATGTGTGTGTGTGGTGTGTGGTTCTCTTGGATGTCCCTCGTCGTGGGCTTTGCGCCGTCCCTTTGGGCTCAGCTATCGTAATACGACAGTAACTCAATCAGGAAATCCGTAGCAATGCAAAGAAGAAGAATGAACCAAAAGGAAGAAGATCTGTTGCCGTAGGTCTCTTCGGTGGACCAATCAACTCGTAAAAGGGAAAAAGACATATATTTCACTCCTGCGACTTCTCGTCGGCTCACGCCTTCCGTATCTTGCGTCGGCCCGTCAAACCGCTGTTATTTCTTAACAGTGGAGAAAATTCCTTCAAATGCCGCTCGTCCTTTGTCATCTGCTCTCCGTACGCAACAACAGACCTCGTGTCTCCGCCCTCCCCCTTTTCTCCTCCTCTGTGTTTTGCATCTTCGTCGGCTCCTCGTTCCCTTCACCGTTGCTGCTTGTTTCGCTTTGTGGCCGCTGCAGATCGTACGCTGCGGGGAGGAGCAGAGCATTGACGCACCCCGGCAACTCACGTACCGTAATCCGGTGCTGAACAGCGCGATGCTGAAACGGCAAAGTCCTTCGTAAAGCGCCTGTGTGTGTGTGTGTGTGTGTTTTCCTCTTATCTGCTCCTTTGGTCAAGAGATTTTTTTTTTTCTGAGGGGAGAGAAGAAAAGGCGGTGCCTCGCAGAAGCAGAAGCTACCAGTCCATCTCATTATAGTTATTTTCGTTTACATTTCTTCTCTATTGATCTTCCTGTTCTCTTCACCCATCAGCGGTAGTTTCTCGTCCTCTTTCTCTCCCTCTCTCTCTCTTTACGTGAGATACATGGCTTCCCCGGAAAGACCGGCTGCTGACGCCGCTGCGGCGCAACCGTCATCGTCGCCGGCGGCTCTTCCGCTGCCAACTCCCCCCTCCATTGATGAGGCGCTTTCCTACTGGATTGGCCTGTCGCAGCTGATCGGCAGCGTCGCCGTCCCCAGTCGGGCTAATGGATCGCTGGAAAGCTCCACTGCAGTCGTGTTCACCCGTTACACGCTGCAGGGTATTCTTCTCTTCTGCGGCATCAAACAACATCGTCTTCAACAAAGGGTAGACCACATGATTGCCCAAATGCTTGCTGCAACCTCTGCGTCGCCTCCGTCGATGACGACGAGGACGACGACAGCACCCAGCTCAAGCCCCTTCCTTCTTCTTGTGGACAACGATGCTGCGCATGGTGGACCTGCTCAACCCGCCTCCCTGTCTCTGTTAATACGAGACTGGCTGTTGATGTCCCTCGACGATGCATCGCCTTGCACAACAGCTTCCCCCCATCACCTTCACCCCTCCCGTCGCTATCAACTTCACGTCCCCGCCGCGGCGTGGGAGCGCACCATCATCAAGGCCCTCGGAAACGAACTACGAGGGCAGATGATCTGCCTGCGACCCCTCCTGCGCTGGAACACGGCCTGTGCCCAACAATGTGGACAGACGCCGGTGGTGGTTCTCATCGGTGGCACCAGCGGCTCCGGCAAGAGCACGTTGGCCCGGCTGGTCGCGAGTCAGCTGCGGATCGCTAACGTGCTGTCCACCGACATCGTTCGCCAAGTCTTGCGGGCACGACTGGCGAGCCGTGCGCCCGACTACCCGACGCTCTTTGTTTCCACCTACGAGGCGTACAAGGCGGTGGCCGCCAACGCGTCTGACGCGTGTCCGCAGGATGTCGTGGCGGCGTACGAGTCTCAGTGTGAGTTAGTTCTGCAAGTGCTGGACGGGATGCTGAAGCGCCTGCTCGCCCGCCGCGAGTCGGTGGTGATCGAAGGCGTGCACCTCCTGCCTAAGTACTTGACGTCCAAACGGGCGGAGCTGCTCGTGGACCGTGTTATTTGCGTGCCCGTCCTCGTGCAAATCCCGAAGGCGAGCGGCCACCTCGAACGCTTCTGCGTCCGCTCACGTGGCATGTCGCTTCAGTCAGACAACAACAAGTACATCGCTTCCTTTCAAGCCATTCGCACCATCCAAAGTCACCTCGTCTCCACCGTGGAGGAGGCGGCGATGCCGGTGCTCGTCCTGACCAACACAAACGTGGATAAGTCTTTTCTAGTGCTGCACCACGCGGTGTTGGAGACGATGGAGCACACGGCGCTGAACGGGTGGCCGGCCGACCCGGCAGCTGCCGCGCAGGTGCCACTGACGCCCCTCGCCTTCACCGCTACAAAGCGTAGACTGGTCGCGGTAGTGCGACAGCGGCGAACGCATCGTGGTACGGCAGGTGCTGTCGCCGAGAGCGGCGGGAATGGTGGTGGTGGCGTTGAGAGGGGCGCCGCAGCAGTGCGTGATGGACGCGGCGGCGCGCCCGTAGAAGACGTTGCAGGATCCGGAGAGGACACGCCTCTTTCTGCAGACACGCGAGCTGCCCCACCGCGGCGCCTGCCACTCGAGGTTTTCGGTGCGGAGGGTGGCGCACCCAACGGCCTTGCGTTTCCTGCCGGTGTTGCCGGCGCTGTCGCGGCTTCGTCGCGCGCGCGCTCGGCCGAGCTGCTTAGCACCATGCAACGTCGTTTGCTGGATCGAGATCTGCTCTACTCGTCTCGACACGCCGATGCTGTCCACGCGCACGCCGACCCCGTACCTTCGCGTCCAACCGCGCAGGCGAAGGCGGCGATCTCACCTGTTGGGGCTCTCCCCTCGTCCTCCTCACCCATTCCAGTGAGCCGCCGCCCTGCCCCGCCGAGCTCCACCGTCACGCACGGCACCGATTCAAATCAGCTCTCCTGTGCCTCTGTCGTGGATGGCGGCGGCAGCCCCTTCCGCGCCGCAGCGCCGCGTCGATCCACCACCACGAGTCTTATTCAGCCCAGCTCGTTCAGCGCCTTTCCCTCGTCGAAGGTCGGCGAGGAGGTCTTCGATGAGTTGGAAATGCCCTCGTTGATGGGCTCGTAGGCGCGGTGACGGGAGGATGGGGAGGGAGGTTTTTTTTTGTGCACGTAGAACAAAGAGAGGAGGTCCGCCTGCCATCAGCTTTCGTGCGGAAGACGATGCTCTGGCGGGGATGGTGGTGGTGGTTTTTTGGTCTCTGTTGCGGGGGGCGATGATGTCGCAATGGGTTCTTCTCTTTCGGGTCACCGCTGCTTTCATCTTTTTGAATTGCGCTGAAGGCGCGAATGTTCTACATTTCCTCCTCTTTGTTTTCGAACTGCCTCCCGGCAAAAGGAGGTGGTGGTTGCGGTGGTTGTTGAGCTCAGCAAACACACGAAGGAGCCGCTTACGAATGCCAGCGATCGCCACGCTGACCGGGTTTTTTCTTTTTCCGCCGTGGCCGTTGTAGCGCCTCTCTTGTTCCCTCCTCCCACGTCCCACTCATGACGCTTCTTCTATTTTGCGACGCCGTCGCCCTGCAACAACGACAAACGACCACCGCCATTCAAAGTACAACAGCGATCTTCTTTTAGTATTCCTGCCACGAAACACGCAAGCGTGGCTATCAAAAAAACAAAAGAAAAAATGTCGAGCCCCGCTGCTGCCGCTACGAAGGAAGACCGCCATGCCGCCTCTCACGATGTCGCCCCCACCACGCCACACGCAGCGCCGCCTTCCAAGAAGGTAAAGCCGCCCCGCAAGAAGCCTGCCAAGTCCGCTGGAGTGGAAGCGAAAGCGGCGTCTGCCACCGATGCTGAGAGCGCCACGCAACAGCAGCAGCAGAAGCAACGGGACAAGGAGTTCGTGTCGCACAAGTCGCACATCCTGGCCAACCTGCAGAGCAACGCCTGCGACCTCAGCCCCAAAGGCAGCGTCGACGCCAAGTGTCTCCCCGTGATGGGTCTTCTGAACACGCAGCCGGACTACATCACCACAAGCAGCTGCAGCGGCCGAATTGCTCTTTTTCACAGCATTGGTCCGCATGACGGGTCGGCGGAGATCCGTGAAGGGAAGGATGACGGGGACGTCGACCCATCGCCGACGCCGACGTCGCGCATGAAGCGTGGGGAGGGGGCAGCGCTGGGTTGGGTCTTCGTGAAGCACGGCATGCTGCGTCCAGAAGAGATGGTTCGCGTTGTTCATTTTCTGTGTGGAAAGCCAGAGACTCCGGAAGAGGCGGCGCTTGACGCAGCCGAAGTTGATGTCCACACGGCACACATGACGGCAATCATCGATCGCGAAGGGCAATCCACCGTCGCCGCAGCAACAGCCGGGATGTTTGACGGAGAGGTCGAAGGTGTTCTCGTGGAGGCACCGGCGGAGAGCCCCCTGCCGCCCCCCTCTCGCGGCACCGTTTCGCTGAAGATGGAGCCTTTCGTCATGCACGTGGAGTGTCGCACGATGGAGGCGGCGAAGGCGCTCCTCTCCGCCGCCGTGAGCGACAGCGGCTACCGCAACAGCGGTGTGATCCCGCCGGGTAGAAAAATTATGTGTGGCATTCGCAGCACCGTCGGCCTCGGCCTCGACGTGCCGGTGGTGGTCCGTGGCGTGAACTACGTGGCGCAGCAGCGTGCCTACATCTGGGCGTTGCTGAGGCTGGCGAATGAGAAGATGGAGGCGAACGAGAAGAAGATTAAGCTGCTGGAGAAGAGCGTGGCCGTGCGGGTTGGAAGTCGGAAGTGAGGCGTGTGGGAGGAGGTCATTGCTCGTGCGCGAGCTTTCGCCTGCGCATGACGAGATGAATTTCCGTTGTAGCTTGTGTGTGTTCGTTCTTCGTTGTGTTTCACATTTCAACCGATAAATGCATATACATATAATGAACAAGCATTAAATTGGATCGGCTCATCGCTCTTGGGGTTGTTCCTCCACAGGAAAGGAAAGGTATGGTAGCAATACCTGAATACAGAGCATGGTTGTGGTTGTGGTTGTGGTTGTGGTTGTGGTTGTGGTTGTTAGACATGACGGGCCACCATCTTCGTCCTCTGCGTCGTTCCTCTGTCGTCGTGTGCACTTTCACATGCGTTGTGTGTCCGCCCCACAAGTTCACGGTGTCTTCTCACTTGGTCGACGGAGTTTTAAGGGAGTTTTTCACATTTGTTTTCAAATATATACTACTTTATTTGTCCGCATATACGCACCGTGTCATTAGGAACAGTATATATTTAAAGAACAGCGCAATGTCTGCCGCGAACCACAACAGCAGCAACGACGCCGCGGCCTCCCTCACGGAGGAGCAGATCGTGAACCAGTACAACCGCCTGCGTCAGGAACAGAGCGCCATCATGTCCCGCATCGCTGAGCTGGAGAACGAGTCGCACGAGCACGACCTCGTCGCGACGGAGTTGCGTCCCCTCAACAAGGACCGCTGCTGCCACCGCCTGGTGGGTGGCGCGTTAGTGGAGCGGACGGTGGGGGAGGTGCTGCCCGATATTGAGGAGAACCTGTCCGCCATCCGCGAGGCTCTCACGGCGCTCAACAAGGGTTTGATGGAGAAGGAGAAGCAGATGGAGGAGTTCATGACAAAGTACAAGCTGAACCGCCCCGGCACGAACCAGACGGTGAAGGCGGGCCAGAGCGAGGGCAACCGCGGTGTCCTCGCGTAAGGGAAAAGGCCTTCTTGCGCGCATACACGGACACACGTGAAGATGTCGACAGGTGTGAAACAGGTGGGTTGTTGTAGCAAGAACCTCTGTTTCTCTTTCGACCCCCCGCGACGGCGCTACGCCAAGCTATCGCCGTGTGTCGGTGCGTCTGTGTGCTTCGCACATCTCTTCGATGAGGCGGCATCAACAGGAAGGGGGACAGCATGAAAATACTCATGCGAGGATCCCATCGAGCTCTCTTCTTTCGTGTCTAGTCCTTTCTTTTCTCCCTTTGCTCCTGTGTGTGTGTGTGTGCTTTCCGTTGCCGCGATGAGAGTTTAAATTGTATTACTAACCTCGACATTCCTAAAGAACCCAAAAGGAAAAGGAAAAATACGGCGCAAAATAATCGTCATCCTTTCAAAGAATCACTCCGCGACACTGCCCGGCAAGCTAAAATGGATTTGTGTTCCCCCTCTCTGTCTCTCGGTAGCGCGACAACTACGGAAATGCGTGCTGTACGTGCGTGTGCCACTTCACAGGGAAAGCGTACGCGAACGTACGGGAGAGTCAGCCTGTGCGTTTGTCTTCGCGCTCTTTCTTCTTTCCTTCTTTGACTCTCCGTCCCACCGCCTGTGCACCCGTCTCGAACGCCTTTTGCGCATCCGTTGTATGATCTGCTATTATTTTTTTTGATTTCTCGGTCTTCTCGGTCTTCCTTCCTCTTCTTTCCACCGCATGCTGTTCAGCGTCGAGCACACGCGCGCCGTGCAGACATTATTGCTCTCCCCTTCACCTAGCGCCTTTTCCCACGGAGGTCGAGAAAGATAGAAAGAGCTACGCGAAGGAATGTTCCCGCAGGGCCTCATTGACCAGTGGCTCAGCAAACCTCGCGAAGGTCGGCGCAGCGTGCAGGAGGACCCCAAGGCCACCCCTGCCATTTTGAGGAACATCCACGACCTCGAGGTGCACTGTCAGGAGCACCCGTACGAGGTGTTCTGCGCCAGCTCCCTCCGCAGCCCGCCCTTTGCTCTCTACGCTTTGGAGAACGAAGAGGACGAAAAGGCACGGCTCGCGCGTCCACCGGCGATGTTTGCTGCGGTACCACCTCTGGCGCCTGCCGATGTCTACGCAGCAACACACGCCAACAGCGACAGCGTTAGTAGTGGTGGTCTTGGTGGACGATACAGGGACAAAGCGGAAATCCACAGCACGACGATGGCAGCTGCAAGCCATTTGCAAGACGTCACATCGCGTCTCACCACGTATCTGCAATCAAGCGGCATGTTCAAACCCGAGACTCCGCCGAATCAAGGAAGCAGCACGCCGAACCCATCGGAGAAGGCAGCTGGCGTAGCGCAGCTTGTCGTGCGAGTTATCACCGAGGCGGCCGTGGCCGCAGCCGTCCGACAGGGTGTTGCCGCACGCGTAGAGGCGGCGGAGCACGCTGCGTATCAGCGACAGCAGTCCAGTCGCCGATTGCAACTGCGTGTGGGGAGCAAGGACGATGCACCGGCAACGAAGCAACACTCGGTCACCGCCTCCCGCGGAGAAATCGATAGTCATGACACGGAGGAGAAGGAAGAGGACGACTACTACGTGGCCGCGCGCGCCATCGCGGACTACCGGAGAGACTGCCAGGGACTCCTGTCGATGGCGGGCTTACTGCGGAAATTGGGTGCCGGCATCGACGTCGACAGGGATGATGACGAAAGCTCACCCGCGCCGGCGTTAAGGAAACGCGGTCGCAGCGACACGGCGAGGGCTGAAGGGCGCTCCATCGTCGTCGCTGCTGAGCGCGATGGCCGCATAAATTACTGGGCGCGACTTCGTGCAGATGGGCTTCGACGATTCTTCGGCACCGACATACCACCTCCACCGCCGGTAGTCGCCACCGCGGCGTCGCAGGAGGCGGCACACGTGAAAGCGAGGCAGGCTTCCGCGGTGCTGACGCCTGCTGAGGGGTGGGCTGGCACGCAGTTGCAAATAGCAGAGCGCGATGTGCTCTTTGCTTTGCGGAAGGTCTTTGCGTCGGGTTCCGTTTAGGAGTGCGCTTTACCTCTTCTTCTTTTAACAGCTGTGAAGAACCCCAGGAGGACAGACCGTCTCTCGATTGCAGACCGTTTAAACACGCAAACCCGAAAAAAAAGCCTTCACATTTTCCTCAGGAACGCAGAGCTCTTTAGTCGCCAAGACTCTTAGTGTCTATCACGCGTTCCTCAAAGACATCCTCGCCTCTTTGTCGCGCCTTTTAACCCCGCTCTCTCTCTCTTCCTTCCTTTACACCTTCTCCGAACAGTCTCGGCCTTCTTTTCGCGTTACGTCTTGCGCCGCCTAGAAGTTCTTTGAGGCTTGAAGGACGCTGCACACACGGAAACACCCATGGCATCGCGCAAAGTCATTAACGCCGTCTGCACGATGGCGACGCGGGAGTGCGCCGAAGAGCTCGCCCTCTTCCATCGCTCCTTTCGCACTTTTCACCCCGCTCTTCCGCTGTTCGTCGGCTGCACAACGGAGATGCGTGACGAGGCACCTCAGGTGATGCACGACGACGCGCACGTGCGTTGGGTGTCGTGTCTCGATGGCTACGGCCCATCCATTTCGCGCAGGGCAATGGAGCGCGCGCCTGGGGTTTGGTACGCGACGCGCCACACAGACTTCATGATGGAGAAAGCGAATCTGATGGAGCTGGCGATGCGCAGTACGGACACGGCCACCGCGTCCGCGTCCGCAGCCCCGACGGTCGCGTTTTTGGACTGTGACGTGACGCTTCTGCAGGCGCTGCCGACGGTGCCGATGACGGCCTCCGTCGCCCTCTCGCCCCACCAAATGCGATCGGCCGACGAGTCGCTCTTCGGCCGATTCAACGGCGGCTACGTCGTCGCGAGCAGCCCAGAGGTGTTGTGGGAGTGGCGTCGCGCAACGGCCACCTCGCGCTACTTTGACCAAGCCTCGCTCGAGCACGTCGCGGACGTCTTTCGCGAGCGCAACGAGCTGCACTGCCTGCCGGCGCAGCACAACTACGGCTTTTGGCGGATGCTGCAACCACAACGTGGCAGCGCGTTCGACCAGGCTAAACGGTTTTCCATCGCGCCGCGGGCCTGCCCGACGGCGCCGACGACGGACGCGCTGACGATTCACTACGACGAGCACCCGCTGTGCTCCCTGCACACACATTTCTTCCTGCATGGCGCCAACGTCCCGCGCGACGTCCGCCTCTTCAATGACTTGCTGCGGCGCTGGATCAAAACGTGCGCTGCGGCTGAAGCGGGCAGCTTACAAAACCACGCGTACGCAGCCGCGCTCTCGCACCTCTTGAAACCGGGAAAGGAACCAATGAATGGAGATAATCACAGCTAGTTGAAACAACGACAAAACTAACTCTACCTAAAAACATTAATATACGGTTTACGGCGCTGCACGTTTACAGAAGAACAGGCGGGGAATGGCACGCAGGAGCGATCCCTTTTCTCGGCGCGCGACCTCCAACTTTCCGCTTCTCCTTCGCCCGCCTTCTCTGTTCCCCGCCGGCGCAGTGGCGCGCCCTGGGCCGTGGGGGGGGGGGGCTGGGGCCGGGCCCAGGGCGGCCCGGTCGGCGGCAGCCCACCGCCCAGCGCAAAAAGAAGCGGAACCCCAAACACCGCGCAGCCGCGGCGAAAACCCCTGCGAGAAACCGGAAACAGGAGAAACGAAACCCCACTGCGGCTAGGCACGACAGCCCCGCCCCAAAGAACGCAACGGCAGACAAAACAAGAAAACCTCAGACACAGAAAAGAAAAAGAAGAGCAGAACCCTCCATTAACGCACCCCGCCGGCACAGTGAAAACGATTGAGGAAAGAGAAGAATTCTTGAAGAAAAGTCGCTTTTTGAGATGCGAAAGAAGTTGCAGGGAGTATTCTCTATCTCGACCCTTACATGGGTCTCATGGAGAGCTGTTGCTCCGGAAAGGCTTTCCGAAGAGGAGGTTTCCTGCTAGTTTCGACTAGCGCCATTGAGGGCAGACAGCGGATACAAGCTAGACAGGTCAACCAAAAAGAAGAGGAAAAAGTCGCCCGCCAAGTTTTGAGGGGAGCCTACCCCGCCTGCCCTTTTCAGCACCCATTTAGCTAGCACGGAAGAAAAGAAAGAGTGAAGCAACAATAGAGAATCGTTTTGGATTTTCTGCGGAGCAAAACAATAACAACAGATAATATCCTCTTCAGCCTGTTGTGCTAAAGGCATCCTTTAGAGTCGTTCGTGACTTGATTCTCCGTCGAAAAAGAACAAAAGAGACAAGTTTATTGGCCTTTTTTAATGCGAAAGATGCTTGAACGTGCATCAGCCAAGTTCTCCTTGGAAGGAACCTATTCTACTGAAGGTAAAAGCTGATTTTTTGCGAGGGCTTCTCCATGCGAAGTGCAACGTCATTGGGCGCCTTTGTCGATACGGCTCTATTCTTGAAAGCGGCTAAGGCCGTCGTGCTATCAATGTTTATATGAAGGTTCAACCCTGCGGGAGTCCATCGTCGCAAGTGATCCACCGCCAGAACCACGGTGTCCCCTTCTCGAGTGTTTCTGTTGCATTGCTCTGCTGCGGACCATGCTTCTCCAACGTTCATGATTTCTTGGGGCTCGTCCCGCATCAACACCGCTCCCCGACCGGCTCCAGAGAGACCGGTGTAGAGGTTCATCATTGGCATTCTCGTTGCCATGGCCGGCGCTATCGCTCGTGGGCAGTTCTTCTGAGCCAGTTCGTACCATTTTTTGAGTTGTGCATGCGCCGTTGGAGGTGTGCAGTCCGGCTCCTTCACCAGGAGAGGTGTCCGGCTGAGCGGAGACCGCCTTCGCCTAATGAGCTTCAACACCCAATAGAACTCTGCGGTGCGGATATGTAGGAATGACGAGCTGCGGAGGATTTGCTCGCACAGTCGCTCCAAGTCGCCGCACGTCATGCTTGGCGTCGGACCAGCAATTTTCTGGATCGTGTGATCTGCCGCTCCCACTTTGTGAGCTGCGTGGTTGAAATATACCCCCTATGATGTCAGTGACTTCTCCCGTGTAACTCTCATTAGGTGAAACCGAGTGTCCCATCAGAAGCCGCGTCAAGCACCGCTGTGTACTGCTATTCGGATCTGTGACGACGAAGCGTTATTGCATTCTATCTGGAAGCTCGACCTGGAAGAAACTGGCCATCAGGTCATGTACGCTACCCCTCTCGGCGTTCACTGCGTCGTGGTGTAGCGAAAGGTGTAGGAGTGGCGCATCTGGCTGGTAGTCTTGTGCGTCTGAATGGTCGTTGTTCTCTATCTCGGCCACACGATAAAGTGTCTTAGGACGGCGTTGTGCTTGGTCCCCGTGACCGTAAACGGCGTAGTGCTTTTGGCAGTATGTTGCCTCTTGCCTCGACCCGCTGCTGTGTCGGAGTGCGTGCTGTGAACTCGTCGAAAGATTTTGACCATTTGTAGTTTGTTCACATCCTCCTCGGTAGGTGCTGAAGAGCTTTTCGGGATACTTGTTGTGGGGAGTGGTGACCCCTTGCGTTAGAAACTGGTGCCTGTTGTGTGCCTTGGGCGGTGTGTGCACAGCAGTCTGCTCCAAGGAGGTGAAGGAGATCGTCCACACACCGGCGGATCTCTGGTCGAGTGCATCATCCAATCTTCTGAATGTTCAGAGGCGAAACTTCCACGACGTGCAGCGGATGTTGGAAGTCTTCTTCCAGGATGGCTGTTTTCTTCAGTCTCCATGCGCCTCGACCGAGATAGCCGCCGCGACCTGCGGTACCTTCTTCTATTCGTCATTTCCGTGCAGAGACAATAGCATTTGTCTGCAAGCTGATAAAGCTGGAATTGATTGTGTTGTGCTGTGGCTGGCCGTGCGGGTTCGCCGCTGTCAGTTTTTTCATCAGTTGACAGGTTCCTTTCCGGTGTTTGGCGGTGCTGCATCCAAAAGAGATCTGCTATGCGTTTCGCGATGTTGAGAAGGCCGTCTCACTCTTCTCCATCTTCATAACTTATAAGAGTCGAGTTGCCTTTTGGGTTCCGATCACTTTCGCAATCATCAAGTAGTCGGTGATGTAGCAAATCGTGTTCTCTTGCATTGTGGCTTTGCCATCGCCATGCTTTTCTAACAGTGGAATGTATTTCTGCTCGAGCTGTTTCTGCGCGGCGTATGCTGTGAGGAAATTCAACGCGCCTCGTTTGATTGAGTGCGCTATCAGTGCCGGACTTGCTGGTTTCGGCGTGTGGATGATCTGATGCGTATGTATTGTTGTGAGCTGCGTTGGTGCTGGGTTGTCTGCTTTCCGGCTGCTGGGAATTTGAGCGATTTGTCCCATCTCGCTGATGTCTTCAACCACAATTGGGGCGTATGCCTTGTAAGGGTTCCGTGATAGTGTCTTCCCCGCTGTGAAGCGCATTTCAATTTGCTGCAGTTTCACCTGCAACTAATTCTCCCCCGTCAATCCTTGAATATCTTCCCAAACGGCCTGTCGTCTTCCACTCCTGGTAGACCGCTGCGCGATCACGCAGCCTGTCTTTCAGCGCTGATATGACAAGCCCTATCTCTCTCCGTGCTGGTGGTACCATCGTTTCTGCGGAATTCGGTTGATGGAGTACGTTTTTATCAGAACTTGTGTGGTGAACTCATCAGCATTTCCGCTTCTACGTTTACTTCCAGTAGTGTCCCCGATTCTTTTTCTTGTTCAAGAACTGTGTTCAGTGATTTTCATCTTCAGTGTAACAACAATTGTACAACTGTAAAAGCCCTTGTACGGAAAAACACGGAGTCTTTCGCTTTGTTGCAAAGCCTTCAGCGGTCGAGACGCTGACAATTGTACCACCACTTTGTTTTGCAAACCTATCTTCTTCATTTTCTCTCTTTTCCTCTCCATAGTAAACGCTTCAGCCTTTGCGCTTTCTTTTTTTGCTGAAAGCCTGCGACAGGAAAATTGGAAAGGAGCTGATACTTTCTCGTTATTATATTTTCTGCTTCTCCTCTCTTTCTCCTCCTCTTAGTCGGTTTCTGCTATCGGGATCCGTTTCTTTTTCCCACCATCCCACCCCTTTTTCCTCCCCGCGAGTTGAAAAGCCTCAAGATGAAAGGAAGGCAAACCTCCCATTCGTAAGTGAAGAGTTGTAAGTTTCTATTGATCTTTGATATATACTGAAAAAAACTACTGAACGTGGAATGAATAAATAAAAACCTTTAAATGGACGCTGAGATACAAATCCAGCGACACGATCCGCCTAATTAAGGATCTCCTTAACTGTCTCTCTCTTTCTCTTCCCTTCTCCCATCTTGCGCTACATAGTAGAACCGACTAAGAGTTTTCTATGTAAGAACGTAGGTGTTATCCAAGCATGGTAGCAGGCCGTTATGTTTCTTAAGCCAAGAGTTTTTCATTGAGTTCCTTACTCTGAAGAAAGAACGTGTCACCTAATTCGTTTGCTGATCTTTTGGTTGTGGTTGGCGTGATGTTTGTTCTCTTTTCTTGACTCGCTGTTTTGTGATTGCTTTTGTCTGTTTTGCGGGTCGGTGTCCAACGATCGGCGTGTAGCTGTATTCTCTCTGGGATGCGAAAGATGCGCAGCACCGTAGCGCAGTGGAAGCGCGATGGGCTCATAACCCATAGGTCGTTGGATCGAAACCAATCGGTGCTATAGTTTTTCGCGGCGGACGGTTTCAATGCACGAACAACGTTGAGCCTGGCGAGGGCATTGAGGCAAGATGGTCGAGTGGTCTAAGACGTCACGTTCAGGTCGTGATCTCCCCTGGAGGCGTGGGTTCAAACCCCACTCTTGTCACACTTTTCCCCACCTGCCGAAAAGCGCGGCGCGGGAAGGGGTAAAAGCCAAAAACGAAGGAGAAAGCAGAAGAGAAGAGTGAAGCACGGCAAGCGCAGTAGGAGGATTTCACCTTGACATCGCAGTGCAGGCTTGTGCGTTTACGCAGGTCACACACTCCTGTGTGCTCTCTTTACTCACGTTCAGTCGCGGTGCAGCGCCGTCGTGGCAGGTGGTGCGTATGTAGATATATATATTTATATTAGCCCGTCCAAGCTTGCACTGCAGAGCAAAGAAGGCTGATTCAACTACCTTTTTGCTGCAGATGCCACGCTAGCCGGCAATGAAGCGACTTCCTCACGGCACCGCCACGTATTATTTGGGTTGTCTGTTGTTTATGGTACTGCACACCACGTATCAGGATGTATTACTTTAAAAACTCCTTTACCGTCGACAACACGCCACGGCGTTCGCAACGATGGCATCGTACAAGCACGTTCATCTTCTTGGAGTACTCAAGCTCCAATGCGGTGCACACGCAACCACACGCAACCACACGCAACCACACCCACCAACCAATCGCCCAGCGGCAAACAGCAACAACAACAAGAAAAGAAGAAGGGGAAACAGATACACATCGAGTAAACATAAATCCAGAACCATTCTTGACAGCGGTAACAGAAAGAGGAAAACGTTGGGAAAAAGACTGCCGTCGCAAACACGCAGTGTGCGCTTGTCGGCGCGTAAACGTACAGTTGAGACACACAGACACAAACACACACGTGCAAGAGTACCGCGGGCCGGTGTAGAAGTCGGAGAGAGACAGCAGCACCTTCGCTGCACACAACAGTTTTCGGACATCAACAAAGCAAAACCGATAGCTGAAATCTGGCGTCGACGACCCGGAAAAGGCACACGCGAACACAAGCAAAGAAAAGAGAGAAGTTAGGTAAGCCGCTTCTACACGGAAGTGTGTTCCGCACCGGACACACGGAAAGAGCAACAACAACAAAAAAAGGTTGCGGTTTCCCACTCGGGCGTCGGGTGTAGTCGCAGATATATAACAGACAGCAGCAATGGAGAACGAAAACAAAAATAAAGCCAAAACAAAGGGGACAGCAAGTGAGAGGGGCAACACACCGCCCAGTCTCAGAAAGAGACAGAGAGTAGCCTACTTTTTGAGAGCAGTGAGGTCAAGCGGGGCCACGTAGGGGTGAGGCGAGCCCTTCTGCGGCCCTTCATCCGTGTCGCAGTCGAGGTCCGAATCGGACTGCCTGTCACGCTCCTCCGGCACCGGCAGCTCCTTCTCTTCCGCCTTCTTCGTCTCCTTCTCCTCCTCCGGCTTCGGCGTCTTCGCGATGGCGCCGTCACGCTTGGCGTCGTTCTCCGCCTTCACGCGCGAGCCCGGCACCAGCGGAAGCGGCACCGGCGGCGTCGACGCCCCTGCAGGCTTCTCCGACGCCGGCTGCGCGGAGGGCTGCCGCACCCCCGCACGCGTCACGGCCCCGCTGGGGGCGTAGCGGCCCGCTGCCGTCCTCGACGCCGGCGCCTTCGCGCTGGTGTTGGCGCTGGTGCCTGTGGCCGTCGTGCGCTTCGGCACGTAACTCGTGTGCTGCGGCGGGACGCTGCTCTCACCAATCCTCGAGTGGCTGCCCATCATCTCGCGCGACTGGTTCAAGCTGTTCGCGGGTGAGAGCAGGCTGCGGTAGTAGGCGTTGTAGGTGGCCTTCGCTGGGGACGGGCGCGCGCGGTGGTGCGAGCTGTACTTGGCACGCTCCGCCTCCAACTCAATGCGGCGCTGCTCCACGCGCGCGTCGCGCCTTTCCTGCTGGACGGCGGCGTCGCGATACAGCCGCTCCCAGAACGGCTTGGACGAACGCGAGGCCGCACGTCGGGCCGCCGGCGCAGCGACGGTGGCAGCAGGCGCAGCAGCTGATACCGCACGGGGCTTCGAGGCCGCGCGGAGACTCGACGACTTCTTCAGCGTGGCGGCGTCGCGGATGGGCGCGCCGCGGGCCGGTGTTGTCTGCTGCCGCTGCCGCTGCTTCTGCAGCGCAGACGTCGTCAGCTGCACCATACGCTTCGGCGCCTTCTCCGCACTGGCCGATTTGACGGTGGAGGTGCGCCCCGGTTCCGAAGAGCGAGGGACGGTGGAAGCGCGCTGCTTGCGTTGGTACGACGCACGACGGTACATCAAGGGGCCGTTGCGGTGGTACTCCTCCAACTCGCGGTGAATGCGCGCCTTCAGCTCCTCGAGGGACGTGTTCTGCGCCGTGTCGCTGTCGTCGACGCCCTCCTCTAAGTTGGGCACGCGGCCGCCTTCCCTTGTAATTTTATGAATCTGGCGGGCGCGGAGGGAGGCCGAGAAGTCCTCCTCGTCTTTCTTCGACTTGGACAGCCCGCGGGCGGCGGTGTGGCTGGCAGGAGCGGTCTTGGCACGTGCGGCGTTGCCGGACAGCCGGCGGCGCGCCTTCTCGTGAGCGACGGGGTGGGGGCTCTCTGCGTCCCGTTTTCCCCCAAGGGCCTGGCGCGCCGGCGGATACGCCGCGGACGTCTGCGCGGTGCCGTTCCGCAGCTGCGCCGGCGGGTGGGCAGCCGGAGACTGCTGAAAGTCAGACGAGAAAGAGTTGCCCACGGTGCCCTTCTGCGGTGTGGAGTGGTAGGAGTGATAGGCGTGGCCGCCGTTCCGGTTGGCGGAGGCGGGCGCGGGTGCGACAGTCACCGTTGCCGGCTCGCCGCCCTCCTCCGCGTCGTCGCCGTACAGAAGGTGCTGGCCACGGTTAAGAACGTCCTCGATGCGGTTGAGCGAGTCGCGGATTTCGTCCAGGTTTTCCTCATTTGCAGCGCCATTACGGGCTGCCGGCGTGTTCGCAACTCGCATGGACATCATGAAAAAAAAAAGACAAACAAAATACGGCGGTTGTCTACTTGTATTATATGCGTTTTTTTCCTCCTCCTCTTCTCAGCTCCTTTGCTTCAATAGTAGGTTAAGATGCGCTTTACCAATAAGAGAAATCTCCACAATCGACTCAGGCACAGCAACACCGAAATAATAATAATAGTAGTAAAAAAGAGAGGCAAAGCAAACAAACAAAAGCTATTAACGTTACCCTGTTTGATGCTGATGGACCTTCTTCTGATGGACGGGGGAGGGAGGGCCCTGAAGGAGAGAAAAATGAGACGCAGGGAGACAACGCTGCGTTAGAGCTCCTCTTTCAGCCTTTTTCTTTTGCGTATGTGTTTCTTTAGATTCCAAATAGAGGCTCTTCGCACGCGCGAGTTGTATAGACGAGCAACGACCGTTAAATGATATGAATCAATCAGTTAATCAATGGCCGTAATAAGGGGCTCTGTTCCACGTCGACGAAGGCAGTTCAGCTGATCCGAGAGAGAAAGAGAGAAAGAAGAAAACCAAAGGCTAATGATTGCAATGAAAAACAAGGCAAAAAAAAAGAAACACGCACGTGTGAGGATAAATGAAAGAAAAACAAAAGGAGGAAACTCGTGAATTTGTAGACCGTTTTTTCTCTTACGCTGAAAACCGTTTCTGGACGGGGACGAAGATCAAGTTGACGCAAATGTGCTGGTGCCCAAAGAAAAAAAAAGAAGAGGGGGTAGAGATACAGAAAATGGCTTTACATGCGTACTTATCTTTCAACTCTATTGGAAGCTTTTTTCCTTTTCCAGGAGTTCCTGTTTTGTCTGATGGCGCAAACTCACAGATAAGAGAGCAGAAGCACGCAAAACAAAAAACCCCGTTGAGGCCCAAACTGGCGAAGTCTACCTGGACGTAATGTATAACTCCGGAGCACCTTTCTTTTCGTTCCGCAGGTGACGCAGGATGGTCGTGAAAGGAAAGAGAAAAAGGAGTGGGAGAGAATAGGAAGGAAAACCACAGTTGGGTAGGAAGCGAGTTTGATCTCCTTTAGTGTGTGGGGGAAGAGCAGCGGCGTTGCCGAGCGCTGCATGCTGGGCTTTGGTCGTCAAAGCCTTTTACACTTCTTTCCGTAGGAAGACACAAAGAGGCTCGGCAGATTCGTTTCGTTCTCGCGTAATGCATTTCTATTGTCACACGGACGGTACCAGGGAAGAAGAAGAGCATTCGGTGGTGCTTTCTTCATCTACTCCGTTGAGTCGCAGATTCATAATATCAGCACTTAAAAAAAAAGTGTTTCTTCATTGGAAACTGGTGAAGACAAGACGAAACGTTAATGAGAAGCGCTAGTCTAAACAGTGAAAATAGAGAAGGGAGCAAGTGAAGCTACACGCTGGATCCTCCGCGCGCTTCAGCCTTTCCCAGATCGTAGGGGTGCATTCCGCTTTCCAGTAGGAGAAACGCGACAGGAGAGACAGCAACTCCGCTACCCAGCACCTTCTTCCTTTGCCTCCTCCCCGCCCCAAAAGGAGCACCTGGATCTACTTGTTGAAAACACTCGTGCAGCTTCGCAACAACGGCACGTCGCCTTGAAACTTAGACAGCTTCACTTGTACCTTGTCCACCGCGAGCTCCAGCTGATACCTCTCAAAGTCGCTCACCGCCTTTTCAGCCGGCACGCTGCCCGATGCCTCGGCATTCGCTGCGATCGTCGCCACTTCCTTGTCGTACTGGGCGCAGTACTTTGTGGTCAACTCGCGCACCTCGTCAAGGGTGAGCGGCTTCGGCGTGGCGGCTGCTTCGTCCACCGCTTGAAGAACGCGGGAGCGAACGTAAACGCGACGAGGACTGCGGATGCCGAGCTCCTCACAGAGATCCAGAAACCCGGTGGAGTATGTCGGCTCGCTTCCCCCTTCATGGCCAGACGCCTCCTCCGTCGTTTCCGTAGGGCTCGCCGGTGGGACACTACCAGGCACGCCAACGCTGCCGTTGCTGGCCGCAGCGCGCATTTCGTACTCGCCCGTCTCCTCGCGCGAACGCTGCAGACTCTTCACGTCATTTACCAGTTTTACGGCGTTGTCGCCGCCGAGACAGTTGGCGAGGGTTTGGAACCACACCTTCTCCCGCTCCATCGCACGTGCCGCGTCGGCCTTGCGACGCAGACTTGTGCGGTTTGCGGAGTCCCGCGTTGCGCTCTTGTGCATTCGTACTTCGCCGTCCTGAGGGGAGAAGAGCTGCACGTGGTCGAGCTGATTCTGTGCCCTTGCGTCACAGAAGAGCTCGTACAGGTGACGGTCCTTGGGAGCAGGAGAGCGCGCGGCGGGTCGGGGCAGTCGGGGCCGCACCAAGGCATCCGCGTACTTGGACAGCATCTGGTCTAGCGACGGCACGCGTTGCGCAGCATCCGCAAGATGAGAAGGCGCACGGCCACCCCGACGTGTCTCCGCAGCGGTCTCCATCGCCTGCCGCAACGCCCGTCGACCCTGCGGCGTTGAGACGATCCAGCGCAGTTTCATATCCTTGTCCAGTTTTGCCCATGCCACTTCCACCTCCGTCAACAGGGCCGCCAAGCCGTCGTCTGCGCTGAAGAAGTGCTTGCCGCTGCTGTGTGACCCAAACGCAGCGGACTCCGTGGTGGTAGAGGAGGCGTTTTCGCCCATGATGCGTGCCCAGTCCTCAGCGGAGTAGGCGTAGGGCAGTTGCGTGGACGAGTCATCATGCTGGTGCGCCAGATGGGTCAGCAGTGCGGATCGGCCGTAGGAGAGTGCGAGACGCATCGCGTCTGGCCCGTTCGCAGCCGTTTCCGCCGCCGCCGCAGTAACGGCGGCGGAAGTTCCGCTCTTGGCAGATGCACTCATCAGCCGTGTATGAGGGGCACTCGTTGCGTGGATGGGGGGCGGGATCGGCGACGGTGCCGCATCGCGTTGACGCTGCGCTTGCTTGTGCGAGGCTCGAGAGCGCATGATGGCTTCCGTAAGCCGGCGCGCTGTCCGGACGTCATTCGAAGAGGGCGCTTCCGTTTCGGTCGCGGAGACGGTGCGAGGGTCTTCAGCAGAAGACGAAGAAGGCGCAGCGGCGACTTGCATGGGCATGTACATGCGCACTGCCCGAGCAGCGCACGACAAGGACGTTTTCATTTGCAATAACTGTTCTTGGTTCTATCAGTTGAATCAGCTCTATGACGTGAAGACTGCGTTTCAATTTTTTTTCTTGGAGGAGCGAAATGGCTTCGTTCTATGCATGTATATGAGGAAGCTGAGCTTTATGATGCTCCGCGAGGATGCCTGCGCTCCAGTCAACTGCCCTCAATGCGAACAACACGAGTATCTCGGAAAGGCCACGGAGAGGCAACCAACGTTGGTGTCACACTAATGATAATGATAATTCTATGGGACAGCTGGCACTTGACGGCGTTCCTATATATGTATATATATACACACGAAAAAGAAGTACCTCGAATAAATAATCTAAAGGAAAACCACCCAAACCACAAGACACTTTGTACTCGCGCACACACGCAAAAGAGAGCGCTTGCATACACAAGTACAGATGGCGAGGGGATGCCGCGGGGACCCACGCTATTTACAGGGCTGATGGACCGTAGGTGACGACTTGAACGACGCGAGTTCCTTGAGAGAGGGATTGAAAAGGCTGAGGGGGTAGCAAAGCGTCTATCGACAGGCAGAGAGGTGTACATGAATCCAAAGAAGTGCACTAATGCGATAACACGTGGCCGCACACTGACAAAAAGAAATCCATCCGTTCAGTCACGTAGGTGGTGATGCAGAGATCGTAGAGCAGGCCCCATTATTTACCTTTTCCTTTCTCGGAATACGGTTTAGAAGAAAAGAAACAACAACGAAGGGTGCGTTTGCATCCGCACCAGCCAATACACGAACAAACAAAGGGTACAAGACCCATAGCAAACAACTCCCCGCCACAGACACAAGTGTGGTAGGAGACGCCATGCCAACTCTCACCTTTGAGATCAGATCCTGCCCGCTGTGGCGGCAACCTTCATATATATATGTATATAAACACCGTGCTTCATTTAAAAGCAGACCTGGATCCGCAGTGAGAGGGAGAGGGAAGAGAAAACACAAAGGTCGGGAAAGCAGAGGGGAACAACGCAGAACGTCGCACTCGAGTTCCACGCAGAGTGCACGCAGCAACCGCTTTTAAAGAATTTCTTTCCTCCTCGATTAGTGATCGCGCGTCATTCGGCGACGATTGCCCCCACCGCCGTAACCCCTGTCTCCCCCGGCAGCGAATCGACCATGAAGGCCGCCGCCGCCACCACCGCCACCACCACCAATTTCTCCATCACGGCGAGGACGACGGCGCATACCGTCCGCACCTCCCGCACCTCCCATACCTCCTCCACCGCCGCCGCCGCGACCTCGGCGAGCATCGTGCCCGCGCTGCTGCTGCTGCGTGTTCATGGGACAGTCTCGCACCGTGTGGCCCTCTTGGTTGCACAGAAAGCAGCGCCTACGCGCGCCGCTACCGCCGCCGCCGCCACGCACGCCTTCATCTAACGCGCCAATCGGCTGGCCCGGCTCTTGGATCTCCCCTAGCATCCGGTGCAGCACACTGTGTTGTGGCCCGGGACAGTCAGGGGCGAGGTGACCAGGATCGAAGCAGCCAGCCCGGTAGCACGTCGCCGTCCGATTAAACGTCGGGTCGTCGGCGCGTTCGACGATCATCTTGGCGAGAATGCGCTTCGACACCGCATCGCGGTCGTAGCGCTCCTGTATGGGGTGCCCGAGGGGACAGCGGGGGCCTAAGGGGCAGAAGCCAGCCAGGTAGTACGGGCAGGCCGTCTCGCGCTGCACGTGACGCAGGCGGCAGCGCGGCCCGAGAGGGCAAAACCCGCGGCGGTAGGCGGCGCACTCCGGCTGCGTCTCGTTCGGCTTCGAGTGCAGAAAAGGGCACTCCGGGTTGGTGCACTCGCCAACGCGCTCAAAGAAGGCGCACTGCGGGACGTAGCGGTAGTCGTACTCGTGCAGGTAGAGACAGTTGTCGCCGTTCACGCAGGCGCCGCGCAGCCAGTGCTTGCACACTTTGGTCTGGACGGTGCGGTAGGAGGAGATGATGTGGCGCTGCGGGCAGGCGTCACCTAGTCGGCAGCGACCGCGCTGGAAGTCCTGGCAAATTTCTAACTTTTTCTCCGTGTGAGGGAGCTCTGGAGGGAGCGTGTCTTCGAAGTCGAAGTGCGTCCCCGCCGCATCATCCGCAAACATCTTCTTGTTATTTTCTAAAAGTTATGTTTGACTTCTCTTGCTGTGCGATTCTTTTTCTTCTTTGGTACTTCAACCCTTGAATGGTCGCCACACGGTCTGGCGCACTCGACACCACTGAAGCAGCGGGTTGAATCGGGAGATCAGCGGGAACAAGGAGGAGAAAAAAGAGAAAAAGCATGAGAAAGATAGTCGAGAAAAGTGTGTAGAACTCCGCCAATAACAACAGCTGTTGGGTAAGCAGAAGAGGAGTTCGGTGTGGGTTGGGATAGCCTCCACCTGCGAGGAGCTGCGCGTCAGCACTTGTCGCGGCCGTACACTTTGAAAGCAGAGTTGCCCCCCTTCAGTCGGGGGGAAGGGGGGGGGGGCGTCGCAATGTAACTCCGCGGCCCTGTCGCCATTCCATACCGTTTCTTCACAGGTCGTACTGGGAAAAAATATTATTTAACGCATCTCCTTCGTTTTCTCTCGTTTTTCATTTTCAAGGTTCTGTGGATCCAACGTCAGCAGGTGCGTAACGCTACTGCGCACCTCCCCTGTCCATTCGTTCCTCCTCCGCAGTCGATGACGCGTCTGTTGGAGCTCCCTTGTAGGAGCGGTCAAAGGCCAATGTGGGGCTCTGCGTGAAATAGTGGTGCAAAAATGCTTCCAGCTGGCGCGTGCGGCGGGACTCGGAGTGGAAGAGGCGTTCATCCAGCTGCTTGAGGGCGATGTTCTTCTGCATCGCCGCCATCACTTCCGCGGCCAGTGGGACACCGCTGTCGATGGGACTCGGCGTGTTGTCATCGTCGTCATCGTCGTTCGCGAGCACATCCGCTACCGCCGCAGCCGTCGTGCCCGCGACGACGTCATACGCGCAGACGCGACGAAGGGTCTGACTCAAGGCTACTCTCACGTCTGCGCGCTGCTTTTCAGGAAGTCGTCCATCGCTGTCGAGGGGCAGCACTTCATGTGCAGAGGAAGAGGAGAGAAGAAGGGCTGCACGCTCGGCGCTTTGGTTGTTGCACGTGACTGCTGCAGCGGCGGTGTGCAGTGCCCGCATTCGCTGCTCCGAAAGCTGCGTGAAGCGCACCTGAATCTCCGTCGCAGTGTGGTTGCTGTTGCCGAGGTGGCAGTCTCGCTGCTCCAAGTAGGGTACAACAACTGCGTCGATGTATGCACACATGGCGACCAGCACGGCCGCGTTATTCTTTGCCGTTGTTATTGCCGCACCGTGCTCGAGGGGTGAGGCTGCGGAGGCACACGACCGCAAAACGTCACGGAGGAGGCGCCACGTGAAGAGACACCGCGGCAGCGTACGCAGCCGCACCAGCATCGTTTCAAGCAACACCCGATAGAGGAGAGCGCCTGCGAGCTGCCTCCGTATGATACGTGCATCGTCGCCCGGCGTAGAGGACGTCAGAGCACGCAAGACACGACACAGCTCGGGGTCATCGTCTGCGAAGGAGAAATCGCTAGAGGTCAACGCCCCGGAAAAGCTCTCGCAAAGGGCAGTGTGCGACACTTCCTGCTCCGCAGGTTGACAGACACACAGTGAGGCAGAGGAGTCGGTCAACACCATGCAGCTCACCCGAACCCAGAGGCGCACGCGCCACGTGAAGGCAGAGCTGTCCATGCGGGCGAGATCCGCGGGTCGCAGGGCCGCACGGGCGGCGTATGCCCCACCGCCCGCCGGCGTCCACGTGTGCAGTCGCAGCGTGAGGTGATGCAGGTGGCGCTGCGCATCGTGCCACAGAAACCACAGCGGGGATGTGTCTTGGGCCGATTTCTTTCCTTTTGATTGCTTCCGCGCGGGGCCGGACCCAGTAGCGACGTCCGCTGAAGACGCAGGTGGCGATGTATCTTCTGTGGGTCCGTACTCCGTGCTATCGCGCTTTTCCTCACGCGAGTGGACGTGATCCAGCAACCACAGCAAACCTACCTCGAGCCTGTTCAGAGCGTAAAGGTGGACCATCACCGTCTCGAACCACTCCCGTCGGGCCGCCTTCGGCACTTGCGCTCGTTGCTTCCACAAACGTTCGTAGTTCTCCCGCAGCGTCGCGGCATAGCGTGCGTGGGCCGCCGAGTTGCCATGTGGACTCTCCGCAAGGCGGGACGTGGCGATGAGGTAGCGGTAGCTGACGGCGTCGAGGGCGCGTTGAAAGGCGGCTGGATGCCGACCGAGCTGACGCGTGTACGCGGCGTCCTCCACGCACGGCACGAAGGCGGGCGGACAACGGTTGCGTTGATCGTCGTCCCCTGTTGCGGCGACGTGCATGGGGTGCTTCGAAACACGTAAAATACGGTACGTGCAGCTGAAGAGGTGGCGCGCGAAGAGACGCGTTGAATGCGAAGGAAAAAGAAAAAGACCGTAGATGCACCCCAAAGAAGAAGGTTTGAAAGAAGAAGAATTGGTTAAACAGTGAAAAGGTGGGGATCACACAATCATCGGCATCATCAGCATCAGCATCATCATCGCAGCAAAACAGCAATACACCATGCTCATGTGAGATGAAACTCCTCTTGAATGTCTCCAGAACCCGTATTGCCGTGAAGATGAGGTTGCGCCATATATATATATATAGAGCGAGGAACGCCTGCTGTGAGAGCGAGAGGTACTTCTTCGAGTCGTTTGGAAGTCTTGGGTCGCGGTTTTGTCACTGCAACGCGCTACGCCTTTAGGAAAAACTCTAGTCGACCACTCTCAGATCAGGAAGGACGGAAGAAGAAAGGAGAAAGGAGAAAGATCAATAAAGTGCAACACAGTGTCGTTACATCCCTGTATCGTTTTCATTTTCCTTTAAGGATGGGCGGCGTCATTTTCTTTTTATATTTATTTTTGAACCAATTAGAACTTTACGAAAGGGAGTTTCTTGCAGACTCAGATCGTCTGCATTTCCATCTCGTGGGGTTGGAAAAGGGCGGGACGGTGGGAAAAAAGAAAACAGCCTTTCCTGGGGAGAGGTCGACTGGAGGGGAGAGAAGGAGAAAGGGAAAGTATACAACGCGTGGCTTTCGATTCATCTCTAGGCGTTTTTTTCCTGGCGCAAGCTCTCAGAAAAGATAATCAAAAAATATTTTGCGATGTGCAGAAGAACAACCAAAAACAGCGTTAGCCAAAGCGCACAGAGGTAGCAAAAACACAACAGAGAAGCATACGCCTGCATCACACGGACACACACCGACACCTACCAAATGACGCACTACCCCCCTCTCCCCCCTCTCCCCCTAATCCAACCTTTTCTATAGTTCCGTTAGGTCCAGCCGGTTTGAGTTCGCGAAGACGATCGAGACCGCACCCCACTTGTTCTGCATCCACAGTTCAATCAGCTTCTGCGTCTCCTCGCGGTCGCGGAAGAGCGGGACGCCGCGGTTCAGGTTTCGATCCCGCTCGCCGTACTCATCCGTGTAGTTCGTCTGCACCGCGTACAGCCGGCCACATGTCAGCTCCATCACGTAGAACGTCCCTAGCCGCACCGCGAGAAAGACGCCCACCGCCCCACCGCACGCGCGGACGTGCTGGTACAGCTCCGGCGGCGACCCCGAACGCTGCCGATGCATACACATGTGCTGCCCGCAGCGACAGCACAGAACCGGATTGGCCGCCTCGCGCTGACACACAGCGCAGCGTTTGTGCTCAGCAAAGGCGGTCAGGAGGGTGGCGTAGACCCGCGGCAGGTGCAGCAGCGTCTCGGCGATTTGCGCCACGTACGCGTCGGCGCCGGTGTACGGCAACGCGCCCGGGTGGGGCAGCCTGGCCACCGCGGCCGGCTGCGTGGTGGCCGTGTCGCCGCCAACCCATCTCAGCAGGTCCTGCGCTACCACCGCCAGCTGCTCGCTCGAGCTCTTGTGCGGCACCGGAAGTACATACTGCATCATACGCACAATCGCCGTGCAGCGCGCCGCGGGGGTGCGGAGGCGGGCGCTGTGCAGCGTCGTGAAGGTCACCGTGCCCGCCACTGTGAAGCTTGCGCTGCTGAGGATGATGGCGTGACTGGCGTCCTCGACGAGGAGGGCCTTGAGGAGGGTCAAGACACCCATCGCCTTCCACACGGCAATCGTGACGCCGGGGAAGTCGGCTTCCAGCGCCTCTGCAGACCTTTGAAACGCCGAAGCGGGAACTGCTGCTTGCTCTTCTTCGTCTTCTGCTTCGACTTCCGCTGCGGCATCGGTGGTGGTCGTCGCACGCTCCGCACATGCGAGCAGCCGCTCCAGGTAGTCGTGTGGCATGCCAGGGAAGACCTGTGCCTCGACGTGGGCGCAAATGAGATGGGACGCCTCACGCGGCTTCAAGAGCGCGTCCAGCAGCAAAAGACAGTCCTCGTCCTTCGCGGTCCTTTTGAAGTTCTCGCGCAACGCTGCCTGCGCCGCCTGCAGCTTCGCTGGCATGAGACTCACCAGGAGGGACAGGAGGCTGATCAAATGGCGGTGGCCGATGGACTGGCCAGCCTTGACGCCCTCGAGCAGGAGATGACTCGAGTAAAAGAAAGTCCGCATCGTCTCGGACAGAATCCACGCCGCTTCGTTGCCCTTCTGCAGCGCGTCTTCGGTGGTCACGAGGGGAGGGATGTCCTCCGACGGGCTGAAGCCCACCGCGCTATTCGCCAGGTTCGTCTGGAACTCCACCACCACGTCCTCCGTCCGATCCTTGCCAGCACCGCTGCCGCTCTTCTTGGGGTGCACGGTGCCGGACTGGAGCTCCTCAAAGAGGGACGTCGCGCCGCTCGGCACACCAGGGGACGCGGGCGCCATCGCACCGAGGGACAGCGACGGGACTGGCGCGAGCGTCGAGACAATCATGTTGCACAGCGGGCAGTTGAACTCCGTCGGTCCAAGGTAGAGCTGACTGCGGAAGTTCCACCGCTGCCACAACACGGAGAGGCGGACGAAAAGCTTCTCGACGCAGGTCTTGTGCGCGGCGTGGCCGCAGGTGCAGAGGTGGTTGTGCACGCCACGGTCGTCTGGCAGCGTCAGCGCCCCCAGCTGCGGGAGGACGGAGGAGGTGCTCGTGTGGCAGAGCAGGAAGAGCGGTTCCTCCGTGGCGGCGTGGCATACGCAGCAGTCCAGCGTGGCCAGCTCCAGCAGCACCTTGGTGAGGAGCGAGCCGCTGACGTTGTTAGCCGCAGCGCCTACCTTGGCAGAAGAGGAGCTGGGGCTGCCAACTGCATGCCTAGACTTCTCCGAAGTGTTCGCTGTGGTGCCGGCTGCAGAGGTGGAAGAGGCGCCTTTGTCTACCGTGGTCTTGAGAACGCGGCTGCGCATGCGCTGCATCAGCTTTGCCTGCCGCTCCTGAATCAGCTTCTTGCGGCTCCGCGCCGCTTCCTCCTTCAACCGCTGCTCGGCAGAGGCCGCCGCCGCGTCGAAGGTGGCCATCCCGGTCAGCACCAGCACCTCTTCTACCATCTCCAGGCAGCTGTAGATGTCGGCACCCTTGTCCGCGTTCAGGTGCGTACGCAGTCGATGCAGCATCTCAGCAGAGGTGACGCGGACGGTGGTGGCGTTAGACGTTGCGGAGGCCAAGCAGTGCAGCGTCACGTGGGTCTGCAGCTTATGCAGGAGGGTGCTGGGGCCGGTCAGCTCTGGCAGCGGCAGCACCTGTGCGGACGAGGAGGGCGTAAAGCTCAGCTCATTCACACGATAGCGCCGGAGGTAGAGCTCCACGAGATCCCAAGAGATGGCATCCCCTCTGTCACCACCACGCGCATTCGAGGAGTGCGCCGCTCCGGGGGTGGTCGTGTCGTCGTCGTTGTCGTTGGCCCGCTCGACGGCCTGCATGGCCCGCGTGATGGACCGGCAGTCCTGCACACACAGATAGAGGGCGGTGACGGCGTGCAAGAGGGCCTCGCGGCTAATGAAGTTGGTGTCCTCGTCATCATCGTTGTCGTCATCGTCTTCGCTGTCACTGCTGCTGCTGTAGCTGTCTACCACCGTACCCCCTCCAGACGACAGACTTTGGTGGGCGGACGCGTCGTTGCGTGGACTCTGCGTGCTCACCTCCTCTGTACACGCAAGAGGAAAACTTGGCCCTGTTGCTGTTGTTGCCGGTGGCGCGTGCGCGTTGGTGTACTCGTGCAGCACGTACAGCGCCGGCAGGAGCAGCGCATCGGTGTGCAGCAAGGAGCGTGTGGTGGGCAGCAGCTCTGCGTACATGGCATCGTCGAAGAGCTGCGTAGGGGGGAGGGCGTGACGGTCGGCGCTGCTGCTGGCGTTGCTGCCGTCTTCCCCCTCGCCAAATGGCGGCTGCGTTGCCCCTTCGTCGACGAGGGCGATGCTTCGGTAGTTGCTGTGGATTTCCTCCAGCTGCGAGTCAAAGATGGAGCTTTGATACAGGTTGACGTGCGCCTTCCACGTCGGCACATCGCGGAGGCGGAACTGCTTGCCGCGGCTGGAGTCCTGCGCGACGGCGAGCTTTTTGACCGCCGCGTCGATGACCTGCGTGAAGCGAATGACTTTGCCGTTCGTGTCTTTCTCGTCCTCCTCGGCGATGCCGAAGTCGCCTCCGCGGACGTAGTCGCTCACGACCTTCAGAATCGCCGAGTGCGAGACCTTCTTCTGGGCGAGAAAGTGCGCCACCGTGCGCTCAATGCAGTGCGACGACAGCGGAGGGTGGAAGGAGGCCTTCGTCGTGTCCACCACGAGCGTCAACATAAGCCGCAGGTAGTGCCGGTAGCCTTTCAGGTATCGGCGGAAGGCAAGATGACGCGTCCGGCTCGCTGCGCCGGCGCCCCTTTTCTTCACGGCCGCGGCGAGGGCTGCGTCCACCTTCGCCTTGGCGCTCGCGCTCTGTTTCGCGTACGAGAAGCGACGCAGAATTTGAATGGCCATGTCCGCCGGCGCCAGTTCCATGGTGAGGACCTGCAACATCAGCACATCGAACTCCGCCACGACGCTGCGACAGTACCCAATGTACATGCCCGCAGCCGCCGATACCCCGTAGCTGTCCCGTCGCCACAAGCCGTCAAAGACTTGCCCCATCAGCACCTGCGGCATCACCAGCGCGTCTAAGAGCTGCTGGAGAGTCGTAAGACGGTCTTGCACGAGGTGCGGCATGGCCGTCGCACGCAGCTTGAAGAAGCAGTCGAGAAGTGTGTGGAGGGGACGCGCAAGATGCGTTGATGATGACGACGCCGGCGACGTTGTCTGCACGGCATCGTCGCAAAGGCCGGAGAGTCGCGTCGTGGCTGCGGCGGCCGGCGCGTGTCGCTGCCGCTGCTGCTCAATGACCCACGCCGTGAGGACCGCGCCGAACATGCGTGGCAGGTGATTGGAGAAGGTGGTGGCGTGCAGGGCCGGCTGCAGTAAGTTGTACTCAAAAACGTCTATCGGGCTTTGCGAAGGCGGCAGCGCAGGTGAGGAGGGCAGCGAGGGAGACGACTCTCCTTCCCCTTCCTCTTCTTCGTTGCGCCCCTTCTCAGCTGACAAAGTCGTCGCTGTCACTGCTGCCGACGGTGTAGGACGTCCATCCCCTCGTTGCACGTTGCCCTCCTCCTTCGCAGCCGCAGACTCTGCCTCCGGCAGCATCACCGCCGTGCCTGGGCGACCATCACGCTCCAGCGCGATGGTGTGACACCGCTGGCAGAACCCGTCCCGCTGCTTCTGAAAGACGGCGTCCATCGTGCGACTGATCTCGTACAGCACTTGAACCGCGTAGCCGACGGCAGCGGCGAGAGGCGCGCTCATGGCCGTGGTGGTGCCGGCCGCCGCGTCGTGGACTCGCGCCCTGCCGTCCCTCGATGCCGCCGCCGCCTCTGCCACGTGCTGCTGAATCGCTGCCATCTGCGCCGCTGCCAGCCCGCCGTTTTGGATAATCAGCAGGGCCTCCTCCCGTCCGTTTTCAACCTTGCAGCTCCCCAGCATTTGGAGAAAGACGCGCCGCCGCCGGGAAGTGTCTGGTGGGGCATCGAAGCGCGTTGCCTCGGTCCACCGCTGCCACATCGCGTGTGGGACCTGAAGAGCGGCGGTGAAGTCGGCGGGTGCGATACCCGGCATCGAGGCCGTTGAGCCCGTGCCTTTGTTGCTGTCGTCGGCGGGCAACCGCATCAACGCCGTGAGGATCCCCCGCATGGCGTTGAACCACAGCCACATGTGTCGCGATAGAGTACGCCCATAAAAGTCCGGCGCGGGGAAGCGCGAGGAGTCGGTCGGGGCATCGGGGTCTGCGTTGATGTACCCGCTAATCGCCAGGGTACCGTGTATTTGCAGGAAGGCGCGCCAGGCCAGTCGGTTGAGGACGAGGGTGTAGCACGCGGCGGGCAGCGAGTACAGGGAGTAACCCATCACGCTGACGCCGCCATAGGATATATTCCCGTTTTGGTGCTCAATGAAGATAAGTCCGTCGGTGGCCACGGAGGAGGTGCGCAGGATGGCATTGCGTGGGCCCTGATCGAGGCACACGCTCAACGAGTAGAGGATGGAGCTGAGCACGCGGTGCACGACGGTGTTCGTGGCGTTGCGGTAAGGCATGTGCGCAGGCGTCATGAGGTGCATGAGAACATCGGGATTGGTCAGCACTTGCACCTGACACTCGCGCAGAGGGTAGTGGCCGTCATCTGCCACCTCGTGTGCGTTCATGCATTCTGCGTAGGTGGCCATGAGGGCGCCGACGGGCATGCGAAGCTTCGACACACTCAGACAGTGGGAGACACACTTGGCGAGAACGGGGCTCCACAGATCCGGCGGGGCGTCCCTGAGGGGCCTTTCGTGCGCCGTAACAGGGCGAAGAGTCTCAAACAAGAAGACAGGGTGCAGACAGCTGAAGGTGTCCGGCAACGCAGCGAGGATGGCGTCGTTCTGCTTCGCCGAGGCAGCCGCACGTGCAGCGACACGGACGCCACTCGGCGAGTTCTTCTCGTGCTGCCTGTCCGGGACCTTTTCTTCGTCGTCGTCGTCGTCTCCGTTGCCGTCAAGAGCAGCACACAGGCAGAGCGGCTCCGTCCACAGCTGTGCAACAATCTGCTTCGCCACTTCGGTGGTCGACACGAGCTCCGACAGCCGGTTCGTCACAGGCGTCAGCCAGCCAGCGAGCCAGTCGTACGCGTCTGCGATCAGCGCGACATCCGCCATCAACGCCGCCTCGGGGTCCTCCGATGCAGTCGAGGCAAGGCCACCACCCTGTGGTGCCAGTGAAGCGCTTTTCGCCTTTGTCTTCGCCCGCTTCTGCGCTGCACAAATGCGCAGGTTCTGCAGGAGCGCGAGAGCGATGTACTGCACGGTGCCGCGCAGCAGAACAACGACCCATTCTCTGTCCTCCTCAGCGAGCGTGTCCACTGGACTTGGCGCGCTTGTCGCCCCTCCGCCGTTGTCTAGTCCGGCGGCGGCGACAGGGCGGTGCTTGCTGCAGAAGGACTCCGGCTTCCACGCCGTCGGGTCACCGCAGTCACACATCCCACCGCCCGAGCCCTGGGTGATGCGGTAGCGGTGGTTCACGCATGGGGAGTGGCGGAAGCAATCCATGCACATCACACACGTCGGGTCGGCACCGCAGTCGAGGCAGCGCACGACCATGTCGCCGTCCCCGCAGAGGCGGCCGCAGACGGCAGAGACGGCCGCCGCGCCCTCCGCCGGCGTCAGGGCCGCTTGAAACGATGCCCCTCCATCTTCGGCATGTGCGACCTGGTCCAGCCACGCACTCAGCGGACTGAGCAGCTGCGCACCGCAGAGCTGCGCGACGAAGGTGAGCGACTCGAGCTGGTGCAGCCCGGCCTCGATGATCTCCTGCAGCTTCTTTGGATGCTGACGGAGGGTCCTGGCGTAGCCCGGGTAGGCGCGGTGACGTAAGATCGTGTCCGTCGTGGCGGCAAGGATGTCAGGGAGGACGGCGTCGTCCAGCACATTTTCCTTGCGGATGTGCTCCGCGAGGAGGGCGTTGGTCAGACACTCATCGACGAGGGCCACCAGCTCTGACTTCTCACACCCGCTCGGGATGCTGATGTTGTGCTCTGCGGCGTAGAGGCGGAGCTGGGCGATGCTCCAGGTCGCCGGCCGGGCCGGATCGTAGCCCATGCAGCGGGCGAGAAAGCGCTTCACGGCGAGGGAAAGCCTGCAGCTCTTGGCAAGGTAAACGAGGTGGCGCGGGACGAGGGAGGCGAGGACAAGGACCAGCACGGTGCCGGAGACCAACGTTAACAGTTCAGACCACGATAGAGCAGCGCTCTGCGCAGGACCATCAGCAATGGCGCCTGCTGCACGTTGGTGACGGGTGTCGTGGGTGGCGGTGGAGTTGGCGTAGGGGTGCACAAGCGAACGGAGATAATTGAAGATGAGGAGTGCTGAGAGGGCGGAGAAAGGGGAGAGGAAAACAACAACGAGGCCGGTAAGTGTCAGAAAAACCTTGAACAAAACTCCAAGCATTTGACAACAGGAAGAGGGGGCCACACACACACACACCCATCCACACACACACACACACACGATCAGCACCAACGCCAGAAAAATCTGATGCGGCCAAAATAAATACAAGAGTGGGCGACAATTACGCACAGCTCCACCCTAGCGAAGAAGAAGACGTAAAAGCCACTACTGTTACACGAAAGATGAGTACCGCGATTATTTTTTGCTTCTTCTTCTCGCCTCTGTGCTTGTAGGCGAATTGAGAGAGAGAGAAAGAGAGTAATATAATGAAATGAAAGAAGAAGTCTGCGCTAACTTTTCCTTTCAGAACGCAGGCTAGTGCTGCTGCGACCGAGTTTAGCAGATCGACGTTTCGTGTGTGTGTGTGTTTGTAGGAGGAGTGAAAAGAAGGAACCAATGTAGCGTATCCGCAGACGTGGAAGTGGAGGGTAAAAGCGGGAGAATGAAATGGAGCGCTTCACGGATAGACACATAGTTGAACAAAAACCAAATAACCAATCAAGACCCTGCCGCTCCACTTTCTCAGAGAGGAGAAATATAACGTGTGTGACGCTCGTCGGAAACAGTCACAACTGCGGGATTTGCTCGCCTTTGTTGACACACACACACATACATACATACATACACAGTTATATATGTGAATCCCTCCCCGTGCGACGGAATAACCCAGTGATCCACAGACTACAACTCACCTCTTCTAGTTTGCCTTTTCCCACGCCCCACGGGTGGGCAGCGTGATGATGCTGATGCTGATGATTGGTGAAAACAAAAAGGAACGTTGACTTCTTAGCTGGCAACGTAAAGCCAGACAAAAAAAAAAGTCGTTTGCAGACCCGACAGGAGTTCCACGACGCAACACAAATGCACAGAACACGAAGACAGTCGTGTGGCTGCCCCCTTGCGGCCTCTCATCTCTTTCAATTATTCTTCCTCTTAAGCCGGTGGCCGAAGAAAGAACATACAAGCATACAAGTAAGCAAGCAGGCAGGCCGTTTTGGCGAAGCACACGACAAGCTCCCCCCCTCCCCTCAAAAAAAAAAGAGAAAAGAACGAAGGAAAGAGGCGCTTGGATAGATGACCGGAGAGCTGCCCCACACGCCCAGGCGAGGTGGAGGCGAAACACGCGTGAACATCCCTTCCAACCCCCTCCCAAAAAGCAACAACAACCTCGAGAAACAAACACCAACGCTGACGCATCACAGAAAGCACAAGACACACACACACACATAGAAGAAGAAGAGACCACACAATGCGGAAAAAACAACAAGAAGAAATAAATAAATAGGATTATAGAAAAACAAAAAGAGAGCACGTTAACATAAATCGATCGTACGCAACGGCAAGAGAGAGAGGGGGAGAGAGAACGAACAGCAAAAGGCGGGAGACAAAACGATAAGGCTGAAAAGAACTTCGCATCAGCGACTTCGTGACCCTCCCCTCTGTCTCATCGGCGGCTAAACAACAACGTCCTGCAGCACATCCACACACACACACACATACTTCGAGAGCAGTGACCACGAGAAAGCATCCGACTGACTTAAAAGCATGCAAAACGCGAGGAGAGCCCACCGATAACGTAGATGAGGGGAAATGACGAAGACAGACGACATGCTGGATCGCTCCATCATGAAGACTTTGATTCTGTTTTTTTTTTTAGATTTATTTGTTCGACTTCCGCAGGTCGATCATCATCTTGTACTCATTCACGTAAGCTCGCTTCGCATCGAGCAGACTCATGCCCTTCAGCTTCGACCACGCGTCCCACTTCGCCCGTCCAGCGTAGTCAAAGAAACCGGGCCGGCTAACGTCCACGTCGCCCTTCGTTGCCTGCTTGTAGAGCCCGTAAAACTTCAGCTGCACCTCTTGACTCTCCTTGGCCGCCATGTCGCCAAACGCACGCGTGGCGGAGGTAAAGTCCTGATCGATGGAGGACATCGGGAGGGCCTTGTCCACCTGGGCAGGGGTGGCCGAGCCCGACGCGCCGCCGTCCGCGTCGTTCACGCCGTTCGGGTAGAGGGCACGGTGCAGCGCCGGCAGCGGGGCGTTGCCCGTCTCGAGTCGGCTGATCAGTGCGCGACACATCCGGCGAACCGTCTCGACGACTTCGTTCGTGTCATCGCCGAGGACGTCGTCTGCAGTGGTGGTCATCACGTCGTGGATCGACGGTGCGGCGGGGGGCTGCGGACGTGGCTTGTTCTTCTTCTCCTTGCTAAAGGGGCCGTCCGTACTGCTGTTGTTGCTCTGCTGCTGCTGCTCCCCCCTCGAGACCTGCGAGGAAGTGCTGCTGAAGCTGGGGCTGCGTCGGTGGTCCGGGCGGTCACGCAGGCCCGTGAAGAAGTTCGTCCACATGAGCAGCCAGTTCTGCAGGGCGGCCTGGGCCTCCTCTTTCGTAGAGCCGGAGACCCAGAGGGAGGTGGGGGCGGCGCCGGCTGGCCCGTCCTCCGGCTCCTGCGTCCACGCCTCCTCGGCCGCCTCCAGCACCTGCTCCACCACCGCGTAGTACAGCAGCTCCACCCGCGTACGAAATTTGTGCGGCAGACGACTCGCACGCATCGATGTCCCATCCGCCGGAGAAGTACCGCCGCCGTCGTCGCCGCGGTTGCTGCCGGCGTCCAGCCACAGCTCTGAGAAGCGCTCCGTGTGTGTGAGCGCTTTGCCCATCACGTAGGAGCGCAGCGGCGAGGACCGACCCGGGACGTCCGCCAACAGCGTCTCCACCTTGTGGCGCAGCACCCGCACCGTCGCCGCATCGCGCACCGCGGCCGCCACCATCACACCAGACACGAGCACCGACAAAAAAGGCCCGCTGAAGCCGCTCGAGGCAGCAAAGTTGAAGTATCCACCCTCCTCCACAAAGTCTATAAAGTCCTCCAGCGTGCAGTCCCGCGACAGCAGCTTCGCGATGGTGACGAGGTGTCCAGACCAGATCATCGAGCTCAGCTTCTGCGCCGCCACTCGCGATTCCACCAGCTGCCGGACCGTCGCCATCATCACGCGGTTCTCTGTCGAGATGGAGACGGCGCGACGGCGGCGGCCGCTGCCGCTGCTCTCCTCCACCGACTCGCGGCACCCGATCCACAGAGCCGTAAACGCGAGCTGATGTACCTGCTGCGGCCGGCAGCTCCACCAGAATGAGGTGGGGGTCGGTGGGTGGCACAGGTGGTGGCCGATGCTGCCGCCCCGCGGGGTGCCGGTGACGCTGTGGCTGCTGCGGACTTGGGCGAGGGGGCGGTGGGCAGCGGTGGAATTGGTGCTGATGCAGCTCGCGGCGAGGAGGGAGCCCGGGGCGGCGCTGAAGCTCGACAGGTGCGGCGAGGGATCGCGGCTGGCGGAGGCGGCGACGTGCAACTTCGGGGTGGTGGGCATCCCCCCTGCAGTGCTGTTGCCGCTGCCGCCGTTATGGCGGTCGGTAAGGAGGGCCTGACCGCGCAGGACCGGGGCGAGGGCCCCCTCAAACACGTCCAGTACCTTTGAGAGGAGCGTCAGGTCGCCGTGGTGGCAGAGGTCGAAGAGTAGGTTGTTGTCGACGAGCAGCGGTGGGTGCTGCGGCAGCCCACTCAGACTCACGCAGAAGTCACGCAGGAGGTCGACGGCGGGCTCCGCGACATCCGCAGGGAAAGGAAGTGGTGTCTTCTTGCTCCTTGGAAGCGCCCCTTGCCACCGCCGCTCGATCTCCAGCACCACACTCTGCAGAAGCGGACGCAGCGCCGTCAGCACGTTCATCAAACAGTACTCCTCCCCGCGTTCCTCGAATAAGGAGTTCTCCTCTTTTAAGAGTTCCTCGTTGTACTCCATTACGCTCTGCACGAGCAGGTCCTCGGCGGGTCCCAGCAGCACCGGCGGCGCAGCGGAGTTGACGTTGGCGTCGTTATTGTTGATGCCGTTGACGGGCGTGGGGACGGAGGAGGCACTGTTGTCACCGGCGGACCGCACCGGGCTCGGCGCCCGACTCTTGCGCACCGCCGCCGAGGAGGAGTAGCGAATGCGGCCGTCGAAGTGGCCAAGAAGGACAACCGCTCCTCCCAACTCCCGACGGACCTGACACTCCAGAATTGGGTCACCTAAAGTGAAGCCGGTGAGGGCTGTTGGTGCTGCCGCTGCTGCTGCTGATGCTGCCTCACCGACGCTGCCGCGCACGTTGTCTGCCTCCGCCTCCCCGACATCCAGCCCAATTCTGAGCTGCACCGGCGAGTCCTCCGACGTCGCAGTGCCCTCCATCTCCTTTTCGGTACGCACCTTACTCGGTGTGTTGGCGAAGCAGGTCATGGCGTCCACGGCGTGCTCTACGTGGAATTGCAGGAGAGTCTGCACGGCTGACTTGTTGCCTGTCATGAGCGCCACGTGCAGCGGCAGCCAAAGATCCACGGCGCAGTCCGCAGCACCCGGCACCGCCAGTGGATCGTCGAGAAGACTAATTTCTACAAAGAGAGAGCGGTAGGCTAGCTCGGCGGCGCGGTGGACGCACGCGTTTTGCAGCTGCTTGTGCATCTCCTGCAGACGCGCGTTCAGGTACACGGTGCCATCCACCGGCGTCATCTCCGCGTCGTCGACAACGCGGAAGGTGAGGGGACTTCCTTCGAAAATGGAGGTGGTCCAGTAGCACTTGGCCGCCACATCGGGCGTGCGCAGCTGAGTGAACTCAGCCTGGGGCGCCTGAACGTCGACGTGAACGGCTGCCATATCGCCCTTTGTGAATGTCTTCTTCCTTTTCCCTTTTCGGTTGGTGTGTGTTGTGTCGTTGCGTCCCGTTGCGTTGCGGAAGCTGCGCTTTAATACCAGGAACCCCACCACAACAGGCAGAAGGAGTATGTCTGCGTCCAAGCTCTCCCGCTTTCGTATAAAGCGACAACCACCACCACCAAAGGAAAAGTCCGCAGAGAAGTGCCGTTGCAAACTGCAGAATGTATATGTATATGTATGTGTGTAATGCAAAGGAATAGATATGGAGGTATGCTTTTTGTGGTTTTTACTTTGATGGTTCCCAACAACATGCGAACTTCGTTGCCGCCAAAAGACGCCGAGCGCAGGGAGACAAAGGGAGTGGTTTTCCAACGCAATTATTAATTATATATATATATATATATATATATCTGCTCTGTTGAAGCGTGAGAGCTACGTCGTTTGCTGCGAATCACACAAGCAAAAACTCTACGCCCGTGGGCACACGCACACAGGTGTGTAGATCCATAGTAGAGGAGAAAGGCGCAAGAGGAAAAGGAAAGGGAGTTGGGAGTCGAGCGCATTCATGCAGGGGGTGGGCATTGCATGGAAAACACATCCCTTTTCGCTGCAGCTCTCAAAAAGCCACTGTGACCCAAAAAAGGTCGATGCGTGAGGTACAGCACGAACCCCATCCCTCCCTTCTCAGAAGACGAGGGGAGCGGCTGGGACTGACGATCCAACGTACGATGAGGCGCGGTACGTCGCTGGCATCATCAAAGAAACAAACACACACACACACACACGAGAATAGTGACGTGAACGGATGGTAGTTGAATTAAAAGCCATGGTAATCATACATTCACCTCTCTCTGAAGAGATGCAAGAGCGCAACGTACATGACAGCAAACAGCAAAGATCAACGTATCGTTCACATCACAACCGCCAGACAACGTGTGCACTTGGGCACAATCCATAAAAAGACAGAAGGGGAAAAACATATATATATATGTATATACAAAGGGAAAGGGAAAGGAAATAGCTGTGTAGAAGGAAAACAGAAGATACTCCCCAACAACAAAAAGTACAGGTATAAATGGTAGTGTGTTGTCTTACATGCTACATCAACACGCTGTTTGGCGACGAGCGCTGCTGCTGCTGCTGCTGCTGCTCGGCCACGTACTGCGCCACACGCTGCATCCACTCATGCAACCCGGCGTTATAGAAACACAGGGAGGTGTGGCCGCTGCTGCTGCCGTTGTACCCCGCATCCGCGTCGTCGCCCCCCTCGTCACCGTCCACCGTCTCCGCCGAGACTCCACCGAGCCAGTCGCACAGAAAGTCCACCATGGTCGGCGTCAAGGGACAGCGTGGCATCAGCCGTCGCACATCGAGCTCCACGCGGGCCTCGTCCACCACCGCAACGGCAGTGCCGAATCCCACAGCAGCCGACACGACCGCCTCTAGCAGCTCTCGCAGCAGACTCGCCTTGGCCTCCTCCAGCTCCTCGGCATGCTGCTGACGCTGCCGCTCCCGCTCAGCCATCTGGCGGGCACGCACCGCGGCTGCCAAATCATCGTGCGTCGCCGTGTTCTCGTTGACTGCGCCGCCTGCGAGGGCGAGAAGAGACGAGTCCGTCGTGTTGTTTCCTGAGGAGTTGGCGTTGGCGGCTCCGACGCGCTGCGCTGATTTGCGCATGATGGAGGACGAGTTGTTGCTGGTGGACGCGCTGATGGCGCCGGCGGATGCGTTCGACACACTCATTGCCAAGGAACCACCACTTCCCGCAGTAGCGGGCAAGGTAGAAGCAAAGAACGCGGAGGAACCACCACCACCACTCGAGCCAAGACCCACGCCACCGCCGCTAGCAGCATTGCTGTTCGAGCTCATCGCCCCGCCTGCGGTGGCGAGGTGCGTACGCAGGGTCTGCTGCGCCTTCGACACCGCAGCGGCGAGTGCAGATCGGGTCGCGTTCTCCCCTCGGCCCCCGTCCGCTTCCGCCTTGGCAGCTTCAAGGACGGCGTCAGCCTGATCCGCTGTCTCAGCGGTGGCGTCCTCTTCGCCTGCCCGGTGCAAACAACGCAGGACGGCGCGTAGGTGACGCCGCAGCGTCTGCACGGTGCTGTCCGACATCTCCAGCGAGACGGAGCGCCAGCGGAACGTCACGGGGACTTGCGCAGCGGCCTCTACAAGTCCTGGAGAGCACGTTTTAGTGCTCTCATGCGTGGTGTGGTGTGTGGCGGCGTGCGAAGGAGACGACGCACCGCCGGTAGCGGCGTTGCCGCCGCGTGTCGTCTTGCCAGCCGCGTGTGTGCGAATGCCGGGCGCAGGGGACGTCGGCTTCACCGGCGCCGTCGTCGTCGTCGTCGCTGCGTTCTCCTCCACCCGCGTCTGCGCGCCGGACAGTCCTTCGCGCTGAATCTGGTCGAGGAACGCCCAATTGGTCGAAGGAACGAGGCAGGCAGCGCGGGGGGAGGTCGAGGTCTGCGCTGGCGGCCACACCGTTCCGCTAACTCCTGCGTGGCTCATGACGGTATCTTGATCGCTGCTGCGGTGCGCAGGGGCGACGGTGGTAGAGGCGGCAGCCACGGTGCTGTTCACTGCACCAAAAAGGCGAGTAGTGTTACGCCCACGGGAGAAGGCCACGGATGACCCACCACCGCCACCTGCAGACGCGCCCAGTGCTGCCGCTGCACCTCCTGTAGAGGCCATGGACGCACCCTGAGCACTCGCCACCCCTGCCCCGCCATCTGAGCCGGCACTCCCACCAACACCACCACCGCTCGCAGTGAAATTTGCCGCCGCGACGAGGTGGGCCGGCGGCAGCAGCAGCACCGCGTCGGTGGAGAGAGCTGCCTGGGCGGAGGAGGAGGAGGTCGAGGTCAGTACGGGGGCCTCCGTGATGCCAGCGTCGTGCAGCGGAGAGACGGACAGGAAGAGCTGCCACGTGGCCGTCGTGGACTCCCCTGCTCTCCCTCCCGCCGCATCACCACCTGCAGCAGCGGCGGTCGAGAACGTTTGACCAGACTTTTTGCCGTACACGAAGGACGGGGGCGAGTGCCCGGGCACCTCGACGGCGGCCGCCGCCACGGAGTTGTAGAGCGGCGCCCCGAGGGTATCCGGACCCACCGCGGAGAACAGGTCCACCGGGAGGGCCGACAGCAACACGGGCGGCACCAGCGCCTTCCAGACATCCGCCTCCGTGAAATTCAAGGCGGTGATGCCGCCGGCATTGGACGCTCCACCTTGTGCGCTTCCCCCCGCCCCGCCAAGCCGCCTCAGCACCGTACTGCTCGACTTGCGCTGCGCACTACCGGTGCCCTTCGGATGCGGCTGTTGCAGCTGCTGCTGATGGATCAGCACCGCCCCGACCGCCTCCAGCAGCTGCTGTCGAGTATCATCGCGGTAGCAGAGGTAGGTGCAGTTAATGGGCGGGGAAAGGGATTGTAGGTGAGACGTGAGGAGCTGCACGGCGGTGTCGTGCTCGAGGGCGGTGGCGACTGGCGTGAGCGCCAGGACAGCGGCGGCCTCGTCGGAGAGCGTGGTGAAGGTCAGGGCTAACGCCGGCACGCTGAGAAGGGAGGCGAGAGGGGATGCGGCGGCAGCGGCCGCTGTCGCCACTCCTGCTGCGGAGGACGACGACTGCAATGATGCTGCTGCGCCGCCGCCGCCACGTTTGACGCCACTGCCAACATTGGCAGCTCCTTGGTCGCGATTGCCGCCGGAACCGCTACGACCGCTGCTGCTGTTCCCTGCGTTTGCTGCCGCGCCTGTCGCCGTGACGGATCCAGAGGCGCCGGCTGCTGCTGTGGCGGACGCGCCGAAGAACTGCTGCTGGACTTCGGGCAGGGCGTAAAAAGGATGCGAAATGACTTCTGCCGCGAGGGAGGGGGAAGGGGAGGTGCCGCCGCCGCCGCCGCCGTGCGCGTTCATCCGTGCCGATGCACTCTGGAGCTGTCCGACGTTGTCGTGGGTCTGCTGCACCGCCGCGCACAACGACTCCGGCCACTGTGCCTGCAGGAGAAGCGCGATGGTGTCGCCGGCCTCGGAGGAGGCCAGCCGGGGATCTGTCAGGTAGCCGCGGAAGCTGTCCGCCCCTGTGCGGACACGACGCTCCATATCCGTGACCAGCCCCGCGAGAATCGTGCAGGCGGCCACCACCGCCTCAAACTGCGGTAGAAGCGCCTCTTCCGTCGCTGCTGCTGTTGCTGCTGCCGGCGCGGTACGTTTCGTGTCTCTGCGCCGGCGAGTGCGAACATCACGGATGTGAGCGGAGAGGACGGCGGCAAGATCAAGCAGCACGACGCGCAGCATCGTATGTCGCTGGACGGGGAACTGTAGAAGGAGCTGCAGGGTACGGAGGAGCTCCTCGCAGACGTCGTGCACCGGCGCCGGCAGCGCGTTGAGGGCGGCGTCGCGTGAGGACAAGACAGGAACGGCTCGGGAAGGCTCCGCGGCCACACCGGCGGTGGTGATGGAGGGCGCTCCATCGTCGAGTGCGAACTCCACCGTTGCGGAGTTATTCGTGTTGTCGTCGTCATCGTTGCTGCGCCGCTGTCGCGCGTTCAACGCGTCACACACCGCCCTCGCCCTGAGACGGGTGAGCAGCAGCTGCGATTCAAGCCATTGACCCGGGTGCGCCTGCGTGGTGTACTGCGCACCCACCGCCTCCAGCGCTTCTCTCAACAGCACGATGGCGCTGGGAGTCGACGCGACAACGGTCGCGGAAGGGGCGTCGGTAGAAGGGGGCGCCGATAACAGTGCGCGGTTGCGTACGCTGCCGCCGGCACTCATCGAGACCTTCCCCCCTGGCGGCTGCGGAGAGGGTGACGACGGCGGCATCTGCCACTGCAGCTCGGAGGCGTAGTGGTTCATGGCGTGGTGCAGTTGCCACACATCACGCGTCTTGGCACATCCTGACAAGGGACAGAGCGGCACCACTGTATGCGCATTGGGGGATTCCAGCACAACCACAGGCCGCGAGGGCGACAGCGGGTGCCACGGCAGCACCCCGCGTTCCGCCACGGCCACCTTAAACAGCTGTGTGACAAGACGCCGGGCGCTGACGGCCGAGGACCGCGGCGACGTCCCGGCGTTCGCCTGCTCTGTCTGCCACCACAGCAGCGCCACGGCAGCGCTGCCATCGTCCAGGGTGCCATCCGTCTCCTTCTCGGGTGTGAGTGTCAGGAAAGGTGCGGCAGCGCGCTGCAAGTCTGCTGCCACCACCGCGGCTTCCTTCAGCTGGCCCATCTGAGTGAGAGCGTAGAGGCGGTAGAGTTGGAAGGCACGTCTCTGCGCACCCGTCTCACCAAAGGCGTCGCACAGCCGCAGTCCTTGTGCGCCAGCGGCGTTCTCCAGCTGCGCGTACCGGCGGAGAAGGCAGTAGCAGCGGCACATGAGTTGCCACACGCGCATCCAATGGACGTAGGTGCAGTTGAACGGCAGAGAGGTGCCGCTTTTGCTGCCACCACCACCACCACCGCGACTACCTTGAAGGCCATAGCCGCGTAGGGACTGGATCATTGCTGTGGGTGTGGGCTGTGGGGATGGTGAAATGCTGCGCTGCCTCGCTTCTCCTGCGACCGACGGCGCCACTGCAGCTTGCTCGTCGTTGTAGTCGGCGATGGCGGATGTCAGCAGCTGCAGGCAGGCGTTGTACTGACCTTGCGCGGCGAGGACCTCACCTGTGAGCAGGACGGCCCATTGAGAGATGGCGGCCAGGGTGTCGAGCCACGCCACACTTTGTGCTGATGGCGCTGCACTGCCGCGCTCCGCTTCCCCGGCAAAACTCTGCATCACCGCAGAAGCTGCTGCTGCTGCTCTTGCTGGGTCGGACCCGGTGTAGCCCGCATCCCCACCGCTTACGTTAGCGGCGCGAGTACGCGCATTCGTCTCCGCCGACACACGCGTTGCCCGACTGGATGTTGTGTTGTCCGTCTCCTCCCCCGCACCGAGAGCGGCGCTCCCGACGGCGGCTGACGGCTGACCTACCAGCGCGTATCGCACATCGACGCTGCGCAGGGAGTTCAGGAGGACAAGGGCGAAGCGGCACGCCTCGCTGCACGCGCTCGTCGGACGCTCCCCGGTCGCCAAAAGAGGGAACGCCGCGGAGGAAAACGCCAAGGACGCCAAACTACTACCACTGCCGGCAGATGACGGAGGCGCGGGCGAAGAGCCGCGACGGTGACCGCCAGATGCAGTTCCAGGAGCCGCAGCCGTCGTGGAGATCGGCGCGGCAGCGACAAACTCGGCGCAGGCGGACCTTCCACCCCCTCCTCCCGCAACACCGCCTTCCGAGCCTGTCGCGGTTCTCGAAAGCGAGGACAGGGAGGGCGGAGAGCGGAAGAGGTAGGTGAGATCGCCTGTGCCGAGCCGGACAAGCACTTCAGCGACAGTCAAGCAAAGCCGCCGGAGCAGGCACACGCCGTACCGACTCTCCAGTGCCGGAGAAGCCAGCAACCCACCCACCAGCGGCAACGCGAACGACGTTGTGGCCGCGGCGGCCATTGTTCGGCTCGTAGGGCTGCTGAGGGAAAGAACAGAGTCGACGGCAAGACCTGGCAGGCAGGCCAGAACAAAGGCGCGAACCGCGGCGATGTTGTGCGGCGAGGACGGACTGTCGTCGTCGCGGTAAAAGAAGAAAAGAGATGCAACCGAGGCGGGGAGGACGGTGGCCGCAGCGGAAAGGGAGAGCGCACCACCACCTCCGTCTTTACTCCCACTTGCCAATGCGGCTGCGGCGGAGCCGGCAAAGGACCCTCCGCTGACAGACCCACTACCGCCCGTCAACGCTCCCGTCCCTGCCGCGGGCTTCTTCGCGGGGGTTGGGGAGATGGAGGGGGCCGGCGCGCCTGCGGCTCGCGAGGTGGCCGCAGCCGCCACGGCAGCCGCGATAGAATAGTAGCCGGGCAGACTGTCCATGCCCAATACACCCCGCACCGGCTGCGGCAGCCCAGCGCCGACGCAGACCGAGTGGATGTGCCGCATGGCGACGGAGAAGCTGCCGAGGTCGGCGGCGGCGGTGGCCCGGACAAGGCGAGCCGCCACCGTCAGCTCCACCTGCTGCAGATGCACCGTCGCCATGAAATCGCTGAAGGCGCCGAGGACGGCGGCCTCGCTGCTGCAGTGCGACTGCACGAGGAGCTGAGCGGCGTTGGTGAGAGCATGCACAATGTGGGCTAGCGTGTCAGGCATCTGTGTGGCGTCGCGCTGCGACTGCGAGCTGCGGATCGCCTTCCCTTCCCTGTACATGGGACTCGTCGCGCTGAGGGCCGCGACGTCCAGTTGGTTGTACTCGGAGTAGGGAAGGCCTGCGTCGTGCCAGCGCGGCAGTCGTGACGCGTCCTTCACGTCGCTGCTGCTGCCGCCAGCACTGCCTTCCATCACTGCGGGCAGGCGCCAGTACTGATGGACCAGCAGCGCACAGAGGAGCTGCGCCGCCATCGCGCGCGAGGCGTCGGTTGCGTAGGCGTGCTCTGCGAGGGACGTGAGTGCCGCCACCATCCACACCAACTCCTCCACACCGCGATGACTCGTAGAAGCGGACGAGGATGAGGACGACGACGAGGCGATCAACGGCGGAGGTACGATACGCTGCGTGTGCCAGTCATCAAAAACGTGCGGCGTGGAGAGCAGACAGTCCAGAGCGTCCATCCAATTCCGCTCTGCCTCCTTCAAACGACCCGCCGCGCAGTAGAGACAGCCCTGCTCATAGAGGCACTCCCCGAGGAGGTGCAGACGGCCTGCCGCGCGCAGCGCCTGCGCGGCTCGCTGGTACGCCTCCATCGCCGCCTTCCACGACACCGCGCCAGATGTAGAGGTGCTGCTCTGTGTCGATGGCCCAGCACGATTCACCGCTGCGTTGGGCAGGACAGGCGATGTGGACCACTGCCGCCGCACCGAGCGCGCGCTGCGAAGAAGCCACACCCCGTCCGAGACACTCCGCAGCCCCTTCTCGTAGGCCAGCACGGTGGCGCCGCGCACCTCGGGCTCGCAGCCTTCGTCGTTCTCCTCCAGCTGCATCAGACGCGGGAGCAGTTCCGTTGCGTAGCGGCCGTTCGTGAGCTGCTGTGCGGTGCGGTACGCCGCCGCAGACGTCGCTGGGCTCGCCTGCTCCAGCGCGTGTGCCAGCGCAATTAGCTGATGAACCAGGTCGGCTTCCGTCATATCCCGTCCGTAGGCCGCGGCGTCCACAGACGTTAGAGAGGAGGAAGACGAGGTGCCTTCGCTGCCTTTCCCTTTCCTTGTGGTGGTGTCGGCCTCGATGGCGGGTGGACGCGTCGATGCGTTACTGCCGCCGTGTGCCCCTGTCGAACCGCCGCCCATACCCTCAAAGGGTGAGTACGGGAGCGTGTCCACGGCACCCGTGTGCGCTGCCTCGCGGGTCGGATGCGCTGCGGTGCTCACCGGGTTCTTACCGGCCCACGTTTGCCGCGCCGAGTTCACAAGACGCCCTGTCCGCTTTCCCTTCTCCGACACACGCGCTAATAGTTCAGCGGCAGAGGCCAGCAGTGCCTTCAGCGACGTCGACTGCTCCGGGAGGGGCAGCAACAGCTGCTGTGCGACTTGCAGAATGCGCACCCGCTCCTGCAACTCATCGCGGGTCGCCTCCGCGCGCGTCTCCGCCTCCGCCTCCACGCACCAGCACAGCTGCAGCAGATGAAACCGCCGCTGCTGCCTCGCCTGCACACCTGCGCGGCGCGCCATTTTTTGCTCGCCTCTCTTCCCCGCCACGGAGGTCAGCGTGAAGAGGGAGGGGGCGGTGCACAGTAAGTCGTTTCGACGCGACCACGACACCGCCGCACCCACCTTGATGACCGGCGGCTGCAGGACACAGTTGTGCACGTCGCGACGGGCGTCGCAGTAGCCCTGCTGCACCGCCGCAATGGCGAAGAGAGGGGTGACGAGCAGCTGGGACACGAGCGCAGCCAAGGCTGGCGAGGACGGTGCGAGGGGCAGCGGGGCCTCCTGAAGGTGGCTCACCGCCAGCTGCACAGCGGCAGAGGCGCGTGCAGGCAGCCACAGGTGCTGAAAGAGGTTGCTCGCACACACGCAGTGACGCAGCAGATCCTCCGTGACCTGCGTCGGGCTCTCCGTGTCCGCGTCGTCGCAGCTGCTAGTTGGTGGCGGGGCGACGCTGGACTTCTTCGTGTCTCGCGGTGATAGACGAAGGGACGAGGGGGAAGTCCCGGCTCCACCTGCTGCTGCTGCTGCTGCGTGTGCTGTCGGTGCATCGCCGCCTGCGCCATCCGTACGCGCGAGAAGCTCCTGCAGGATGCGCTTCTGCTTTGCGGCGTCATGCTGCGCCGTCGCACCCATGTGCAGCAAGGCGGCTTCTATAAGGTGCAACTGCGCCACGTACGGGGTGTTGAACTGCACGTAGCGTTGCCGCAGCGTCCGCCCTGCACGACTGCGGCGCCATCGCGCTACCCCGCACGTCAGCTGCTTCAACTTCTGCTCCTCGACAAAGGAAAAGTCGCGCGTGACTTCGGTGTAAGGCAGCCCAGTAGACGGCGCCGCCTCCCCAGTGCGGTTGGCCTCGTCATCGTCTGTGTCGTCGTCGTCGTTGCCGCGGACGTCCGCTTTTTTCGACCTACCGCCTGCCCTTTTTTTGTTTCCTTTGCGGTTCGTTTTCTTCCGCGACGTCGACGCTGCGGCTGCCTTGGCGCTTCCAGCGTCTGCCGCGGTCGGTGAAGCCGCGGTGGCGGCGGAAGGCGAGGCCGGTGGCGAGGGGCCGCTGCCCTGAGTTCCCTGCTGAGGACCTTTTTGCTCGTGCTGCTGCTGCTGCTGCTGCTGCACCTGCCCGGCGAGGTTGAAGCCGCCACGCGTCAGCCACGCCTCCGTTTCCGCGTCGACACTTGCAAGGAAGGCGCGGATGGCGCAGTGGTGCTCGTGGACCTGCGCCCGCACGCTGCGGATGACGTGTCGCACGTCCATCGTGACAGCTGCGGCGGACACGCACGCACTCATCTTTCCGCTGACGGCGCCACCAACACCACCGCTGATGCTGTTGCTGCCTTCTGCGCCGCCTGCAGCTGCACCGCCACCCGCTGAGGGATTCTTCTTGCGACTGTTGCTGCCGCTGCTGCCGCTCGCACTACTACCTCCACCACCCCCACCGCCGCCACCGGCAGCGGCAGCGTTGCTGAGGGCTGCGCCACCCATGGAGATACTCTGCGTGTCATCATTGCAGAGCGCGAGCATTTCCCGTACCACGTGCACCGCCAGCTTCGCGTAATTGGGGTCCTCATTGTACTTGTTGAGGGTTTCCATCAACCCATGACACGCGGAGGATACTGCAGGGGTATTGACAGAGCTGTTTCCCGAGCGCGCGTTGCCGCCGCCACGTGCCCCTGACGCCGTCGCCGCTGCTGCCGCTGCTGCTGCGCTGGATGTGTTGTGCCCCCCCTGCTGCTGAGCACCGCCGCCGCTTGCCGCGCTGTTGCTGTTGCGCATCGCGACACCGTACTGCTGCAGGGCCGCCACGATCTCAATGTAAATGGGCCGCAGACCGCATAGCTGCCCGCCTGTCGTGGGGGTCCCCGTTGCTGATCCCCGTCGTTCCCCTGCCGCAGGTTCGTTCCCGGAGTTCGCAAAGTGCTGCAACTCTCGAAGCGCCTGTGCAGCCTGCAGTGCGGCGTGACACACGAAATCGTACTGCGTCTGCATGCGCGACACGCCGTCGTGCTCGGAGGCGGCTGTGGGGGACGCAGACCGGTTCAGTGCGGCCGACACCGCCGGGACCGCGACGGTGCCGGGCGGTGCCAGAATGTAGGTCCACAACGACGGGAGATGGAAGAGGATGTCCTCCAGCAGCTCCATGAACTCACACGGCATGTGGGCATGCAGAAAGACAGTAGAAAAAAACGCTGCCCCGCCGCGTGCGTTGGTGTTGTTTGGGCTGCCGGGGCCGCCCGTCCTGGGTCGTTGGGGAGAGGCGCGATGCCGCTCCACGGACTCGCCCTCGCTGACACCGCCCGCGACAGGAACGGGCGTGCCGCCGCCAACGCCGGGTCGCTCCTCGTCGTGGTGAGGATAGCTGCCATCGTCCTCCCCCGGCAAGTAAGCCACTCCGGCAAAATACAGCGGGTTCGCGTTGGGGTCTACCGTCGCAGGCGTCAAGGGGCTGACCGTGTCGGACAACAAAGCCCCGTCTGTGCCGGTGGTGTGATTGCTGTTGTCGCGCTTACGACGAGGGCTGCGCCCGGGCCGACTAGACGCCGGGCTGTTTCCACCGTTGCCGCGCTCGCCGCTGTCGTCGTCCTGCACGGCTGCGGCGCACAGCAGCGTGTGTCGCCGGTGATGATCAAAGACGCGTCGGGCCCACAGGGTGACCGCAGCGCTGGTGTGCAAGAAGCGTCGCTGCCGCGAGTTGGGGTTGCGGAAGACGCCGTTCCACACATGCGCAAAGGTGGTCCAGAGCAGCTGCAGGAAGGCGTCCATCATGACGGCAGCAGCCGCGGCCGCCGCTACGGCAGCGGCGCTGGCGCTGGCGCTGGCGGTTGCGGTCGCGTTCGCCGTGCCGACAGTCAACGGACTTGGCGATGCGGTCAGCAGAGCCATTTGCTGTTGCTTGAAGAGGACCACGACGCGGAGCGCGAAGAGTTGGACGTCGCCGTCGGCCCACTGCGGGGAAGACGCGGGCAGATGCAGCAGGACGTTGCACAGTTCGACCAACAAGGGTAGAAGGAGGGCGGCGGCAGGGGAGCCATCGCGCGACGCCGCGGTGTCCGCGCTGCGAGTTAGATACTCCGTGATGGCGGACAGCAGCTGCTGCGCGGAGCTCAACGTGAGCTTCGAGGAAGGACCGTGGCGCTGCACGCTGTCGGTGTTGCCCAGGCCAACGCCAGCAGTGTCGTTCTTCTTCGTTTTGTTCGCAGCGTGGTGGGCGGCGCGAAGAGCTGTGGCGGCCGCCGCGGACGGCTCCGGCAGCTGCTGGATCTGCAGCGCCAACAGCAGTCGATACGCACTCTGCAAGCTACCTAACGCGGACGTGGAGGAGGAGGAGGCGGCGGCAGCAGAGGACGAGGCGGGGGTGGAGCGGGAAGCGAGGGCACTTAAGGCACGGCAGAACGCCATCCGCGTGGTGAGGCTGCAGTCCTCGAGAACCGCCCATTGAGGCCGCAGCAACAGCTTCTGCACAAAAGGCGCCGTCGTCAACACCGCGTCTGCCGTATCGGCGTTGCTGACCTCTGGTGACTCCGTCAGCAAATAACGGTCCAGCACGCCACGCACCAGGGCAGTCTGCTCGGCGGTGCCGCATCGACTACAAGCCTCTGCCAGATAGCACCACAACAGAATAGGTGTGTAAATGACAAACGCTTCTTGCGTGCATCGAGGAGCCTGTTGCTGCTGCTGCTGCTGTGCGGTCGTGTTTCTACCTGTGCTGCTGCTGCCGCCGCCGCTGCCCGGTCGGTGCGTCGCCTCAGTTCCGGTGATCATCTCGACGTCTGTCAAGGCGCGAACAGCCTCGTCAACGAGTTTCTGCTGAGCGGAGGGGTCAGCGGTGTTCAGCGGTACAAGCGCGGCACACACCAGCGCTTCCAAAAGCTGAGCGGAGGTGGCCAACGCTGTCCCGGCCGCAGTGTGCTGCTGATCCTTCACCCATCGCTTCAGACGCACTTCCTCGTCCTTCGCGGTGGTGGGAAGCAGCGGCGCGTCTTGCTCTAGTGTCCGCAGGATGCGCAGCTCCTTCGCTGTTGGCCGGCCGTAGATCTGCTGCTGATCGTGTCGTTGCTGCAGCGTTTCGAGGTCAACGTGGCGAGCCGTGTAGTCGGCGTGGTGGGCGTGCAGGCGGGAAAGGTGCCACCGCACCGTCACCCACACGTGCGTCAACTCCGTCAGCCCGTCTCGCGCCGCGACGAGCGCACGACACGTACTGGCCGTCGTCGCTTGCCGCTGCTGCGCCGCCGCCGCCGTGCTCGACGAGGGGTTCTTCGATGGGTACGTGTGGCCGTGATAGCCACGCAGGTAGCTGCTACTGCCGTATGGGGAAGCCACGGTAACAAGAGCCGAGGCGTGCCGCAGCAGCGACTCCACGTGCGCCTGCAAATGAGACCGGGTGAGCTCGAGCAGTCGACGCACCGTGGCGCCGTGGGCGAGGAGGCGGCTGAGCTGCACCGGGGCCATTCGAGGCCCCCCCGTCATCGTCGTCGCCATCGTACCACCGCGCTCCGCTGTGGCGCTGGGAAGGAGCTGCAGAAAGCCGTTGCTGGCGCGACGGGTCACCGCCGCGACGCCGCGCTCGTCCAGCTGCGGGGCACCGCTGCTGCTGCTGTGCCACAGGAAGGACAAGACACACCACACAATCGTGGCGTAGTGCGACTCCTCTCGCGCTTCCAGCTCTTCCTGTGCGCGAAATGGGTCTCGCGATGCTACTACTGCTGCCGCTGCTGTTTCCGCCGACGTGTCTTCTGCGCCGGTGGCGGCGACCTCGTTGTGCCCAACTTGTTGTAGCAGGCGGCGGGACCGCTGCTGCTGCCACTGCGCGCGCAGGGCTTCTCCGCACCGGAGAAAGAAGCTGCCCGCGTCGGTGGCGATGGGCTGTAACAGCAGTGCCGCGCAGGAGGGCGAGGGTGGCGCAAAGCTATTGTTGTTGCTGACGGTGTGGTTGCTACTCGGGCTCTCATCGACCGCAGGGCAGAGCGCAGCCGCCACCTTTTCCACCAACACCGCCGCAACCTTGAAGAGGCTCATCGAGGAAGGCAGGGGAGACCACACCTCATCTGTGTAGCTCAGCGCCTCGTTCATGTCGTCCTCTTCGAAGTACTCACGCAGGGCGACCGCCTCGTGCCCGTCGCCATCGCGCAAGATGCGGCGTTGATAGCGGGACAAGTGCAGGGATGCCTGTGCTTGGGCGGCGAGGCGGGTGTAGTCGTCCACTGCGGAATGGGCTTCAACACAAGACGAAGACGGAGGGGGAGAGGCGAGGCGTTCGCCCGGCTGGCATATCTCGCCGGCAGGGGAAGACACCAACGACGGAGCAGAGGGTGCGGCCAAAGGTGCCAAGACGTCCAGCGCGTAGGCGGCGTCCTCGAAGAGGCCCAAAACGGACGTGAGAGGACTTTTCTTCTGGGACGTGCTGTGCTGCGGTGGCTCTTCTTCCTGTTGCTGCTGCTGCAGTAAGCGGCGTGGGTGGTTTTGGTGGAGCATGACGGCGAGCAGCAGCGCACGGAGCAGCTGTGCGCAGCGCATGGCGCACTCCACACTCGTCGTCGTTGTCGTCGACGACGCAGCCCGAAACGTCGCTGCTGCTGCTGCGGTGGAGTTCCCGGTGGACTTCATCGGAGCACTCTTCTTTGCGGGTGGGGTGAGCTGCGCACGCCACCACGACTCCATGGCCAGTCCCACCCGCACCGCCACCACAAGCCGCGGCGAGGCAAAGACGAGCGTGCGGAGGGCCGTCACGGCACGCACGACGCCGGCCTCCACGAGACTCCTGGAAGTGAAGAGTAGGCCGGCGCCGTTTCCCCTGTTCGCGGCAGCGCCGTCCGCCACGCTGAACAGGGCATCCCACGAGATCCAGCGCAACACACAGCGCGTGTCGGCAGGGTTATAGAGAAAACACACGGAGGCACCTAATGATGCCCCCGCTGAGGGAGAGTAGTAGCGTGCGTGGCGCAGCGGCAGCGTGGCCTTCCCATCGTGCAGCGCTCCACCACCCCCACCACCGCTCGCAACGACGTCACCTTCGGTTTCGATCTCGTCACAGTAGCCCAACACATCCACCGTGTCATTCCACACCGCGGCTAGTGTGAGCGTGCTCAGCGGACCGAAAGCGTGCCGCCACCCCGCCGTCGCCGTAGCAGAAGCCGGGGACGTGGACGTGGACGCGCCAGACAGCGGAAGCGCAATCCGGCCCGTAAGTCCTCGAAGGGGTGCCGCCGCCGTCGCGTTCTGCGTCGTGGGTGGGTCAGCGGCGCTCGTGGCCTTCACGGCAGCGGCGTGCAGGAGCACCTCCAGTGCCTCGACGCAGCCGCGGTACACACTCTGCAGGGCACGCCGCCGCAGCGAGGCCGTTGCGGCGTAGCCTGCGCTAGCCCCACTAAATGGATTGAGGCTCGAGGTGGAAGAGTCGCAGCCGAGCGCGACGATCGACGCACGCTGCCGGCCCCCACGCGCAGACCGCCGCTCGGCTGACTCGTTGCGCTTCCGCGCCGATTCCCTGTCGTGCCCAGCGGCACCGTCGCCGCCCTTCGCGGAGCGCCTCTTGCCGTCCCTTCTGCTGCTGCTGCTGCCTTTGTACGGGGGTGCCTGTGGCACCGCGCCCGCTGCCTCGACCACACCCACCAAATGCAGAATCAAGTCCAGTGACAGGCGAGGGAACTGACCGGCCAAGTGCACGACGGCTGGGTGGTCGTGACGCAGCTCCGCCGGCACGGGGGAGGCAGGCGCGACGCCGCCAGCCAGTCCGGCCCCTTCACCCGGGGCGGTATTAATTGACGACGAGGCCACGGTTGTTTTCCCCTTTGCATTCGATTTGCGCGGTGGGGGGGATCTGGAGGGGGACGGCCGCTTGGCGGTGCCCGCCCCCTGCTGCTGCTGCTGCTGCTGCGGTGGTGGCGTCGTGGTGGTGCTACCCGGTGCGTTCCCCCCTTCCGCCTCGTCGCCTCCTCCGACCACCACCACCTCCGCGCCGTCGTCCGCCGTCGCATCCGTGTAGTCCGTTTCCTTTGCCGCGGCGGCCAAGGCAGCGGCGACAGCGGAGCGGCCCGCCAGCAGCGCACACTGTTGCTGCACCAGCGCCATACAGGCCCACAGCACCACAAGGAGACGCGTGCCATTCATCGACGTCACCGCCACCAGCCGCCGCGGCAGCAGTGATAGCGACGGCGGTGGTGATGGAGGGGATCATGTTGCCCGCCCCCCCGCCGCCTCGCCGCGATGCACGTCGCGGCGACATGTCGTGCATAGGGTTGCTCGCAGCGCCACCAGTAGACGCAGGCGCCCACGACGCCGTCACGAGGAAGGCGACGGCTTGCTGCACCGCGGCTGCGATGGCGGCCATCGCGGTACGCGCCGTGGTAGCCATATGCAAGGCCGTTGACGCGGGTGAGTCTCCACCTGCGCCGGAGTCGGCAAAACTACCACCGGCAGAAGCAGTGGTAGTTGTAGTAGCGGCAGCCAACGGGGTTTGGGTGCCTGTGACGGCTGCCTCTCCTGGCGGCTGGACCGCAGACGCCTCCGGGGACGCCGAAGCGAAGGCGAGATAGGCGTTGCTGGTGTTGCTGCTGCTGCTGATGCCGCTCCCTCCCTGTGCCACGGCGGCTCGCCAGGTCGCCACGAGCAGCCATCCGGCGCACTGCTGAACCGCAGCGTCCAGCGCGAGCGTGGTGGAGGGGGGCGGCGGCACCGGGTCGAGGTACTCCAGTTCCACCAACTGCAGGACCTGCTGAAGGGCGTGCTCGGCTGCGGTGACGGCGGCCGCCGTGTCGTCCTCAAGCTGCAGATAGCCACGCTGGAGAAGGGTGTACTCCTGCAGCCGCCAGGGTAGATAGTCCACCGACGCCAACGGAAGGCAGGTCTTGGTGCAGGGCTGCCGTGGTTGCGTTGACTGCTGGGGCTGCTGCTGGAGCTGGGGTGTGGCTTTGTTCAGGTGCAGTTCAGACATGGACACAGAAGCCTGCAACGCCTCGAGACAGCGCTGCGTCACGGCCGGGCGGAGCTCCCCGCACCCCGGCTGGGCCATCTCTCCACTGGCGGTGCTGCGAAGGTAGGCCAGAAGCTGCTCGGCCATCTTCGCCACATACAGGCGAGTTGTGAAGAGGACCGGCGCAGCCACTTCGTCCACCGCGTACACCAGCGCCGGTGCGTCGTCCAGGAGAGAAGTGACGGAGAGGGAGGTGACGCTCGGCTTTGCGGATTCTGGCTCCGCCAGCAAATCCAACAGCTTGTACCCACCCGTGACGATGATGGCGCTAACGGGCTTCATGACGGCGGCGGTGCGCTCCATGTCCTCCCGCATGCGCGCCTCTTCCTGGTGAATGACGGAGGCGGCACTGAAGGGCGCCGTGTACAGCACCCGCTGCTGTTGGGCCACCATCTCCTCTATGCACGCGCACGCCGCCGTGCTCGACGCCATGCCGGCGGCATCGCCGTACACGTCTGCCTGCAGCAGGTCGTGAAAGCGGATGTAGGTGAGAAGGGCGCGATAGTGCAGGACGCACTTGTAGACCTGCAGAGCCAGCGGCAGCGGCACGTCGCTCGCGAAGGTGTCGAGGTTGTCCGTCACGCGAACCCCTCCCACCCCGTCCTCCGCCGCATTTCCGGTGCGCTGCGCCTCATTTGCTGTAGGTGTTGTGGGGGCCGTCAAGGACGGACTGGCGAGCTCGGCGCCGTTCGGGGAGAAGAGATTCTGCTTTTGACCATCTTTGAAGGACTTGCCTTTGCTCACGCGATGACGACGCAGGGGATGGCCGGGAGTTCCAGCCCCGGCCTCGTTGCGCTGCTGCTGCTGCTGGGATGACTGCTGCGGCGTCTGCCGTGCCACCGTGCGCGGATGGCGCTCGATGCAGCGCGTGACAATCGGCTCATAATGGCTCGTGATGTCCTGCGCGATGAGCTGCAAGAAGCACGACTGCGCCTCCTGCGTAAGACCCGCCTCCGCAAACATCGCAGCGTAATGCAGGCAGTCTTTGGTAAACGTCAAGGACGCTTCCAGGCGGCGCAGGGCGTTGGCGCTGTTCGCTGCGCTGCTGTTATTGTTGTTCGTCCGCATGGAGGAATGCGGAGAGCTACTCCGCTCACGGCCGGAGAAGGACGTTGCAGTAGAGTGCGACCGCTCGATATCGCCCAGCCGGCGGTGGAAGGACTGCGACGTCTGCGTGTTGGCGAGGGAAAGAGAGATGAACGACTGCGCTGGCGGGTGGGGACTGGCACCGCGTCCGTCGGCGCGCTTTGCTGGAGCGGCGGCGACGTCCGTGTTCGATGCTGATGTCGTTCCTCCTGCTGCTGCTGCTGCTGCTGAAGTACCAGGTGCGCCTTTTCTGATCTTCTCCGCAGACGTCGTGCGCACATTCCGCGTCGCTGCGGCGGGAAGTGCGGGGAGGTTCGTGACGGCGGACTTGGTTGTCAAGGGTGCTGAAAACAGGCTCGGCTCACGCGACAGCCCACCCCCTTCTTTGCGAGACCCACGGCGGGTCAGAAGAGAAGACTCACCGCCGCTGCCGTCCGCCGCGCCTGCCTCGTCCTTCGACACCTGCGCCGACACAAGAGCCGCACGCTGCAGCTTCCGCACCAACTCCAGTAGCTTCGCCCGTGCCTGCTTTTGGCTGCCTGCCCGGCTGGGGCTGGGGCTGGTCGACGTCGCCGCCACGGCCGTGGTGGCACCGCCTCCCTTGCTGCTTCCTTTGACCGCTTTGCCTGTATCCGCAGGTGCGGCGACAACGGCGGTAGTGGCGGCGAGCCCTGCCGCAGGCTTCTTGGCGAGGGTCGCATGGAAAGAGGGCAGGCCGTCATCGATGGGCGGTAGGATGGGGCTGTAGGGCTGCTGTGCGTTGCGGATGTACGACGTCAGTTCCACCTCCAGCTGGCTGCGGGCCTCCTCGATGAGGGACATGGCAACGCGCGCAGAAGATAAAGGAAAAATACACAGAAAAAGGCTGTGTTCACACGCTCGCGAACACCACCGCTTGTTTTTTTTTGAATTTTAATAACAACAACAACAAGAATCTGGCGGCACAGGCAACGCGTGTAAGACAAGGATGGGGAAAAGAGGTACGCCGTACCGATACCGCGACAACCGTCAACACAAGGAAGGAAACACGTAAACGCAAAAGCACACGCAAATACACAGAGGCACCCGAGGCAAAGCGCGGACAAACCCACGCAACACAATAGCAGCAGATATTGTGGATTGGACAGTCCGATAGCCTTCCCCTTTTCTCTGTTTTTTTGTCTACAAAGAGTGCCAGAACAACAACAATAACAACGACAATAAGTTACACGTCAGCTGGTGCGTACACTTCTAACAGCGACTGCGTGATCTTCTTCCGAGAGAGAGAGAGAGAGAGATCAAGAGAGGAGAGAAAGGAAAAATAAAAGAGAGAGAAAAACAGATATGCGTTGATCTTGTTTACATCGAAAAGGAAGAGGAGAGAAGATGAAGGAAAGGAAATAAAAAGACTTTCGAAGACGGCGCCAAAGCGTGGTGTATCGTCACCGACTCTAACCCAAAGCCATACCCAATGCTGCAACGAGAAAGGCGTAGAAATGGGCGATGGAAGTGGTATATATATTTAAAGCGGCAACAACGGCGAGAGAAGAATATGAAGAGTTAAAAAAAAAGTGATGAGTGAAGGGACAGAATTATTATTGTTTTCTTTTCAGGGCGTTGTGTTGGAGACCCTAACCCTGTGCATGTCGCTTTCGCAATCATCAGACGTAGAACTGCACAAACGATCGTCCATGTCACCAACAACTGTCGAGCTACACCACTTGGGACGATCAAGTATCATTGCTTTCTTTTTACTCCCACATCTCTCTCTCTCTTGCCAGTTCCTCACACGATACAACGACTATCTTGAAGAAGCAAGACAAAATCCTTGGCAGCTGACGCACACACGTTTTCTGGCACCGCTTGCGTTCTTTTTCTTGTTTTCTTCTTTTTTCACGCTAGGACACGTTAAGTCGATAATACGCCGAGGAAATAGTTCTCCTTTTAATATATATATATATATATATATATATATATATATA